ATACCGTTGCATTTTTTTTCCTTTTTTTTTTTTTTTTTTTTTTTGTTATTTCGCCCCGCAGGTGGAAAATAGGTTGGCGTGAAGGGAAAGGTGGAGATGGCGACATGCTCTGGTCGTTCTCGGCTCCTTCAGAGGATTGACGGACAAGAGGGCTGTCAGAATCTACAAAGTATGATGGAGTCACGGAGGGCAGTTTATCGACATGACATGAGCAATGTGTTCATCGGGGGGCGTGCGGTCAACGGGACAATATCATGGAAAATTGACAGTCTCAGGAGTCTCAGGAGAATAAACAAATAATACAATTAATCCGTTAAGGACAACTCTCTCTCTCACTCACTTCTTTTTTATTTTTATTTTATTTTTTGCTTTCCTTTGGACTGAAAGCCCACTGCAACCCCTTGAACGTCATATTGTTATTGTCTGCCCTTACGACGTAACACTCTGTACATTGCCGCGTTTGGGGGCCAAAAATAAAGACCAAGGACTGTAAGATGCGCAAAAGAGCAAATTAGATCTCGATACAAAAGGCCTCGAACATCACGAGAAAACGAGTCATCAGATCCGGCATGGCACCGCCTTCCGCCACTATGCGGCTGGTTCGGACAAGGAACAATAGAACGAAAGCACGCAGGCACGTAGTGTTGACGTTGACTTGGCCTTCACACCAACGTGGACACAACGTCGCCGAGCACACATGCCCAACGAGGCACCAAACTAGACGACCACGTTACGGCCGGCACTCACGAATACACGGCCTCTGCATCCATTATATTGATTGCCACGAGAAGGAAGCAATCCGGGACTGCACAGGACAAAATAAATAGAAGAGTCAAAGAGCCAAGAAGTTGGGGTCCAAAACGGCAGACTGGCCTCTAACCGGGCACGAATACAACACATCTACGACACAAGTCGGTATTATTTTACCGGTGCCGCAAGTGACTTGTCGGGGTACGCGATGAGAGAGAAGGGATTGGAGGAAGGGGGAGGGGGGGGGAGTCAGAGGTATCCCGCATGGTGGCTCGGTGGTACTGCGGTTGGTGGTACGTCTGTCGGTGGGTAAGAATAGAGCAAGACGGGTAAAACGGACGGCGATGAGGTGGGGGTGAACTGGAGCTTGGGCGACAGCTGTGGTTTGCGTAGCGACGGCATGGAAAAGAAAATAAAAGAAAAAAGAAAAGAAAAAGAAAGAAAGACAAGGAGTCAAAACGGGTTGTTCGGCGGAGCGTTCTTTTCAAATAAAGTGCATATTTCTTCATCTATTTCATTTCTTGGACACAGCGTCATCGCTCCGCCTCGACTGTATAAAGGGGAAACAGCTTGTCCAACAAATGTCATACCTACGAATTACTGCCTACGACAATGGAGTGAGAAGCGTGGAGTGAAAGAATGACGTTTTGCATGGGGTGGACACAGAGGCTGACGAAGGGTGAGCGGGCGAATCAGGTGCGAGCTTGTTTGGGGCACCTCGATGACAGCGACCACATGCGGGCCGCTGCTGTACCCCTGTCATTACAGTCTTTTATTTGTTCATGAATAGCCTTCATCTACGCACAGAGCTGCGATGCCCGCCTTTTCGGAAAGTCTGGTCCATGGACGAGGCGGAGCGGAGCGGCCGGAAGAGTGTTGTGTGAGGGACGGAGCGCATAGTCGGTTGCGTTTGAGAGACTCTAAACAATGATAACAGCCGTCGGCGGCTCTAGATCTCGCGATGCAAAGAATGACAGAGGATGCAATCACCGGGAGGATGCGATGGCTAGATGGGACATTCCCGCCACATGTGCCTTGCATCGGGAGGATGAGGGAAGGCCGATCTGGCATCCGAGCAGAGCATGAATGAGGGAGAAAGGAAGCGAGAGGCAATCTGGGCCGGGGCCGGGGACGGGGAGAACTTTCTGACCTGGGAGCAGCCACACGGGACGAAAGGGAGCAATATAATGGGTGTGGGCGCGAGGAAACGTTGAAGAAACGCTGAAGTGGTCGAGACGGCCGTCGTGGAGTACGTTGCTATTGTGGATCCGATGCCAATCAAAGCCCATTTGTACTGAATAAAGGATTTGAAATCGGGACGCAGCCAGCCGCAGACAATATGGGGACAATTACCGGTCAAGCACATGCTGCGTCCTTTTGATTTCTTTTGATTTCATCGCCCGTGCGAGACAGGGCTGTGGGACGTCCATAGTGCGGGAGGAGAGGTGCTGGGCTCGAATGTGCATATGTACAGAATATTGCTCCGTGCTTTACGAGGGCACCTGTTCAGCCACAGCGTGGAACGGTTTGCCAGCGCGTCTGTTGCCGTGGCCCATGGTTCGTGTCGTCCTGTCGTTTTGCATGTCTTCGTCCACATGTCGGCCTGGATTGTCACATCTATATCTGCTATCGTCCCGACGGCTCGTCATTTTCGTGCCTGCTTGCTCTTGCCAGGCGTTGTCCTTGTCTATATATAGAGACACTCGTTCCTTGCATTGGCTTTGTTCTTTGTTTGGATAGCCGACGGTGCAGTTTATTGATTTTTGCTTTTAGCTTTTTATTCATTGTTGCTGGCTTGTCTGCCGCTCCGCCTTTTCAAAAGTCACTAATTCCGTTACCCTCCCGCTAGTGGCGGCCTGTCCCACAGCGTACGAGGCGCCGCCTGTTGCACAAGGGACAGCAAAAGTGACAAGGACACACGAGAATGGCACTGCCAAAAGGCGGAGATTTGTCTGGCCCTCCCGTTAACAGCATGCTCGCAAGACGTCTCCACTTCCTGACCTGCCGTGCCGACCACAGCCTCTGCGGAATACTGTTGCCTTGATTTGGCGATGCCTGAGAGGCACTCTGTCCGCTGTCCGTCTCGTATCCTTTTACATCTCCATCTCCATGTTCAGCCTTTCTTCCTTCATCGTGGGGAGACCACAAGGACCGAGAGCAGGGCGAGACTGCAATGACTGTTGAAATAAACAATAAAGTCAACACGACAATGGCCGACGCTGTAGACGCAGAGGAGTACGGTCCTAATGAGCAAAACTTTTATGTATATGCATAAATAAAAACGTCCTCCACTGTCAGCCACAGCTTCGGCCACTGCAGAGAAGTAACGTTAAGTTATCCTAGCCACAATTAAGTTTCCTGGGCAGTAGTCCTTCCATAGGGAGCACTATCGAGTCGAGAGTCGAGTACGAAATACATTGACGTAGTGCTGTGGCGCAGAGATCTACGCCGGGAAGAGCAGTGGTTCCTGGTGGCCTACTCCTGGAAACCGGCACAGAGCCATCGTCTTTCGTCATGTCGTCGCTCCTACACAGCCACCCTTTCATTCAGTAGTAAGGACCTTGTGTGGCTTCGCATCCACGCACATGACGTACTCTTCACCATTCTCCTTATTTCCCTTCATTTTGCGCACTATACGTGTGTGGCTCATCGGATTATTCCGTCCATCAGGTCCAACTTTACGAAACGGCCTGCGTTCACCGTGCACATAGTTTTCTCCCCTATTTCTTATTCTGTCCCCTCTTTCTCTCCACTTTCTCCCCCCTGTTCTCGTCCTTCATCTCCTGCCATGACACTTTGGGCCATCTTCTCAAATTGTCCTGCTGCCCGATCCATGTCCCTCCAGGGTTTGTTTTTCTCTGACTTATTTACGACGTATTTTTAACCCCCGTACTTTTCCTCTGCATCACCTGCCTTTGGCTTCACCCCGTCACCTGCAGGCACCCGTCCTGGGATGTAGCAGATCGATTGGTCGATTTGCGAATTCAGCCCTACGATTGGTGTAGCCCGTCAGACAAGAAGCTGCTCACCCCCGCTGACCTGCTGTCCCCTGCGTCTGGAGGAACAAGCATGGAGGCCAGAGAGCATGCTCCGTAAAACAGTACGCAACGTCTTTGTTCTGGCGAGGAGCGTCCGTGGCCTGGTCTCACGCCTCGTGTGTTTACCATGTCCGTGCCCTTGTCGGTCTTTCTTTTTCGCCGTCCTCTGTCGGGCGCGTCGCACGCAGGAGCGTCAGCATAAGCAAGCCTGCCTCACAAGGCCAGACAAAAAAGTGTACGAAATACATGTACGGAAAATTCCGCCAAAATGAGCGTGGAAATGCAACATCAATCCCACTGAAACCAAAACGAGAACGACGACGAACCGTGTTGCGGCGTAGGTGGTAACGTGGAGAGAGAGGCCGGCCAAGACAGGCATAGCCTGTCAGCACTAAGGTTGTCACGTCTTGAGATTCCACGGATCATTGCCCACTGTCCACTGTCGTGACACTTGTTCTCCTCCGTAATTACGTCGAGAAAGTCCATGCTGGAGAGGCCAAGGCCACTGAAAGAACCTTTAATGCGATTGGCTGGAGTCGTGCAGAAAACCCATGAAAGTGATGACTGCATAGCACTACATCGTTTTATCTTTCCATTTTGCCTTTTCTTTTCTCTTTTGCTTCTCTAATCTTTCATAAACTTTATTTGTTTTGGTCGTTTCGCCTCCTCTTTTGTGGGTCGGCAGACACGTCAGAATTCAAATCGAGGCCAATGTTTATTCTGTTCCTTTTCGTTTCATACCTTCTCGTTTGAGGATGCTCTCTATAGTTCCTTGGATGCCGTGATCGAACTTTGCTTCTCCAGCACCTGAGATGTCTCCACTTAGTACGACTGTTTGCGTGTTAGACGCAAAGTGCATGTCCCCGTCTTTGCCGCAGTTAAGCAGGAATCCTTCGTACATGGTAATTATTGAGTAGGCATCGTCATCTGCGGAAATCTGCTGCTTTACTGTCGATTGCTTGACGATCATCGATGCTATTTTGGGAATAAGATTAAGCAAGAATGCAATGAAACAACACAGACTAAATTAAAAAATAAAAATAAAATAAAATAAAAAAAACAAGCAGGACAGTCAGTTTGCATGGTCCATCGTAGCAGGAGGTGCTCCACTGCTTTGATTGTTTGCAAAGTGCCTGCATGCGTTCAGTGATAATCTTGTCCAGTGCAACGCCCGGGAAGCACAGAAGAAAACCACGGTAATACAGAGACGTCATGACGGCAACATGCATCGGTAGAAGAGAGTGCGTGCTTCCAGAGGAGCGTGCATGGTTTGAAATCTACCTGTGACAAGTGGTGAGGAGAGGCGAAGCAGACGGGTAAACAGGCGGAGAAAATAACACCAAACAAACAAGCAGGCCATATATCTAAATATACAACTGACTGGCCGCACAACGGTGAACCTCACAGGGCTGTAAACTCCCTCACTCACTCATGCTGCACTCCGTCGAATTTTGTGCGACGGTATTCTTCCGAGTCGTCGAGTTGTGGTGTTCAGCTCGGAGGGGGTGACGAGAGTGGTGACGAGAGTGGTGACGAGAGTGGTGACGAGAGTGGTGACGAGAGTGGTGACGAGAGTGGTGACGAGAGTGGTGACGAGAGTGGTGACGAGAGTGGTGACGAGAGTGGTGACGAGAGTGGTGACGAAGAGCAGTAAAAGAGCCTCGTCTCTTGTTATCTGGTAGAAACCAGAAGAATGGGCACAGCCTCCGGTTTTGGCGCATATCTCAACAGACTGCTGGATTGCCGTTAACGTAAAGAGGACACACGATACGCAAATAATGTCTTGTCTTGACTTCGTTTCATAGTCACGATGCAGGGCTGGTACTTTACAGGAGACGACGTCGTCTCTGATAGAGGTGCTTTGTGTCAAGATGCGACAACAAACGAGTGGAGGAATAATAAGAGCGTGCCAGGAGGACATGGCATCTCCCCTACCTTTCATGGACTGGCAGTTGGACGCGGTCGTCTACCAAATTGCATCTCGCCAGCTCCCATTGTCTCCCTTCAAGATGACGCAACAAACCGCTGTGCAGCCATGCACCTGTCCACATGTACAGGGCCGCAAAACAAAAAAGAAAAGAAGACAAAACACTCACAGGTTGCACGACAGATTCTGCAACTCGGTCTGCGACGGCATGTCTCCCTTTTTCTGGCAATCTATTTCGACATTCCCACCACACACTGCCGTCCGCAAAGCCACAACAGGGTCATATGCCTTGCTCTGTGACTCTTCTGCTCTTCACCCACCGTGTTTCGAGTAAATCGCATGCAGAAGGCAAACAGACGAGGCAGACTTTTACTTGGGTCGCGTGGACTGCACATTCAAAACGGGCGTGTCGTACACGGTCGACGAGTGACTAACCTGGCGATGTTTCAACGGCGTTGAGCTTGATCTACATAAAACAGACCGGGCCAACACAGCGGCATCGTCTGATTTGTGGAGGTATGCAGCTGTTTTCCCTTGGACGCTGCACTTTGACGTTTCCATTCTCTACTGGACGTTGTCTCTCGTCCGTGTTCCTGGTTTCGTTGTACAGGTGTGTGACGCCTCGAAAATCCAAGACGAAACAAACGCCATCAAGAAGAAACACTATAAAAATGAAGAACCACGTGTATGTCATTCTCTGGCCAAGGAACGAGGCATGGTGAACGCATGTTCACTTTGGGTTTCTTGCCCTTACGATGTGTTGATTATAGAACACTGGCTGACAAACATGCTTACCAAAGGATCCACTCTTGCAAGAGGATCTGCAAAATGGCACACGGAGCAAGGTACGGAGCAAAAGGACAGGGGACCACGTTGAAATTTCTGACAGCGGACGGATGGGCGAGACAGTGCCGGAGTTAAGGACAGACTGGGAAACGAAGAAAAGCATAGGCGGAGGTGAGAAACGGAGGTCGGTATTCCTCCATCAGGGACGGCGAACATGAGAAACAGGAGGCAAGCAGGAAGAGGAAAAAGAAACGAAATGACCTTGGGCCCCCCCCCCTTGTCTGTCATTCGTAGGGCTGGGAATTGTGGGCCGCCGCGGCGTCCCCTGTATTTTTAAGCGCAGTTGACGGCAGACGGACGATGGAAAATATCCATGTACGATGAAATGAGGTTAAACGTGGCTGAGAACATTCCAGGGAAAGAACTGTGCTGCGTACGATGTACATGTATGTACGGAGTTTGCTCGGTGAGCTGCGCGGAGGAATGCTAGTGCTGACGACATCCGGCGTTTGCTTTGGTGTTGTTTTTGTTAAGCTTTGGGTTTTCACGTCCTGTCGACTCTGTCAAGTGAAAGGATTCACGATCGACGGAGCCCAAAAAAAAGGGGAGACATGAATAGCAATTTACGTCGTACCTTTCCAAGACGCCCTGTGGCTCATGCCAAGGATGCCGTGCCACACGAATATGACCGTTTTTTTCCAGAGGTTTCCCAGAGGCCATGCAAGCCAAGCAAGCCTTTGCCATGCGAGAAAGACGTGAGAAACGTGCATGCTTCGAGGAACACAGCAGAACGACTACGTCGCTCTACGCAGCGTCCGGTCGTTGGCGAGGTCTCCGACGGAGTGTGGCTGACGACGTTATTTTTGTGCCCTTGTGTAAGTGCATCTCACGCACGTTTGCTTTCTAAATTTGGGCAGCCTCTGTGCGATATCCTCCGAAACGTGAGTGGATGGAAAGAAGACGACAATGTCTCGATATCACAAAGTCTCGATGTCACAAAGTCTCGATGTCACAAAGTCTCGATGTCACAAAGTCTCGATGTCACAAAGTCTCGATGTCACAAAGTCTCGAATGTTTGACTGTCAACGACACCGTTGAATAAATGTAGACCTCAACAACTGCGTTTGCAGTCGTCTCCGAGACAAGCGACCCGAACGTACGTACGGCAACACACAATACACAAAAGAAACACCACGGGATCGTGCTTGTGCCACGGAACGGACGCAGCTGCGTATCGGCCTGGGGCGCACCGCGTGAGCTAAAGTGGACGATCGACAGCATCCCTCCCTCCAAGAACGAGCCTAACAAACCTAGTACGACGATAACCTCAATCGCGACCTTGTTTCGTGCTGTCCATCTTCCATCCTGTGCCTAGCGTGGAGGGAGTGGCACCAGCTGCGGGCATTCAAAACAAAATGGGACAGTCCTGGTAATTTTAGAAATATACGGCGTCGAAACGACTTGGTCAGCGTGCTCGAGGAACGGGAAATCCTCCAGCAAGCGACATCAACGAGAAGAACCCACCGGCAGCTTCTCAAACGTCCTGCATACACGCCCCGCCCCGCTCATTCGTTGTGCACCTTTCCCGTTTGATGGCAATGTGCCAGGTACTAGTTTTTGCTGATACCACCTTCCATCTTGTCTCCTGATGCATGGGAAAATCATGATTTGCGTGCCAAGTAGCACGTAAAACGGCGGGCGAGGGGCGAGGGAGGCAAGCAGGGGTCTCCTCTGGGCCGCACCGTGGTATTGGACGTCGACAGAGGATCAGGATGACGGTTGGAACCCAGAGAGTCCAGCATAGCCTAATCAAAACCGGTCGAAACAAGGGGAGTGCGGTGTAATTGGTGTTTGCAAAACAGTCTCCTGACGATGCCAGATTGGGTTTGGACAAGCCAGTCTAGAAGGCGCACCTGATACGGGTCGGACGGTCGCAAAGGATGGCTGTCGACGGCACTCTACCCGAGATTCCTCGAATCGAAATACCAAAAAAAGCAACGGTGGACTGCATATGACGTACGGAGGATGGCAGACCTTGGGGGAGAGAAATTAGACTTATTTTCTTATTTTCACCTCACCACTCTCTGTGGCTCAGCCCCTGAGAATGGCCATGGAGGACAGACGCGAAAGGCGAGGCCCATGGTCGCAGGAGGCCCAAACGCAAGGGTCGGAGACCGGCTCTGCTTGCTGATCAACGGATGGAGGAGACGGATCATAGAACATGGCCGGAGACTGGCATCGTACGGACAGGAGACCCGTAACGCAGCCAGGGAACGGCACCATGGCAGACGCCAGCGAGAGTCCATGGGGGAGCCAAAAAGGGGGGGCGGCCGATGGAAGAGATGAGGAGCTGCACAGACAAAAGGCATGTCAGCCCTACAAAAGTGGAAGGAGTGCAGTCAGGCGCGTCCAGGTGCAATGCGACCGATTGTACGTGCTTCAAAGTAAATTGGACATCGGATGCGGGTGGGCTGGCGAGGGGGTGATGTTTGCCGCACTTCGCGATCCATCGCAGGAACGACGAGGAGATAAGCCTCCGTAAACATGGAACAGGGGGAAGCATGCAAGTGCGATGCTTACACTGTCAAGCAGCACCGCAGGGAATCTGAATGTGAATCGATCCCGTCGGTTTGCCACAGCTGTACATCGTACGGAGTTGCATGCTCAGATGTCCCGAAACCGCCGCCGATCAGCGTTCTCATTCACCATTCTTTGATATAGAATCGTGCTTATTGTCAACAACTTGCTTTCCACATTTATTTTCCACAATTTATTTTCCACAATTTATCCTGGTTCTCTGCATCCATGCCATCCTCTGCCTTCCAGCTGACCGGGACGATGCGACGTGATGAGACAACGTCTCGTGCGGTTGAGGCACAACGTCCACCCGGTAGGAATTGTCCATCCGGAAGGAATGCAGGCAGAATCAAAGAAAGGCAGGCTGCAGGAAACGAAAGACAACGGGGCTTCTCGTCACACTTGTTCCGTCGTGGCAAGCTCATCTCGCTGGGCATGCTTGGCACTTTTCCCTTTGCTGGTGTTCCATGTCTTTGGTGGTATTCCGCTGACGAGGACTGGATCCTTCCTCTCCTCTCTCCCCCGTCCCCTCCCGTCCCCCTTTATCACCGTCGTCCAAGCTCCATGCAAGAATAAGACGACCTGGGTACATGGCCGGTGGATATACGGCAACTTCCGTCTGAGATGCTGTCCTTGGGAGGGGGCCACAGACACGACTTGCCACTCGTCTGGCACCCCTTTTCAGCTGGCTGTACCAAATGTGCCGCACATGTTGGGTCCAAGCCAAGCCTCACTGTGTGTCTGAACGTATGAACGTATTGATCGTATCTCGCTCCAAAATGCCTCCTTTCGGGCATAACATGCGAGACAATGTTAACGGGGTGGTGCAGATGACGATCCATCTATGCAGGGAAATAAAAGGCAACTAGTTGTGGTGTGCGGAGCAGAGACAAAAGGATGAGACGAGCGATCCCGTGAGGTGATGGAGGACTTACGACGACCACGTGGTCTCAGTGCACAAGAGCCTCGGGAACGGACATGAACACGGCCCAAGACGGGTGCCAAAACCCGGCCTCGGCTCCGGCGGTCTCGGGCTCGGCAGAGGGAGAAATGGGGAGAATGGGGGAGGCTTCAAGGCTAGACATCACTAGCCTTCAAGCCATCAACCCCCACGTCGCAGGCCGTCTTCCTCTGATCATTTGGCTATTGTTCCTGCGGTTTGATTGCTGACGGTGGAATGGCGGATTGGAATATGAGGACAATATTGAGAGACGAGAAGCATCCTTATCCGTGTCCTCCGAGGCCAGAAAAAAGGCACCGAACGCGCCGAATCGCGGAGTCGCCGAGCATCCAGCCTCCAGGATACCGAGCCATCAATTCATTGTAGCGAAGAGGAGAATGGCACAAAAATGCTTCCTTATCGCAGGGCAGCTTTTGTTGCGTGGGGGCCACGGTGTTCTATTCAGGCAATGCTGCGTGGGATCATGAGTCTGTATTCGTCGTCGCTACGTGCTCCCCTCTTCCGTCCCCAGATGAATTAGATCAGTGGCACGGCATGTCCGTCGCCGCGTCCGTCGCTGCCCGCCATGTACACCCGCTCGCCCGTCACCGGGTCGTGTGTGGCCCGGATCACCTGTCCGCGCCCAAACAGCGACCGCGCAAACCGCCGCACCACGACCACCGTGTACCCGAGCCGCCGCAGTTCGTCTATGGTCGCCTCGCGCAGCCCTTCCTCGACGTAGACCTGGCCAGACACCTCGCCGCCGGCCATCGACGCCGCCGCCGCCCGGTCCGGCGACCAAAAGAAGTTGGGCGCGACACAGACACGGGGCGCATCGAGCGCCGTCTGTGGGTCCATCCCAAAGGCGTGCATGTTGAGCAGCACTTGGACGTGGCCCTGGGGCTGCATGTAGCCACCCATGACGCCGAAGACGGTGTCCAGTGTCTGCTGCTGCGGTTGCTCCCCGTCACCATCACCATGACCATCACCATGACCATCACGGGTGACCATACCGGGAATGATGGTGTTGTACGCCCGCTTGCCGCCAGCATACACATTGGGGTGGTTGGCCGGCCCGAGGCGGAACATGTGCCCTCGGTTCGGCAGGGCAAAGCCGCAGCCTGGCACCACGAGACAGGATCCAAACAGGTCCGACATGCTGTTGACAAACGAGCAGCCGTTGCCGTGTTCGTCGGTGACGGCCAGGTAAACCGTATCGCTGGTCGTAGGCGAGGCCGCGGTGGCTTTGCTGGCCACGAGGCAGTCAATGTCGTCGACAACCTCCGGGCCAACGTCTGCCGGCTCACCATGCAGGGGTGGCGTTGGGATGGCCCGCTCCGGGTCGAAGAGGCCCGCGCGCTCCGCTAGGTAGTCTGGTCGCAGCAGTCTCGTCGGATCAAAGGTCGACGCCGCGTCTTTGGTGTCTGGGTCGGCTACAAACCAGCCCGCATCGGCAAAGGCAATGCGCAGCGCGCTGACAACGGCGTGCAAGTACGCGGCCGAATTGTGCTGCATCGATCGTAGATGGGGGATCTTGCCTGTCCGCTCAAGTTCTTCGAGAATGCCAATTGCCAGCAAGGCCACAATGCCCTGCCCGTTGGGTGGGTGCTCCCAGAGTCGGAGACCGGATGCGTCCGTGCTCTTGTCGGCGGTGTCAGACGCTGCCGCTTGGATGCTACCGAGCGGTATTGACAAGGCCTCATGGATGTCCGGCGGCAGCGACGCATGGTATTTTAGATCCTCGAGTGTCATCATCCCGCCCGCCGCCTTGGACACGGCTACAATCGCCTCGGCCACGGGGCCCTCGTAGAAGCCGGCTTTGCCCTGCGTGGCCAGCCGCCGCAACGTCTCGGCCAAGTCCGTATTGTGAATGATCTCGCCTTCTCGGGGAGCGCGGACGCCGTGTGGGCTGCTGGTGTCCGGTTTGAGCAGCGTGTGTGGCCGGGATTCGTTTTTCGAGACGTTCGGTGTCGGCGGTGACCGTGTCCGCAGGTCTTCTTCGGCCGCTTTCCAGTAATGAGCAGACAGCTTGCTGACCGGAAAGCCCTTCTCGGCCAGCCGGATCGCCGGCGCCAGCACCTCGGCCAGCGTCACGCGGCCGGAACCAAACTGCTCGACCGCATCCACCCACCCGGCTGCGCCCGCGGGGACCGTCACGGCGTGCACGGAGCTGTGCGGCAACAAAGCGGCCGCCAACTGCTCGTCGTTCTTCTTCTTGTCGGCCTCACTGTCGCGGTCGCTGCCCAACGGGAGACCGATCGATTCGCATGCCATCTTGCGCGTGGCCGCCTGTGGCGTGCGCCCGGATGCATTCAGGCCGAGGACTTTGTGCGTCTTCTGCGCGTCGTAGAAGAGAGAAAACGAGTCGCCTCCGATGCCTGTCATGGGCGGGTCAACGACTGCGAGGACGGCCGAGGCCGCCACGGCTGCGTCGGCGGCATTGCCTCCGGCCTCTAAAATTGCAAGACCAGCCTGGCCCGCCAACGGACTCGTAGAGGCCACGATGCCCCGTGTACTGTGGACCACACTGCGGCGACTCTGGAAGCGAAAGAAGAGATCGGGGTCTTCATCTGCTGGCGTCGACGGAGGTGGAGGTTGTGTCACCGTTTCTGTGGTAGGAGGAGTTGGGTTGGCCATGGTGGGAGCGTCAGTCAAAGGTGTGAGAGAGAACGGGGGTTCGTTGGGCCAAGAGGCACAACGTTGGGAACGAGGTCGTTCCTTTAAATCCCTTTTGACTCCTTGCCAGGTCTGTTATGTTTGGAGAACGTCTCCTTCGCAGGTGTCGACTCGCTCCGTCTTTCGGCCGCTGTACACCGCCGTTGCGGTGGACGCCAGTTGGTCGTGCGTGCAATTGGGCTACGGACCACGTTCCGGCAGACGCGCGTCGCCGGCTGCCAATCGTGTTGTTGCGTGATGTGGTCACACGCACGAAGACTTTCGAGTCAATTGCTCTGGTTGTCTCCGGTTTTCGCTGTGGCTGCAGGTGAGGAGAGCAGAGGATGGTTGGCCAGTGAGATTCAAGAGATCTGCCCAATGCGCGCGTTGCCGATCGACACGATACCGAGCAACGTTCCAAACAACAAGATGATACATAATTTTGTGGATGTGGTGTATTTTCGTCATCATTTTCAAATGACTCCTATTTTGAAGGAGAAGAGCTCCTTTTTGGTGAATATGTAAGTTGCAAAAGGAGAAAGTGCGACTCTCGTCTCATTCGCAAGAAGGTTGCTGTTTCTTCTTTCCTCATTTGTCACTGTTGGCAGCTGCACATAAACATGTGAAGTTGTCTGGCCACGAATGACTCGAGGAAAGAGCGACCCATTGCGATAGAAGCCATTGTTTTCGTGCCCCTTTTCATTGTCATCCGCGTCACTTTCAAGTTTTCCTTTATTTCTTCAGTACATGTTCCATCCTTACGCAGCAGCACGAACCTTGGATCATCAACCTAGCATCGCTCACGTACAGCCTTAAAGACCGAATTTACATACGTGCGAGATGGACAAATCATATCATTCTATCAAACTGTCATAACACACAGACTAGCAAAACGAAAAGAAAAGAAAAAGGCCCTCCACTTCAACAGCCTTTACCTCGACCATCAACACCGACCTTGTTACAGGCCACCTCTCGTCGCGGCCATGGCGGACGAGCTCAACCACAACGGCATCAATAGCATGGATAGTGTGATCCCGGTCCCTGGCGCCAACAGTGTTGCTGGAGGCGACAACAGTGGCAGCGATAAAAGCGATGCGTCCGATGTCACTGTCACCCCCGGAAGTTTGTCCCCGGGCGGCCTTCGACTCGTTGCCCGCGATGCCAGCCCCGAGTCAAACAGCGCCGGGCCCGCCCCCAACCCAGATCAGCTCGCCAGCCAATTCTACGCTGAGCGGATGTCGATGGACCATCCCGACGACCCCCTCGACCGCTTTGCGCCGTCGCCTGGCTCCGACGACGTATTTCTCCCACAGCCTGTTGGTGCACACGACGCGGGAGACCGCTGTCCGTATGACTTGCCAGAGTGCTGCGAACCCTTTGCCGATGGCGTCGAAGGCAGCGCCATGTTTGGTCTTTTCTTCCTTGCCTGCTTCGACGTCTATGTCACAGCCGTGCTGTTGAAGACCCGCGGGGAGCTGTTGACGCTGTTTTTGATCCGGTATATCGTCCAGCCAGTCCTACTTGCGTTCCTTCTCGGCATCCAGTTGCTATTCTACTACTTCCTCTTCTACCACGTCCTCGTCAAAGAACTCATTCCCTACAGCTTCCCCAACGAGCTCGCATGGTGCAGGAGCATGATTGCAAAAGGAAATAACATGTTCAACAGAAGAATGGCTACGTTCAACATAGGAACGAACTGGTTCAGAAATTACAAGAACCGGTTCAGAAGAGCCCGGAATGCGGCGGTTGAAACGCCACGCAACTGGTTCAACGCAGTTTTTGCCCGTCAAGGACCTGCCGCACCCGCCCATGAAGAGATAGAAATGGAGGCCGTTTCTGGCTAGACTGACGAGAAGGACGAATGCTGGAGAGGTCTTAATATGGCTTTGTACTTTGCACCAGGTTCTCTTATTGAATTTGATAGAGGGTGACGACCAGTCGGGAACTAAAAAGATCACGAATCGTGTTTTTGGCCAATACTGCAAGGGGATTATTTGAACTTTGAAAAGTATTTCATTGACTCAGCTTACTTGAATTCCATACTTGAAGGTTTTATTCCGTACTTTCACTAACGTTGTCGTGAATGGCAGAACTGGTAAACATGATCGCGCAGGTGGCACAAAACTGCCCTGCCTGTTATCGTCTTGTTACCCAAACTGGCAATTGTACCCAATGAGGCAACTTGTTAGCGGAGCTGGTGGAGGAAGAAGCGCGGTCGGCTATTGGCGGGTAAAGTGGGGTTCAGTGGTCGACGGGCTCGAACGACGCAGAACAACCAAAGCAATTGGGAAGGTGCCAGCGACAGTGACGCTCAGAAAAGAATGAGGACGACGAAAAAGAATAGGCGATGTTTCTTTCAGCGTGCGTTTAACACAGTCTTTCTTTCTTCGTCTCCATCCCTAATCTGAGGAACCGAATTGACTGCGCGACGTTCCATTGATTGTGTGTCGCCCTTCGACCGACTTCGGCCCATTCATCGTTCTTTCCTCGAGATCCCCAGCTCACCCTTTGCTCCTGCCTTCCTTCCTCGCCACCGATCTCGACGGACCTCACTACCCCTTTTCGAGCTCCCAATTGAGCCTCAGTCCGCCCGCGAGGCACAAATACACACACACACACACCGACCTCTCTCTACCCCGACACCCTCGTCTCCCGCAACAATGGCTGCCCTAGTTGGCTCCCGCGCCTTTCTGCGGACCACCCGCTCGGTCGCTGGCCCGGCCAAACTGGCGGCTGCCTTTCGCCAACCCACCGCCCTGACGGCCTCTTCCTCCTTTGCCGTCCGTCGTTTTGCGTCGTCCAGCAGCAGCGACGACGCGTCTCTCCGCAAGACAGCCCTCTACGACCTGCACATCCAGCACGGCGGCAAGATGGTCCCCTTTGGCGGCTTTCACATGCCCGTCCAGTACGCGGGCCTCTCCGTCAGCGCCTCCCACCACTTCACCCGCGAAAAGGCGTCCCTCTTTGACGTCGGCCACATGGTCCAGCGCCACTTTACGGGTCCCGGCGCCGCTGCGTTCCTGGAAGCCCTGACCCCGTCGGGCATCGAGGCGCTCGCGGTCCACCGCAGCACGCTCAGCACGTTTTTGTGGGCCAACGCCAGCGGCGGCATCGTCGACGACACCGTCATCACGCGGCTCGGGCCGCAGCACTTTTACGTGGTCACCAACGCCGCCTGCCGCGACAAGGACGACGCCTACCTGGCGCACTGGCTCGCCGACGAGGCGCTCCAGAGCCGCCTGCCGGGGGCCGTCCAGCACGAAGAGCTGGCGGGCTGGGGCCTCGTGGCGCTGCAGGGCCCCCTGGCCAAGGACATTCTGGCCGCGCGCCTGGCCGACGGCGCGGCCGCCGACCTGCCCGGCCTGCTCTTTGGCAGCTCCGTCTTTGCGCGCCTGACACTGGCCGGCGGCGAGCTGTCGAGCCCGCTGCTCATCAGCCGCGCCGGCTACACCGGCGAGGACGGCTTTGAGATTTCCATCCCCCCGGAGGAGACGGTCGGCGTGACCGAGGCGCTGCTGGCCGCCGGCACGCCTGAGCGCCTGCAGTTTGCCGGCCTGGGCGCCCGCGACAGCCTGCGCCTCGAGGCCGGCATGTGCCTCTACGGCCACGACCTGGACGACACCACGAGCCCCGTCGAGGCCGGCCTGTCGTGGATCATTCCCAAGGCGCGCCGCAACGGCTACTCCTTCAACGGCGCCGAGACCATCCTGGAGCAGCTGCGGCCCAAGTCGCAGGGCGGTGCGGGCGTGACGCGGCGGCGCGTCGGCCTGGTCGTGGACGGTGCGCCCGCGCGCGAGGGCGCGGAGATTGTCGAGGCGGGCGAGTCGGGCGCCGTGGTTGGTCGTATCACGAGCGGCTGCCCGAGCCCAACGCTGGGCAAAAACATTGCCATGGGCTACATCAAGGACGGGCTGCACAAGTCCGGTACGGAGGTGGGTGTGGTGGTGCGCGGCAAGACGCGGCGCGCTGTTGTGACCAAGATGCCGTTCGTGCCGACCAAGTACTGGAAGGGCGAGTAATGGAGGGGGGATGTCAAAAATGGGGGTGCAACGCAAACGAATGCAAGGCAAATGTCTTCAACGACGCTTCATGTTTCGGATAGGTCATGGCTTTCTATCATGTTTGCATTGGCTTCACACGGCGTTTTTCTGATGGTTTGTGTGATTTGATATGAGTTCAACCTTTGGGGTATACTAGAGGAACATTGGAAACCATGTATGCATTTAGGCATGTTTTAAACAAAATGACAATTCTACTATTGAACAGTGGTCATGGCTCGTGATCAAACACAACGTAATGCAAAGGCTATCTGTTTTTTTTTTATGTTACAGGGTCTCATCCTCAGCCTAGTCCGACTCCGAGTCGTCGCTGCTCGAAAAGCCGTTGAACTCCTCGGACGACTCGCCCAGCGGCTTCCCGCTCGGGCCGGGTTCCGCATCGCCGTCATCGCCGTCGTCGCCCTCCTCCTCCTCAATCTCAAACGTGGCCGACACGTCCCAGCGGTCGCCCGGTGCCTTGCGGCTGATGTACTTGACAAAGCGCAGGGTGCCGCTGTCGCGCAGCACAATGGTCATTTTGTTCCAGGCGGCCGCCTGGAAGAAGAGGATGTTGTCATCGTCGTTGTTGGACCGGTAGATGGCGGCGTCGTCGTTGGCATCGTCGTCGCCGGCCATGTACACCTCGTGGCCGCCGACATCGGCCTCTTCAGCGCCGTCCTCAGCTTCGCCATTCTCTTCTTTGTGGCCATTGGACGTTTTGGCCGTCTTGGCTGTCTTGGACTTGTCCTCCTCCTTTGCGAGTTTGACCTTTGCTTTGCCCTTGCCCTTGCCCTTGCCACTCGTCTCCTCCTGTTCTTCCTCTTCGTTTTCTTCCTCCTCCTCCTCCTCATCGTCATCGTCTCCATCGTTGTCACCCCAGCCTGGCGTCGGCGTCAGGCCCAGGTTCAGCTCCAGCCGCGCCTCGCCGTCGTGGCCGGTGGCCAGCGTGTAGTCCTTGCCGCGGCGGAAGCGGCGGGCCGTCAGGTCAAACGACGACACGGTCGTGCTCGTGGCCATCTCGAGCCAGGTGCGGAACTGCATGCTCGGCAGCAGCACGTCCAGCAGCTCGTACCACGGGGAGTCCTTGGGTGCGTCGCCTTGCTGCAGGTACTGGAAGCGGTGCTTGTGCGGCGGGCGGGCCACCTCCCAGTCGTCCTTTTCTTTTTCGCCTTTTTCGCCCGTTTCGCCCGTTTCGCCCGTTTCGCCCTTCTCGGTGGCGTCCTTCTCGCGCTTCTCAATGTCCTCGCGCAGGCGCTCGGCAAAGCTGGCCTTGAGAATGGACGGCAGGGTAATGCTCGAGTGCTCGTCAAAGTGCTCGGCCATGCCGGTGAGCGTGTCCGGAGTCAGGTACGACGGCGCAATGTATTGCAACAAAAACTCGAGGTCCGCTTCGTTGAACTCTTGGCTGGTGCGGCTCTCCTGGCTTTCTGTATTCGCACCCGCACCACCACCAACCTCGACTGTCTTGGGCTGCGGCCGGTCGTGCTGGTCCGGGTTGCCCTGCAGCTGCATGAGGCCGCTGTTCTTGGCCTGCGCCTCCTCGGTGCCCGGCACGAAGCCGTCCTCGCCGGGCTGCGGGATGTGGAACCAGCCGCTGATGGCCATGCGCACGCGGCCGCCATTGGCCTCGAGCTCGTCGGGGGTGGGCGCATGATAGACCTCCTCGACGTCGTGGAAGCTCTCGCCGGGCTGCACGGCAAAGAAGCTGAGCTGGTTCCATGCGGGCGGGATGGTCTTGACCGGGTCGGGGCCAGGCGTCTTGGCGACCTCGCCGTTCTCGCCCGTCTTCTCGGACACGGGGAACAGGCGCAGCGCGCCGCCCCACTCGCTCTGCCAGGGCGTGTCCGGGTCGGTCAGGTACAGAATGTAGCTGACCTTGCGGCTGCCAATGACGTCGTCGTGGCACAGCAGGTAGCAGCCGGGGGTGTAGACGTTGATGGCCATGTCCGTCTTGCGGCCACTCAGGGGTCCGCAGCCGGTGATGTGGGAGACGTAGTGGCGGAAGGACTCGGAGTAGAGCGCGTCTCGCAGGGCGAGCAGGGACGGCAGCTTGGCCAGGGCCTCGTCGTCGAGGCCGTCGAGGTTGGCGAGGTCGCCGGATTGGTGGATCTTGTAGATGTCGGTCTCCTTGGGGGTGAAGGAGACGTTTTCGCGGATCTCGTCGCGGACGGAGCGGAGCAGCGCGTCGTCGACGAGGCCGTTGATGACGGCATGCTTGTAGGGCGCGGAGGCGGCGTACTCGGCGGTGTAGCGGTCGAGGACGGACGAGTCGAAGAGACCCTTGCGAAAGCGCTCCTTGGCGACCTCGGGAGAGATGGCTACACTGTTAGATAAACGACACACGATAGACGACGCGCTCTGTCGGTTGTCTCCTCAACAAACTCACCCTTCTTGACGCGCTTGGCAGACGTCTTGCCCAAGGGGGCGTCCGCCTTTCTCTTTGTCGAGGCGGGCATTGGGTCGCCAGCGGAGTGTCGAATGACTTGGGGAAACGAAGGCGATGTCGAGTCCAAGACAGTGTTGTTGGGAGAGAGAGGATCTAAACAAAGGCCGGTGACAGAAAGACCAAAAAAAATTGATTCTGCAAAATGGGCTGATCGGGGCTCAAGAAGCAACACCAGCGAACGTATCTTACAAGAGGCCCTTGTCCAGTAGTATAAGCCGCCTCTCTCGTTCCTTTACTTTTTCTTTTCTTTTTAAGCCGCATTTGCAGCTTTGGTGGCTCACCGCCTTTGCCCCACCCGTCCCAGCTTGTCTCGATGACGGCGCCGTCGTTCGCATGAGGCTGCAAGCGCCAACTGGACGGGTGCCCGGCATCTTGTTGGTTTTCTGTGGATGTCCCGTTCCCGTTCCTGGGCCCAACAGCTATATCGTCATGCGCTATCAGACAATCGACACCAAAATAGACGCCCAAAATGAGACTTTTTTCCAGTGGCTTCCCACAACGCCCATGTCATCTCATCTCGTTATGCAGTCGAGATGGGGACAGCAAGGGCATGAAGCAAGACATTGGCTCCATTCGACCCATTCGACCTCCTGAGGGGCTTTTGCTGTATGCACGAAAGCGCCGGCAGGCCATTGGTCGGGGACGAGGACGCACCGCCGTTCGGGAGGAAATGGAAAGTCGTGTCTCGACAGCACGTCGTATTGTTTGACTCGGCGGGGTTTCAGCCAGCTCTCAGAAACAGAACAAACAGAAGCAGACAGCGCGGGAGGCACGAGCATCTGCAGCCGTGGTTTACAGTGTTGGCAACCTGCATGACCTCAAGCATATTCGTATGGTCGAAATGCGTGGCAAGACACAGAGATGTGGGCGTCGAGATTGACGTAACGTGCCGCCCACGCCGCCTTAGCAATTGTGGGCCGTCTCCTGTTTACGGCTGGAATGTGGTTGTTGGCAGGCGCTGCCAGCGCAATTGCCAGATTAGGCGTTCAGAGTGGCAACGACGACGATCGCTGCCATGTCCAGCGGGCAGCAGCTTCCTCAAGAGGCCGGCTTGGGGAGGAAAGGGTGGGAGATCGGGGGCAGCGACTGGCGGGCTCCCTGGCTCCTTCCTCGATTGCATCTGCTGCCGGTTTAAACAGGAACGGATTCAAGTTCAAACCCGTTCCTTCTCTGTTGAGAGACTAGACGATACACAATTCCAGATTCCACACCCTCTTCAGATAATCCGAGGCCGTGTGCATTGGCTCATTGGTTAGTTGAGAAAAAAACCTGACAGCGTCTGTAAGAAGACCTTTGCTATGAATTTAGCCCGAAAATCTCGATTTACGTGTTGCAATACGACATACTGTTGTACTTTTGAGTGAAGAGTGGGTTGAGGCTTGCGAGGTCTTTCCGTCTTCGGCAACTAGGCGTGCCCCTCTTTGCGCTCCTTCCCCCGTCCCTGTCGTCTGACGTCGGTGGACCCGCCGGAGAGAAAGTGCGCCCTCTGCGTGAGGTATGAGGAATTCCTGCTACCGCAAACAGACGGCCGCATCGTGTGCCGCCAGACCATACGAGCGAGCAGATCTGGTTTTGATTTTCTGTTCTCTGTATTTCTGTCTCATTCTCGTTTTTACGCACGTTCGAGTGTTCATCCGTTCCTCGACTTTGTCCTGTACATCCCCAGCATCCATTCCCTCAACATCCGATCGGACGTCCCATATTTACAATCTCTTGCTCCGTCTTGCGTCGAACATCATCACATCATCACATCATCACATCCGCACCTTTGCCTCGCATCCTCGCATCTTCAGGCAATGCCGATCCGCAATCCCTTTGCAAGGCGCACGGCCGCCGACGAGCCGGCTCTGCGTCCCGGCTCGGCCGACGTCGGCGCCGATGGCGACCTCCCGAAGCTGCCGTCCTTTGAGCGCGTCGACACCGTCGGGTCCATGGCCTCGTCGTCGACGAGCATGCGCAGCCGCCGCAGCCAAGACACAGGCGACTACAAAATGAGTGGTAGGCCCCCGCCACCTGGTCTTCTTCACGTATCCCCTTGTTTGCAGTACGACTACTAACAAGCCCAGTCGTCAACGACAGCGGCGTCTACCTACCGCCGTCGCCGACCTCGGAGCGCGACGTCTTTTGGTCGACATCGGGCGCACACGGCCACGGCAACGGCCACCGCCGCACCTACATCACATCCCTGTCGTCGCTGTCTCGGTCGTCTACAGACAACCACAGCAACAACCACAGCAACAACAACAACGGAAACAGCCCGACAGCCGCCGGCCGCAGCAGCCTCGGCGACATTGAGCCCTTCTCCATCTCGCGCGAGTCGTTTGACTCGTACCGCCGGTCCTTTGACATCTCGGCCAAGTCGCCCGTCGTGGCGGCCAACGAGTGGGGCAGCAGTGCCGCCGGACGGCAAAGCCTGGACTCGGCGACGTTTCGCAGGAACCTCAGCCCCGGCAGCGTCGGCATTGCCAACGCCAACGCCAACGCCTACGCACGGCCGTCGCGCCTCGCCAACGACCACCGCTTCCCACCCGCCGACGAAGGCTTCGAGGATGTCGGCCTCGACGACGGCCGGCAAGGGCAGGCCCATGCCCAGACGACGGCCAGCCACGCGACACCCACGACCGCGGGCAGTGTCGCCTCCAACTTCATCCGCAAACGGGGCGCCTTCTTTTCCAAGTTTGGCAGCGACCACACAGCCGAGGGCGGCAATGCCCCGTTGGGTCGGAAACGGGCCCCGAGCGGCCAGGGCGCCGAGCTGACGCCGATGGACCGGAACACGAGCCGGCCGTTGGCCGCCGTCGCAGCCGAGCCACAAGAGGCGCAATAGATGGCGGTCCTCCACGGCACCCGTCAGCTGCTGTCATCGAAGAGTCTAATGTTCCCTGTATACACATGTTTCGACTACATTTCGTTAATAATTCTATCCCGGGAGCGTCTACCGGATAGCGTCTTTTCAACTTTCATTTCTGTTTATTGTCCTACAGCACGACCTCTGAAGCTTGTGGACTTTTGTTTTTTCTTGTATTGTTTCCACGGCAGTTGGCGTTTGGACTTTTGGCAAGGGAATGGGTCCGTCTTTTCTCTGGCATGCCTTGATCCCTTGATGTGTCTATATGATTATTGTTTGGGAGGTATGGATGGTAATGTATTATGTCCGGGACAAAAGAATATATGTGTGTTCCTAATGAAATAAAGCTTATTATTAAAAAATACTTCAACTTTGTGTGTTTTGTTTCCTGCGGCTACACTGTCACCAGCGACTGCTGTTTCTTTGTCGTGTATCTCGGCCGATCTCCAGATGAAGAGACAGTCTACTAATTTTCTACTTACCGTCCACGTTTCGCCCCGACTCTATTTCTGCCCTCCACATGTGCTTTGACACAGAATTGCAGCACGTTTGCCGGCCATAAATGATGCCATTTGCAGCAACAATTCTCCCATCAGGCGAGAGTTAAGCAAAATCCAACAACAGTATCTATCGGCTGCAGCCATGACAGATTCCGTCGCTAAAATAAGGATCTCGATTCTTACGCCAAGCATATGAACGGCGTTTACAGGGTTTATGTTACTGAGCAAAACTGATACAGCGGCGTCGGTTGGATAATTAGCAGCCGGACCTTTCTTTCTGCAATACAACCCACTTGCGAATATTTCGTAGAAATGATTTTCGTTGCCACCGTTTTTTGAGTTGCATTTCGACCGGACATATGTCATGCAGGACAATCCCGCCGCCGTATGACTCGCCATTCCGTTTTTATTTATTTTGTCTTCATTTTACACATTTTCTCTTTCATTTATTCTGTACAGTTTTGTTTTTAAAAATAAAAGTAAAAATTAAATAAACAAATACAAAAAAAGGACAGTTCATGTTGCTCATTTATTCCCATTCATTGTTTAATCAATACCCTCCCGCGTTTCCACACACTCTGTAACCTCCTCTCCCCCCCCCCCCCACTCTCCCTTACCCCCCACGATGGCGTCCTTATTTACGACACCGCGCCCGCGCCGAAATTCGGCTGTTCCACAAGTCGACGTGGACATACCGCCAACAACCACCAAGATGCAGACCTTGACTCCGGAGACGAATGGAGGAGATGGCGGTGCTGAAGACCAACCACATTACTGGGACGATCGACCAGGGCACGGTTCCGGGTCGGTCGAGCACGAACGGCTACTCGGCAAAGACAATAACGACGACGACGACGGCGACGGCGACGATGATAGCGACCTCGAGCTCGACATAGCGGCGGAGCTGGGCACCGTACCGCTTGGCACCTCTACCGCCACAACCGCCGCCGACGACAACTGGTCACCACCACCGGGCTTCATCTGGATCCAGATCGCCATCATGGCCAACGTCTTTCTCTCCGGCTTCGACGGCACCATTACCGCCTCCACCTACGCCGTCATCAGCTCCGACTTTGGCGCCGCCAACGCCGCCTCCTGGCTGACCACGTCGTACCTCGTCACCAGCACTGCGTTTCAGCCGCTGTACGGCCGCGTCTCCGACCTCGTGGGCCGCCGCGTGTGCTTCCTGCTGTCGACGGCCGCCTTTGCCCTGGGCTGTGCCGGCTGCGCCCTGGCGCCCAGCATTGTCGTCCTCAACAGCATGCGCGCCCTGGCCGGTCTCGGCGGCGGCGGGCTCATGACCATGGCGACCATTGTCAACTCGGACATGATCCCGTTCCGGCGCCGCGGCATGTACCAGGCGATGCAGAACGGCGTCTACGGCTTCGGCGCCATCTGCGGCGCGTCCTTTGGCGGCTCCATCACGGACACCATCGGCTGGCGCTGGTGCTTTGCCGCGCAGGTGCCCGTGTCGCTGGCCGTCTTTGTCCTGGGCCTGCGCGTGGTCCAGAACCCGGCCCACATGATGATGGGCGACCGCTCGTTCCGCCGCACGTGGGCCCGCATCGACGTCACGGGCGCGCTGCTGCTCGTCGTGGGCGTGTCCGTGCAGCTCGTCGGTCTCAGCCTGGGCGGCAACGAGCTGCCCTGGAGCAGTCCCTGGGTCTGGCTGTGCCTCGTCGGCAGCGTCGTGCTGCTGGCGCTGTTCCTCCGCGTGGAAGGCCGCCGCGAGCGCGCGACCGACGCCGACGCCGACGGCCGACCCCCCGTGGCGCCCATCATTCCGCTGCGCATGCTCCGCGGCCGCCTGCCGCTGGCCACCGAGGCCGCCAACGTCTGCGTCGGCTTCGCCGCCTATGCCTACCTCTTCACGCTGCCGCTCTTCTTCCAGGTCGTCCTGCGCGACTCCGCCACCAAGGCTGGCGCCCGCCTCGCCATCCCCTCGCTGGCCTCGCCCATTGGCGGCCTCGTCGCCGGCGTCGTCATGTCGCGCTGGGGCCGCCTGACCACCCTCGTCCGCGCCGGCGCCGCCTTCATGGTCCTCGGCAACGGCCTCGTGGCGTCGCTCGGGTTCGAGGGCGTCGCCGCCTGGAAGTACCTGGTGTACATCTTCCCGGCCAACCTCGGCCAGGGCATCGTGTTCCCGGGCATCCTCTTCACGTCGCTGGCGACGTTTGAGCACAACGACCACGCCGTCGTCGCGTCGTCTGTGTACCTGGTCCGGTCGCTGGGCATGGTCTGGGGCGTGGCCATTACGTCGGCCGTCCTGCAGACGACGCTGAGCCTGCGCCTGCCGCAGGTGCTGGCGGACACGATCCAGGACGGGGACGAGCTGGCGCGTGTCGTCGACGAGCTGCGCCACTCGGTATCGTACCTGTCCGAGCTGCCGGCCGACCTGCAGCTCAAGGCGCGGCACGTCTACTACGAGGGCCTGCAGTACTCGTTTATCGCGTCGGCGATTGTGGCCCTGCTTGCTGTGATTGCGTCGGTGTTTATCAACGGCAAGGGTCTTCGCAGCACAAAGTAGGCGTGGTCGTCCCGAACCGAACTTTAAAACAGAATATAGAGAAAGGATATAGAGAATCCAAAAGAATTAGATGCCAAGATGCAAAACTGTAGTGTGACTGATTCTATGAGATGCAACAACAATGAAGGAAGTTCAGAAAATAAAACAGAAAAGGCCGTCACAGCATCCGACTGCGGAGTGACCCAAGAAGTAACAAAACTACAAGATGCAATATTAGACGAACAAGAAAGGAAAACAGGCAGAGAAGAGAGACAAGCAAGACGAGACCAGGCGGCAAAAGCATAACAACACAAAGACGGTGAGCCGATCTTGCCATCAGGCAACCGCCCTACTTCGTCTCGAAGCTGTACTTGAGCCAGCCGCCCAGCGCCTGCAGACTCTCCCAGCGCACCGACTCGTCCGCCTCGCCCATCAGCTGCATCACGCGCGTCTTGAGGCCCAGCTTCTCCAGCGTGCTGCGCCGCTCCGGCACCTCGCGCACCAGCGCGCCAATGTCGTTGCACGCAATCGCCAGCACGGCCTTGTCGTTGTCCCACGGCTTGGCCATGATGTCGGCCAGCTTGCGCGGGATGGCGCCGTTGTCCTCGTCGAGGATGCGGCGCGCGTTCTCGGCCCAGAAGACGGTGCTGCGGTGCGGCGGCGACCAGCGCAGGTGGCCCGTGTTGACCTCGGCGACGTACTCGTCAAAGGTCGTCTTGGTGGCCGTGTACTCGTCGAGCAGGTCGCGCAGCTGCTGCAGGTCGTCCTGCAGGTCCGTGTCGGCGTGCTGGCGGCCGGCCACGTTCTTGAGCAGGGCGGGCAGGCGCGCGAGCACGGCCGTCGGCAGCAGCGTCGCGCGGTTGGCCGAGAGCAGGTTGAGCAGCGTGGCCACGAGCAGCCGCGTCGTCTTTTCCTTGGGCGACAGCCGCAGCAGCTGTGTCGCCAGCAGCACAAAGTCGTATTCCCTGTACGGTTAGTGACAAGTAGGAAAGAGAAAGGGAAAAAGAGACAAGAAAAAGAGGAACGAGAACGAGGAAAGAGAAAGAGGAACAGGGTGGACAGGCGGCACCTACTCGTTCAGGTCGTCGCCAATGTCGGCAGCGTCAAACGACAGCTGCCACAGCACCAGCAGGACATGGTACAGCAGCTGCAGGCCCACGCCGCCGCCGATCGAGCCCTCGAGCAGCGCGCCAAAGCGGCTGGTCATGGCGTCGCTGCCACCGGCCGCGCCGCCGTTGGGGCCGCCGCCCGTGGCACGCCACAGGCCTGCCGCCGTGTCCTCGCCGCCGCTCGTGCTCACACCGGCTGCCGTCCGCAAAATCGTAATCAGCGGCGCCACCGTCTCGCTGCGCTGCGCCCAGAACTGCTTGCGCGTCGCCCGCCCGTACAGCAGCGACGACGACTCGAGCACGCCAATGTCTTGCAGGCCCGCGTCGGCGCTCTGCTGCGCGAGCGTCGACAGGTAGCTCAGCAGGGCCGGCAGCGCGCGCTCCAGCGTCGCCGGGGACTCGTCGCGCGCGTTGGCGAGCAGCGTCGTCAGCACCGTGGCCGTCAGCAGCGGGATCGGGTCGTCGGCGTTGTTGGAGTGGGCGAGCAGCGGCAGAATGTGGCGAAATGGGTCGTCGGCTCTGCTCGACTGTGTGTCCTGTGCGCCCCGTTGTCTCTGTGCGGGCGCCAGAATGGCCCGGGCCAGTGACGGAATGGCTTCCAGTAAATCGTTGAGCAGCACCAGGATATATTGCACCACGTCGGTGCGCCGTGCCGCGGACTGCAGGACGCTGGGCTCGTCCTTGTGAGCGCCGCCAGAAAACAGTATCCGGTAGCCGTCAAGGTCGCTCTCGATGGCCTGCTTGCGGACGTCCTTCTTGACCTTGTCGACGGCCCGGATCTTGGTCAGCTGCCACTCCAGCACGGTGCCGGCTCGAACCGCGCCATCCCAAGGGATTGGCCGTGTGCGGATGTTGTTCTGCAGCGCCGTCAGGTAGGTCGGCGGGTCGACAGACATTGTGGCGAAAGGAGGGTGGAAGGGAGGTGGAGGAGTGGAGGAGAGGAAGAGTGCCGGGAAGAATCGAGAGTCAAGATCGAGATCGTTCTTCGAGCCGAGAGAGACCGGTGCTCGCTGGGGGCGTCGTCGCAATCAATGCACCAAGGCACAACAGCCGATGCTGCAATAAAAGAGCCTTCGTCACGGCCTGTGCGTCTAGTGGCAGTCGGGATGACGATGCGTTGAGAGCTTCTGGCTGGTGATAGTCGGTGCCTGGTGACGATGGTGTCAAAGAAGGTCTGCTGCTACGAATGCAGTGCTTCCTTGGTACAGAAGTACAGCGCTGCACGCTAGAGAAGGTAAGGTGCTCCGCTACCGCCAATGACTGCCACGCCCCGCTAAGCTCCCCAAAGCTTGGGCCACAAAATGCCGCGTCCAACACCGCCACCAAAACGGAAAGAGGCTGGCGCGATAAGATAAGAAGGTGCGATTGAAAGGGCGAACGAGGTGAAAAACATGAAGACAACGGAACCTGACAGGAGGCTTCGTTGATTCCTTTCGTAAACTTCTGAATGTATACAACATACGAAATATGTCCAGAAATACGACACTGAACTAGAACCAAAAAAGGAAACGGACAACACCGGGCGTTCGCTGGCCGTCGCTGACCCAACTCCTAATCCGAGGGGGGAACAGACGAGATCCCGAGCGTGTCAACGCCCTTGGTCGTACGTGGAAATCGTGAGGACATGCGAGGCACAAGTAATTCGCAGGTTGTCGGATAGAAATACCAAAAGCCGCAACCAAGACCGAACGGTTCACGCTGGGAGAGCTTTGACAGTGAGACAGTGCATTTGCCGAAAAAATCGTACAACAAAAAAACCGGATCATGTGACCAATACGTACTATAAGGGTCTCACGGACCCATCTTTCTCGTGACCATATCGAAAACGCGGCGCCCTCTTCGTTTGTTTACTTTTACCCGCATTCATCAACACAATCCTCCTATTTACACCTTCTGTATATTCTTTACCACCATCGCTTGTCGGCAATTAAACCGATATGGAAGACGGTATATAGGTTTTTTATGTTATCTTTTCGGCCGCCTTTTTTTGTTTAACGATTATGGGACGACTTTTAGCTTGTCCACGTGCTCAGAATCTACTTTTTGCGGCCTAGACAAATAGGGCCATGTTCGAGTGTGGCATTTTGTAGACTTTAGGTGGTATGTGCACGTTGTGTGGAGCAGCTAAGTCCTCACATCCCGCTGTATTCGCAGCGTAGATGACGAGATGACCTCGTAGCACTTGCACTGCAGTATGATTACTCCGTAGGCATGAGGTTGGCACCCAGCCATAAATAAAACACAGAGGGACGCAACCTACAATACGATTGACACCAAACTTGATTCAACATAATGCATGAGAAGAAAATAGTACAATACTCTACCAGGAAGAAAGCGTATTCATTGCCGCGCGTAGCAAGAGCCAATGGAAACAAGTCAACCACCAACGCAGAGCGTACGAATCCCGAATCCCTACCTTGTCTCGCCACTATAATAGCTTTTTTTAACAAGATTGCAGACGCACAGAAGGGCGCTCGGGGCGCTGTCGAGGATCCTGATATCAAGTGGTTGAAGTACGAGAGAAGGACCTTCAAGCTACGCCAAGTCAAATCGGCTTCACCGCTAAAGAGTTCGGACGGCTCACAACCTACCGCGGCTGGAACGACTCCGCAGCTATGGCACTCTTCTACAGGGGCCTGAAGGATGACGTGAAGGATGTATTTCGTACTCTGCATGAAGGACCGACCCGACGGCCACGATCCTTGTCACGGGCATATCTCCAAGACATTTGTGTATTTATGCAGAATTCTGCCACGACCCAATCCGCCCTCACTTTTGGCCACAATCCCTACCAGCACTCGTCCCGTCCCGCATCTTCATCTTCTTTGTTCCTGTCCTTTTGCGGGGCCGTGCGTGTGCTCGAGGCCCGTTGTTGCGACCCCGTGGAGCCGCGCCCATAACACTAAACCTTCTCTTGGTTCATCAGGTTCGTCAAAACGTCGGTGTCGTCTATCTCGCCCGGAAGCGCCACCGAGGGACCAGCTCGCAGGTAAAAAGGCTTCTCGAACTCGGGCGGAAAGAACCCTCCGTACTCCCAGTCAATAATGGCCTTGATCTTTAGGGTAGCGGCCTCCACGATGACGTTGTTCGCAGAGAGGTCGTTGTGGCAAAAGACAAGATCGTGCTTCCCCCGCGAACGCATCAGCCAAGGCCACCCGTCCGACTTTCTCATCATGCGGTATGGAGGCAACACCTGCTTTTGATTAGCTACTGCGCCTGCCCCAGTTTTTGAACCCTCTGAACTTATCTTACCAAGCCGCCGGGGCCTCCCCAGACGTTGGATGTTAAAGTCTTAAGCGTATTTATATGCGCTTCAAGTTCCTGGGCGACTATTTTCTGATCTTCCGCAGTAAGCTCGTTCATCCCCACGCCATCAACATACTCCGTTATCAAGTAGGCTGCCCCGTCGTCCTCGAAACAGGCATAGAGCTTCGGCAGAGGGATGTCTGTTCTCTCCGCAAGGTACTGCAGGCACGCTCCTTCGTTGAGGATCCGCTCCAAGTTGAACGTTGGCACATACAGAAAACCGCTTTGCTTCTGCCATTCCGTCGGCCGCAGGCTCCGTTTAACCCACGTATTTGAACATCTGTAATACTTTCTCTCGGGTGTAATGCTGATGCACTGATTTTCGCCCCTCGCATTCAGGTCTTGGTTCGTAGGAGGAGCCATTTTACAGAGGCAAGTTGAAGGTGGAGTGAAATGGTGGTAAGAGAAGTCGGGTTCTGAGCCGCCCCGTCTGTTGTGGGAATCGGATAGTTAAACGCAACGACTTGTAGCACGGAGGAATTCGCTGGATGTCTTTAGCGGTGTAGAAAGCGCAGTGTTGTTTTGAAACATCTTAAAATATCCTCATCGTGTCGGCTCATACTTGCACCAGCTTCGTGGTGACTAGGCCCAGCGCGATCTGCTCTCTCAGGCCAGTGATATCGATGTAAAAATGCTTGGATCTCTCTCTATGCGAAGAGGCGGTTGTTCGATGGACTCCTGGCAAGGGGAATTCACTTGTCGTCAATGAAGGACGCAGGAATAGAGGTTCGTGTGGATTTTATTTCAAACTAGAACCGACGACTGAGAGTCCAAGAGCTACCCTACATGGGATATAAACGTAATTTTGTATATGTTTGAAAAGCCCTCTCTCCTGCATGTCCTTTTTGTACTCTGGCTTGTGCTTCTTCTCTTCGTTCCTTGTCGCTCCGCATGTCTGACCGGCACACAGGAGTTTCGTGTTTGCAACACCCTTTATCATCGCCCTTTGCTCTTCAAGGGAATATTCCAGTGGATCGGTGTGATTTTACAAGATCTTGTATATTTTCCAGCTCTGAAAGAGCTTTACCTTTGTTGTAGACCTTATGCCCCGTAGCCAGTGGTGAGCAGAGTGGCAGAGAGCACGCGTCGCCACCGAGGATCACCGGCACAATGTTTGACTGTAAAAATGCGAGAGGCTGGCTGGCTGGCTGGGTTTGGCGCAGCGAGGAGGTTGGGGGAAATGAGAGGCGTCTTTTTCCAGGCCATACCCCTGTAAGTTTGCAGCGCTGTGTCGTGTTCGATGGAGCCAAAGCCGCCCAATGCCCACCATTCAACAGCACCCACACCCCTGTCTGCCCTGTTTACTTCTGGCCTCTCTCCACTGTGACCACTTACAACACCCACTGCCCGCCTTCGGGTCCTTCCTCCCAGCCATTTTTAATATTTTTTTTGCTCACACGTCTTGGCTGGGCGATTTGCGCCTTCCTGCCGGCGCGGCACGCGTGTTAGAGTGCATGCATCCTGCCTCTTAAGTCGACGCAGGATGCCACTTGCATTCCAAAATACTTGCTTCCTCTCTCCTTTTCTTTGATCTGCTTTCAACTCTCTCCCTTTCCTTGTCGTTTTCTCTCACTCTCTCTTTTTATCGTGCATCTTGTGTATCCGTCCTTGCATTCTCGGCTCTCACAACTTCCCCTCCGCATCGACACCCGACCCTGGCCCGCTGACGACACTTCCGCCTGACGGTTTGGAGACGATTCACTTTTTTTGAATACAACATACTCCAATCCCTTCTGGAGAAATCGAGGTGTCGACATTGCAGACCTTTCGCGCCGATCTGGCTTCTGTCGAATTAAGCTTTCTTTCCGCATTCCAGAGGATTGTCTCGTCCGGAACGTGGTTCGACCCTCCAGTTACACCGTCACCAGCCCGCTCTCCACCCCACTTCTCGACCGCCTTCACATTCCAGTCACCACGAAGCCGCCTGCTGCTCACACAAAACACACCGAAGTTGCCCAGCTCGGCGGCGGAGCTGATCGGCGTCTTTTGCCTCTCGTCTCGTGGCTCTTATATACACTTGTCACAATGTTCTCTGAACTCTGCAAGAACCTCCCGCGGCGGGCTTCAGCAAGCCTACCGTCGGCCGCCAAACTCCTACCTCTCCTCCTCCTCCTCACATCAACGTCTGCGCTGCCAATACCCGAGGTGTCGCAAGACCCCCGGCGAGATCTTTCCAAAGAAATTGAGAAAGAGCGGGTAAACATCGTCGTTGCCGCCTACGAACTCTACACCACCACCTGGACCGAGACGCAGACGTATACGAGCACCTACACCTCCGACTCGCAACCCTTGGCAACGGGCGGTATCTGCACCCCTGTTGCTGGCTCTGGACAAATTCCATGTGGCAGCGTGTGCTGCGGCAGCTGGCAGTACTGCCCATACAACGGCCAGTGCCTGGACAATCCGGGCTCCGGCGGAGGCGGTGGCGGCGGTACGACGACCAACTTTGCTGCCCCGACTCCGACTCCGACACCGACGCACTATACGACCTACACCAGCAATGGCGCGACCGTCACATCGCCCTACAATCCACCCTACAAGGCCACGTCGGGTTCTGGCACAGCCACAGGCACCGCGGTCGGTGCCGCCGGCACCGGCGACGGCGTTACCTCGACCACTTCTTCGAACCACTTGTCTGGCGGCACCATTGCCGGCATTGTCATTGGCACGCTGGCGGGCATTGCCCTGCTCATTGCCGTCTGCGCGTGCGTGCTCGTCCGCGGTATCTGGCACGGCTTCATGGCCCTCCTGGGCCGTCGTCCGAAGCGCCACGACCGCGAGGAGAACGTGACCATCATCGAGGAGGAGCGCTACGGGCATCACGGCAGCGGTGGTCGTGAGCACAGCAGCTGGTACGGCGGGGGCGGGCGTCCGTCGCCGCCGCCCATGAGCGAGAAGAAGAGCCACAACCGCCGCTGGCTTGGCCTTGGTGCTGCTGCTGGCACGCTCCTGCTCCTCCTCGGCCTCAAGCGCCACAACGACCACAAGACGGAGGAACGCCGCCGCCCCGCGCGGTCGCGCAGTGACGTCCGCAGCGGCTACTACAGCGCCTCGTCGTACACGGCGACCATTCCGAGCAGCCAAAACTCAAGGCGGTCAAGGGGCACACGAGCCAGTCGGCGCAGTGATCCCACGCGGGTGTCACGGTCGTCCCGTCCTTCTCGGACGTCGCGTCCGTCTCGTGCGCCATCTCGGATGTAGATGAAATTCTGTTCCGAGCCAATGAAGACGGAATTGGAGGACCAGAAACTTGCCACTGTTTTTTCCTTGGAACATATTTTACATTGCCCGAAAGGGACGATTTTGTATTTAACTCTGCATTTTTGCCTTTTGCCTTCATTGCGATGGCGTTTGGGACGGTTGCATCAACGAGCATGACATGAGAAGGGATGAAGGGGAAAGAAAGGGAAGAGAAACGGGTATGAAAATGAAACAACGAAAAGGACGCGACGGACACGATCGATACCAATGCAGACTTGGGAGTTTTTCGACGGCAATCTACGACGATATATATTCCTATTATAAAATAAAGCTAATAACAAAATGACCACCATCTGGACTTGATCTGTGCTGCGTACTTGCCTGTATTGATTTGAGTCCCTTCCGAGGCTCTTCTCGTCGTGGTTATCGTAAATATCGTCCACATATTGCAAAAAAAGTAGGTCTTGATGTATATCTAATTGTATTAGATATGGATACGTTCGCTTGGCGCCGGTCTCAAGGCTGTTATAATCTTTCTGATTTCATCTCAAACGTAAATTACAGACGAGGAGTGCTCGGACACATGTGATAGATGCAAAATAATAAGAAGCATTTTTTATTTTTTGTCGAGAGGGTCGTTTTTGTTTTGGTGCTGGGCAAAACCCCCTGTCAAATGTTGCGTAGAGGGTCGAGTAGCCCATATCTGTATGTATATCGAGCCTGCTCTGTTCACCTCACACACATACTGCCAACTGCCCCCCTCTCCACCCATTCGCCTTTTTTTCCATGTGTCCCGTGCTGTGAAAACAAAACCGCAAACCGAGAAAAGAAGCCGTTTGGTACAACGTCACTGAAATCATAGATCGATATAAGAAACAACCAAAATTTCGTTACGCCTCCTCCTCAATGTTGCCCTTCTCCGAGACGTACAGACCGTCCAGGAACTTCCGGATGTCCTTGTTCCGGACCTTGCAGATCTGCTGGATGTCTGCTGCGCTCTGGGAGACCGCCTCGAGGGAGTTGCCCGTCAGGATCAGCTCGTCCTTCTGCGCCTTGGAGATCTCGACATCGACGCCCGCCTGCATCACCACCCGCCGCACAATCTTCTCGCCGATGAAGTTGCGGATCTCGACCTCGAACAGGCCCGTCTCGCTGTTCTTGTCCACGTTGACGTTGATGGGGAAATGGGCGTACACGTAGCGCATCTTGTACTTGTAGCCCTTGGTGACGCCAATGATCAGGTTGTTGATCAGCGTCCGGACGGTGCGCAGGGTAGCGACATTCTTGCGGTTGCCGTGGTGGATCTCGATCTGGATGACGTTCTTCTTCGGCAGGGAGAAGTTGACGGCGACGTGGCTCAGGTTCTTGGTGAGCTTTCCTCTGGGGCCCTCAACGGTTACGAGTCTGGACTTGATATGGACCTTGACTGTAACGCAAACATGGTCAGCATGCACGTCGCGAGAGAAAATGAAGAAACATTCCACCTCGCGTCGTCCTCAAAAAAACAATGGCTTCGGGCGCACGCGATCCCGGGCTGATCGACAACAAAAAGGGTAGGCAAGGATAGGCATCTGGTCGTCGTAGTTGTTCTCGTTGCGGTCGCAGGTTCCCATCAAACAGACAGAGACGAGTCGTCGTCCTTCTCTGACGAAGCTCTTGTCGTTCTGCCTGTCGAAGAATGTATTGCCGGTAAACATAATTGGTCGTCGCGGCGTTGACCTCCCGTCTCCGCCTCGTCTGCCGCTGCAAAGGCTACCTGGACCACGAATCCGAAGAGCACGTCCTCCCTTCCCTTCTCAATCCGTGGCCCGTCCGCACTTTTGTAGCCGAGTCCGATTTGGAGGTGGACGCAGCCACCAATGCCGTCGAGAAGCTGTTGTCCATGATTTTGAGTCGGTCGAAGCCGTCCTTTGCCGTCGATGCCTTTTGCCTTGCTATTCCCCTTGTCGTTGTCGGTCGGTCGGGCCGTCGAGTCGCGGTTGCGCATCCGAAGCGGTCATTTGTTCAAAGAAGACGCCCGGCGTCAAAATAAAGAGGATTGTCTCTCATGGCAAATCGTACCTCCTTCCGGAATCTCCAGAGTCTCCTCAGAGTGAATGTACTTCATCTTGAATCGTCGGTCGGGGGGTTGGCCGCGTGTGGTGTGAAGTGACGTTGGGTGATGAAGATGGAAGATGGGGGAGACGTGCGAAAAAGTCGTGAGCCTGCAAAGCGATTTTCCCTTGGTTCTAATTTTTTTCTTCGGGTATGGGCTGGCTGGAAACGGGTGTAGCCCTCGCACACTTTCCCACTAACATTTTCGAATTTTTTGCTGGGTCCCCTCCCTTCCTTGCGCTGTGCGCAATATGGGTACAGAATCTGGGAAGCGTGAAAAAAATTATTCCGAAGAACCGATGCCCCACTTTTCAAGAAATAGACCGCCTAGGGCCGTGGTGTAATCTGCACGTGACCAATACCGGCGATAAGAAATGAGGATCAGGTCAAAAGGTGGGGTTTAGGTGGTTGGGAAGCGGGTCTACCCAATCTTCACCAGTGCTTCCCCAGCCTTGTGTTTTTCCAGCACCTGACACGTCATGTGCAAGGCTAGCTCAGCTTTGCGAACAAGGCAGCTGCATTTACTAGCGGCATAGCAGCCCATGCTCAGGCGGAGCTCACGGCCGACTGTAGCGGTTTGTCACCGTCCCCCTGGCCGACATCTCTTGATTCCACATACGACGACTTTGACGGCGCCACGACGCAACAACGCCAGACCACTCGATAACGTGCATTCATGACCTAAATACGAAGCCCGCGAAGTAATTCATGAGACGAATCATCGCCGGCAATCACAAAACAAGTCCCTCACGCTTCCCGCCACCATCAACGAAAGATCACCAAGAAACAGACCATCGACGTCACCATCGACGAATTGCCTCAAGGGCACGGCCAAAGCATCCAGGCGTTTTCCTGTTCGACATCTCTTTCTGAATGATACCAAGGCCAGACTGCGGCCCCCTTTTTTGCTTCCTCCACCGCCACAATGGCGTACTTCTTCTCGACCCCTGTGGACATTGACGTTGTCCTCGAGAACAGCGATGATCGGTCCATGGTGGACGTGCGGTTGGAAAAGAACCGCCGCGAGAAGGCACCGCTGTACATGGATGGCGAGTCCGTCAAGGGTGCCGTGACTGTGCGGCCAAAGGACGGCAAGCGTCTTGAGCACACGGGCATCAAGGTGCAGTTTATTGGCACAATCGGTAGGTCCAAGACCTCATGTCCCCGTGCCTCTTGTTTTGGAGAATAAAATAAGGACACCCCCCCGCTGATTGTCAGAAATGTTCTTTGATCGCGGCAACCACTACGAGTTCCTGTCGCTCGTGCAGGAGCTGGCGGCGCCGGGCGAGCTGCAGCACCCGCAGACGTTCGATTTCAACTTCAAAAACGTCGAGAAGCAGTACGAGTCGTACAACGGCATCAACGTCAAGCTGCGGTACTTTGTGCGCGTGACGGTCTCGCGGCGCATGGCCGACGTGATCCGCGAAAAGGACATTTGGGTGTACAGCTACCGCATCCCGCCGGAGATGAACTCGCCCATCAAGATGGATGTCGGCATCGAGGACTGCTTGCACATTGAATTTGAGTACAGCAAGTCCAAGTACCACCTTAAGGATGTGATTGTCGGCCGCATCTACTTTTTGCTGGTGCGGCTCAAGATCAAACACATGGAGCTGTCGATCATCCGGCGCGAGACAACCGGTGCTGCCCCGAACCAGTACAACGAGAGCGAGACGCTCGTGCGCTTCGAGGTGCGTCCATAGCCGTTGATATGTTTATCGTGATGCTGTAAGCGTAGGCATAGACCGCTGACCGACCAGATCATGGACGGCTCGCCCTCGCGTGGCGAGACCATCCCCATCCGCCTCTTCCTCGGCGGCTTCGACCTCACACCCACGTTCCGGGACGTGAACAAGAAGTTCTCGACGCGGTACTACCTGAGTCTGGTGCTTATCGACGAAGACGCCCGGAGATACTTTAAACAGTCGGAGATCATTCTGTACCGGCAGGCGCCCGAGATCGCCAACGCCGAGGCGGCCGCGCCGTCCGCAATACATGCCCCGCCGCCAGAGAACAAGGCCGCCGTGGCGCTTCCGCCCCCTGCATAGTTGCGGAGAGGCGGAGTGTCCACGAGAAAGTAGCTTTGAGGGCGTGGGAGTGTGAAAAGCTGGCCAGTCGCTTTTCAATTGTCATGAAATTACCACCTGCGACCGTGTTTTGTAGCTTTGTTAGGTCTTTCGTTTTCTTCTACAGCATGTATATTGTCGCCTTTAGGTTCTTCAGCGCAAGTGTATACAATACAATCGCTAGTTTTTACACTGGGACTTGTTGTGATATGTCGGCATCGGCGACGTGCGTGCGTATGTATCTCTGAGAACAGCGGGCTATGCCGTCGTTGTAATACAACTACATGAACAAACAGAAGAGAAACAAAAGCAGAGCATCTGTATTGCAAAATATGGCAAAGAACAGAACATCGAACAATGAATTGAAAGAAAATAAAAACATAAATAGACAGAGACTATATCAAAGGAAAAAATCCCAACGCCGCCCTGAGCCCTAGAGACCCTTTTTTATACTTTGTAAACCCAAAGCACGCTCAGCCCGCTCCTTCTCTCATTCACGCACTTGATTACGTTATGAGTCGTCCATGGTGATGTCTTCGCCGTCGCCACCACCACCGCCGCTTCCAAAAGCAAACTGGTTGTTCTGGATCGCCGCGATGCGGTCCAACTCGGCCTGGTACTGCTTGCGCAGGTCGGCCAGTGTGACCACCTTGCGCCACGGTGGCCGTTGCGCGGCAGCGGCTTTTTGGAGGAACGATGCCATGGGGTTGCTGTCGCTCTTCTTAGCTGCAGCGGATGCTGACGCTGATGCTGATGCAGGTCCTGATGCTGCTGTTGATGCCTGGGAGGCGGGCTGTGTCTCGGCTTCCGTTGCCTGCGTGCCCGCGATGTTGTCGCCGGAGGACGTCTCCACGCTGGGAATGGCCGTGTCATGCGGCGCACTAGCATTGTTGCCGGCGGACGACGGCTGGACCAGCGGGTCCTCTGTGTAGATCCACGCCTGTTTGGGGTCGACACAGCTCAATGTGTTGATCAGCTTGAGGTACTGGCGCGTCACGGGCGTGTCGAGGACGTCGTCGCTTCCGCCGGCATCAGCGGCAGCAGCGGACGCCGTCGCCAAGAACTTGTCGCCTTCGCCGGCTTGCTGCAGCTTGTGCAGCTGGTCGAGCAACACGCTGGCGGCGCCGCGGTAGTCGTTGTGCGCGACGCGCCAGCTGTAGAGCACATGGTGCCACGGCGTGCCGCGGACGACCTCCATGGCGGCGCGGCACTTTTGCTCGAGAACATCGTCGACGGTATCGCGCAGACCACCAGGGAAGGGGAGGGCCAGCAGGGCCGCAACCTGGCCCGTCTCGCACATCTTTTCGACAAGGTAGCGCAGGCCGGAGCGCTGGAGCGCGGCGGCGCCGGTGCCAGTTGAAGGCGTGGGCGATGAAGAAGAGGAAGACGATGCAGAAGACTGTGGTAAGAAAGGCTGGCCCATAGACAGGAGCGCACTGTGTGCGGTGTCGAAGCGCGACAGGGCTGTGGCCGCTGTGAACAGGCGGCTGAGCATCTCGGTGCGCGTGGACGACAAGACGGCGGCCTCGGCGGTCGGATCGTTGGCGCCGAAGCTTCCATGGCGGCTGTCGGCTTTACTGCCACCCTTGGCCTGCTGGCTGCCGTTGCTGCCGTTGCTTCCAGTGTTGATGATTCTGGCACTGAGGCTGTTGGCCTTGCTGCGCACAAACTGCAGCGACAGGCGGGAAAAGTCGATAACGTAGGCATAGGCCTTTTGCCGGTCGTACAAGGACACGATGTGGGCGTAGTAGTTGGGCAGGCCGCTGTAGAACAGGTTCCACTCAGAGTCGTCGATCAGGCCGGCGCTGTGGCGCAGCGGATGGCGGACCACGGTGCTGAGGCCAACGGCCGCCTTTTGGAAATAGAGCGCGGCAGTGTCGTAGTTGCGCAGCGCCAGGAACGTGCGGCCCTGCACATAGGTTGAGAAGGGGTCGTCGGTGGCGAAAACGCTGAGCTGCAGGGAGAGATCGGGGCGGCCGCGCTTGAGAAGCATGCACTGGATCATGGCCGGGTCAAGCTCAATCGTGCTGCGGGCCGAGCAGACGTCGACGATAATGTCGGTCAAGAGCGAGGACAGTGGGACACTGCCGGCCTGCTCGCCGAGGCCCAGCAGGTGGCCAACGCTGCCGGCAAGCACCGTAATAACCTGAGTCGCGTTCTCATCAGATGTGCCTGCATTGGACGCTCCGCCTGTTGACCCGGCTGCCGAGCCGGCGGTGAACGAGCCTCCTGCTGCCGTCGAGAACGAGCCGCCAGAAAAGGATCCGGACAGCGACTCACGCTCGGCCCGCTTCAGGGCGACGCTGAACTCGGTCCGCGACAGCCACTTGACGAGCTCAAGGCGCTTAAGGGCGTCGATCAGGCGCGAGTACACCTGGCCCACGTCGATGCGGCTGTGCAACGCGACGCGTTCGTCCTCGAGCTCAAACTCCATGTGCACCAGCAGGATCAGCTGGCGGAACAGGATCTGCCAGAACAGCTCGGCGGTGTCCTGGATGCCACGCACGACAAGCTTCAGGCCAAACTGCGTAAAAGGGTAGCGCACGTCATGGCCGCCCTGCAACTGCTGCTGGACAACATCGTCGAACAAAGAGAAGAGCGTCCGGTAGGTGGTCTCGTCGACCAGCTCAAAGTTGTCGCCGAGAATGTCAATGACCTGCGCGCACTCGTCCTCGGTCAGGTGCCGCCAGAAGCCGGCCTTGTCGCCGAGCGACTGGATGCGCTCCTCGTCCGTCTTGGACGAGGCGTCGTCAAAGAGCTCCGCGCGCAGCGCAGCCTCGCATGTCTGCAGCATGCCGTCAGAGAAGCTCTCCACGAACGAGGCACCCGCAGACAGCAGACGGCTGAACTTTTCGGAGTTGGCACTGTTGCTTCCGCTTCCGCTTCTGCTGCGGTGGAGGCCGCCGCTGCCGCTGCCCCGGCCACCAAAGATGGATGAGGACTGGCTCGATGGAGCGTTGTGATAGACGAGCTCAAGGCCGCTGCACTCACGGGCGGCAGCCAAACAGTCGGTGCACACAACCCAGGCCAGGCCCAGGTCCGGGTCGAGGGCAAGCGCGAGGGCTTCGCTGCGCTGTTTGTCGAGCTCAATGAGGAGGCGGTAGAAGCGGCGCCACTGGATCTCGCTGGCGCTGCGGAAGAGATCGTAGTCCATGGCGCCGGACGAGCCGCGCTCGAGGGCAGCGGTCGATCCCAGGACCGTGCAGATGGACTCCATGAGACTCGACGCGGACGCGGTCGTCGAAACAGCCGTACTAGAAGGCGTGCTCCGCTTGGAGGTCTTGTCTTTCGTCGCACCCAGACCGCGCTCGTACATGGCCAGGGCAGTCTCGAGCGTCGCGCGCGAGAAGCGGCCGGGGAAGAAGATGAGATCAAGCCACTTTTCGGCGGCGTCGGTCGGGTCGCAGGGGCCGGACGTCTGTGCTGTAGGTGCACCGCTCTCGGTGTGCACGGCCGTCCAAGTCTCCTGCCAGTCGGACGCCAGATCGTCGAGGTCGGCCTCGGTCTGCATGACGCGGTAGATTAGGTTGTTCTTCCAGAGCACCCACAGGCTCAGCTTGCGCGGTGCCGTGTACGAGATGGCAAAGTCGGCCAGCGTCCAGACGTCGGCTGCCGATGGCGTTGGCGGCAGTAGCGACTCTGGTGCACTGTCCAGGGGCTCGACCTCGACACGTGCAGCGCCACTGCTGCTGTTGGCACCGTCAGGGGCCGCCTTGGCAGTGGCCTTCCAGAACTTGAAGCCGCCGGCGCCGACAGGCGAGTACGTGGCGATAATGGCGGCACCCGGTTGGTTGTCGAGCGGGACAACGCGCAAGAGGTTGGTCTGGCTGGGATCAATGGTCCACTTGCCCAGCTCGTGCGGCTCGCGCGCCAGACCGAGGATGTCGCCCGTGTAGCAGATCTCGCCGCGCTCAATGTTCCAAATGCGCAGTCGGTGGTCGAGACAGACGGTGAAGAAAAAGGCCGCTCCGTTCGTGCCAGTAGACGTTCCATCGCCGTTGTCGAGGCTGAGCGTCGCTGTGACGGCCGAGGCAGCTGCTGCGATCTCGAGATTCGTGCCCTCATACTTGATAGTTGGCCCGCCCTGGAACGGCAGGATGCTGCGGAGGCCCTGGATGAGGCCGACGGGGCTGTGGAACGACTCTTTCCAAGACACAGACGCCGCCGCTGCAGTTGCCGGACTTTGGTGACTGGAGTCGCGGCGGAAATTGATGAGGCCACCATCATGCAGGGCCACCACAAACTCGTTGGCGCTGACAGCCACCAGACACCGCGGCTGCTTAAAGTTGAACGTGGCGGAGAGGTACGGCTTCCAGGCTTCGCCGAGGTCGGCTTCGTTGGCAAACGCCCGTTTGCGGAACACATCGGGCCGCAGCAGCAGGTGGTGCAAATAAAACGACTCGTCGAGCACAAACACGGCCAGAGCGTCGTGCTGCTGCGGGTCGGCAAGGGCGATGCAGCCCGGCCGCACGGGCTTGGGGAAATGCAGATACAAGGTCAGGGGCGCGTCGGGTGCCGATGAGGGGCTCTCCGGCTGGTGCTTGGCGACGTCGATGGCGCGGATGCCGAGGACGTAACCGCCCTCGAGCACACGCCACAGGAAACTGCGCGGCGCGTCGTGATGGCGGCGGTGGTAGATGCCCGACTCGGAAGCAAGGTTCTTGGCGCGATAAAACCGCTCCTCGTCCGTGAATGTGCTGTTGTCGCCGCTGTTGCTTCCAGAAAGGCTCGCAAAGGACGACACAGACAGGCTCGGGCTGCTGCTGCCGTTGCCGTTGCCGTAGTGGCTGCCCGAGCTGCCGGCACCGCCGACCAGCCTGCTTGTTAACCGACGACCGCCACCTCCATTGGCTGCGGGCACCTGTGCGTGGACAACGGTCGCGGGAGACGCGGGTTCGAGGCTCACTCGCGTTTCTTTGTAGGCGTAGAACAGCTCGCGGGAACCCATCGCGGCCTCTCCATCCAGCGCGCGGAGGCGCACCGGGGTTGAATTGGTCGTTGGAGGGCGAGAGAAGGCTTTCTTAATGAGTTCGAGTCGATTCGCTGTCCGTTGCAGGCGTGGATGACACGGTGGTTGCGTTGTGCTGTTGTCCTTAATGTATCGTAGTATGTCGTGATGCTTCAATTTTAGAGCCTCTACAGTGAAAGAGCAAAACAGTCTTTTTCAGGTCCACTCCAAACGCGTCCGTCAGGCTGGCGGCCAAAGCAAGAGCGAACAGGCTGGGGCGCTAACCGAAAAGGGAAATCAGCTCCAGAGAATAGTCTTGAATGCATACACGTGACGCTCAGAGGCCTAGATTAGCCTTTTAGGGCGTTGCCAACGGCTCTTCCCCTGTTGTTCCCTGGTGGTCAACATTTAGCGCTGTATTCCACAGGGGCTTTACAGAGCGTTTCTCGAATTTAGTCAACTTCGTCTATTCATTATTCTTGACAGCTCATTCTCAAATAGTCCACCGAGTTTCTAATTTATCACGTTGAAATACAAACGAAACGGCAAAGATCAAACATCACAAATCCGTAAAACGCCGGCCGCATGGCAAGACTGCAAATGACACCAAACACCAGAAGCAGGACAGAAAACAAGACGCCAGACAAGACGAGACAAAAGGCAGGACAGCAGAACCAATAATCGCCCTCTAAACACTACTCGTCCTTGTCCTTGTCCTTGTCGTCTTTGGGCGCCGGGTCGCCGATGCCATCGGCCGTAATGGCAAACATGCAGTCGCTCTCGGGCAAGCACGGCGAGTCGTAAATCTTGGCAATGCGCGTCTCGGCACGGCCCTTTTTCAGGCTGATGCGTGTTGTGCTGGCGTGGGCGATGATGTTGCCGCCAATGGGCTTCTTGGGGTCCGGGTTGAACATGGCCGAGGGCCCGCCGTCGACCTGGGCCACCACCTGGTTCGTGATAACGACAGCAATGCCGTACGTGTCGGTCATGGACTGCAGCTGCCGCAAGAACTGGCCCAGGTGCATTTGCCGGCTGTTGAGCTCGCCACGGCCCATGTAGTCGGTGCGGTACAGAGCAGTGGCGGAGTCGATGATCAGTAGACTGAACCGGGTCTCGGCCATCATGCGGGCAGCGTCGCGCAGGAGCGCCAGCTGGTGGTCCGAGTTGTGGGCGCGGGCCACGGCAATGTTGTCCAGGACCTCTTCGCCCGCCAATCCATAGCGGTTGGCGGCGGCAAGCACACGGCTCGGCCGGAACGTGCCCTCCGTGTCAACGTACAAGCACTTGCCCTCGCCGCCACCGCAGTCAAAGGGCAGCTGGCAGGTGACGGCCAGCGTGTGGCAGAGCTGGGACTTGCCCGTGCGGAACTCGCCAAAGATTTCGGTAATGGACCCGGTCTCGATGCCGCCGCCGAGCATGGTGTCCAGGTTCTTGGAGCCGGTCGTGATGCAAATAAGGTCGCTGCGGCGCATGTGGATCTCGGTGGCGGTCGTAAAGCCCATGGGGACGAGTTTGGAGGCCTCGGTGATCATGCGGGTGGCCTTGAGGTCGGAGATACCCTTGATTTGCTCAAGTGCGCGGCGGGGCGTGTAGGCGACGGACTCAACAGTGTAGTAGCCGCCATCGTGCAGCAGCTGGATGTCGCGCTTGGTGAGCCCACCGAGTCCCTGGGCGTGTTAGTTCCGTCTGGAGAGGAAGAAAAGAGAGAAGTAAAGAGAAGGGACATCATACCTCCAACTCGGATACGGACAGCGGTGCACCGACATTGGCACCAGCACCTGTCTCCTCAACGTTCTCCTCGTACTCTTCGACTTGTGTCATGTTTGTGTATAGGTGTGGGTGCGTGGTGTGGTAGTTCGAGGCACACAAGAGGATGATGGTGAGGTGTGAAAGTGGAGGCCGACGAAAGAAAAAGGTACAGAGGCTCAAAAAGGGGGCCCTCGTGGGATGCGGGGGTTTTTGCGTATAGACAAGGCAGCAACGGGAAAGGGCTTTTCTTCGTTGGCGTCGTTGACTCCTTCTTGTCTATTTTTTATTTCGCTTGTTGATGGCGGCGTTTGTTGACGCGTCGCTCAGGACGGAAAGCGCGACTGGTGCGGGTAGCTGACAAACCGGCCAACACGCCAAGTCAGGTGATTTTAAGAGGGAAACGTTTGGTGAGACGCTAACCAACGACATACAGCGCCATACGTTCGCTAACATAGTATTGGTGGCCCGCTGAACCACTCCAAACAGATCGTCAATTACAGACTTGTTCTCTCCCCTATTCGTTGTTCTTTCTCTGATATACACGTTTTATTTTAATGACTTCTTCGTCCTCCTTTCGCCGGAAGGCAGTGGGAGTCAATAAACAATAATATTTATGTGCAGTCTATTGCGCTCATCCATGATTCAAAATCAAAAGAGAAAAACGAAATACACATCTTAAACCCAGTCCTGTGCAACTACATTATGGCAAGCAACCCCCCCCCCCCCCACCTTCACAATTTACATGTACAGGAAAATGAAAGACATACACATATATAAAGAACAAAGAATTTTTAAAATCACACTTCCCTCCCTTCATGCCCAACGGGGCGTCGAGTGCGATGCGCGTCCGGAGTCCCGTACGAGTCGACGACGCCCGTCCAGCATCGTCTCGTTACCGTCCCTGTCTTCGTCCGTGTAGGGCGTGACCGTAGGTCCAAACGTCCCGGCCGGCAAGACCTCAACAGCCGCGTTGACCTTGCGGGCGGGACGGTTGGCCAGAGCCGTACCGGGGGCGGCTATCAACATGGGCGTGTATGCAGCCGCAGCCGCAGCCTCAGACGTTCTAAAAGGACCGGCCGTGTCTTGGGCGGCGGCGCGGTGGTAATATGACTTGTCGGCTGGTATCGTTGCGATCACTGGATACCGTGACGCGGACGAGGTGCTGCTGCGGCTGCTCGTGCTACGGTTGCTGCGGTTGCTGCGGTTGCTACGGATACTGCGGTCGCCATGGCTGCTGGGGCCGCTACCGCCTGCCGCTCCGACGCTCATGGATGACAGCGAGTCGGCCGACGCCGTGGATGTGCGTTGAAGGTGCTGCTGCTGCTGCTGCTGAGCAGCTGGTGGCGGCGGCAATTGGTAGTTGGCCAGTCTTCCAACCGCTGCCGCTGGGGTAGGACCGCGGTGTCGGTTGATGCTAGAGCTCGGGCTCGGGCTGGACATGCGCGAGCTGGGAATGTACGTGTTGAGCTGGGGTGCGATCGTCGTGGACAAAGGGGCTGCAGCGGCGGTGCCGGCGGGCGAGGTCGGCACGCTTCGGTGGGCCGACTTGTGCGAGTAAGCGCCTTCGAGCCGTCGGAGGGCCTCTTCATTGAGGGGCCCGCTGGCCGCCACCGGCCTTGTGTTTCTTGCGGGGCTTGAGGGGGCCACCGTCGACAAGTGCGTGCTCAATGTCGTGTCGTCTTCGGAAATTTGGGGAAGGGGTGTCGACACGTTCGAGGGGGTGTCGAGGCCTGTCTGTTGACCGGAAGAACGCCCGGTCTGCCCAGGTGCTTTCGTCTTTGACGAGCTCCGGCTTGGCGTCGTCGGACGTGAGATCCAAATACCGTCGACCTCGACACCGGTCTGGATGGCGCGTATGCCAAAGGGAATGTCGCTGTTGGTGCGCTGCTTGCGGGCGGCGGCGGCAGATCGAGCGGTTGGTGATGAGGACATGCCGACTTTGCGCATCTCGGTGAGGCGGGCACGTTTCTCCTCGTCAATGATCTCCTGGCGGCGGACCTGGCGGCTGGTGCGCCATAGTTTGAACAGGCCGATGAGGAAGACGACGGCAATGGCGCAAGCGAGGACCTGGCGAGACGGGTTAGCAAGACGATCGGTGGAGATATATCCCTTTGAGTCGTTGAGTGGTAGATCGAGGAGTGGGACATACAAAAGTCATCTCCTCCCAGAGTGCCCAGCTGACAAAGAAGATGCCCATTGTGGAAGGTACGCGTTTGCGGGGGCGGGCCGGTAAAGGGAAGGAGCAAACGGAGCAAAAACGAGAGGAAGAAGGAGCCAAATGGCCGAGAAGAGAAGGAAGAAAGTGCGGGAGTGCAATTGGAGACCGTCTTCGTTTTCTTTACTGCGGACTGCAAAACAAGATGAACGGTGACGAGTCTCAGTGCGTGGTGAAGGTTGGAGCTGGTCGAATGGTGTCTGGGTGCCGTTTCCAAGACTGGATTTGAATGAAAGGTAAACGGGCCGACCCCGTTTTAATTCGTCAATGTCTCGCCCAGCTTTTTGGGTGGTTTTGTCGTCTCAGATATTGTAAAGAAAATCGTTGTCGTCTTTTTCTGCTCCTTGTATTTGTCGTTTCTTTTTTCTCTGTGTTGCGGGTAAATTTGTCGCAGGAAAGAAAAGTGCAAGCCTTTCTCGGCGCAGCGGACACGGCCGGTGTACTGGATTGCTGCGATTTTGCTTTATGTCCGTACGTTTTACTTTTTGACTTTTGCCTCTCTCTGCATGTGCCGCTGCCTGTGCCTCTATCTTTGGCTTGTCGTTTGCCGGATCGTTGTACACGAGAATGGGAGCACGGCGGATCGTGTCTGCAGGGGTAGGGCGCTTGGGGAGTTGTGGTTTGGTCGTTGTGCTAGTCGTAGTCGTGGTCGTCGTGTGATTTTTTGTTTTCGAAGCTGCGCCTGGTTCTCCTGGTGTTTTCTGAGATATTTGTCCTTTGTGAGACAGAATACGATAAATGTTGCAACGACCGACCTGTCCGTGCAGAAACGATGGTCACAGAAGCAGGCCGCCCTTTTCTTCCAGCCAGGTTCTGGGGTCACGACGGTCGTGACCTAGTCCACGTTTTGTCTCTCACCCGTCCTCCCTTTATGGTCGTATTCGCCCTGTTGAGTCGCCTGTCTCGGCCTTGTATTTGTTTTCGTGCTTCTCTTTTCGTGTTTTTGTCCGTTCTCCTTAGCTGTGTCGAGTCTGTTGTGCAGCAGCAGAGAGTGAAGACCCAGAAACTTAAAATGGGATACGAGCTGAGACGTAACGACACACGGGGTGACTGTGATTGAAAACGAGATCTGAGAGGCGAAAGAGAGAAGAACACTGGGCGGAAGACGCAGAGAAGGAAAGGAATCGCCGCTGAGCTGGTCGAATAGTGGCTAGCAACGGGTAGCTGCAGAAACACAGGGGCTCAGAGAATAGAGAGAAACTATTCAAGGAGAAAGAACGCAAGAGAAGGAAAATAAGGAACGGGTGTGGCACAGGCGATGCAAGTGTCGATGGGCTCAGCTGGAACTGGGTTTAACACGAGGAGGTACTGGGCGATGGGGCACACAAAAAAGCCGGAATAAAATTAGAAAGCAAGATATAGAGAATAAAAGCCCGAGAGCAAGACCACCGAGACAAAGTCACACAGACCCGCTGGCGCTGGACGACTTGGGAAGAAAACAACGACAACGAAGGCAAGACGCCTCACTGGGACTCGGGTCAAAAATAAGACAGTCCATAAAGCAGACCGAAACAAAACGAGTGACTGGGGACTTGTGCAGAGGGTTGTAAAGAGAAACAAAAGGCAGCCAAGGTGGAGGACCGTGGCGATGATGGGGGTTGTCTCGGAAGAAACGGTGGAAGACAGGCCCGGGAGAAGCAGCACGCAAAAGTACGTCGTAAGTGCAATAAGAAGCAAGATTGGGAACAAAAGGCGGAGAATAAAGGCAAACAAGGAAAGTAAAACAAAACGAATCACAGCCCGACGGCGCAAAAATAACGACGGCCTGGCCCCATTGGTTATGATGGATGAGGCTATTTACGACGGCAGTCACGCACTCTGATTTTGCCAGAGAGGAACGCCTGCTGGCGATTTCATCTCGTATACCACTGGTTCGGCGAGGGCCACATCATGACAAGGATTGCGTCTACACCGCAAGAAAATGAAAAAGATGAGACTGGCTTCGGAACAATACTTGGGACTGGAAAGCAAGAAACGTGGGTTGAACAAACGCACACGAGAGGAACAGAGGACGAAGAGACCATCTATGCAGCCACTGTACGAGGGGTATTGCAATCTATTTACTTCTGCCTGTTAAGAAAAATGCAAACATGTTGGATAGTAGCGGATAGTACGCCAAAGAATAAATTCAGTGGGTCAACGACAGGAACAAAAGGGTTTCAAGCCACATACAAAAAAAAGAGACAAACAATAAGCCGGTGTGTACCCAAGGAAGAACATGGAGGAAACGGAAAAAAATAAAAGGATCAAAAACAGCCTGTTTTCTGTGCTTCCTGCTTGCCACTCAACGGGGTAAAGGTAAACCAGGTTCACTTCGTCGTTCTTTGCCACATCGGTGTAAGTCGACTAGGGCGATCCGAAAGCGGCAGTTGGTGTGGTTGTTCTGGGTGTCTCTTCTTGGAGTCTGTCCTTTTCTTCCTCCTCTCCCCTTAATACATCCCGATATAGCCTCCGCGGTGACGGCGTCGACGTACGCCAAAAGAGCCAATCCTATTTGCTTATTCCTTCTCCCCGGATATGTAATCTGCACGCGTCCCCTCTCTCAGGCTAAATTCAAAAATAGAGGCGAGAAGCCGGCACGAGACGTAACAGCAGAGTAAAACGTGGAGCAAATGGACGGGTCTGGGCGATCTCGCTTGCTACCTGGCCGCCTTTGCGCCCTCCGTCTAATATGGCAAAGGCAATCCGGATGCCGCTTGGCTCCTTGGTGGCTGCTATTCAACGCAAACGCAAGCAGAGACACACAGAAACATACGCGTCGGATGGCCTCCCGACCAGGGAATAAGGTTATTTCGGCGTTTCTCTTCCTCTGCTTCTCTCTCTCTCTCGCCATACTTTACATGGCCTGGCCCAATGGTCTCATCCGGTCTTTTCGGTGTCTACTCTATTCCGCCTCGACTCCGTGTGCATCCACCGACCCGTATTCACGTAAGCTGCCTACGTAAGTTCACTTCTCCTGGTAGACAGCCCTCAACTTGGCACTCTAGTGCCACTCCTGCATATCGCCAGGTACAACTGTTGTGATTTGTGGCGAGATCGCTCATGGTCTCATGGCATTTTATTGATTCGTAACCCGACAGGTGTGTCTGAACAGTTGAAATTCGTCCCCGTATTTCACCACGTTCAGTAGATTCACAAAGACAAATACATATCCATTTTCTTTAAAATAAACAAATATAATCGTGGAAACCAAAACGGAAAATACAAGACATATTTTCTTATAAAAGAAAATGCTAAACCAAAATGCAGACCATGGTACATGTTCAACACTCAATTAGTGACTAACCTAGTAGGTACCGAGTCAAAGCAATTCACAATACATTTTGTAACATTTGTTTGGGTGGTCACTGCAAAGCAGACAACGCATTAGATGTCGCCGTATACAGGTAATAATCCAAAACACCTAAAGATATTTTATACCAGCTATCCTATAATCCTGATTCCAGCCCGATGAAAGAGTATAATATATAGAGAGCAAAACGAAATTGACCAAAACTGGAATACGTACGTTCCAGGCACCAAAAATACACCAGCATCCATGTTCTCCTGTGCTATCGCAGGCATACGAAAAAGGAGGGGAAAGAAACAAGACGGAAACGAGAAATAGGCCAAGAATAAAAAATAGACAAACGTAAAGTTCCTTCTCTTCGGATCTGTGCTGTAGACAACGGGCGTTCTGCGTCTACGGGTAGGCTACAGCCGTCCATGCCGCGCCTTGAAAATGGCCACCTTGTCGTCGTAAAAGAAAATCTCGCGCATCTGCAGCCGGGGCGGGCGCGGCAGGGCCGCGTCGCCGTCCTGCAAGAACGAGTCGTCCGAGTCGCCACTGTCGCTCAGATTGTCGGCGTCATCGCTGTCGTGGATGGCCACGCCCGGCGGGCCGGCAAAGGCATTGGGTGGCGCGTCGTCGTCATCGTCGTCGTCGTCGTCGTCCTCGGCAACATCCTCGTCGTCGGCACTGTCGTCGCTGTCGTCGACATCGTCGTCGTCATCATCCGACGACGTCGACGACGTGTCGGAGCCGTCGTGGATGGACCCGTCGATACTGTTGCCGTTGCCATTGCCACTGCCGGTGCCGGCGCCGGCAACGGCGCCGCCAGCAGTGCTCCCGTCCCCGTCGGCCTGGTCGCGCTCCGAGCCGTGCAGCTCGACCACCTCGTAGCACTTGGCACCAATGCCAACAAAGCACAGCTGCACGTCGGGCCGCAGAGTGACAATGTCGGCAATCTGCATGGCCAGATCGTAGGGTTGCAGCGGATCGACAAGGTGGTCGACAATGTGCTGGACGTGAAGGGAGCGCAGCTTCGGCAGCTGCGGCAGACGCTGCAAGAAGGTGTGCCAGCTCGCGTAGCTCATGGTCACGGCTAGCTCGCGCAGGTTGATCATGCGGCCACTGCTGAGGTACAACAGGATGTCGTGGGGCAACACCCAGATGCGGCGCCGGCGGGAGCCCTCGAGGTGGTCGGCCTCGGTACGGAGGCTGCCGTCAATCAGGAGTTTCCGAAGGCTCTGGCGGTGGGGTTTGATGGCGCTCTTGAAAATGTCATGGATGGTGATCTGGTTCGAGGCGTCGGAGTGACGGCGGTTCTGGAGGAACAGCACCTCGAGCGAGTTGGGGGCGAGCGTGTCCCGGATAAAGTAAAGCAACGACTTGGACACGATGTCGGTGTGGATGCTCTTGAGGGCCATGTGGTAGCGCAGCGGCGCCGCGGAGGGGGAGGACAACGACGGATTGGAAGGCGCCGCGATGCCGAAACCGTGCCCGCTGTACGACGCCGTGGGGCGGAAGTGCTTCTTAAGCTGCCGCCAGAGCGAGTCGTGCTGCGGGCAGTTGAGGATGGTGAGCGTGGTGAGTGTGGACCAGTCGACGGCGCGCACGAGCACCTGCATCGACAGCGGCACACGTTCCAACTCGAGCGTCGTAAGCTTTAGTTTCTTGTCGAGTCGATGGGGTTCATCGACATCGTCCGCGTCATCGTCGTGATCATGATCGCGGTCATGGTCGCGGTTGGCGCGGGAGAGCGGCACATCGACGCCCTCGAGGGTAGGGGGGTCGTTGGGTGGTGGCGAGTGGGGGTTATGCGGAGGGGGTGCGGCGGCAGCGGACGAAGACAACGAGGATGAGCTGGGTGTTGGTTGCGGGCTAGCAGATGCGAGGTCGCTCTGTGTGGACGTGGATGCCACTGGAGTCGTCTCACCGTCATCGACAGTGGACGCCGTTCCGTTCGTCTCGTGTCCTGCAGAGGCAGCTGTCGACGTAGTTGCTTCTGCCGCCGCTGCCGCCGGTATTAATTCTACTGTAACGCTACTCCCCGGTGCCGGCTCCGGTGCCGGCTTCCGGCGAATGTCATAGATGCGTCCCACCAGAACGCCCAGGACACCGCCGAGGCGACGCTCACCAATGGTGCTCTCACCGGGCCAGCTAGCGTCCATGTCGACCTGCTGGAGGCTGACACCGTCCCAGGTCTGCACAAAGTCCTTGCCGATGGCGTGGGCTGCAATGCCGATGCGCAGCTCGGTCAGGCGGCTGTGTGAGCGCTCAATCAGCACGGCTAGCTCGTCGAGGTAGGCCAGCTCGTCAATGTCGAGGACGGTCAGGCTGCGCAGCGGCGGTACGACGCTGAAGGTGGGGAACTCGACGGGACTCAGCGAGTACGGAATGGCAGGCGGCGGCGGCGGGTGGCCGCCGTGAGGCGGCAGGAGAATGCCAGTGGGCGTCACGTTGCTGCCCTGAGGCACAAAGAGCTGCGGAGGCGCCGGCGCGGGGGCGATGCTGGGGCTTGTGGAACGCGACGCGGGGGGCGTGGTCAGCGAGTTGTTGTGCCAACGGATCCAGAGCCGGTCGAGCTTGCAGGTCTCCTGTTCCGGGTCGTAGTCGGGCAGCGAGGCGAGGGCCATGAAGACGTCGGAGACGACGCCGGTAGGCATATCCCAGACAAAATTCTCGAGGTTCCGCATCTTGGCAACACTCATGGCCACCAGTGTGCCGAGCATCTTGCCGCTCTCCTTGGTGATCATGTACTCGGCGACCCAGTCGCGTGGCCCATTACCAAGCGAGAACTTGCGCGTGAACTTGGCATAGTCAGGGCTGCCGAACTTGGTGTAGTGGCTAAAGATGCCGCTGCCAGGCTTGGTGGCCGACTTGGTGCCCGTGCTGTTGGGCCGGCCTCGTCGCAAACGGTTAGCGGTACGAGCGAACGCGCTGCCCAGACAAAGAGTGGACAGGCCGTAAGTCAAGGCGTCGACGCTCTTGCCTTCGGACACGGGTGCAGAAGGGTCTGGCCAGACAATGTCGAAGCGGGAGTAGATGTGTGGGACGGCCAGGTTGTACAGAGTCGAGTTGGTCAGGGCCAGGGACGTTAAATCATTCGTGTGCGTGATCTATACGAGTACACAGTTAGCGGGATACACGAATTCCGTGTAAGTGAGCGGTTGTCGTACCTCCTTGACAATCAACCGCAGAATGTCGTTTGGCAGCTCCAGCAGCGTCAACGGTGGCGTCGCCGACGACGGACTGTCGTCGACATCGGCCGCCTCGACGGGCTTCTCGCTCGGCACTGCCTTAGCCGGCAACTTCGTGTGCTTAGGATTCAACGAGCCGAGGGGCGGACCACTGGCACTGCTGCTCCGTATCGGGTGTAAGGTCAGTGGGGTGGTGTGTGAGGCTGTTGCTATTGTCGGTGCCGCCGCAAGCGTTGGTGTGGCTCCTGTTGCGGCCTCTGGGAGGTTGACTGGGACACCGGCCAGTGCCGATGTCATGATCGGGGGCGAGTGTGCGGCAGTGACGCTTTGCCCATCGTTCACGTCCGTAGGATCGATCGCAGAGACGATGATTTCTTCCGACTCATATGTCGGCGGTGCGACGGGGGGTGCTTGCGGCTGTGGGAGTGCCTCGTAGCCGATGGGCAAGGGCAAGGCTGTGTTTGAGGCTGTTGGTGGTGTCTTTATGGGAGCGGCAGGAAAGGTCTCGGCGGTGCATTCGGGCAAAGGCCCATCTACAGGGAGCTCGGACTCTGCAGCTGGTGGAAGAGCCTCGGATGCTTTCTTTACTTGCGGCACCACTCCGACAGCAGAAGATGTTGGTACCGTCTTGACAGTCGCATCAGACGCCGGTACCGATGACGGCGGCACGGATGCCATGCTGTCGGAAGGGATGGTTGAGGAGGTGGCGGCGGCTCCGGGAAGAGTGTCGCCGGACATGGCTGGAGGAAGACGGCCTTGAAAAGGCTCGGCAGAGTAATCCAAGGTAAGAAGGCCGGGTACGGTGAGGCCCGCCAGCAGTTCCCAAAAGTCCAAAAAAGATAGAGACAAGGCGGAAATGGCGTCACAGAGGTGTATAGGAGAAGGACGAAGACGCTTGAGTTGGGGTTGGACAGAGGTCAAAAAAGAGGCTGGAGAGAGGAAGACAAGGCGATGCGATGCGGAGGAGGCGGTATGCGAGTGTCGATAAGATATAGATGCAGGAATATGGAGAAAGGCGAAAGGCGGAGGCAGCAACGACGAGGTGACGATCGGACGGGGTGACAAGAAGGAGACAAGGCAGCGAACGTGGCGGCCTCAGTCTGCGTCGTCGAGAGGTAAAGAGGAGGATGTCACAGGATGCAGAAGCTGGGGCTGAGAGGGCTGAGGTTAGAGAAATAGGCAAGAGGTGGTTTGTGGAGGAGGTGGATAGGCAGGTGCGGAGGTAGCGCTAATGGGGGCAGGAGGCGGGCATACAACAGCGTACTGGGGGAGGCTGCAAGCCTGAGCTCCAGCAAAGAGCAACTGCGACCGGCAAATGGTGGGGCTGGCATCAGTGGGGGGCCCACTCAGCACCCATACAGCTGTAGCTTGGGTAAGGCAGTGGATTTGAGCCAACCAGCGACGAAGACTCTGTGCCTGCGTCTAGGCGACTGTCTCTTCTTACTGAGTGTTGTCTCAGCGAGGCGAATAAGTGCGACATTCAGGTACGGACGAGGTAAGACTGCACTTATCTCAAAGCGACTTTCACAAAACAACATGGTATGCAAAAATGGGTTAATATGGCAGCTATTCGAAAACAAAGAATCCCCAGCGAAAATAACTTTCAAGACAATGTGAATATATATATAAAGGAAAGAAATGAACCCTGCGTCGGGGGCTGGAAATGTAACCCCAGGGAGTGGTTGGCAAAGGACCTGCCAAAGGCCTGGTTTCTGACCAGGACTGGGCCGTGTGAGCGCGTCTAATGTTTTCTGGGTCCAGGGTCCTGGGTTTGTGTCTGCCAACCGATTCGTCGTCTCTGAATATGTTGTTATATCGTCTTCTTGTGTTTTTGTCTCGACTCTGAACTTGGGGCTGGGTTCGGGGGGAAGGAGCACGCGGGACACTTGCTCGGGGTGCGACCCTAACAGGAATGCACCGTTGATGTCACTCGCCCAAACGGGCAGCCGCCACGCACGACACGTTCTTGCCTTCCTCGTCTGAACGTAACGACTTCCTCTGAGGCGCCCATAAAATGGCAGCAGTGTCCGGTGGAGTTTACAGCTGCTTTTCATTAACCTTCACAATTGAATCACGACGCCGCTTTGTAGCAAGTCACGAACCAAGCGACCACTCGTCACATTGCCACGTTCCCTGTCACGTTCGTTGTCGACTCTAGCTTCACACACTCACCGCCTGAACTGAACCAAACTAGCGCCCGTGCTGGCCGTCGTCTGCCACCCCTGCCTGCCCTGAATCTCGCGCTACTCGGCCGAGGCGTTTCTCACTGTCCTTGTCCTTCTCCCAACAAAGGGCGGCTGCAAAAGCGACCACCAGCTGCGACCGCCCGTTTCTGCCTGGTTTACCTTTTTCGCGACAAGAGATAAGAACACGATTCGATTTCGCGACCCTGGAGAAGACGTGGCGAATTCAAGAACAGCGCATCTGCATTGAGGTTGACGATATCTCCCGCCTTCTCGCTTTCTCTCTCTTTTCCTCTTTCTCCGTACCCCAACTTTCACTTTATTGCCGCTCCCGTGCGCGACCCGTGTAGAGCATCTGAGCATTTACCGCGCATCAACCGCATCCAACGCATCAACCGCTTGTGCCGCCGCCGCCACTCCCAGCCGGCGCCCAGAAAGGACCCTGAAAGGACTCGACCAGACGCCTCTTCAAGGCTTTTTGACTACGTACTTGTCCAGATCTTTACTTGCGCTTTAATACTCGAACATCGCCGTCGAGAGAGCACATCAACAAACTACAGACTCTGACGTACGACTATTCCATATACCAGCACTCCTCCCACTCGCTAGCACAAACGTCTCTCGCTCCCACACTTTACCACACAACATCCCACCCGCCATGTCCAAATTCGTCGAGGAGCTCTGGGAGTCCATCTTCACGCCGGGGCCCACGCCCACGTTGCTGATTGCCACCAATGTCACCTTTGCCGTCCTGCAGGTCGTCCTGTTCGCGCTCCTGATCGCCACCTACTCGATCCACTTTATCATTCTGTCGGTCCTGTCGGCCGGCCTCTGGTGGGCCATCAACTGGTTCGCGCACGAACTGCAAGTGGCGCGCGCCTTGCAGGACGAAGAGGAGGAGAAGCAAAAACACAAGCAGCGGCGCCGCGCGGCCGTGGCGGCCGCGACGGCGTCACCCGTGTCCACAGACAGCGAGACGGAGGTGGAAGAGAGCGATGTGGGCGCGACAAGAGAAAAGGCCACAGGCCAGAGCAGCGGTGGCAGTCGTGGACAGGTGCGGCACCGCACGACGGCAAGACAGGCGGCAGCAGAGGGCAGCGCCGGAGCAGCGCCGACACTGGCCACGGCGGCAGGGACGGCGGCCACAACGACAGGCGATGCGCCCGGGAGCCAGGACAGTAACAATTCCAGCACCGGCAGCGGTAGCCAGCGTTTGTCGAGCAGCCGGTCCGGTGTCAGCACCGAGGACGAGTGGGAGAAGGTGTCGGAGAATGAACAGTAGGCTCGAGCGAGCCTTTTCGCGCGGTGACCGAACTGCCCACTCTAGACCGCCTCAGTGCGTGTGGGCCGTCTTTTGTGCACCAAGATCGTCCGCACCCCATCCATCTGTATCTGTATATAGCGAATTTCGCAAACAGCCAGCGGCCATGTTTGCGCCAATGTCCCGCAGCTTAGCATACAATTGCAACTTGTCGCGTTTTCAAGTTTAATCCAGTCTCATATTGAAGATTTACGTCGTCCCCGCGGTGTCTTCCGGCATACTCTCTTACGAGTATCCCATCGATGTGGCCGTTGTGTTGCTTGGAGCTTCTCCCGCCTTGGAGAAGACAAGCTTTAGGTCTTCCTGTGTCGCGTCCCTGTTGGGTGTTACTTTAGCGGGGTAGCTTTTTGGTGGTGCTTGGCTTGTTGTGTCCATCCTTAGCGCACCTTTTTGGCTGGCAGCAGCACGTGACGTCCTTTTGGAGCCTTTCCGTGTTCCCAACGAGCCTTTGTAAATAATTTTCGAAATTGTAGGTCGTCCAGCTTGTCGCAACAATCCAAGGCTGCCACCACACGACCAACTCCATCCACCGACGACGTCCACCTCGTCACGTCTGCACGCAGGCGAGCCTAATTTACGCTCACATAATCGGCATCCCCCTCTTCTCGTCACCCGGCGTCGCCATCGTCCCTCCCATTTGCCCTCCGCAAGTCACCAGACAGCCGCCATCATGAAGCTCGTCCGGTACGTCGCGTCGTTGCGCCTCACCCACCCTTTCTCTGACCTCTGGCATCTCTAACCCCTTTTTCGTAGGTTCTTGATGAAGTGTGCCAACGAGACGGTCACCATTGAGCTCAAAAATGGCACCATTGTCCACGGCACCATCGCGTCCGTCTCGCCCCAGATGAACACCGCCCTCCGCAACGTCAAAATGACCCCCAAGGGCCAAGACCCAATCCCCCTCGACACCATGAACCTGCGCGGCAGCACCATTCGCTACTTTATCCTCCCCGACAGCTTGCCGTTGGACACCTTGCTGGTGGACGACGCGCCCAAGCCCAAGAACAAGGCGCGCAAGGAGTCGGACCGCACGGCCGGTGCAGGCGGCGGCCGCGGTGGGCCACGGGGCCGTGGCCGGGGTGGTCGGGGCGGTGGACGCGGCTTTGGCGGTGGTGGACGTGGTCGGGGCGGGTTCCGCGGGCGGGGGTAGACGCGGGCAAGTTGCGCGAAGCGAGACGTGGGCGAGGCTGTCCGTCTGCCTCGACCGCGTTGGGGACCCGCCTTTGGGTTTTGTTTTGCCTCGTTGCATTCGTTTCATTTCTGCCGGCTCTTTTTTTTGGTGTATGGATAGTCTGGCACGGTTTGTACTTTCATTTGCCTCTCCTGACATTCGTTGATTTCTTTACTATTTCTGTTTCTTTGGATTCCATTGGCGTTTACGGAACGTGCGCTGGGCAGCGGTGAGGGCCAAAAAAGAAGGGGCCAGAAATCATTTACGCGAGATAGAAAAAAAATAATGAATATGAGAAACAGACATTCCCTGGGAGACAGGAGTACAATTTCAATTCTATGACGCTCGATATATAGATGTAAATGCCCCTGTAAGGAAACGCAACGCTTTCTGCACAGCAGATGTAAAACCCAAACAACATGAAAGAACACCAGACGCCTTTGCGTGCAACAAGTTTCCCCCGTTAGTCGCGCCAAATGCGCACAATCTGCAGCTTCTCCCAGCCTGCCTGCTTGCCGCTGGAGCCGACCGTTTCTGCATGCCAGGACGCCGTCGCATCTGGGCAAGGCCACGCCCGAATACGCTCCTTGACGGCGCCGGGCCGGTTCTGGGCGCACAGCAAAATATAGGCACATCCACGCCCTGACAGCACGTCGGGCAGCGCCTCGAGCAGCCGGTCGGTCGTCTCCATGCCGTCGTGCCCGCCTGCGTAGGCCAGCTCCAGCAGGTGCGAGTCGCGGGCAAAGTCGTCGCGCGTGTCCGACTCGTTCTGGGGCAGACGCGGCGTCGGCACGTACGGCGGGTTGAAGAGCAGCACGTCCACCTGGCCGGGGCGCAGGGCCGAGACCAAGTCGGCGCGGAGGGCGCCCACGAGCGTGCCAGACACTGAAGGGCCTGCCTCCTGGACCGCGCGCCGTACTGTCTCTGCTGTGGCCGCGCAGGCAAACGTGTTGACGTCGACGGCCATGGCCAGCGGACGAGGAGCGGTCTCCCCGAAAAGGTGGGCAGCCTGTGCAACGACAAAGGCGAGCACGACACCGGAGCCGGAGCCAATCTCAACGACCAGTGGCGGTGTTGTTGGGCCCGAGCTCGTCGCCCCAAACCTCGACTGCAAAAACGCCGTCTCTGCGGGCAGGGCGAGCGTGTCCATCATGAGGAACGAGTCCTCGGCCGGCTCGTAGACGCGGCTGTATGGGACATGCGAGGTGTCTGGTGTGGGTAGCATGGTGGATCTGTGGATGTGGTTGTTGGGTAGATGAAGAATGTGCGCTTCGGAATGATTTGACGTTGAAAATCTCGAACTAGAGAGCCGCCACCAAAATACTGTTAGACGAACACCGCGCCGGAAGACAGACATCACCACTCTTTATTCTGTTCCCAGCACCTTTACTTTCGAGCGAAATTTCAAAGAAAAATAAAATAAAAATAACGACTTAACTAGTGGGCGATGCGTTTACCTGCAAAGTAGCATTTCAACAATAATGACCAGCGCTATTCTATCCAACCACACGCCCAAACAGTCCATTTGAAACCACCAAGCGAGAAGCGTCATCGTACTTTTAACAACACAACCCGTACTCCAGAATCCAATAAAATAAATCCAATGACACAAGGCACCATCAAGCAGAGTCCACGTCCCCGCATCTCCAGTGACTGGTCCGCCCTCCTCCCCTTCACATCACATCGCACCGGCACTCCAGCCCGAAATCCTGCGGGTCCGGTCCCGTCCCTAGCCGCATGCCGTTCTGCACGTCCAGGATGCGCCTCAGGTAGTTGCGGTCGTAGACGCCGCCGAGCGTGTGGACGGGGCACGGCACGGCCGACCAGGCGTGTTCGGCCTGGCGTTCGCGGTGGATGTCGCGGCCCGTAAAGAGTTCCCATACACTGGGTTTGAGGGCCGACGTGCCGTACCCAGAGGACCCGGAGCCGTGGCCGGCGCGTGTGGCGTACCCCGAAAAGAAGGAGGGACAGGTCGAGAAGCCCATGCCGGGGCCGCAGGGCTGGGCGATGGCCAGCCAGCGGCATCCGCACAGAGGGTGGTCGTAGTAGGCCGTGCGACACATTGCGGGGGCAGAGTGGCGTTTGTCGATGTTGTCGTGGAGATCATTGGGCAAAATGATGATGGCGACGGAAGTGAAGAAAAGAAGACAAATCGACAAAGATATCGTTGCCACAAAAGGCGGCCGCGTCACTGTGCAAAATGAGATGAAACGGAGGGGGCGTTCGGTGACGCAAGGAACAATGCAAATTGGGTATTCGAAAGAAAGAAAAGAAAAAGGGCGCAGGCTATCAACAACACCAGCACAATCTGCCAGCTATGTACACTTGTGTGACCATCACCTCTCATCGGCTGTCTCGTCCAGGTCCGTCATGGTCCCCGTGTGCTCGGCAAGCACGGCCTCGTCCTCGTCAATCACCTCGTCGGCCGCCTCGTGCGCAGCGTCGACGGCCTCTTCGTCGACATCCTCGCCTTCCATGTCGTCGCCGTCCTCCACTGCATTTTCGTCGGCGTCGTCGCCGTTGGTCCCTTTGGGGCCGCCTCGCACGCTTGGCGCTCCGCTTGGCGCTCGGCTCGACGTGCCCAACAGCTGTGCCAGCATCCCTTCAATGCGCTGCATCGACGCTTCCAGCCCGTCCAACCGCGTGCGCACGTCCTCGTCGACGGCCGTCGTCGGAGCACTGTCGTTTCCGTGCCCGTTCTCTTCGGCCTCCAGCTGCAACAACCGCTTCAGCTTGTCCGGATCCAGGCCGGGGAAGGCAATACTGTCCCGTCGGCTGGTACCCGTGGCTTTGGGTGGACGAGGCGTGCGGGCACCGCCCTGTGATGCGGCTGGTTGCGGCTGCGCCGTCTGGGCCTCGGCAAACTTGACGGTCGAACCACTCCGTTGCAGGCCACCGGGGCCGGTGCTGCCTGCATTGGATGCCGGGCGGGCCTCGGTGGACGCACCGTGTTGTGTCTGCCCAGGCCGCGCCTGGGTCTGCTGTTCCTGCTGACTCTGCGCTTGCTGCTTCGCCAGTGTGGGCACGGCGTCCGTCGTCTGCTGGCGGGTAAACTGTCGTCGGATCAAATGCCGTGTCAGGTCGTCATCCGCCGCAATCTCCTCCTCGACGGAATCGGGTGGCGGCATGTCAAAGACGGCCTGGATGTCCGAGTGGGCCGTGATGCGCCACCGGCCCCAGAACGAGTCACGGGCCGCACGAGCACGGGCGGCGGCGTATTCGGGGGACGTCGGGTGGGCGGTCAGGCGGCCGCGGGTGGACGTGGGCGGCCGGTTGAGGCCGGCTTCGGTGGAGCGGTAGGCTGAGTAGTGTTTCGAGTAGGGCGAGGAGGGCCACAGCAGGCGGCGTTCGGCAACGGCAATGACCAGCAAGATGGGCAGGTTGATGGACCGCACGCAGGCGACATGGATCTTGTGGAACCAGCGGGGACTGACGAGAAACTTGAGGGGCACAAGAACAAAGAGAGCCAGGATGTTAAAGGGCGGCTGGTAGGCAAAGATGGCGTCGCTCTTGACGCCCTCGAGGGTGAGGACGGCACGGCGGTACTGGATCTCGGCGGTCGCGTTGGAGACGATGGTGCTGAACGTGTTGGACAGCATGGATACGAGGATCGTCAGGAACAACGTGTTGCCGAGGAACGCAAAGGCCACCATCAGCGACGGACCCAGCAGCCAGTGGAACTCCGTCGAGCGGTGGATGCCGGTGCCGTCGAGACCGAACCAGATGTACACCATCCACTTGCCAATCATGACCACGGAAAACCGGCCCTCGCCAAGCCAAGAGAGCGACAACAGGAAGCCGGCAAAGCACCACGCGGCCAGGAACGTCAAGAGGGTGAAGTCGGCCACCATGGAGCGCAGCGAGACAAACAGCAGATTGTCAGACAAGACAGTAAACGCGATGCGCGGGATGAGCACAGGCGCGGCCAGAGCCATGACGTCCAGAGCCTGCTGGCCGGCACCGCCGGGTGCGTTGCCCGTGCGGAAACCCTGGATGCGTAGGAGGAGGTAGACCCAGTAGACGACAGCATAGGCCACATCCAAAAACGACCACAGGTTCTGCGTATAGACATGCCAGCCGTGCTCCAGAATGGTGGCAAACTGGTCGAGGACCCAGCCAAAGGAAAAGATGGAGAAGGCAAGCTCGAGGCCGCTGTAGCGCGCGGCGTCCCGCTCGGCCATGAAGCAGAGGTACAGGACGAGCAGCGTGGTAAACTGCAGCGACTCGAGGATGTTGCGCGTGCGCGGCACAATGAGGCGGTACTGGTTGAGGAGGGACGCGCCGCGCGGGTCGTAGAGCGCAATGGGCTTCTGCTTGTAGCGGTCGGGGATGAGGTTGAGAAGACTCGAGGGCGTGTACGTGACGCGGCCCACGTAGATGGCCTCGATGACCTTCTGGCAGGCCGTGGACGACAAAAACAGCTTGGCCTCGCTGAGAATGGCCACCTCGAGCGCGGGCAGCGACCGCCGGTAGAGCCACGCCGCATCGTGCCCTGCCGGGTCCGCGGCGTCCTCGGCATAGCTCGGCCGCACGGTGTCGGGCGCATTCTGGAACGGCTCGAAGCCGGCCACCAAGATGTGCGACAGCACCAGCAGCCCCTCGAGCCCCTCGTTGTCCTCGTTGAAGCGCCGCAGGATGCGGTGGGCAATCAGCTCGCACAGCGTCGCCCGCGTAAAATTGACGTTTTGGCGGTTGCTGAGGTGCGCCTGCTCGTGCAGGAAGCGCGCCCGGTTGACCAGCAGACAGTAGACAATGGAAATGTCGTCGAGCTCGTACAGCTTGTCGACGAGCGGGCGGACCACGGACAGGTTGATGCGCATGTCGTGCAGCTGCTCGGGCGACAGGTAGTCCTCGACAACCGACACAATGTCGCGGCGGATGCGGTGGATGTTGGTGTAGACGGGCAGGTGGGTGTGCGGATTGGTGGTGCACGAGTAGATGGGGTCGGGCTCGAGGTCGTGGTTGAAGGTGCGCCGCATGGGATGCAAGAGCGGCTGCCGCTCGTCGTGGTCGGTGTTGGTGGCGTACGACGCCGTAGACGTCGCGGTGCCGGACCGTGAGCGACCATGACTGCTGGCCGGGGGCGGCGTCCGGGCCGGCCGCGGCGTACGAGCTGCCATGTTCGGCGATCGTGGCGGCGGTGGCCCCGATCCTGTCCCAGATCCGGATCTGGACCCAGACCCGACGGCCGTGCCGGTACTCGTCCCGGACGCCATTCCGTCGTGTACACTCTCGGTCGTCACGTTTCGGCGCAAAGGGTGTGGTCGGTGGGAAGGGTGGTGTGGTGCCGGTGAGGCTGCAGCCAATCCGCGTTTCGACGGCTGCATCGTCGAGGGCGAAGGCGGTGGTGGTAGATGGTACTCGGTGGGGGTGGGCTCGAGACAAGAAAGGAATCGTTGAGAGCTCGCGCTGAGGGCTCACACTGCCGCCGTCGACGTCGAAATGGGTCACGCGGGAGGGGCCACAACGTTGGCCATGATCAAGGTTGAAAGAAACCAAGAGAGAAAGTCGATGACGCAGACCAAAACAGAGGAACGAGGCGAAAAGCGAAACAGGGCGACAACGACGGCGTACGACTCGGCGAAAAGGCCGCAGATCGGTCGAAATCAACGCAGACGATGACAGAGCACGACGGTAGCAGCAGATGGCGCGGTGGTGGTGGTCAATTGTGGTGACAGGTCAAGATGGGAGACAAATGTACGCGACGAAACTCGATGTTGAATGGATGCAGAGTTCCCTTATCACCTGTCATTGCTTGCAATGGCCTTTTGGCAGTGACGCAAAGGCTACAGCGGGAAGGAGCAAGGGGGCTGGCCACTAAGGCGAGACAACACTGTTTATGTGGCTGCACCGTCTAGAGTCTAGAGGCCTTGGCTTGGCTGCAGCAGCGCCTCTTCAGAGGCTCGGTCTGGACTCTAGGCTTGGCCTGGCAGGCCTGGCAGTATCACTGGGATGCATGCCCACTAAGGCGGTTGGTCATCTATCGCTTCGACAATAGTAATAGGCACGAACAACAATATACATGTCCATCCGAAGTAAACAGACGAGTTTCGTGAATATTGAGAATAATTGAGACAAAATCTGCTGATGTATTAGAAGCCAAATCCAATACGTCGATTGCCTCGTCGGAAGTTAACAACTCCTCACATGTTAATTTGTAGATCATCAGATATAATTAGACTTCCAACACTTTGGTGCAACAGATTGATGGCTTGTACTTTAATGATTCGGCGAAAAATCATTCCATTCAACCAAGAAAAGTCAAAGGCTGCCTGTTGTGGTTTCTTTCTACATGTGTAAAAACGGGTAAAAGCCGCAAGCACAAAAAAAAGAAGAAAATACGACGAGGCGATGTAAAGCGACGCAAACCGAAACCAGTGCGTCGTTTGTCATACAAGAGTCCTCAAAACATGCGGCACAATCCAGAAGGATGACCATTTGTGCAATCGTGGTGCATACATAGCAGGAGAATAAAGTGAATGGGAAACGGCGGCTTGAATTGGGCATGCCGCATGCTTTTGTTGCATGTTGTGTTACCTCGGCGAACAATCTCTGCGAACGAAGAACAGTCACAAAATTCGAGGGCAGAGTGCAGCATGGGCAGCTGAGTGGAAACGAAACTCACATGCAACTTCTTGCTCGAACGGGCTTCGTGCAGATGCAAGTAACCGTACTGAACCGCCATCACAGTGGCCACTGTATCCAAAGGCTCCTATACGAGGCAGACGTCCAGCCACCGGTCTTTCTGCGGTCCGCCCAGAATTATCGTGTGTCCGAGGAGAAGAAATGTTGTCCGAAACAGACAAGTCATATAGCAATCGAGGCGAAGACCCGAATCTGACCAAAACCGGCAGCCTCTTTATGGCAATCCTGCAAACTGACGGAAAGGAAAGAATGGAGGAACCACAGGCCGACAACGAACGACAACAATCAGACAAACTAGTTGCACTTGCTGTTGTCGAGTGTACGCTTACATAAATGGACATGTCAACAAGTACCCTTACGGCAGTAAACAAAGCAGAGACCAGGTCCAGACGTGATAAGAGGCAGGCCGTAGCGAGGAGTGTCGGTGTGCTTGTTTTCGGCTAGACGCAGGCTCGGTGTGATGGGGTGAGAAAAATGTGGCTTGAGAAAACAAACGAAATGGAAAGCATCGAAAGGTGCGAGAGGTTTGACTCAGAGCCGTGTCAACGAAAAGGCAACCGGGAAGGACAAAACAATACTGCTGATGCATTGTCATGTGGGACACGCGTCACGGGTGAAGCCTGGCTTCACCTATGTGTCGTCTCTATTGCCGTCGTTGATGGCCAACAAGATACAACATCAGATACAAACTTGTACAAAGACATTGATGACGATGCCTCCTCCTGGATACACTGTCAATTGGAAGTCGTTGTTTTGTACAGTGATGTTCCATCGCACCCGGCACAAGCTGAGCAGATAATATTGAACAAAACTGAACAAATCACAAGGAGCACAAAGTCTACTCCCTGCACTTTGTAGTTCCAGCAACGTATACTGGAACACAAACGTAATTAATTGTGGGAATACGACGGGAGGTCTGGAAAAGAAAGAAAAAGAAAAAGAATAAATAGCAATGCCCCTTAGCATTATGGCAATTCGTAAAGGTTAAGTGCAGTAAGAAAGGGGGTCTTAGTGACTGTGGCGGATTTTTGCAAGATACTTTGCGTTTATGACAGGTGTCTCTCTGCTAAGCGGGCGTAACAAATAAGCCACTACAAAAGGAAGTGAAAATGAGTAACTTGCCCTCCAGTTATTAAAAAAAAAATCGAAGAGGAATTGAGTTGCTGGGCTACTACGAGAAACGAACATCGAACATGAACCACTTTGGCCACGGCCGATGAAGATGCTCCCTGGCTGTTTGCTGGGAAAAGGATGAGAAATCATGGTAGTAATATAGTTGCATACTATTTTCGACGGGCCCGTGAATTATTCGAGTCCGAATAGGGAGGACCCAAAGCCGGCCAGAAAGTGGGAAGAACATGGCCTCGTCTACGAAAGAGGTGTGGCAGCACGATGCACTTTGCGTGTACCTAACGGAGCGTAAATGTAAATACAACTCAGCCTCGCAGACACCATCGCTGTCCATCGCATTCAGCGCTAGAGTTCGCACTTGTGCCCTCTGACCGATGACATCAGCTGTTAGCCCGCATCTGGTTCGAGGTTCTACCTTACAATCAGTACTTCTCTTGCGTTTGTGAACTGGCAAGTTTCGATTTGCGAGTTTTGATTTATTTATTATTTTTCGATTTAATTTTACCATCTTCTGGGACTCAACAGCGTTTGATTTACCCAGGAAGGGGCTGAAGGCAACCCAACCAAAGAGACTATTCGTAAAGACCACGAGAAAGGAGGGAAAGAAGCAAACCGGGCCCAACTCTACCGATGGCTTTTTCTTTTTCGTTTTGTTCGAATGCTCGTTCTAATTTTACCATCGTCTTATCCCGCTTTCTGTTATCGTCTAGCCCTTTCAAATGCGACGTATATCTCTTCACTTTCATGGGAAGCGAGCTTGGGCATGACCTAGTTCCGGTTGGTCAGAACCGCCCACACTTCGAAAAGTATCTGTCATTGGAAGCATGGTCAGCATAGACAAACAGACGAGCACACTGAAGTCCGTCGCCCCATTATAGCCAACAAAACGTTTTGCACCTTCATTCCGTCAACCTTCGTAATGCTTATTGGTGCGTGTTGGCGCTGCTTTCGTTGCTGCCCTTCGCCCCAATTGTGCTCCTGATCTCATCACAAATCGTTTCTGCATGTTTGGGGCGTGTTGGCGCCCACACTACACCAGAAGAGTACATTGCCAGACACGCTATTCTCACGACGTCTTTAGCGACGTTATCCCACCGCTAAAGTGCACCGCACAATGGCCGCCCTATCCGATGTGAGGGAGGTTGGGGTTTTATGTCCAGCGCTCCAACATTCTCATTTGCATCCTTCCGTGTCGTTTCTGCGTTGGCTGTGCCTTTTTGCAAACGAGCTCTTTATTGCTCCCTTTACACGAGTGCAACAGAGGCTGTGATCGGTGTCTCCTATTACACATCCTCGTCCTGCATGGTAGTTCTTGGTCAGCTCACTTGCACAGGATGCCTCTCGCCTCTCCCTTCCTTTGGGCCCATGCATTTTCCCCCTGCAGGTGGTAAGGCGACATGCTGGGGTGATGAGATATTTTTACTTCTTTATAGTTTTCTCGCTCCGCACAGCGCCACGTAAATACGTAAAATGGGACGCGGAAGCCACGGACATCTTTGACCCAGACCTGGTCCAGAGACTATCCCACGGAAGGCCTTATGTTCAAAGCGATGACCTTTATAGCCTTCGCCGGTGGGACCACGCCTAGTGAATCGGTATAGTTCCGTACGCCTTTGTCACTACGGATCCCTGCTACTCACTTACACAGTATGCCGAAAGGCGTGTGTGCTTTAGAATGTGCATCGCCCCGTCCGCCTTGTGTATGGGCGTAAATTTTACAGGGCTCTCTAAACAGCGAATGTGCATAGGGTCCGGTATTTCTTCTTTGTAAATTTCCACTTTTGTTGACACCCAGTTGTGAACACAGTTGTGAATGCAAACATCCACAGGCGCGCCAGGGGGGCCGAATATTTCCCAACATGCAAATGAAATGGGGCGTAACACATAGAAGCCATTGGAAAGAGCACAAGACACGAGGAGGAAAAGGACAAAGCCGCTCGGTCACACAAATATAATGCAAGCTGAAATGCAGACCTGCGGGGGGCCAGGAAGGCGGTCTGTTGTCTGTTCATTACCTGAGATACATGAAAAAAGAAATATGGCCAAGGACAACTCTTTCCCTAAGAAGGCAAAGCTACATGGCTGGCTCACCAAACATTTACCCGTCTACCTTGTATTTCGAAAAAGACACTGAGCTCGGCCCTCCAACATTTATAGGGACAGGCCCAGCATTTTGGTATTGCCCTCCGTCGAATTTACTCCGACTGCATCGGAAGCAATTACGCCAACACCACCAAACCGAGGGTTCATAGAAGCCGGCATCGAACTTGCCTAGCATGGCGACTTGTATTGCTCCGTATTTTACAGACTATTCTCTGGGACTCCTTCGCTACAATCGTCTGAAACTTGTAGATTGGTTATTGGTTGCCGCTGAAACACTTTTACATGTAACAACATATACTGCAAACGAAATGCCTGGCAATCGTGCACTGGACGATACGCTGTGCTGTGGTACTACGTAGTGGCGAACCAAGTCTGCTCATTGCCCAAAACGGCAATAGTTTGGTATCAATGTCATCTGAAGGATGGACACTCTGGACGGCAAGACCCACCCACTCAATGACTGTCCCAATACGGAAGGCACTGTGACCGATGGCGCTCAGAGAAAGAGCGCAGGAGGAAAACGCAGAAAGGGAAAGAACGATGCTGCCGTAAACAGCATCTACCCCCTGAGGAAGAAGAATCCCGCAGATAAACATTCAGACATTGCAACGTATACACTTCTCTTCTCAACACCTAGTGACGACAGCTATTACTCAACGCGACGGTTTGTGGCGACGTCTTTCGTCGAGTTTGTTGCTCAGCGAGCCTGTGAACACCCGCCGAAGCTCCACCATCTGGGAGACCAAAACTACGGCGGTGTCAGCGACGAACATCAATAGCACGATTGTCATCGAAGGACGTCAGGATTCACCAACGCGTGGGGCACTACTACAGCCAAATCCACACTGCATTACTGCTGGCACTGGTCGTTTTTCAGCACACTGGTTTGCGAAGCGTTACTGCACCTCCGCGTGCACCTCCGCGTGCACCTCCGCGTGCACCTCCGCGTGCTCCTCTGTCGATGTTGATGCTGGACAGGCCCTTTCAGCAAATGCATTTCCGCGGATGAATTAACCAGGGTCGCTGAGGCACAAACAGAAGCGTTGCGCCACTAGGCCACCAGATTAACTGCCAGTTTGAGCCTCAGCCCAGTAGGCCGCCTCTCTGATGTCCTGATGTCTGTCCGTCCATGAACACACTCTAATTGTCAAGTGCGCCGACTGCAGATACCTTCGACAGCCACGAACGTGCTTGGCAGCGTTTTGTCCTTGAAAGCTGGAGACAAGCTCGGCAAGAGTGCAAGGTGATTGGCAACAAACTACCATTCGCAGCCTAGGACTGGTCCGGCCCCCCCGTCCTGCGTCCTGGCTGGCTGAGATCAAGGTACGGCACCCGCCTCGCCGCTTCCCGACTCAGACGCCCGTTTTTGTAGTTCCCTTGTTCGAAGTACAGGGTACGTTGGGACAAAGGGTTGTTTAGGTTGTTAAGCGGCCAGATCCAGCCCAGTCCAGCCCCGTCCGGCCACAGCTCAAATCCTTCCCCTCCTTTCGTTTCGCGGTCATCCTGCGCCCTTGGTTCGTTGCTTCTTTGCCCCAACGGGTACAGCGGGACGAGCAGGCCAAGCCTTGGACACCAAATAGAGTCTGGCCACATGCATCAGCTGGTCCTCGTTTGGATAACGGACTGGTTTGCTCTGAGACTGACCTGGTGTCCGATGCTGCTTGTTGGTTTCCTGTCTTGCTCGTTCTTTTCTTGCTGTCGTTCCGCCTCCCTTTTCTCGATTCCATTCTTTCTTTTCGTTCCATTTTTTCTTTCCTTTCTTGAACAAGAGGCGGCCGACTTTCTTTATTCCTCGTCCCGGGCCTGCTTATCACTGCTGCCCTAACGAGCACCCTCGCACCAAAGCCTCACATCCGTCTCGGACCCTTATCAGTCTGCTTCCCATCTGCTACCCGCCGCTCACACCCAACATCCGAAGACCAACCAGCTCGCCGAAAGCTGGACATCGTTGCGAACCACGCGACTGGCCGGCAAACCAACTCTTACGACGGCATTCGGGTTTCCGTTGTTCCAAAAGGATATCGCCGACACCTCAAACCAGAGTGTAAGATATCATTACGTCGCTGTTGCAAGCATAACACACTGCGCACGCAAACACAACGCACAACGGCGCCTCTATCTAGTCATCTCCGTGCAGACGATTGTCAAACCTCGCGGCACAAATACACTGCCACGCAGGAAAGCTGTATGCATTCTGCGTGCAATCACACCGGACACACTGGTACACGCACACGCTCCAAGCGGACGCACAAGCTCTGCACACCCCTTCCAACCGCCGACGCCGAAACCCCTCCTCTCCAGGTCTACCCATCCTTACCTTTTTTTTACGAGAGGGGTTCCGGCCCTGTTCGTTTGTAGCAACTGAAGCGCAGACAACTACAACTTTGTTACAAGATAGAAAGCTGTGGCCTGAATGAAGCTTCCGAAGGGCCTTTCAGGGATTCCTTGCAAGACAGCCATTCGGCCTCATTGGGAATTGCTCCGCTGTGCGTGCGTCGTCCCGTAATCTTTTCTTTTGTTCTGTTGGAACGGTTTCCTCCCATCTCACAACGTTGGGGCCTCTTCTGTCATCCCTATTCCCATTCCATTTGATTCATATTACTTTGCCCTCATTGCCCTCGTTTTGTTCTTACAGCTGCCACACACCCATTCACACTAAGCCACCATCAAAACAGCTGCATCGTCTCCAGTGAAGCGGACCACTAAAGGTGGAACGAGGACTGTCCCGCGACCGCTTCCTCACTTCACACTTGGGCTCTGCCACCCTCGCTGTCGCCTTCGTGCATGCATCCGTGCATACGTGCCTACCATTATTGCTGCTCGTTTGCCTGACCAAGCACGCCTGCCGACAAATAGTCACACGCCTTTGCCCCATTCCTTTGTCGGTTGCCTTTATTGGCAGTCTGCTCGTTTTGTCGCCCGTCTGTTATTTAAGCACATTACCTCGCACTTTCTTCTCCACGGCTCTGCTGCCTTGCTTGCTTTTGTGTGAACAGTTTGCACGACAATACCCTCTAACTGTTCGGTTTCTCTTTTTTATCCTCTGTCTTTGCTTCATCCTGATACGAAGAACTCAGGGTATTGTCGTATTTTCGCTGCGACAACTTGGTTCCTGCGGCTCATCATCGTCTCGCTTTCAGCTGAGACGACGACATTTGCTGTTTCTCCTTTCGCCGGCACCGACGGCATCTCACGATCCGATTACGACCCAAATGGTACATTGTGTCAGAAACGCCAACCCAATACCGTCTCGTTTCGTAGCAGCGACGAAACGAGGCCTCTCAAAGAATTTCAAAGAACAATAGAACAACTCTTGTTTTTCGCCCCATTGCCCTTTCCAGCCAGAATCTCCCTTTCTTTTCTTAACCTTTCATTCCTGCCCGAATTACTTCGCTTCAAATCCGACGACTAGTTGCCAGTTGACTGGCGACGAACTTGGATCGCCTGCATCATGGAAGACACAGAGATGTCCAACGAAAGAGACTCGCGAGAGCAAATGGTGCAATTTCACCCATCAGACAATGCGCCGCGTGCGGCTTTTCAACTTCAGTGTCCCTTCTTCGCACACGTGCATCCGATGCCTACAGCTCAGCAGTCCCACGGCCTCGATCCGATGCATTCATACCTTTGGGGACACCCGCAATATCAAGGGCAGCCTTACGTCCCCCTCGACAACGCCGCCATATCCCAACACTTGTTGCGACAACAACAGTTGCAGCATCGTGCATATTTGTTACAGCACCAGTATTTCCACCATCGCCAACTTCAGATACAAGAAGCGCTCTATTCGCAGCTTCCACAGCACCTGCCCGACCAAGACGCCGAACGACAGCCTGAACCAGAGCAAGGGCAGGAACAGGAGCCGGAGCAGGAGCAGGAGCAGGAGCAGGAGCAGGAGCAGGAGGAGGAGGAGGAGGAGGAGGAGGAGGAGGAGGAGGAGGAGGAGGAGGAGGAGGAGGAGGAGCAGGAGCATGAAGCAGATCGGCGAAGATCGCAACCACTGACGCCTTCCTTCGCAGCAACGGCGGTATCACCAGCTTCCCTACCGCCATCGCCAAGTGACTCTCTTCCACAAGCACAGACGACTTCTGGTGCGACAGCCGCCAGAAATAGTAGCAGTAGAACGTTGGAAACGGCCTCATCAGGCCCAGGGCCTGCAACACCGCGGGCCGCCACAACCTCGGAACCTTCTAGCGTACAAGGAATTCACCAGCTGTTAAGTGCTGAAACGTATCTTTTATCGCCAACGACGCCGGGGTCACAACCAGCATCTTCGTCACATCCGTCGCAGCCTTCACTCAATCCGCAACTAAATTCTTTGGCGACCGGCCACTGGCCCCGGCTTGCGGGCCAGCAACCAGCCGCACACCAGCCCTCCGGGTTCACAGCCAACTTTGGTTATCGGGTACTTCCCCAAACACACATCCACGAACATAGACGGCACCGTGACGACGAGCGAAGTTCAGCACAGCAGCAAGCGGCACGGGCACCGACCATGACTGTAACGGCTACAATAAGAATGACAGCTACGACTGCTACTTCAGGCAGGCAAGCCACGCAGGCTGAGGCTTTGATGCATCAATCTCCCGTAACCGCTGCGGGAACAGCGTCGATATCGTCTTCAGCATTGTCTATGGGAGCATCGCCGAATCCGATGCCAGCTGAGGCTCCTGCTTCGGCTGGCCCGTCTCAAGAACGACGGGCGTCTGCCAGGCGCTTCTCGAGACGAGATGGGATGGTGAGCCCGAATTACGGCGATTCGCACCCATATGACGGTTCGACTAGTGAAGGCTCTGACTCGGAGGTATTGCCTCCGCCGTACGTGGTGATCCCATATTCAGACTTTGCGGAAAACTCCGTACGACAGGCTCAAGCCCGTGTGCGTGACGAGCCTACCGAGCGCGCTCGCCACTTCGTTCACAACAGGGGCATGTTTCGCTCCAAGTCGCTGTTTAGTTTGATGAAGCCTGTGAAGATCGATGACCTGGAGGAAGACGACAGGATGTGCATCATCTGCTACAACGACTTTGGTGTTTGCGCGCCCGAGGGCATCGTCGAGCACCCTCTCCGGATGCCCAAATGCAACCATGTGTTTGGTCACCACTGCATCCGGCGGTGGCTGGTGCAACACAACACTTGTCCGTACTGCCGCGGTCGCATCGAAGATCCGACAACCGACGGGCACCGTTCAGCGTCAGGCAGCTTCCGTCGATTCAACGCAAACCTGCCTTTCAGTTCCCCCTCTCAAAGTAGCCGATTTCCATACCACCGGTCTGGACTCTTTGCAAGCTCCGATGTTCGGACTCCGACGACATCGACTGCCGCGGGCTCTAGCACGGGTACGGCCAGGACGGACGACAGCACGAGCAGCTCTCGGCATACAGCTGTTGGAGAACGGAGGCCGGCTTCGTCCATGGATTCTTCGGAACAGCCGCCCCGCCAGCGTGCTAGAACTCGCCACGTCCCGTCCCGCTCTTCGGCCGCTGCCGTCGGCACATATCCGCACAATACTCTCCACATCCAAGGCAACTTGCAAATGCAACGCCAGCCGCCGCCCACATCTCACGCGTCGATGCCAACCTTTTGGCATGTTCCTTTCAATGGTATGCAGTCACCACCGGGTCAGCTGCCTCCGAACCCATTTTTGTCGGCCTCCGATCAGCCCAACGACTACTCGGTGCCGTTGCGTCGTCCCAGCCACCCCATGCAGGGTGCACAAACGTTGCATACACACGCTGCCTCTTCCAGCATCAATAGCAATAGCAACAGCAACAACAACGGAGGGCCGAACATGCCGGCCTGGGGCATGCCGGTGCTCCCCTTACCAACGGCGTCATCGACCGCTGGTTTACCAGCCAACGCAAGCCGGCCAGTCTATTCGACCCCGTTCAACCACCAGCTCCCTCTATCGCTACAGCCGATGCCGACGCCCTCTTTTGTCTCCAACCCCGGCATGCAGCACACACAGCAACCGACGGCCATGTCAGCCTCGGCCCAAACATCGCCGGTGGTGACCCAGCTTCAGGATCTTGCCACCGAAACCAATACATCTTCTCATCACACCGCACCGTAATACAGACCTGTCACCTCATTCATAATGTCATATAGACTACTCAGAATTGTCCTTTTTATGGGTTTTTTTTTCGGCTTTCATCTTTTATTTGCCATTTTAACTTTTTCATTTGTCGTTTTGCTCAGTACCTTTTGTGTTTCGCATTTGCATACACCCGCATTCTTCGCCGTTGCATAGCGTTGTCTACATGCATTAGTATCGTATTTGTTTACCTCTCTCTTTTCTTTCTTTTCCTTTGCCTCTTGGGCGGCATCATACCAGTCAACGGCGTTTGGAAATACGACACGTGCTTTGGGATTCATTCGGTTGCGTCGAAGACCTTGCCTGCATTGGTTTATTTTGCTCGGCCCAATTACTTTTACCCATCTTGTTCACGTTGCTGGCCCTTTCTGTTTTGTTCGTTTGTATCTGTTACCAGCAGCACCAGTGGCGTAATAAAGTTGCGTTTGGATGACAATTCAATATACGAGCTTAGTCGAGCGGCCGTCATTTACTGAGCCAATGGCCCACATGTGGTGTCAGCTGTGGTATCAGTTGTTGTACGATTCCAACAGAACAAACAGTATAAAGTAAGCAATAGTGTGGCAAGCAATGAAAAGCGTGCATTTTTTTAGTCCAATGCAATTTGGCTATATGTACAAAAGTTGGTGGTACTAACCGATTCAACGGTTCGGTACACATGATGACACATGGTTGGCAGAGATGCAGAGTCCAAAGCATGTCGGCGCAAGACGTCCATCGTCACCCGGGAGTCCCTCCCCCTCCCCCCGCCCAGCCTCCTCCCTTATAACTTGGCCTTCTCGTCGTCGTCGGCCCCGTGCAGCTCCCGCGCCTCCTGGATCATCGTCCAGGCCAGCTCGGCCAGCGGTTGCCGCGCGTTGGCGTACGACAGCGCAATCTCCGAGCTCGCCTGGCGGCCGGCCACACGCGCCGCAATGCCCTGGCAAATGGCCGCCTGGCGGAAAATGTTAAAGGCAGCGGCCCAGCGCAGCTCGGACGGCGTGGGCGTCCAGCCGGCCTCGGCAGCGTACATGGCGGTGATCTCCTCGGGGGTCGGCAGGCCGGGCAGCTTGCCGGGGACAAACAGCGGGTGGCCGTTGTGGATTTTGCCGGACAGGTGGGCGGTCTGGAAGGGCGTGAGGAGGTTGAGCAGGTCGCTCAGTGGGTGGCCGCGGGTGGACATTTCCCAGTCGAGGATGCCAATGACCTCGGGAAACGTCTTGTCAAACACCATATTGTCAATCTTGTAGTCGCCGTGGATCAGCGTGGAGCGGTCCCGGGGCTGGTAGCGCGGGTCGCCGAAGAAGGCCATGGTCGCCTCAAAGTGCGGCAGGGCGCCGACGGGGACGCCCGTCTCCTTGTCCTTGGTGCCGGCCTGGGCGGCACAGATCTGCTGCCACGTGGCAATCTGGCGGTTGTAGAACCCCGCGGGCTTGCCGTAGTTGGCCAGGCCGACGGCCGCCGGGTCGACGCGGTGCAGGCGCGCCAGCGCCTTGACGGCGGCGGCCCACATGGCGCGGCGGCGGCCCGGGTCGTGCTGGATTTCGTCGTCGGGGATGGCCGGGTCCTCGATGATGCGGCCGTCGAGGAAGCTCATGACGTAAAAGGGCGTGCCGATGACGCTCGCGTCCTCGCATAGGCAGTAGGTACGGGGCACGGGGACGCCGGTCTGCTTGGCGCGCTCGGGGTTGCCGCCGAGCGCGGCCAGAATGCGGTACTCGCGCTCGACCTTGTGGGCCGTCTTGGAGACGAGCTGGCCTGGGGGCTTCTTGCGCAAGACATAGCGGGCACCGGAGGGAGCGGTCAGCTGGTAGGTCGGGTTGGACTGGCCAAAGCCGAACTAGACGACGGGCGGTTAGAGAGGAGGAGGACACAGAGACAAGAAACAATGCGACAAGGGCGCACGTAGGAGCGACAAAGACAAACCTGCTTGATCTCAAGAGGAAGCTCAACCTCCGGCACGTTTTGCCGGAGGTAGTCCTCGAGCTTCTTGAGATCAATGGGATGCCGCACGGGGCCGGCCATTGTGGTGATACGGAAATGTGAGAGGGAGGGAGGAAGAGGAGAGGGGAGAGCGAAGAGAGACGAGCGAAGTCGTCACGAGAAAGTATGAGGACGACGGTGAGGAGACAGAGGAACGGGGGCATGCAACGAGCAAGGGAAAGACAAGGAGGAGGAGAAAACAATAACAAAATAAAAAAGACAGGAACGTCCCAGGAAGAGACCCGACCAAGTTCGTCCCTTGCCCTGTGTTGTAATACCAGTCAGTATCCGCCAGATGTGTCTTAGTTTGAACCAAAAAGGCTGCGCAAGGATTCAGATATTGCCGAGGACATAAAAGTTTAGAGAAGACAGAGAATAACAAGAGTCCAAGCTTCGTTTTGGGCGCTGTTTCTTCGCTCCTTCTGATTTTTTATTTGTTTTTTCTGGGATAACGAGGTTCAATTCACAACTATGGGCTTCAATGGAAGGCGCGGCCGCCGTCCCTGCATCTTACGGATTGTCTGGCCCGCCGCAACCAGCCGAGGTATCGGATCTCTGATCTTTTGGGGAAAGAAGGCCATTCTCTTTTGGAAGGCGCGTGAGCACGGTACGGGAAGAAAAGCGGGGACGTCTTTGACTGGTTGTCCCCCACACCTTTGGGGGCTCTTGGTCCACTTATTTCTCTCGCAGCTGTTTGTCGAGTATTCTAAAGTCGCCCAATCCACCCACTATAATTTTGTTCACCGCAGCGGGTTACGATATCCGGGGTGCACTGCACAACTTGCACCAACGGCCACGCGCTGCTCAAAATCATCGTCACGAAACAACGACTCATAGGCCGGGGAACAAGGCGAATCATTGTGCTGGTAAGTTAGCCTTGGCCGTCTGGCCGAACACGTTCTTCTTTTGACACAACTGTCTATTCATTTGCTTGTCTTGTTCCCAATTCGTCACGGCCTGCTTCATGCATTTCGTGATCTGATGAGATACAATTCTATATTTTTATTTTATTCATGGCCTTTTTGTACTTGATTTGGCATCGACAGCACTCTGGCTCTGCACAGTTGTCTTTGATTATGCCTGCCCATATCCCGTTCTTCTTCCCGGCCCTTTCCCGTTGAAACAGAACGCCCCGGTATATTAACTTGCAGAGAAAAAAAGACGCATTTGACAACAGAAAAACAGAAAAGGAGAGGTAGAACAACAGAAACATCGCCCAGCCTATTACATTGAGAAAAAAAAAAAAAAAAAAAAAAAAAAAAAAAAAACAAAACGATTTCCATTTTGATTTCACGTCGCCACATTGCTATATTGTACAGCCCATAGATTGGGGATGAAAAGGGAAACTGAGTGCTTCAGGTATGCGCACCCCTGTCTTAGTCGACTTCTTCGATATCGTCGTCGCTGAGGTACAGGTTGTACATGGGCAGCCCCGGTAGCGCATCCAGGTCTTCGCCGTCGTTGACCTGCATCTTGCTAGCACGCCCGTTCGCCGGTGGTGGTGGAGGTGCTGGTTGTCGCCCATAGGCCTGCAGCGGCCGCCGCGGTTTGCGGGGGCTCGACTGCGAGTCGTCCGTTGGCCGGTCGGTGGCCCAGGCGTCGTCGCCCATGCTCATGCCAGCGCCAATGCCAAAATTTGCGTCAGCAGCGTCTTCGTCGGCATCGTCGTTGCCCGTGGCTGCCGCGGCCGCCCCGATACCGTGGAACGAGACCACTTTTTCGAGGTCGCGCATGCCCATGGACCCGAAAGAGCAGCGCTTGCTACGGGCGATGAGGGCCATGTAGGGCAGGCGTTCGAGCAACAGTTCTTTTCGCGCCGAGCTGCCGAGCGAGAGGAGCGGTGGTGGTGGCGGTGACGATGAGGTTTGTGACGGTTTCTCCGTCTTCTCGGAAATATTGGCCAAACTGCTCGCGCTGTGGTCCGAGTGCTCCTTCTTGATGACGATTCCCTTTCGGTCGGTGTCATCGTTGGTGGTTGCCACACGTGCTTGGCTCGAGCTCGGGCCAAAGCCCGATGCCTGGCTGCTGCTGTTGCCGTTGCTGCTAAACCGCGGTGCAGGCCGGCGGAACGACAGCGCCCGGTTGCCCCCGCTCTGTTGTGTCGACGGTGGACCACCGCCTTGCTGAACCACCTCACCCCGAAGCAGTTTCGACGACCAGACGTCAACCAATGCCTCCATCTCTTCTCGGTTCCGCCACAGTTTGAGGCTCATGGGGTAGAACATCTTGAACTGGTTGCCGCCTCCGCCTGCGCCTACGCCCACGCCGCTGCCGTTACCATTCCCGCCGTCGCCTCGTTGGTAGTGCCCGCCCGACGACCGCTTGACGGGCGACGGCAGCGAAAAGAGCAGGCCACGGACGGCCACCTGGAAAGCCATCTCATCCTGCCGCAATACGTGGCTGCCCGAATCGCGTCCAAAATTCGACCGGTTCGAGCCGCGTCCGCCAAAGAAAATGTCCCACGTCGGGCACAGCAGGTCGCTCTCAGATAAATACTCGATGCAGCCATTTAAGTAGTCGATGGAAGACATGGGATCGTGAGGCCCGGTCTGCTCGCACGACAAGGCGTAGTTCTCGTGTAGGGCGGAAATAAAGGTGTGGGTATCGGTACCAATCTCGTCGATAAGCGTATCAGCGGCGACGAGCGTGCGCTTGGGCCGGGCGTGGTGCGCAAAATAGTCTGGCAGCATCTCGGCCAGGGCTTCTTCAGTGTCTGGCGGTCGCGGCAGATCTTCCCGCTTGTTGTAGACGACCTTGCCAACCGCATGGAAGACACCGAGGCTGGCTTCGCGCTGCGAGACCATCTCAAGCGTCTCACGCTCGCCCTTGGTGAGGGCCGCGTCCTTGGGTCCCTTGCGGCTTTTCGTAAACGCCACCTTGGCGCCCCAGTCGCCCTGGTCATCGCCCTTGACGCAAAGGAACTCGAGCGACGCCACAGCGCTCCGCACGTCGCCAACCTCGCCAAGACGCTTGAGGACCAGCGGGCCCGGCGTCCGTCGCCGGCCCGACTTCCTGGCCTCTTTCTGTACAATCAGCTCCAGGGCCTTTGCGAGAAGCGACGGCGCAATGGAGTTGAACTCGATGAGGCCAGTGCCTGGGTGTCGGAGAATTTCGGGGCCGAGGAGGCGGTGGGCCGTGAAGCTGTCGGCCGAGGCTGATGTAGTTGTAAGCAGGGTCTCGGAAACAATCATAATTACAGGCGCAATGGTGTCCGGGTCAAATGATGCGCGCCGCTGCGCGTATGCCGCTAACGATGGGGTGTTGGTCGCCAGATATTGCAGTACACTGTTGCGGAAACCGGTCAACGCGCTCGACGAGCGCATAAAAGTGTTTGGGAACTCTTCAATGACAATGACCTTGCGCCGCCGAGGTGTCGAGAGATCGCTTGATTTGCCGTTTTCGTTACTGTTGCCATTCGTTCTTGCCGTTTGTCTCGACGTGCTGTCGTCGCTGTCCGAACTGGTGTCTTCCAGGTCGAGCTGAGAAAACTTGGAACCGCGGTTCAAAAACTCGTCGAACTGGGCGGCCGCCGACGTAAACCCCATGGATGTGGCACCAGCCGCGTAGGCACCGGTCGGATTGCGCCACTCCAGAACGTCCAGGTTCATATCCTTGGCCAACAGCCGTACGGTCGTCGTCTTTCCTGTGCCGGCGGCACCTTTGAGAACGAGCAGCCGCTGCCGTAGGTGGCCGTGCATCACGTCGTCCAGCCATCGCCGTACATCGGTCACCTTCTTCTTGTGTACAGCGAGCTCGTCGAGGTTTGTGGGTGCAAATCGTTCCGACCAGGGCCGTAGGTCATCGTCATTCGCGGCGGCCGCGCCGTTCGAGCCTCCAGGTCGTATTGGTCGCTTGAAGCGTTGGCTGGAGGAATGAGTGGATATTGGAAGTGCGGAGGAGGAGGAGAGTGGTAATGACGAAGGCAGTTGCTGGCTCGACAGATTCGACAGATTCGACATCGCTGCCGACCCGTTTGTGCTGCTCTTCCACCGTTTCTGGGCGCGGCTGCCGACATAGCTCGCCACAACGGCACTGCTCTCCGCGATGCCGCCGTCGTCGTCCTTTATGTCGTCGTCTTCGGATGCAATGGGATCGCTGCCCATGTCAACATCGAGGGCCAGCCGGACGGTCTTCTTGGGCGGCGAGTTCTGGGCCTTCTCGGCCTGCTTTGTGAAGAGGGCCACGAGGTCAGCCGACTTGCCGCGCTCGTCGACCTGGCCCTTGAGGGCCTTGTTGCCACGCCGCTTCTCGGGACTCGGACATGGACTGGAGCCAGCACTAGCCGACCCTCCGCCGTTTGCATTTCCACTGGTGCCCGCTGCGCCATTCTTGCTGTTGCTGTCCTTGACACGGCTGGAGAGAATGCGGCTGAACGGAGAGCTGGGTGCGGGAGACGTGGCGGCTACTGCTTTGGAGTTCTTCGATGGGGACTTGGTCGGTGTCTTTGTATGGGCGGCAATGACTCGTGTTCTTCGTGTGGGCGTGGGCGAGGCTGTCGGCGTTGTTGGTATTGCTGCTGCCGACTTTGCTGGAGATGCGTCCGACGCACCGCCCGTCGAAGTCGAGACTGTCTTGTTAGGCGAAAAGAAGTTCCGCAGGCTCGTCTTCCGTTGCTCGCGGGCCTTTTCGTCCTCGCTGTCGGAATCGTCTAGGACGTTCCGTTTCCTGCGGGGTGGCATCGCGGTGAAGAGGGCGCAGGAAGAGGAGGCGAAGAAGAGGAGGAGGAGGGCGGGAGGAAAGAGTCGTCGGCGACGTTGTGCTGGTCATCTGTTGTGGGTGGTGCTGGACGAGGCGGGTGTACATCAAATGTGAATTTAGTAACGTCGCATGCATGTAACGTAAAGCGGTCGTCGTGAAGGAGACGGCGATGGGTGGCGGTGGACGTGATGGTTGATCGTCGAAGAGGTTGGAGATTCGATTCCGGCAAACAGAAAGAGAGCGGGCAGGCGATAACAGGAGACGAGTGGCTGCCGCGGGCGTTTCTGCTCAATGCAATGGGATCGCACCTTCCATATTGGCAATATACGTGTCGACTCGCCAGACGTCCTTGTTTCGAGGAGGAAGGAGGGTGGTTTTGAAAATGGGAAAGAGCAATGATAGTACTATCTGTGTGGAGATGCGGTTGCCCGCTGAAAAACATAAGAGGAAACGGAAAGGCCTGTGCACTGGGAAAGCGCGATCCCCCAAAACAGCCCAGGAGGCCAGGACCTGCGTCGCTCTGTTGCCCCCCTTTTTCCCCGAACAGCGGCACTAATGCTCCTTCGATATGGATCCACTGTAGCGAGGCTGTTCGCTGCGAGCCAATGAAGGCATCCAGACTTACAACGTATTTACAGCAGCCTCTTTCTAACGTCTTGTTCAACGTGAACAGCCTTGTTGATGGACGGTTTACGCGGCACACTTGAAAATGGCATATTCACGAAATATTGTAATTTTTACGTACTGATAGTGGTAAATTTTCTCTTATTGATGTAATTGAACTGCTTGCTTTTTATTTTATTTCGTTTTTAATTTTTTTAAAAAAAAAATCGTACGGGAAACTAAACGAGATAGAAAAGATTGACTTCACGTATGGTTCTAACACAAAGAAAACACAAGCACAAGCAAAAAATAAAGCAAAATAAGATGAAAGCGAAATAAAACTTACCCGAGCTGCAAGGAGACAGATTAAGCTAAAGTCTCAACCACTGGCTCTGTCTTGGGCAACTTGGACGACGTCTCCCACGCCTGCCGACGCCGCTCCAGATCCTCGCGTAGACTGCGGATGCGTTCGCTTAACGTCTCGGGGCGGCCAGGAATGGAGGACTTTGTAGTGCCATAGCTGTTTATGTTGGGGGTAGCAGTGACTTGGGTTTCGGCGACTGTGGCATATAACCGAGACAGGCTCTCTAACGTCGGCGGCTGCTCCGGCCAAACCTCATCGTCATCGTCGGCGCCAGCATCGTCGTCGATGAGAAGCGGCGTGTCAAGTCCATCGTCCGATGCCATGGAGCGCTGGTCGAGCATGGCACGCAGCATGTTGAAGCTGGCGCGAACCTCGGCTGCCTTGGCCTGGACACGGTCAAAGACCTGGCGTCGAAGACAAGCGCTGCACTCGCGGCCGACACGGAGGGGCAGCAAGAAGGGAACGTTGTGGATCAGATCTCTTGGGCTGTTGCCGTTGTTGCAGATATCCTTGACGGGGTAGTAGCGGTCAGCGGCATGGTCGCAGGCAAAGACGTACCGGCGGGTCCAGTAGGTGGTTGTGGTGGTGCGCTTGGCTATCTTGTCCCGAGTATCCATTTTGTGAGGCCGGCGTTGGAAACGGTGAGATGTCGTGATGCCGTACGGTCGAGTTTGGACGGTCGTGTCGGAGGCTTGTGTAAGTTTTTATTGAGAGATGGTATACGAGAAAAAAATCCCTCGTATGACGGGAAAATGAGAACTACTGTCAATGTCTTTGAGGAACGGTCATTGTTATATGAAATTGCTTGTCCAAGGTGGTGGATGAACAGATAAACAATGTCGCGATGACTGCTTTGTGCAGCACTGTCTTTGTGCATTGTTCACCGCATAGCATGCACACCTTTGTTGTCAGATTTGGTGTCGTTCAATACACAGCACAAAATCGCCAAAGAAGTCAATAAACAAAAAAAGAACAAAGGCAAATGCTTCTTGTTATTTCTGTAAAGACGCTGTACGACACCAATATGCCAAATGAGATGCACTCAAACCTAATCCAAAATCTTGGAGGCCAGGATCTCCTCGTAGTCTCGTGCCCAGGCCAACCTCGGTGCATCGCCTTCCTCCTCGCCCCGTGGTCTTTGAAACGGTTTTGACTCCGAAACATGCGGCACCTCGTAGCCCAGCCGGACCAGCGTCTGGATCAGCTTGCTCGTCGCCGGCCCGTCGCCGTTGGCCATGGCAATGCCGCCACCACGACCGCCGCCCGTGCCTTGGCTGCCCGCGTGGACCAGGCACTCGAGGTCTGTGGTCGAGTCGCCCATGTACACGACGGCGTCGTCCGAGTCGGCCGTTGCTTCGGCCACAGCCGCCTCTAGAGCCTCCACCTTGTCCGAGCACGACGCAAACGGCACATTGTCGTCGTGCTCGTGGACTTGGCCGACGGCTGTGGGCGCATCTTTTCGCCGGAAGTTGGGGATGATGGCCCCGGATGCGGTCACCTTGTTGGCAAACACGCGAATGCCGCTTTTTCCAAACTCGCCGCCCGCTGTCCCTCGGATCCCTCCACTCAAAACACCTTGGATCCATGCGTCTGACCAGTTGACCGACACAATCGACACGGGCCACTGACGCCGTGTGGCCGTCTCGCGCAGGAACTCGGAGAAGCCCCGCCGTACGCGGACGCGCCTGTCGTCTTTGTCTTCGTTGCCGTTGGCCCCAACCGCCTTTTGGCCCGCAGCAAAGAGCCGCTCCTGTGCCGGTGCCATGCCGGCAAACAGCCCCGCTTCGCGCAGCCGCCGGATGGACCGGCAGTCGACGCTGTGCAAGCTCCTCTGGAAGGCGAGCTCGTGCTCGAGCGTCGTGCGCGCGTCCTCGGGCAGGGCATAAGCCGCCTTGTGGTCGCGGTGGTCGGCCAGGTACTTGTCGACAATGTCTTTCCAGCGGGCGTCCCAGCCGGGCTCACCGCTGGTCGTCTTCCGGGACTGCTGCTCCTGGAACTCGACGGCAAATGCTGCAAGGTGGTCGATGGTGTCGTGGACGGTAATGGTGCCGTCAAAGTCGAGGACGATGTGCATGGCGGCGGCGGTTGCTGTCAGTCTTGTTGCGGCGGCACTGTCACTGTAGCTGTCTCTGCAACTGCACAAAAACGGCGAAATGGCCTGCCTCCAGGGTAGTGTCTGCAAGGCCTGCCGTGCCAACAAGGGAATGAGCATGAGCACTGGCCCCAGAATGAACAGACCCAAGTTTCTCCGTGTCAACGTCGTGAGCATTAGAACACCGCTTGGCGCCGAGTTCGGCCAAGCTTGAATTACGTAGACCATCTCTCCGCAGACTATACATACGGAGATAAGAAGCAACCCCCCATTCCACTTTAACGGGGCTGTAACTCAGTGGTAGAGTGCTCGCTTTGCATGCGAGAAGCCTAGGGTTCGATCCCCTACTGCTCCAATTGGATTTGTTTTTTGCTTTTCGACGGTTTTTTTTTTTTTTTTTTGGACGCAACAAGCCGTTCCGCCCAGCCTCCCAACGTACTAATTTTGATTCTTATTACATTAGCCTTATTACGATATTTATTTAAGTTTTCTTCCCTTTCGGGAGTTTATCTTTGAGTGGCGTGTAATCCATCAAGCCAAGCCGCGTCGGTGTTCATTTTCGTTTTTTGTTTCTTTTTTTCGTCTTAGGTATGCAAGAGTCTGCTGGCACTCCGGGATGAGGCAAGAATGAAATTCACTGCGCGGTAGCAGAAAGCCACTTGTAGAAAGCCACTTCGCACTGTCTTTGCCATTGCCTCTGCTTTACATATATGGTCGTTCGACGTGTATGCGTTTTTGGGACTTTCGGCCTGGGGACGCAACAATTTCTGCTTGTTTTGGAGTTGGTGGTCGCGAAGTCCGTCCAGTTGGGATACTGGAAAGACTAGACCGAGTGGCAGAAGCAAACGAGGTTGACAGACTTGGCACATCATCGTCATCCCAGCTACGCTTCTGTGCTCGACCCCTTGGCTGATGGTCCCTATCGCGGTCGTGGTCGCTCGTACCACCTTCATCATCTGACCAGGAGTAGTCACTACCGCCATCAGCCAGGATGCCGCCGTGCGTCGAATAGGACCTCTTCTTTGGGCTGACACTCCGACTTTGTGACCGCGCAGAGTCGAAAATCTGAGCAATAGACCTGACATCAAGTCCTCTTATATTGCGGGTCTCGGACTCACCTTTGATATTGTTCCACAGGAGGACAGTGCATTCGAAGTCTGACTGAAAAAAGGGCATATGCTCGTCCGTAAATATGGACCATGCGAAGCGCGCAAGGAGGTATTCGACGCTGATGCCGCAGATCGGCTGGGGTAGGCGGTTGTGGTATAGACCGATAAGTTCGGGTGAGCCCGACGGCAACAACACGTGTGACACAAGCTTGACAGACTCGGATGCACACGTTCCGAATCGCTTGGGTATGAAGGAAAAGCGACGTAAGTCAAAAAGATGATGCAGGTCCTTACGAAGGACAATGATGTTCTTGTCGTCGTTGATAGCTGATACCTCTAGTGGTCGCCGGCCGTACCTACAAGCAGTCAATTGTTAGTTTTGCTCAAGAGAACCAAAAAAGGCAGAGTGTAAAGAGAAAAAGGAAGGTGTTCCGTAACGGTTAAACCATTTGATATAGAACGGGATAAGAACTGATTAGGGTGGTTTACCTATCCATCTTATTCGACACAAACCAAAGCCGTTCTCCTTCCGGAACGAGGTGTGCCTTTTCAACGCCATTCATGTGCCCGGTTACCCGGCAGGTAATATCGCGGTCCATTGCCGCGGCAGGGCCCTTCACCGTCGGACGTGGTGGGATGAAATCGGGAAAACGCAGGCCTCTCCATGGAAGTGGAAGGTTACCGCGTGGCGTGCCATCGTCCGCTTCGAAGCTGCCGTGTGGGAAGCGCCAGTGATGGAACGATGGGATAACGGGATATTTGACTACAACGTAAACAGTGATTGTTAGTCATCGGACCTTTTAAGTTTGGGGTAAAGGAAGCAGAGGGGGGAGGTGTGTGGGCGGTGGAAGAAGAATAGGATATACATAAAGGGTCGTCTCCATCAACACAGAAAAAGTATTCGCGTCCATGGAGTGAGCCGTCCTGCGGGCGATCGACCCGTTGAAGATCGTTGGTGGCCGAGGCTTTCAGTGCCAAGTAGCCGCCGTCCCAGTCCACGCCAGCGATGATGCAGCAAGCCGCCAATGCAAGATCGTAGTCGAGCCCGCCATCGCCGTCTGCGGCCATAAGCACAAGTAAGTCGGGAGCTGAGTCGGGGTAGGCTGGGTGTCGAAATCGCACGGCGCGCGGCGTCGGGCCCAGCGACAGCGCTGCCGCTGGAGGCGTGAAAGCCGGAAGTGCTGCCATATTTCGGACTCGTCGTTATTTGGGGCAGTACAAATTGTAGATTTGTGGTCAGCGCCAGGTGGTACTGGCTTTTCGCCGAGTTGTTGGATCAAGGCTGATGTTTGCGAGCGTGGTCGCTCAGGCAACAACTGCCTGTTTGGGCCACACTAGAAGTTGGGGTTCTAGGCTGTTCAGACACTTCATACTGCAATAGCCCAAATGTCGCTCAACCACAATCCCTCAAGCAAACAGTAAGGGCTTGCGTCGGCTTTGGTCGACCAGGTATCTGTCTCAAAGAGCGCAAAAGCACCCCGCCTGTCCGCGACTCAAGTTCTTTGATTGTTGTTTTGAGTTCGGGGTGAAACCGGATGTCAACCTCTCTACCGGTGTACTTCTTGTAGACGAGCACCATCGCTACCGTTGATGAACGAAATGAAAGCTTTCGTAATACCCTTGTTTTCGAAAGTGATACTATCAAGTTTCGATCTCCAATCTGGGTCACCCGTCTTTGTGCAAAATGCTTCCCAGCGTTGTTGGGGTTGGACAATCATTTCTTTCGTATCTTTTTGAGAATCTGGGTCTCGCGGGCTGGGCTTGATTACCGCTCGCCCATATTTGTCGCAGCTCGTCAGCACTTGGGCTCATCCGAGAGCGGGCGCGAGCCGGCTGGTCAAGAAGTTGAGGCTTCATGTTGTTGAAAAAGAACTTGGTGAACGTTTGTGTTAGAAATGAGAAAATACGAGGACTATCCTACATTAATAAATTAGAATAACTCTTCTTGTCTTTCAGTTCTTTTTATCCTTTTCTCTTATTCTTATTTCTGTTTTCTGTTTATATTAAGGGGTCAAACGATAACACGTCCCCCCGACTACTCCAATTGGATTGTTTTTTCTTTTCTTTTCTCTTTTTTTTTAGACGCAACAAGAAGTTCCGCCCATTCTCCCATTCTCCAAGAGTATTCCTTTGATTCTTATTAATTCACATTAGCCTTATATTTATTGATCTTCATTTTACGATGTTTATGTAAGTTTTCTTCCCTTTCGGGAGTTTATCTTTGAGTGGCGTGTAATCCATCAAGCCAAGCAGAGACCCTTTCCCTCCAGGCTGCTGGCATTGTCGTTGGTGTTCATTTTCGTTTTTCGTTTCTTTTTTCGTTTTGTTGCTGTCCCTGTTCCACGCAGAGTCCCCCCAAATGACACATCGAAAAATATGTACACGCACCGACGACCGGTGCAGAAAAGAAAAAAGGAAAAACGGATGCAAAAGCGAACCAGTCTATGTGAGATGGAAGGAAATGAATGGCAAGAAGAACAAGACCCATCCTTTTGTTTGCCCAGGCAATGAATAAAAAAAATAAAAAAAAGGAGACGACAAGGGAATGAAATGAGATGTGCCAAGAAGATGCAGCAAAGATGCTAGAACAACAAGAACTCCTATTCCTGGTTCAATAGTTGAGACAGTCCATAAATATGGTTTTGTAGTGTTTTTTTTTGGTTTCCTGACGGCCTCCTCATTTTCGGGTTTCGGTATACCCGCCACGTTATCTCTTCCTCGAAGACGTATGATACAAGGGATTATTGAAACAGTATGCGATATGGCGAAAAGATGGCTCTGTGAAGGCGATGCGGAAAGATGGAGGCGAAGGGAGTGGAGCAATGATGTGGTCGGTAAAGGTGTTTGAGGACACCAGTTGGGCATGAGAAGAAGACAGAGCGAGAAAGAGACACAAAATGGACACGCCTTAGATGTAATCGCGGCCGCTCTTCTGCATCTCAATCAACCGCCAGCCGCGTGTCTCGGGGTTGCTGACGTCCTCGGGCACGCGCGTAATGCCAATGGCGTACGTCACCAGCTGCACCTTGTCCTCCATACCGGCCGCCAGCTCGTCCGTCTTGACCTGGCGGTAGACGTGCACCTCCTGCGTGCGGCAGGTGATGATGAACACGGGGATCTCGCCGGGCTCGAGCATGCGGGCCTTGAGAATATCGACGTGGCGGATGTCAAGAATGCGGCCGTCCGACTTGAGGCCGGCCGTCAGGTACTGCTTGGTCAGGGCCTCGTAGACCGAGTACTGGGCCTCGGACAGCCACAGCTTGAGCGTCTCGACGTCGCCCTTGACGTAGGCATCCAGCACTTCGGGCAGGATGTACTCGCGCAGCTCGCGCAGAAACGGCTCGAGCTGGAAGGCCGGGTCCATCTGGCGCAGCTTCTTGATGACCATGGCGGTCTCGTTCTCGGCAAAGAAGCCGGCCACTCGGTCCGTGATGCTGCGGGCCGTCGAGATCAGGGGGTTCTCCGACTCGTTGTAGACGTCCTTCATGCTGAAGAAGCCCTGGACCACCTTGTTCGAGTCCTTGAAGCCGCGCCACGCCTCCTTCCAGGCGGCGTCCTTGTGCACCGTGACGTTGGTGCCTGCGTCCGGGTTTTCCTCAAAGACCTCGGGGGCCCCGTTGGCGCCCTGCGCGGCGCGCCACTTCTCGCGGCGCTGGCGGCGCTCCTCCTTGTCGGCCCAGCCGCCGTAGCGCGAGCTGCTGCCGTCGTCAATGACGTCCTTGACGTTCTTGTAGGCCTCGGTCTCGCGGATGGGCTTGGTGGCCTTGTCGAGCACCTCGCCGGTCGCGTTGGCGCCGGCGCGCACGCCCTTCATGACGGGCGTCTCCCAGGTCCAGGCGGCACCTTTGCCGATGGTGGTGGCGGTGGACTTGATCACCGTGGACGCGGTGGAGGAGACGGCGCCCGAGGTCGCCTCGTAGGCCTTGCGTGCGCGCTGCACAGACTCGCTCTCGGTGAACTGGTGGGCGCCCTCGGCCAAGGCCTTGGTGGAGTCGTTCCACTCCTTGGACTGCTTGAACTCGGACTGCATGGTCTCCAAAAAGACCTGCCACGGGGTCTTGTCGCCGTGGGGCGGCGGTGGCGGCGCGGCCTCATTGTCCTCCTTGGCCTTGCCATCCTCGCCCTCACCCCCCTTGCCCTCGCCCTCCTTGCCTTCACCCTCCTGGCCGTCCTTGGCCTCCTTCTCGGTCTTCTGCTGCTCCTCGGCGGCGGCACCCTCCTTGGCGCCTGCCTGCGCCTCAGCCTTCTTGGATTGTTCTTCTGACGGCGGCGGCGGTGGTGTAGAGGACGACGAGGACGACGAGGACGACGATTGCGGCTGTTGTTGCGTTCGGAGGACGGTGGCGTGGAAGGCACGCGCCTGCGTCGGCATGGCGAGGCGGATGGAGGTCGGGAGGAAGGGCGAGGTTAATGCGGAGGAGGAGGAGGAGGAGGAGAAAGTGGAGTGAGTGGAAGAGAGAGGGGTGCGCGATGCGGCATCTTGGCTGCGCAAGAGGGACGGCGACGTCAATAACCGGCGGTAGGCCGGTGTGCGGCCGGTTGTGAGGAGAGAGGAAGAGGCCCGCGAGAGGGCGCCGGGGTGTGCCTGCCGTGCGACGTTCATCTTGGGCTGTGGGGTGTATGTGACGACGGTGGAAGGTGCGAATAGGAAGAGGAAGTGAAAGCCTCGTGCCTTCCCGGTCGGTTGAGGAAAGAGCACAAAAGGCTGATCGTTTCGAGGCAGACGAGGGAAGGTGCGTTTTGTGTGTCTGCGTGTGGGGTGGAAGGAACTCGGTGGCGGGCTGGGAATGGGAAAAGAAGCGAGGCAAAAACGGCTTTTACTGAATTTTTTCGGTTTAATTTTTTTCGCCAGTCTTGGTCGTCTTCCTAGCGGGCCTGGCCTGGGAGGACTAGGGAACGCGATCGAATACGACGATTTTCTTGGGTGGTAGGAATTGGCTACAGAGCGGACAGTGGCTTGTCGGAGCGGCTTTGGGGCATTTGGGGCTCTGGAAAAGCAACTGCCATAATTGGACTGAATTTTCTTTGTCTTCGTAGGGAAGGTGCCAGTGGCTGTCGGGGGAAGGAAGCAACCTACGGAGAATGCCAGATGCAGTAGACGGGGAAGCGCTTGACGCTGATTGGTTGGTGGGGCGGGCGAGCTTTTTCAAAGGGGCATCGGATCTGACCATTGAAAATAGTATAGCCCGAGTGTCGAAGAAAAACACACCTTGACGAGCGACCGCAACCAAACCTCCATTCGCCCACGACACCCCACGACACCGACCTCGAGTTCTCACCTCGCCATGGAGAAGGTGTCCGCCGGCTGTCTGTGCGTGGCGCGCACGCTGGTACGGTCAATTGCCTCACCAGCGCTGCGACCAGCATTCCGATTTATGTCGTCGACGCCCTCCTCCTATTCCTCCACCTCCACAGCCCTGCGGCGGCCATGCGCAGCAGCACACCCGATACGGCTGTTCTCCAGCACATCAACTAACCGCAATGCGGATCGGCCACCAGCCAGCGGTGGCAGCAGCAGCACTGCCGCACCCGCACCTCCGCGGCCAAGCAGCGCCAGCCTCATGGAGGGCCTGGCCGACCTGCTGCCGTCGACCCCTGGCACGTCCGGCTCGTCCCTGACCGGCCAGGCATCGACATCGTCGGCACTGTCTGCGTCTGCCGCCCCGTCTTCGACGCTGACCGCGGGCATGGACGACATTGACAGCATGAAGAACGACGTTGAGGACATGTTGGGCGAGTTCCACCTGGCCATCTACGCGCACAAACACAACACACACGTGACCTTTTCGAAGCCCAACGGCAACGTGATCATGTCCATGTCGACGGGCAACATTGGCTTCAAGCGGTCGCACCGCGGCACGTACGATGCGGCGTACCAGCTGGGCGCCGCCACCTGCGACCGCATGTACCGGGGCAACTGGCACAAGAACATGCACAAGATGCGGGTGACGCTGCGTGGGTTTGGCCCCGGTCGCGAGGCGATTACCAAGGTTCTGCTGGGCCAGGAGGGCAAGCTGCTGCGCACCAAGATTACGCGGGTGGCCGACACGACGCGGCTCAAGTTTGGCGGCACACGGTCGCCGCGGCCGCGTCGCCTGGGTTAGCCGCGGACAGTCGGGGAGGGGTTGTGCTGCGCATTTGGGACACATGCTTGTACTTGTAGATATAGGAAGAGACATGCAAAATCAAGTCTACTTTATCTTGTTGCGTTTCGTGTCGTTTTGCTGTCGAGGTTGTCGGAGGTGGATTATATGTTGCTTTGTGGCATATGTTTGTAGCGGGGCATAGGCATGAATGGTTGGCAAACCAGCCCACTGGAGAGCGTAGTATTACAGGGCTCCGAACCACCCACGACCACTAAAATTCTAGAATCGTTAGCGGCCGTGACATCACACCAATCTTTTCACTTGCAAACCGTCAAAACGTCAAGGCAATGGGCACAGCTCCAAGGTGACCATGTCCACACGAGACTCAATACCACCGCCCTCTGCGGTCTCCGCAGTCTCCTCGGCCTCACCACCCCCCGCTACTTCTTCTTCCTTCTTCAACCTCGACACGCTGTTCGAGAACCCCGTTTTCGCCGGTGGTATCGGACTCGCCGGGCTCGGAGCGGCTGCAGCAGCCGGTCGACGCGGCCTTATTGCGGGCGCCCAGCTGCTGCGGCGGCGGCTGCTCGTCAATGTCGAGATCAGTCGGCGTGACCCGTCGTACCCCTGGGTGCTGGCATGGCTGTCGGAGCCGCGGCCGCCAGGCGGGTTCCTGGCGCAGCGCATCACGCGCATCCACAACCTCTCGGTGGCCACCGCGACAAAAGCCACGAACCCGGGCGGCGACGCAAACCAAGGCAGCAATGGGCCCGTGCAGGCGTCCTTTTTCCTGCAGCCGGGCTACGGCCGCCACATCATCCAGCACCGCCCGGGCGTGTTTATTGCCGTCAGCCGCGAGAAGCAGAGCACGGCCAACATGTCGACGGGCGAGCCGCACGAGACAGTGACGCTCACGACCCTCTATGCGCACCGCCACGTGTTTGAGGAAGTGTTCTCGCAGGCGCACGCGCTCGCCGCCCAGGCGGCCGAGGGCAAGACGCCCGTGTACAGCGTGCAGGGCATGGGCTGGGGCACTCTGGGCGAGCCACGCACCAAGCGGCCGCTGGCGTCCGTCGTGCTGGACCGCGACGTCAAGGAGCACATTGTCGCCGACGTGCGCGACTTTCTGCAGCGGCAGCAGTGGTACGTCGACCGCGGCATCCCCTACCGCCGGGGGTACTTGCTGTACGGGCCCCCCGGCAGCGGCAAGACGTCCTTCATTCAGGCGCTGGCGGGCGAGCTCGATTATGGGCTGGCCGTTGTGAACCTGAGCGAGATTGGCATGACCGACGACAAGCTGGCGATGCTGCTGATGAAGCTGCCGCGGCGCAGCATTCTGCTCCTCGAAGACGCCGACGCCGCGTTTGTCAACCGACGGGCCGCGCGCGACGCCGACGGCTACAGCGGACCCACGGTGACGTTCTCGGGCCTGCTGAACGCGCTGGATGGCGTCGCAGCGGGCGAGGAGCGCATCGCGTTCCTGACGACGAACCATATTGACCGACTGGACCCGGCGCTGATCCGGCCAGGTCGTGTCGATATGATGATGCGCATCGGCGAGGCCACGTCGTACCAGGCGGCGCAGATGTGGGACCGGTTCTACGGCGACGTTGACAAAGATGGCGCCGGGCGCGAGCGCTTCCTGCGGCGGTTGCGTGACCTGCGGCTGGTGGAGGACGACGCTGATGCGGACGGTGCTGCGGCTGCGGTTGCAGAGAGGTCCGGGGACAGCGTGCCAAGGCGGCACACGAGCACCGCGGCCATCCAGGGCCTATTTTTGTTCAACAAGAACGACATGGAGGGTGCCATCAACATGGCCGAAGGCCTCATTCCGCGGCAGTTTGAGCCGGAGCCGACCGACCCCGGGGGTGCGATCAAAGCGCCGGCGTAGGGGAGCATGTATGCTCCCTTTTCTGTACTATATGCACTTCATTTTGTCCCTCTACTTTATTTGATGTACAAACACCTCGGGCAATAGACAAAATTAGGATACCCCTTTCAACAACTTTTACTCTGTCAGAACCAGTGTTCCATGAACTACGACATATTGCAGTGATCTATCTAGATTCATATCCATCCATGTCCATTCATATCCCGGCTTCCGATACTTATTAGTTGCCGAGTCAATCCCTTGCCACTCTCCCCTCGTCGCCTTCTTTCTTCCATTGTCAGTCCTCCATTATTTCTACCTCTTCCCACCTATTCCGTGATATGGTCAGTTCACCTCGAACCGGAGGTTGTCGCTTATATGCATGTAAGCAGATATCGCACTAAACGAAGTAACGAATACCTTGCGACCCATTTTTCGGTACCTTTTTATCGATAAGGATTTTTGTCAGAGGACACCGCCTAAAAAAGTAACTGCTATAAGTCGGCAGAAAAAATAAAACGACCCGAAACGCCGCCAGCCTCTTCTTCCACCAGCAACGAGGGCATCTCGTCGGCGATTTTGCAAGACAGATCTTTCCACCACACAAACCACAATTGCCCTTCCTTACGAATTCTCCGCCGCTCTCCCTCCTCCTCACATACGACGATGCTCAGACAAATCACCCCGCGCAATGCGCGCTCCAAGCGTGCCCTCGAGAAGCGCGCACCCAAGAACGACGAGAACCCCAAGACCTGTCTGTTCCTGCGCGGCACGTCGGCCTCCCAGATCGTGCAGGACTGCCTGACGGACCTGCACGCCATGCGCGCGCCGCTCGCCAAGAAGTTCACCAAGAAGAACGACGTGCACCCGTTTGAGGACCCGGCCAGCCTCGAGTTCTTCTCGCGCAAAAACGACGCCAGCCTGCTGCTCTTTGGCAGCAGCAGCAAGAAGCGCCGCCACTGCCTGACGCTGTGCCGCACCTTTGACTACCAGATGCTCGACATGCTGGAGCTGTACGTGGACGAGACGACGGTGACGCGCATCGGCCAGTTTGCCGGCGAGGACGGCAAGAAGCGGACGTTCCCCGTGGGCGCGCGGCCGATGCTGCTGTTTGCGGGCACGCCCTTTTACGAGGGCGGCGACGGCATCGAGGGCGGCCGCCGCGACGGGCAGGGCGGCGTGGCGCCGCACGTGGCGGGCGCGACGTCGGACGCGGGCCGCAAGTACGCGCTGGCCAAGAGCCTGCTGACGGACTTTTTCCGCGGCGACAGCTCGCCCGACAAGATTGACGTCGAGGGCTTGTCGCACATTATCGTGTGCACCGCTCCCGAGGGCAAAGAGGGCAAAGAGGGCAAAGAGGGCAAAGAGGGCGCCCAAGGCGCGGAGGGTGCTGCCGGCACCGACGCCGTGGCCCTGCCTCTGCTGCACCTGCGCGTGTATGCTCTGCGCACCAAGCGCAGCGGCCAGCGGCTGCCGCGCATCGAGGTCGAGGAGATTGGCCCGCGGTTGGACATGCGTCTGGGCCGGTTCAAGGAGCCGGACACGGAGATGCAGAAGCAGGCGATGCGCAAGCCCAAGACGACGGAGGCGCGCACCAAGAAGAACATTGAGACCGACGGCATGGGCGACAAGGTGGGCCGTGTGCACCCGGGCAAGCAGGACATGAGCGAGCTGCAGACGCGCAAGATGAAGGGCCTGAAGCGGCAGCGCGGCGAGGCGGAGGGTGCGGCGGGCGACGACGACGGCGACGATGCCGACCGGGCAGTGATTGAGGATGCCGGCGAGTTCACGGGTGTCACGGGCGTTGTCGAGCTCAAGAACGACTTTTCCAAGAAGAAGGCGAGACGGACATAGGAGAGGGGTGAAAGACGAACGAGGAAGAAGCACAATCATCGTGTGTAAAAAAAAAAGCAACTTGTTCTTTTAGATTATTTTATTTCTGGAGCACGGCGTCATTCGGACAGTCTTTAGGACACATACTGCTTTGTTTTCTTGTTTTCATGAAACACTTTTTTTTTTCTTGCAATTTACACAGCTTGCAGTATTTTTTGGCTCTAGCATCAGAAGGTAGAGTAGTTCGAATGGTATGGTTTGTATATATTTGTTCAATATACGGATCTCAGTCAATCGTTTCAAGTAACAACTACATACCTCTGAGAGAACCAAATGTAAGAGGACGAATGTGGTCCTGGTCAGACAACACGCGCTGGCCAATATAAAACGCCAGAAATCAGTTCCCATCCCCAAGTGTCACTCCTGAATGCACACGACTGGCTACCCATCGCCTAGCTTTCTTTCCTCGTAAGAGTGTTTAAAGAACACCTTCAAGAATCGGACAGTAAAGAAAGGCCAATTATGAGCCCCCCCCCTCCACACCCATCCCGGCCCAAAACGTAAAATACAAGTACAAATGGTTTAAAAACGCTCACAAAAAAAAAAAGAAAATAAACTCCGCGCCTTCTCACATATGCGCCGAAACGATGTTGGGGTCTCTCACTTTCTGCATACACGGCCAGCAGCAGTCACCCGCCTCTATAAGCTGGCAAAGTTGAACTCGTTCAACTCTGACGGCACCCCGCCATTGTTAATTGTCTCCGTGATCATGTCGATGTGGTGCACGTAGCTTTCGGACCCGGCCGCAGCACCGGCACCGGCGCCGCTGGAAACCAGGCCGGCTGCATCGTCCGTACCGGCACCGCCGCCGCTGGTGCCGTCCTCCGTGTCGTGCCAACTAGCGCCCCAGACCTCGGTGGGGACATAGTCCGATGGGTGGTTGTCGTCGTGGTACAGGGCGACGCGGACGGCCCACTGCATGTGCGGCCACCAGCGGCGCTCGACGTCGACGGGGACGGCGTCCGAGTTAAACATGGACACGACCCCCAGCACTTCGCGGCGGGCCATGCCGTGCAGCCACCAGACGCTGTCGAGGGTCTTGAGCATGGCGAAGAAGCAGGCCAAGATGGTCAGGGCGCGCGGTGTGCGGCTGCTGAGCAGCTCGACGAAGCGGCGCGATACGGTGGCCGGGAAGGCCAGGCAGGCGCCATTGTTGCGCATGCCGTGGGCCCAGTTGAGGACGGCGACGGCGTGCTGGTAGGCGTGGCGGGTGCGGGCGCTCTCGTCTGGGTCGTCGGCGACGTGGACGCTGTCGCGCAGAATGTTGGCGATCTGGTGGCTGTTGGCGGTCGGGGAGCCTGCCGGGTGTGGGTGCTGGTGCTCGAGTTCGGCGTCGCGCTCGCTGTTGCTCGTGCAGACGCAGCTTGGGCTGTGGTGCCGGTGCGCGCCCTGCTCGGAACGGGACGAAAACGGATCGTTGGCCGCCGAACTTGCGACGTGGCACTCGCTCGTGGCGCCGGACGCGCTCGCGACGGCCGCCAGCTCTTCGTCCACGCCGTCCAGCAGGTGGCCGAAAAATCCGTCCTTGGCAGACGCAATGTCGAGGTGCAGTGCCGGCTGCGCATTGATGATGGGGAGCACAACGTTGCTGCGGCGCAGCCAGGGCCACGAGGCGGCTGTGATGGCCTTGACGCCCTGGAACGCGTGGAACCAGGACATGGGCAGGCCGTAGTTGCCACTACTCACGCCAATGGACATGTGGGACAGGGAATATGGGTCGCGTGCCGGCGGCTGGCCGTTGGCATGATGGGCGGGTGCGGACGGCTGTTCGTCTTTGCTAAAGATGCGCGTGGCGGTGGACTGGAAGGCGATGAGCGTGGAGTTGAGGAAGAGGGCCTCGGCATTGGAGGCTGTGATGCCCTGCTGCAGGAGGCGGTTGTACTCGCTGAGGGACGAGCCCATGTAGGCGTGCGAGGCGCGGATGAGCTCGCGGTCGTGCGGAAACTCGCTGCGCAGGTGGAGAGCGGCTACGGCCAGGACAGCGTCGGTGAGATGGTTGGAGGCGGCATTGACGGAGCCGCTGGCGGCCGCAAAGGCCACGCGGGGCACATTGTCGCGCCAGATTTGCTCTGCCGAAGGGCTCTGGCACGAAAGAGTCTTGCTTGTCTCGGTGGTGTAGTGGTGCAGCAGGCGCATCTCGAGCAGGCGGGCGGCTGTTGCTGAAGCCGGCGGCGCAAGAGCCAAGGATGTTGGTGATGCAATGGTCGGAGAGACAGACGGCGGGGGCCCGAGTCGTGCGATGGCGGCGGCATTGGCCTTGATCGACGGTATTGAGGGGGTGGCCGGGACGGCAAAGGAGCCAGCAGGTGTGGCTGCGGCCGGCGTGGCGCCTGGTGTGGAGGCATAGGAAGTGCGCGGTGTGTGGGCAATGTCGGAAGCGGCATTGGGGAACTCAAAGTCGCACTGGACGCCGTGCTTCTCGCAGTTGTAGCAGCGGGGGCGGATCTCGTCGCACTGAGGCTGTTAGACGGTGAACAGTGATGGCAAACGAAGCGAGAGCAGACATGCCGGAGGCACGACAGCCATGGCTTACCTTGATCTTGCGCGACTTGCAGCGGCGGCAGCCCGCTCTAGACTTTTTATGTGAGCGCCGCGGAGGCATTGTGACTGTGGAGAAGGGGATGGGACGTGCAAGTGGCGTCGACAATGGGTTGTGAGCGCAGAAAATATAAAAAGGCGGACGGGACGGTCAATGTAGAACAAGGAGGGCACGCTTAGGCACGTGTCAATGAGCGGCGGGAGGATCGGAGTTGACGGTAAATGCACAGGGACGTGACGTCAACCAAGCCATTGGTTCAGGCGGCTGCCTGGTCATGGTAGTGAGGCCGTCTCCGGGCGTAATTTCGGGGCGTGCCCCTGAGGCTGCACGGATCGGGCCAGGATAGACGTGAGGAAGGGAAGGGCGGAAACGGGGCAGCAGAACGGGACGGCGAACGGACAGGACTGAGGGTGTGTCTGACGACCGTGAGATATGCAGACAGATGGTACGGGGGAATAGATCGTGCAGAGAATCGAGAATGCGGAGGTCGAAAATGCGAAAATACAAACGTCGAAATGGAAGCGGCAGTCGTCTGGGTCGAGACACGAGCCGCGGAGCCGCGTAGGATGCAAATGACATGGAACAGCCGTGTTTTCCAGAACATGCAACGCTGACGGGGAACGACTGAACCCGAGGGCCCGAGCACTAGTGTCTGTGCTAACTGGAGGAACGGTCAACTGTGGATGAAGCAACGAGGGCGAAAATGCAAAATAGTGAGTTTTGGTGATTGATGGTGCTGCATTGGCGCCCTTTCCCATTTGAGCCACTGGCGGCCTGAAAGGCATACGTTCGTGCTAGAGTGGCGCTGATTGGCCACAAGGGTTCCGGCGCAGAGGAGAAAAGGAAGGAGCCCCAGCCGGATCATGGACTTTCCGTGCCATCGTGCATAGTGCGAGGGCGCGAAGAAGGCGCAGCCGACAATGTGTCTCGCGCCTGGGCAACAGGCAGGTGCGGATGACCCTCGAGAAGCAAGAACGACGAAGAGTCGGGCATTGCAAACAAATGATCATGGAAAGAGCGTTGCGGGAAGCCGATTACTTGGATGATCGGTTGGGAAGCTACGACCTTAAATCCTGTGAAGTGAAATGGTAATGCGGAATAAAAGGAGCAGAATTAAGATCCGAGATAAGAGGATCAATGCGTTGAGGCTGCGGGAGCCGAGAGGCCGGGTTAGGGACAGAGACAGAGACAACGAACAGACGGGAACGAGCGGCAGATTCGACGATTGTACTGTGTGTTGTCATCTGATGAGATACTCCCCAAAGAACACAAACAAATGTGACCAGCTCTACAATACCAATACGCAGAGTGCGATGCAAAACAGTGCTCCGTAAACAGTACTACGCTCTAGGACGTTGATCGACCAGGCCCAGAGAATGGCATCAGCCGTGCGGTCTTTTCGTTTTCAGGGTCCTAGATACTCCGTACATGGGCTATGGGACACAGGTGACAGGCTAACAGGGTATGGACACGGCTCGCGGGGCAGCTCATCGCTGAAGTTGCAGGGAAGTATGCCCGTAGAGAGAAGCACAGAACGTACGGGGCCGCAAACAATCTGGGGTGTCAGATCGATCAGCACCATCGGAACGAGTCAGCAAGACTCGCAAAAGGCCGTTGCCGTTCTATCGATAAACAGACAGCTATGACGACATGCGGCAGGGGCCACCAACACGCAGTAAGCGGACACGAAGTGCCGGTTGTGTGCTTGGTGACACAGAAAGACGCAGACAAGGTGATCGCCGTGCAAAAGAAAGGGCGTGGAGCAGCGTCAAATATCTTAACTGGATGACCAATAGTGATTATTTAAGCATTCCGCGTGGTTCGAGGGCGACCTGCAAAAGGCAGGCGCGGCTGGCTACGGCGGAGTATGTCACAGAAACAGAAAGAGCGGTGGACACGCACAGCGCGGAATGCTTGCAACTTCCTTTTTTGTGTAAGCAAACGGGTCAAAAATCTTAATCTGGGGCCTTTTCAGCTTTTTTCGACTCCCGTCACGCCAGTGGCCCAGGGCGGCTTTGGCAGTTGTGTAAGTGCTCGTATTCAACGGGCGGCAATTCGCGGGCTGGTTCATTGAGCTTAGAAATTATGGAATTGCCGTGGTGAGTAATAGAATCGGCCAGGAGCACCAAAGAAGCGAGCCATGTCATGAGAGCGAATCCCGAAGAAAGAACGACCGCTTGCGCAAGATATTTAAGGAAACGGCGACCATGGAACAGAGCACAACGCATTGAACGGGAAAGAGCCAGCAAGGAAGCCACAAAGATACAGACGAGAAGGAACGATCCAAGACTTTGGGCCTCGCTGCAGCTGCGACAAACTTCGCATCAAGTCCCATCAATTCCTCAGAACTGTGTTCAAGACGTGCCTCCAGAGGCATTAGCCGCATACGGCAAGTGAAGAGATTGAAAGAAAAATTTTAGAAGGAAAAGACGGGACGGGGACTACGTCCATCGTTTTGCAAACCGCCAATCACCAAAACCCCTCCTGCCCTCCTAGCTCCAAGGGCTTTTAAAGACGGAAGGAACCCCACACTGACTCGGCCATTGCGCCATCGCCGTGACATCTTGCGACTCGAGCAACTTCGCCTCTCGTTTGCATCGACAGCAGCCCTGCAGACGCCCTGAGTCTCTGAGCTCCTAACATTGCCTTATTTCTTCACACAAAGCTCTTTCGGGTCCTCTTCAAAAGCAACACACCCCCACGCATCTGCCCTCTTTCAATTCTGCCGCCCAGTCGAAATCGCAGCAAATTACACGGAAACATTTCCCACGTCATCGTCAGATCCAGATCGAGACAAGAATAAACGAATCATACACAAGACAAGACCGATAGTGCATTTGGATCTCATTGGCAGCTTGCGCCGGATCCAAGGACCGTCCACACGACCGCCCTCCACCCAGAACGAAACCACCACAAGCTCTATATCGCAGACCAGCCGAACATGACCGATTCCAAGCTGGCTCCAGAGCAGTCCGCATGGCTCAAGAACGGCGTGGCCGCCAGCAACGGATCTGCAGGCACCCCCACTGCCCAGAAGCAGGCCAAGGCGCAGGCACCCCCACGGGGCTTTGGCACCCTGGCCGTCCACGCCGGCAGCCCCCACGATCCGACCACGGGCGCCGTCATTGAGGCCATCAGCCTGTCCACGACGTTTGCGCAGTCGGCCGTGGGCAAGCCCGTCGGCGAGTACGAGTACAGCCGCAGCAGCAACCCGAACCGCACCAACTTTGAGAACGCCGTGGCCGCGCTCGAAAAGGCCCGCCATGCGCTGGCCTTTGGCTCCGGCAGCGCCGCCACGGCCACCATCCTGCAGGCGCTGGCCTCGTCGACCTCGGTTGGCCCGCCGCTCGACAGCGCCGCCGGCGACCGCGCGTCCATTGCGACGGCGGCCACGGCAGCGGCGGACGACAAGGCCTATGGCTCCTCGCACGTCATCTCCGTGTCCGACGTCTACGGCGGCACGCACCGCTACTTTACCCAGGTCGCCAAGGCCCACGGCGTGCGCGTCACCTTTACGCCCGCCATCGAGGTCGACATTGCCGACCACATCACGCCCGCCACCCGCCTCGTGTGGATCGAGACCCCCTCCAACCCGACGCTGCGCCTCGTCGACATTGCCGCCGTCGCCCGCACGGCCCACGCCCACGGCGTGCTGGTCGTCGTCGACAACACCTTTATGAGCCCCTACCTGCAGAACCCGCTGGAGCTCGGCGCCGACATTGTCGTCCACAGCGTCACCAAGTACATCAACGGCCACAGCGATGTCGTCATGGGCGTCGCCGCCTGCAACCGCGACGACCTGCACAAGCGCCTCGCCTTCTTGCAAAACGCCGGCGGCGCCGTCCCCTCGGCCTTTGACAGCTGGCTCGCCCACCGCGGCCTCAAGACGCTGCACCTGCGCGCGCGCGCCGCCTCCGGCAACGCCTTGGCCGTGGCCACCGAGCTGGAGCGCCGCACCGACCTCGTGCGCGCCGTCAACTACCCGGGGCTGGACTCGCACCCGCAGCGCGACGTGGCGCGGCGCCAGCACCGCGAGGGCATGGGCGGCGGCATGCTGTCGTTCCGCGTCAAGGCGGGCCGCGCGGCCGCCGAGCGGTTCTGCCAGTACACGCGGCTGTTTACGCTGGCGGAGTCGCTGGGCGGCATTGAGTCCCTGGTGGAGGTCCCGAGCAGCATGACGCATGCGGGCATTCCCCGCGAGCAGCGCGAGGCCGTGGGCGTGTTCGACGACCTCGTGCGTGTGAGCTGCGGCATTGAGGAGTCGCAGGATCTGCTGGAGGATGCGATCCAGGCGCTCGAGCGAGCCACGGCCGAGGTGCTGGCCGAGGCGGCGGCTGCTAATGGCAACGGCGCGTCCCACTAAGGAGGCTTGATGTCGTGAGAGGCTGCGACTCTCGACGTTGTTGGGAAAAGTTATCATTTGGTTTCCTGTTCTTGCGCATTGTTTACATGTTTTTACTATGCATAATACTGTTGGCTCTGGACCTATTCAACTGTTGGAATTATAGCGATAGAATTTTACATTTTACGTTTTGCCCTGCATTGGTTGTTTCTCCAAGGCGATGAAAATAGACATCAAAGGACATTCACATATGAATCACGGATTGCTATTGAGCGACAAAGTGATTAAACTCGTTTAGAATTGTAATAAATTGACCTTTTCATTCTGCAGAGAGGAGCGCTCCTCCCTTGGTATCGTCCCCCGCTTTTCTCCTCGCCCGTATCTAATTAAGACGCCGTTCACCCTCTTTCTGTGAGGGGCTGAGTTCGTGGAAAAGGGGAAAATGATGGATGACAGTGAAATGTATGAACAAGCACCGCGTACGGAAAATGAAAATGCCCGAATAGAAGCAAGCGTAATCCAATATGAGATGATATGAAGGTGGCAAGAATGGGAAGAAAATATGAGAGCAAATCGAAATTAGTTGTAAACAGCAATGCAACAAAACGCCGCCGAAAAAAACCTCGCTTTCCCATGCCATGAATGTTGGTTGTAAGTAGGCTTGATGCGCTGAGCATGAAGCTTCAGGGGTACAAGACAATGAAGTTAAAAAAGGAAGGGAAAATGATGTGAGAAATGCGGAAATGGAGAGACATAAAACAAGACGCCGTAGATGGCAGGCTGCGAGTAAATGGGAGCATGAACAAGATGAGATCTGAGGGCCAAGGCTAACCGAGACGTCGCATGCCCTCCACGCCCAGTGTCGGGACCTCGACGTCCTTCAGGCCGTAAATGCCTTCGTCGCGGCGTCGGTCGATGAACGAGTTGCACTCGTTGACCACCAGGCTCCACTCGGCCAGGGCACGGCCCGTATACTTGGCACGCATCTGCGCATCGTGGCCCTTGGGCTCGACAGGTTGCACGACCACGCGCTCGCGCTCGCGCTCTCGTTCACCATCGAAATCGTCCTCGGACACTGCCGCAGACGCGTGCCACTCGCTTCCGTCATTGGTACCAGTCGATGAGCTGCTGCGGCGGTAGGCCGTGCTGCTGTCATCGTCAACCGGAACTGATTCGGCAGGGTTGGCATTGCGGGCTTCGTTGATCAGGCCGCCCGTGGCAAAACCGGAGACGCGGCGCGTGATTGGGGGCAGGCCCGCGGCAGGTGGTGGCGGGCTCTCGGAGCGTTTGCCTGAAGCGGCAGTACGGGCGCTGACACGGGCCTGGGCCGGTGCCGGCAGCCGGGGGCAGGTAAGGACACGCTCACGGTAGGCCGGCGGGAGCACGATCTCACCCTGCCCACCACCAAAGTTTTGCCAGGGGATGTTGTGCAGCATGAACCGAAAAACGAATTGGGCCGCGTCAAAGACGGGCGTCGATCCAGTAGACGAGTCCGAATCCGATGACGGTGATCCCACGCGGCCGCCGGACGACAGCAGCGACGATGATGACGTTTTGGGAGGCAGAGAAGGCCCGCCTTGCTTAGAGGCGGCGATGGCCACAGCCGTCTCCCGGCGCATCTGCTCAAAGTCTTCTTCCGACGGTGTCTTGGAGGTGAGATTCAGGACCTTGCCAAGGAGTGACCACTTCTTCTTTGCGGAGCCGCCATCTGCCTTCCTGTCGTCAGACGCAGGGGACAGCGTAGGGCTGCTCACGCCAAAATCGTTGCCACTGAACGAGGCCAAATTGGCAGTGCTGATACCGCTGACCGAGCCAGCGAGGGCGTCAAACGTGGTCGGGGGGCGGTTGCGGCCAGCGCCGGTACCATTGCCAGAGCCACCAGCGCCGTTAGCGAGGAGGCCCATATTGGGGCCAGTGACTTCGGTGCGCACAATCATGAAACGCTTGCCAGGTTGTGGCAAGGACGGCGCGGTCGAGGGCGGCGGGACACCCTCGGCGTCGGCCTTTTGCTTGAGCCAGAGGTAGTGCGACCAAACTGTCTTGAGGCGCTGGGAGACAAGCAAGAAGATATTGGCGTCGAGCTCGTTGCTGCTGCCTGCGTCGCGGCACATGCGCCAGCAGAGCAGACGCATGTAGTAGGCACGCACCATAGGGCACCAGTTGTTGAAGAACTTCTCAAAGACCTCCTCGGTCAGCAGCCAACCGACACACAGCGCCTCCTTACGAGCGGGGTCGGCAGCAACAATGTCCCACGTGGCAAAGACAAAGGATAAGACACGGATCTCGGACATGGTGTTGTTGGAGTTGAGCATCATCTTGCAGACATCGAGCCAGAACGTCCAGTCGATGAAATCAATGGGCTCGTTGGCCGGAACAGGGGCCCGGTAGTCCGACGTCGAATCCGCTGCTGCCCTACCGCGGTTGGCGTAGCCATAGTAGTTGTCAAAGGTTTGCAAAATCTCGTGCAAGAAGTCGCACAGAATGTAGCACGCATTGTGGTCGTACTGCGACGTGCGCAGGGTGGCTGCTTTAAGGAGCACCATGGCCGAGCCGGCAAACGTGGCACGCGCACCAGCCAGCGACTCGTCTGCGGTCAGCAGGTCACGCAGCAGAGCAATAATGCGGTTCTCGTCCATGTCGCGGAACAGATTGTGGTTGGGCTGCATCATAAAAGAGGGCACAAAGGCGTCGTCAGACGAGGCCACGAGGAACGGCTGGCGCTGCTGCATCTGCTGCTGCATCCACAGCGACGGGGTACCATCGGTCATCGGCGTACCTGCCATCATCATGGCTGCCTCGACGGCTGCCTGCCGGTGGATGGTGTTGTCAAAGATGTGCAGCAGCTGGGCGTGCAGCAGCACAAACCCAGGCGCGCGGGCCTTTTCCACGAGGGGCAGCTGCAGGCTGATGGGCATGAACTCGTTGGCCAGCACGTGATAGTATTTGCAGAAGATGAACAGCAGATCGGTGTCGGCACCACGCCAGCGGGATAGCCAGCAAGGGGCAAACCACGAGACACGGCTGCACGCAGACACATAAGCCGGTGGCAGCAGGCTCATGCGAGGCGGGCGCCGCAGCTTCGCCTGCATCGCGCTGACAGACGACCAGCCCAAGGGACCGATGCACGGCGGGAACAGGGCCACGAGGTCCTCGCTCTCGCCCTTGCTGCGCCGGGGCAGACCAAAGGCGTCGGCAACACGGCGGACCAGCTCAATGTTCTTGTCCAAGCTCCAGAGTCGGATGAGGATGTCGGCCACACCGGGCACAAAGAAAAAGGCGTAGGCACAGGCCTTGCCGCTAAAGTTGACAATCGAGAGCGGTGCCTGGCGCAGAGCCATTTTGTCGACCACAAGGATCAGCTGGGCCAGCAGGTTGTTGATGAACATGGTGCGCACGTTGTGTTCGGCGGACTCTTCGACCAGCAACGCCGGGTCGTCCATGGGCCGGGAGTCGGACGTGTTGGCACGGGCACGCACACGCTCACCGGGCGACCGGTCCGCGAGAGGGCGGAAGACGGTAGTGAGAAGACGCCATTCGGGCCGTGACATGATGAGGGACATGCACTCGAGGACGACGGGACGGTCGACGCCCGATACAGCATAAAAGTTGCCGTTGGTAATCGTCGACGTGCCAAAGAAGGTGCCGCCACCAAACAGGCCTCCTTGACCCTGGCTGGCATTGCCCTGCAGCTGGCTGGGGCTGTCGAGCATCTCCAAGAGGCCTGTCCACCAGCGGTTGAGGATGGAGGCACGGCGCTCGACATCTTCGGGCGACAGCTGCGAGTTGGTCTTGTTGTCGGTCGTGCCGTCGGTCGTGTGGCGGCGGAGAAACGGGATGAGCGTGGCCCGAACCAAAATCATGCGCTGGGCCGTAGTGGTCTTGGATAGGAACTTGAAGAAGTTGGTCTCGAGATCCTTGAAGACCACCCAGAGAGGGTCGCGCGACGTCGGATGTGGCATGGGGCAGTTGTGGTTGCTGGTGTCGGCAGTGGTTAGGGACTCGGCCTCGGAGGCGGGCAGCAGCGTGCTCTCGTTGGCGCTGCCGTCGCTGCTGCCGTCGTCGCTGTTGGAGCTGCTGTTCGTCGTGCTGCCGTTGGACTGAGTAGCACTGGATGCCTCGGCACGCTTGTCGGACAGCAGCTCTAACGACAGAGACAGCAATGGACGAGCTGGCACGATGCGGCTGGAAGTCCGCCCGTCAGCATTTGCATCAGCATCGGCGATGGTGTTTTTGGCTTTGGCCGTGTCATCGGGCGTTTCTCGTTCGTCGTCGCTGTTGTCGTCGTTGGCAAGGGTTGATCTGTTGCTGGCACTGCTGGAAGTGACCTTGACAAACATGCTCTGGGGGCGCTGCTTCATTCGGCTCAAATATGTGCTGGCGCGGCTGAAAGTCCTTGATGTGGACGCAGGGGCTGCAACGGCACTTGCGGTGGTTGTGGTGGATGTGGTGGATGCGGCGGTGGTCGTATTAGCGGCGGATACTTCTGCAGATGTGGCGCCAGTGGTGGCCGCCTTAGCAGGCTCTTCAGGTGCCTTTGGTGCGTTTAGTGCCTTTTCCGCCGATCCAATGGGACCCTTCCCACCAACACCGCCGCTAGCGCCATTGCTACTGCCGCTCAAGCTCGTATTCAGGGACCCCTCTTCGGGCTGATGCCCTGCATCAGGGCTGCGCTTGTCGTCATTGTTGGTACTGGTGCTCGTACTTCCATTGCTGTCACCGGTGTTGTTCACTAACAAAACGGTGGACACGGGCCGCTTGCGTGTGAGTCGCCCTCCTGATCGGCTGCTGGCTTCCCTGTTTTCTTTACTCTCCTTGTCGTCTCTTGGTAATTTCCGTGGCGATTGGGGCGAAGGGGACGGCGATCGCGAAATCCAGGACCGTCGCGCAAAGTCGACAAACGATGCGGACACCGTTCGTTGCCGCTCGACCATTCTGTCGCCGTCCACCAGCAGCGTCGGTGGGGCCTCTGTCGATGTTGCAGGGGCGTCGTGAGCAGAGTTGGCTATCCTCTCATGTTTGTCTGGCAGAGCTGAGCCCGATGCTGCTGCGGCCGACTCTGCTGCGAGTCGGGCACGTCGAGCCTCCTTTTCGCGTTCCTTGTTCAGCAGCTCGTCAAAGTTGGGCGCCGATCGCGAGCCGGGGAGCCAGGAGCGCGGGCGGTCCACGAATGTCTTGCGTCGGCCGAGTTGTTCGCCGTCTGTCGGTTGGGCTCGTTCCTGGTCAATAGCCTGTTGTCGCGCGGAAGGAGACACTGCGGTAGACGGCCGCGGGAGTTCGAGAGGTTCTAGGAGGCCAGGACGATGAGGCAGGTCGCGGTTGCGAGTGCTCAGATCGGCGATTCCTGTAGACGAGGTCGACGCTCCGAATGTTGAGTTGAGTTCCGCCTCGAATTCGCTGGCAAAGGAAATGCTGTTGATGGCCGAGGCGTTCTCGCTTGTGCCGTGGCTGGTATTGCTGGTACCCGTCGTAATAAATTCTTCCCACACTCGCCGGGGCGCTTCGGTCGGCTGCTTCGCTTTGGGGAGTGACTTTTGTCTGCGTTGAAACGAGAGTTCCAGCTCGGCGTCGAGGTCAATGTCAAAGTCAAACGAGGGCAGGTCAAGCGAGGGCAGGTCAAGCGAGGGAAGGCTGGGGAGCTCCTTGGAGAGATTGGTGAAGGAAGAATGTGTAGACGGGGAAGGAGAAAAAGAAGAAGAGGATGAGAGGTTCGAAGGAGACGAGACGTTTGGTGTTGACGCCGACGCTATTAAGGCAACCGGTGCGCTTAAAGGTGCCTTCGATAGTGCGGCTGGGGGCAGTGGAGGTGTTGCTGCCTTCGGTGTAAACAAAGTTGGCACTGCTAAAGTGCCCGCTGTGCGACGGTGGTCAACATGGCTTGTAATACTTGTCTGAGTAAAGCCGGGAGAAGAAGGCAGTGAAGGGAGCGAAGAGCGCAGTAATAATAAATCCGGTGTCGAGTGAGACCGGTGGAACACATTTGTGTTTGTTGATTCGATAGCCGGAGCCATCGCCAGCGGAGGGCCGCTCATCTCATGGCTGGCCGGAATGGAAGTGGGCAGGGTGCAGGCCTGAGAGCCTGTTATGACCACACGCAGGGGGGGTTGTTCCAAGGCAAAAATGTATGTCTGGTGTGTTTTATTACTCCGTAGACCTACGGCGAATATGCGCAGTCCGGTGTTTTGGAGCCTTGTTCAATGGTATGTTGTCGTAATGGCACGGGCCAGTAGTGGTGTCAGATAGGTTGCGAAGCACGGAAGATGGCCAACCGCAGGACGGACAGAAGCAGGGTGTGCACAGGGCCGACGGGGCAGACTGGGAGGCACGACAGCGGATACAACAGGCCAAGATCACACAAGATCAGCGTCGAGGGGAACTAGAGACGCAGCAAGACAAGCTGAGCCCCCAGGCTGCACCAGGTGAGGCGGATTGAGGAAGGAAGAGGAGGGGAAATAAAATATAAAATATAAAAATATAAAAAATAAAACGAATAAACGAATAAATGAAAAAAAAACGGTGCGTAAAGCGAGGGAGGGAGAGGGAATAATAGGGAACGTAAAGGCACGGGTAAAAAGGGAATGGAAAGCGAGTGGAATAGGTTCAAGGAAGCGTCAGAATGCTCAAGGACGCTCCCCAAAACAGGATACAGACCAAAGGCAGCACCGGATGCAAGAAAGTGGCAAAGTGACCAAAACAGGACAGCCGAAACGGAAAGAGGCTCTCTATGGGCATAGACGTGCGTCGTAGACTCGTAGAAACCCAGAACGATCCAGCCCCGGCTCCAGTCTCACTGCATGCCTCTCGATATTAATCCCGAGACGTTGTTTTCAGTAGTCCAAGGCGTACAGAGTACAAGGACAAACAAGATCGTGTATGCGGTGCGGAGTGCGGAGTATGTATACAGAGCAATGGAGTACTTGGAAGGCACCCTATAAAAGCCAGTAGTATTTTCCGTTATAGGAGGTGGCAGGCGGTCGACAAGTAGCTGTCGTCAGATTCTTGCTTTATGTGTAGGCGGCTTGGCGGTAGAAGTCGAAGCTGAAAGGACGACGGCGTGGACCATAAAGCGTGCGTCGCTGCGAGCGAAGAATGTGCGGCGAAGCTTTTGTCGTTGCGTAGCAATTATTGTTCCGAAGGTGTATGGGACGGATACGAAAACGTGGGCGTGGGTGTGTGGTTTCGTTCGGAGGTATTACCAAGGGGCTCGAATGGCAAAAGGCTCGCACACGTTGCTTGCTGGTTGCTTTGCTAGAATGGTGTCAATACAACATTCCGCAGTTCTTGGTCCAACAAAGTGCCGCAGAGTGCTCCCGTAGTACGACAGGGCACGGCGTGTTTCAAGAAGACAGATGATAGAATGGGGCGGCGAGAAGAAAATAGGTAGTGACAATAAAAATTAAATAAAAATATTTTGGAAACGTCAACAGGGAACAGGGAAAAGGACAGACGGTTAAAGACAAAAGTAAGGACCTGGCCCAAGCAATATCGAAAGAAAACGAGGTTGAGGTGGTGGCAATTATAACGAAGGATTGTAGAGAGAATAAGAGGCCCAACAGAGCAAAAGGGACAAGAGAAGGCTGGAAGCGACTCACATGCAGCTATGGGTGGCCGACCACCTTTATTGAAAGAGATGTCGATATTGGTGTTTCCGTAAGGAGGGACGGCGGGAGGGAAATGCACCGCAAGGAGCAGAGAGATCAACACATGAGAAATGAATTGTGGTGTGGAGAAACGACTGCCCAAAGAAGTGACTTTGGAAAGGCTGAGAAAGGCGGACAGAAGATCGGAAGACAGGTGAGACAGGCGAGACAGGCGAGACAGGCGAAACAGGTGGAATAGTCGAGAAAAGGAGCAGAACAGTGCTCGAAATGTAAGACAAAAAGAAGACACAAAAAGAGCAGGCGCAGAACAACTCTGAAAGACAATACGACAAGGGAATGAGTGGCAGAAGCGGCGCTTCAAACGAGGGACGGGGCTGGTGCGAGGTGAGTACGGCGAGGCGATGCAGTAAGGGTTCTTGGCGAGCTTCCTTGAGATGGGCGAAAAGAGGAGAAGGAAGAGAGTTGAAGTTGCATTTGCAGACTACGGAATATTCGTGTGAAAACCCGAGAATGCGACGGAGGGGGATGAAGGAAGGCACGACCAGCTCAGCTACGGATGTTCGAAAGCACGCCACGACACGATTCGCGAAAAGGGAAACTACGACCGCAGGTGGGAAATCATATAAAAAGTGCCACGGAAGCAACACAAAAAGAGGCAAGAGCTGAGGCGCGCGACCCCGTGCCCTTCCCTTGTTGTCAAAGAGTTTGTCCCCCTATTTTCTCTTTTCCTAACCAGCTATTTTGGTGTGGTGGGCGGGTCGCCGTGGCGCGATGGGGCCGTGGATATTTCTACGATGATATATTTTTTGAGATGGGAAGATCGGGTTAGTCTGCAAATAACAGGAGCAGGGGAGAAAACAAATAAATAAAAGGAGACAGAATCGAAACGAGGCAGAGAGACACAAAAGGAAAGAGTCAATGCAGATTGACAGCAGGAAGGAGCGACATGATATCGTCAGAGAACGAGTAATGGAAAGAACGTGCTGGCTATCAAGAAGCATTAGAAACGACAAAAAGGAAGGCGCATCGGAGAGGCGGTTGTGGAAATTAGGAAAGAGCAGGGAGAGTCACACTAAGGAGGCGGCGGCAGTAAGTTACGACGTACGGAAGGAGGTCAGGACAGGCGAGAAAAGCGAGAAAAGCAAGAAAAGCAAGAAAAGCGAGACATTCTGCACAAGATCGGGGAAGGGCTGGTCTCCCTTGATCAGAACCGTTGTGGCGGGCGCTTTTGGTGATGGCTCTGACAAAAGTTGACGATCGTGTTGATCGCATCTTCCGCACGGCCAACAAAAGTCTACGACAATTCCGTACGAATGGGATATATTGACTGCAGCAAAACTAGCCGCAACCACTTGAAGACGTAAGATACGATATCCAGGCCAGTACCATACTCCATACGAACGTTCCAAAACAACACACGACATATATCCATTGAACATTATTGTCTGGGACTTGGCACTCCATACGGAACATCAGACAGGCATCAGAAGGGGTGGGAGGGAGATCATTCGGAAAGGAAACCGGGCAGGCGGTGCACGAAGAGCAAAAGAGCAAAAAAGGAGACAGACAAGAGACAAAACCCGTACCAGACGACTCTGCTCAGTATTGTTCCTCATTCCAAGCCACAGGGGTTGGCCTGTCCGTGGCCCAGCCCGGGGCAAGCGCTTCCTCGAGAATGCGACGTCAGGGGCTGCCAACGCTCAAGACCTGACCTTTCCCAAAGAAGTTCAGCTGAGAGGGACTGCATGGGAATCGAGATCAATTTAATATCCTACGAAGCCGCCGTCATAGGGCCAGCTCGACTCAGGATCACTGGAGAATTCGTGGCAGGGTATGTCGTACAGTGTTAATACGAACATGTGCTGCTTTTACATCGTAGGTTCCGTCTTTTTTCATGCAGCGTTCTTCTCTGTGCGTCTGCAATCCTATTCTGGAATATGAGCTGAGATCCACACCAGCCACGAGTATGGAGCACGGAATACAACAATACAACACACAAGAAAAGCAAACCTCCCTCGACAAATGCTCTTCTCAGCCAACGACTCAGATCACAAAGCAGGCCAGCCACCATATCCTGCCTTGCATGCAGACAGAAGATCGTTGGCCACCAGCCTCTCGTCAAAGAGCGCCGAAGCTGCCGAGGCTGAGGACAACAAATCAAAACAAGACCAAACCGGGAGGAGTAAACAATGCGAGTTGAGGCTTCAACAACGTCGCGTGTTGACGTGATGACAGCTTATCTGTGCCAATACTTCGTATGTAGCCTATACTGTTGCCGTACTTTGGCCGTGCTGTTTTCGGTTGTGGCCTGGCCCAAAGAGGTGGAGGCCAACTGGGTCGGCCTGACCCCTGGTCTGTTTGAGCACGCCGAAGTTCTGGGTGTGCCGTGATGGGCCGACCACAGTCAGCCAGCAGACACCAAAGAAACAAGAAGAAACGAGAACAAAGAGACGATCAGAAAAGGCGGAGACGACAGAGAAGCAGGAGACCAAAATTCGCCAAATGTGTCAGAATCCACACGACCCTCGTTTCCCACCACAGCCGGTCGCCGACGACCCTTGTAGAGCAGGGATTGCGAGCCAAGATGGGTTCAAGGCCTACCGTTCAAGATCGGTGTAGCGGCCTGCACTAGGCCAGGGGGTGGAGGGACCCTTGCGGGCCTTGGAGGGGACCCTTCAAATTGGCGAACGATGTGGAAGCCCAAGTAAAAACCGGACGACGTAATTCTTGGCGGATTTTGACAAGGCAAAATTAGACACCATACGATGTACAGCGCGAGCTAGCTTGTCGAGCTGAAAAGTAGTCATGTTGCATCGTGCCCGGAAGGCAGTCAGAATTCAAATTCAGACTCCATTTGCCGTACGATTCCCATTGTACGAAATATAAATATGCCTTTATTACATAGTAGCACGTTGTAGACACTAGGCAGCTCTACGTAGAGAGAGTAAAACAGTTATGTACAAGGCAGACCAGAGAAAAAGCGGAAAAGCGGTCAAGACGGAGAAAAAAGGCCATAAGAATAAAAACGCTGCATTGCAAGAAAAAAAAAAAAAAAAAAAAAAGAAAGGAGAGGCAGACGTTAACCGCTGCCAATATGTAAAAACAGCCTGCCGTTGAAGAAGTGGCGAACAGAACCGTTCGTTTGGCGCTGGCCTTAACGTGGTGAGGAACGAGAAGAAGAAAGAAGAACATGAAAATGAGAGGGTACGAGAGTGCGCTTTCCTCGCTTATGCTTGACGCAGGAGAGGCCATGAAAGTACAACATAATACGAATAAAAAACATTAAAAAACCCCCAACAAAAATAGGAAAAGAACAGCCGCCCGTAATTTCTGCAGCACGGTTATTTCTCGAGGATGGCGCTTCTATGCTTTTCCTTTTTCCTTTTTTTTGTTCTTCTTTTATTGTTCCTTTTCGCGTTTTTGCACTTGTGTCAACGTGGCATGTCTTTCCTTTCCCTTTTAAGGTTTTGACCGATTCTTGAATTAAGTAAACAGGTAGCGGGACGACGACAAGGGGAAAAGGATGAAGAAGAAAACAAACGAGCAGTTCATGCAGGCCGTCATGAGGAATACGGATCCCACAATGAGAATACGACCTTTGGATATGTTGATCTGTCAAAACGTATGGAGTACTACGACTGGATGGAGTATTACGACGATATGGAGTATGTTGCACGGCAATACGACCAAGGGAACCATTCAGTCCGTATTCGTGCTCTGAGCTACACCAAGCTACGGCAGCTCACAAACCAGCAGTTACTGGCGTCTTAACATACATTATATATGTCGTACGGCGTACGGTGCACAAACCCATGCCAAATCCGGTGGGAACACAACAACGTTGGCCTACAAAGCAGAGGGAAGATGCTTTGTGACTGATGACCAAAACTCACTCATGGCTTGTGCCACGTAGGACGAGTATGGGGCAAGATGGAAGGACAAGACGACGAAAATGGCCGCCGAAAGTGGACGGCGAGATAAAAAGAATGAAGCGTACGGAGATGGGGAACGTCCTGTCATACAGACGATGTAGACCAAACAGACCAACATGGTGCGTAAAAGACGCCATCACAGACGAGGTGAATACTGAAAATCCACAGACGAGAAAAGTCAATGTGGTGGCGTTGAACGAAACGAGGGAATCAACAACGCCACCGCTCCGAGGAGAAGGTTTTTGCTCGGTCTCTTCAACAAAGTCACGGTGCCCGCAAGGCTGACCTGCCTTTCATTAATTTGTGTATTTCCCCTGTTCCGCGCTCGGCGTGGCCCGAAGGACGCCGGCATCGCCGCCTGCTTATTTTATTTTGTCTCGTCTCCTTTCACCATCAGCACGCGCGCTCTGGGTCTCAATACCCAGTATATTGTTTTTTTAATGGACAGCCACGTCGGTCCAGTACGGATTCACGCCCAGCCCGGAGTCACGCCAAGCCCTTCTTCAGACGAGGCTCCTCGCTTTCTGAGACAGAGTTTGTTGTGAGATGACTTGGGAGGGGCGACGACACCGATACCCAGTGGGCTGGCTCAGCGCGACCTCCAATGCCGAGAAAGAGGACGTGCAAGACAGGAGACACAGTGCAGGTTGCTGTCCTTGTCCACGCTACAAGTACATTGAATACGAAAAGGCGCCTCCGTCTCGAGTCGCTTCATCCCGTTTTGGGCGGTTTTGGACGCTGGTGTCTTCCGAAATGCGAGGCAGCGGCTCTCTCTTGAAACACGCCACAATCCTGTCGTCGAAGTCTATTCTGCTCTTGCACGCTGTCGGATATGTTTATTGCTATCAGAAGACCACAATCTCTAATCCAGCTTCCGTCTCACCAGGCTGATGCAATGCCAATGTCAACCCTGGTCCTCGCCAGCCCTATCGCCCCATGCCAACCCCTAGCACAATAAGATGTGTTCGATACGCCGTAGAAGACGGAATCATGAGGTTGATCGACGGACCCTGGCGCGGTTCCGAATCCCCCTTAGTACTTGTACCAGCAAGTAAAGTGGAATGCGGAACGCAACGCGGCACGGGAAGAAACGCAACAGAAGAAAAAAGCCCGACCAAACATGGCTCTCGGACCCTCGATGTTACATTCTTTCCGCTCCCAACCTTAACATGGCTGTTGGAACGCGGGGAGGGGGGTTCGGCTGTTCGTCGTGAATCAGAGACAGAAGGTATGTCTTGAAAGTGCAGTTCTGCTTACATACCTGTTTACAGGTCATTGATGTCAAAGGGACTGTGCCTTGCTAGGTGATTGTTTTGTGGCGTTCCTACACGGCGAAATCCGAAACATGGTCTGCGTCAATGTAAAATGATTTAAGAGACCCGGAAAGGGTCGAGATATCAAAAGTAGGTAAGGAATAACTTGGTGAGTTAAGCGCAGAGGTACGCGGTCTGCCTTGGCAGGTTTGATGATAAACGTTCTGGGCTTCGTTGTAATCTCGAGCCTAGATAACCAAAGCTAACTATAATTAAATTAGTTGAAATATTTCATTCCCAAATATCATAATGGAGACAAAGACCATTTCCTGTCGATGACAGACACAAATCTCAATGACGCAACAAATAGGACACAGGTACATCTTTCTGGAGGCGTCTGGCCACACCTTTCAGAACTTACCACTACGGTAGCTGTACCGCCTTTACAATGATACATGTTCAATTAATTGTCTGCTTTCTGGCTCCGGCGCGTTGTGTAAAAGACGCACAGCGTACCGTTCAGATGAACGCCAGGACACTTTCCTTCCACAATATGATGGCCAAAGACGAGGCTATGCTTCAGATCTAATACACGGTCTCCTCACAATGAACCCACCGACTGCGCCTTCTGTAGCTTCTAGAAGACGTATCTACTGCAGTAGGATTAGAAAAAATAGAATAAATCAACCTCCGTGTTGTGCTTTGGAGATTGAACGGACAAGAGCCAGCGGTTGTTTTGTGACAGTTTTCCGTACTTGGAGTGTCATACTGGTGAGGCTGTTAGAATGTGTCGACACCGAGCTAGGTTAGGTCACCACCAGGATTACCTAACGCAACGCTACAGCGATGCTTAAGTCTGCCTACAGCGAAATCAAGCATATGGTCGCCAGCCAGTTACAGGCAAGTTTACAGAGTATTAATTTCAGGATACAGTGGCCGAGCAGAAAAACTGGGCACCTTTCATATTTCGCCCCCGTAGACAGCGGGCAATGGACGGTGCTGAGTGCTGACAGGGCATTCTGTTCTTCATTGTTCTCGTTCTGGAGAACACGACAGCGCGCAAAGCCCGAATTTCAACAAATGTCCAGTCCATTGCAACGCGACATTGCTGTCTTACTCCTCTCCTTTTGTCAGCGTCAAAAGCCAAAAGACACGACGACTACGGTGAATATTGCGAGGGAGCACAGAAGACGACTGTCCGCCAGCATCTCCTTTTATCGCTCGCCCTTCATTTCCTTGTTTGTTCTTCATTTATTTGTCTTGCAATCTTTCTTTGTCGTCGCACACGGCCGTCGCCTCCAATCACTTTTCGCGTCGACTCTCATCATCGGGCGCACCGCCATCGCACCGATCCTCAATAAGCACCTACCGACGGCTTCGTTCGACACAGACACAGACACAGACACACACGCCTTTTCCTGTCGGCGTTCCGTCCACACAATGGCCCGCCGCTTCAAGCTCGTCCTCATCGCCGCCCTGGCGTTTACCATTGCCACGATGCTCTACACGTCCCGACTGCGCGACGCGCGCGCCCCCGACCAGCGCACCATCCAAGACTTTTACCACAAAACAAAAGGGGCTCTGACGCCAGGCTCGGGCTCGGGCGCGGCCGCCGTGGGCGGCACCGCCGACAAGGCTGCTGCGGCCAAAGTGATTGACATGGACAACGACGGCGACGTGGACGAGGACGATGCGCGCCTGGCGCGGGAGATGCAGAGCCGGCTCAAGGCGGCCGAGCAGCAGGCCAAGGACAATGCGAACGCCAAGGCGCCGAACCGGCCGGATGCGCCGGGCAGCGTGATTGGGGTGGGCAGTTCTGCGAATGGGCAGAAGGCGGCTGGGGGGGCCGCCGGCGCGGGTGCGGGTGCGGGTGCGGGTGCCCCAGCACCGGGAGCAGGTGGCGCCGCTGCTGTCGGTGGTGTGGCCGCCCCTGCCGCAGCGGGCGCGGGCGCGGGCGCGGCCCCCGGCGCCGACGAAGCCGCCACCGAGCTCGCGTCCATCCTCCGCCGCGCCCCCGTCGTCATCTTCTCCAAAACCTACTGCCCCTTCTCCAAACGCGCCAAGGGCGTGCTCCTCGACAAGTACGTCATCGAGCCGGCGCCCGTGGTCGTCGAGCTCGACACGCACCCGCTGGGCCCGCAGCTGCAGGCGCACCTCGCCGAGCGGACCGGCCGGCGGACGGTGCCCAACATTCTGGTGGACGGCACCAGCATTGGCGGCGGCGACGACGTGGCCGCGCTCGACGCGAGCAAGCAGCTGCTGGACAAGGTCACGACGCTGGGCGCCAAGTCCGGCGTGCTCATGAAGGAGCGGTTGGGTTAATTGGTCCGCGGGAGCCCGCAACACCGTTTCACCGTTTTCTTATTTTCGTTTCTTTTCTCGTTGTCCTTTCGTTTACCTTCCTTGCAGGCGTTCGGCGACTGTTCCTGTGGACTGATACGGTTTCGTACGGTCTCTTGGTCTCTTTTCCATCATTTCTTCTTCTCCGTTAGTTAATACTGGGGACTCTGAGGTTTATGGGCGGTTCTCTGTTTCTTTCCCCTTTTCTTTACCCCTTTTCTTTCTACTTCTCTCTTTTTTTTTGTCGGCGTTCCGGGAAAGCAGTGGTTAGACGGTTATGGAAGAGCGGTTGGCTGGCCGTCTGGCCGTCTGGCAAAGTTTGTATATCGAGTATTTCTTGCTACTAGATCTTAAATTGTCAGTTTTATTCAGCTATGGTCTTCGTGCCGCCAGTCTTGAGGGTATGTTGTCCGCTCATTTTAAGACATCACCGGTAAGAGTTGAAATGTCGATCTCATCGACAGTCTAGTCGATTGTAAGAAGGTCCCAAATAGAGTCTGCGTACACTTGCGCCAAGATGACGGCCGGTCATCATCGAGTCGGGAGATGATTGTCGTCATCAGCACACGCGGGTCATCGGAGGTTGACAGGGTTTCACCATGTTCGTCGTGAACAGCCCCGGCTGATTTTCAAGTCTAAAGTCTGACGCCGGTGTCGACAAGCGACATACGAATAGTATGGGGGTTGTGGCATGTGGCATCGACAATGATGAGAAAGTCCAGCTCCCCCCCAACAAAACACAGAACTCTCCGTCTACGTCGGTTCTCCGAGGCACCAGGATTCGTTTGTTCTTTGTGCGTCGCTCGGTTTGGTTACGCGGCCTGTGATGGCCATTGCATTGCTGGCCAGACAAGATCTCAATAACCGCTCGTCGGCCAACATCGACCGCCTCTTCTGCTGCAAAGACGGTCCGTTGCCATCAGCAAAGAGCGGGATCCTCAGCATTTTTACGTTGGCCACTCACAATGTTGATCTAGACTTTCTTTTTTTTGTAGTTTCTTTTCACTTTCTCCTGTTCTTGATTTCCCTCAAAACATGTCAGAGTCTCCACCCGTCATGGGCGCATGCGCGTCCTTCCAGACTTCAGAGTGCACCATCGGCATCATCTTACTCCGTGTCCAGTGTTGATCCATGGGCCACTCTCATAGCCATCGGTCGATTGTCCAGACAAAAAGACACGACAGCACGGGAACCGGCACGAACGAGGGCACATACACCAACACACGTGCGCGCGCCGATAAAAACGCAACCGCATTCGGAGGGGAAAAGCGGAGGTGTGATCGGGCCGTGGACCGGTGGTGTGCGCGTGAACGCCAAGGAAGTGATGCGATGCATGTTGATTCCTTTGATGATGGGGGCCGGGTACGTCAACCCAACCCCCGGCGTCGATTGCAGCCTTGCGCATCGCCAAGGACACGTAAAAGAGAAGAAAAAAAACCAACCTGCTGCACGGGGAGTTCCGCGTCATATTACGTAGTAGAACTGCTTGGCGACTTTGTTGTATTTCGCTGCCTTGTTTAGCGTTGCCCAGGAAGGAAGAGCACTCGCAAGTAGTACATGCATTGGTCGTGAACATGCTGTTTCCGACATCGGTTTTGACGATCCGATAAACAGTCGTATATCCGGTGGGTGTTTCCAAGTTTTGCGTCGAGCCAAACTTTGAGAGAGTTGAGGCAACGTACAACATGCTCCGGCGTTGGCGAGCGAACGTCCGAATAATCCTTTTCTCCTTTCGACCCGACACCGAGGCTGGTCTCGCCAAGCTTGTCCCTTGTGGCCGCCGAGCCTCGCTCCGAACCTTGTCCCATTCCACCTTTGCGCGTGTACTGTTATAAGCGTAGAGGTACAGCTGATGCCTTGAGGTTCCGTCTGCCACATGTTCTCCGTCTCACCTCGGGAAGGCCATTGCGGTAGACGTAATTTTCTAGCGTATGCCCTGCCCACATCGACATCAAGACAAGGCTGGTGAAGTACTCCTTGTTTGCTGTATCTCTCATCGATGCTGCTTACCGAGAAAACGGTTGTGCTCTTCCGCGCCGTTTACGATGTCCTTCCCTTGGAGTCACAGCGCAGTTGGGTGCTGGTTGTTGATTGGTGACGAACAGACCGGGGGAGGGGGGGTCGTTGTCAAATCTTCGAGCAAAATGTGACGAGAACCCGTGAAGAAACGGGCGGTAATTGTTCCATCTTATTCACAGAGAATTTTATTGTTGCGGTCAAGCAGCTGGGGGGAAGATACACTAGCCGGCGCTTGCACTCAAAGTGGGAGGTGTTGTAATTCGCGTAACCGTTGTGAAAGCTACGTCATGTGGAAACGGCGCTGAGAAGTCGTCATTCTGTAAGCTTACCAAATCAATGCGAGTGATTGTCCGCGAAAAAAAAATAGTGAGGATGACGAGGAGATCATCACGACAAGCTGGCAGCTGGAGCACAAGGGACACGGCCAGGCACTAGACGTGAGAACGGCCAGAATACCGGGGCATCAGAATGCGCCGTCTCGTTAGCACCTCATCTCGTTGTTTCGATGTCTTCGTTGTATCGTGTCGTTGTGTCATCGAATTCTCGCCATCTCTTGTCGTCGTTTATCGCGTGATGCGGAGGCGCCTTCCGTGCAAACGGATACGGACTTTACAGAAGATAAAGGCCGTTCCGAGTGGGAAGGTGCGACACCGCCGGCGTTGTTCTGCACAGGCAACTACGATTTACAGGAAAGCGCAACTAACAGTTGTCTTGCCTATTTGGGGTTGGGACCAGCACTAACCGCGTCAAAACCACAAAACGGAGCCGTCAAAGGGCAGGAACGACGCCGCCGCCCTGTGACTCACATAGCGAAATGGGCGGCAGCGTTATGATCTCCGAACGAAAGTGCAGACGCCTCTAACGTCGTAATCCAACCTATCGTTTGGCATCTTTCAACCTCTCGCCAACCCCTTTCCCACCCCAAATAAGGTTAAGCTGTGGCAGTCACCAATAGCTGGTCTCCTCTACGACGCCCCGTTTTGATGCCAGTTACTGGCACAGCCTCTTTGGCGGTGCACACCGTCCACACTATTGGACGTCTGGGCGTCTAATAGTTGCGATGGGTGACTCGAACGGTCGGCAGACGGACTGAAAACACAAGGGAATGAAACAAGAAGACACAAGAAACGACATTCGCATCGAGGAACATGGAACGACTTACACGGCAACGCGCGCTGCGAGCCACGATGACTACGCCAACTGAAAATTTCATCGAGACTCCACTCCTCTTCGCACATGAACAGACCGTGTCCAGCCGTCGCAAGACGTGCATTGCCGTCTCTCAGGCACCGGCTATGGATCGCTGCAAAGTTTTGCACGTCCAGGCCCATCTCGACCTTCCACTACCAAAGGCTGCTGCGCCGCAAGCAAAACTAACTGGACAATGGAGATACGATCGTATTGCATGTGCTGCGGAGATTGCCTGAAAATTTTGTTCTTCTTACGTCTTCGTCCATGATGTACGTGTTTTCGATCTCCATTGTGGCACAAAGCTGCACAGGAGAATTTTACAAGCCTCCATTTTCATCCGTCGTAAACCGTAACATCGAGTGTACCACCTCTATCCGATACGATTGGGTTTGCCTCTTCCTCGTCAGCCTCTTATTCAGCTCGATGAGAGGCTTCAACATAGCGAACCAAACAACAGGTTTCTATATTTTTGACGCTGTTTACAAAGGAAGATAGATGCCAAGTGAGCCGCCAAAGGTTCATCAAAACGGCAATCTGTCGTCTGTCGTCGAGCCTGCATTGTTTGGAAAGCTGTGCCAATCCACTGAAGAAGGCATTATTAATTCCTTTGTGGAGTAGAACGGAGCGTACGACGTAATACGGTCCAGACCTTGACTTGTTGAGGCTGAAGGAAAGAGGCTGAAGTTGGAAAGGTTTTGGCTTTCTTTGCACGGCCTCGCTCCGCAACAGGAGTCATCGGTGCATACCCGCCGGTTTCCTTAGCTTACAAACTAGGGTGGATTTAACTGTGTTTTGGCAAAGATGACCCGACTGAGGGGGTCGTCAGAGATGGGATACAGACATGGCTGATGTAGGCCTAATCGCCAAGGCAGCAGTGCATGTCAAAGTGAACGCTGGCCAGCAAAACCTAGCATCACAAGCATTACAAGAAACACAAGGACACAAGCATACAAGGAAAACAAGCATAAACAGAAACGTCTAGAAAAAAAAGGCCGCGACAGCAGACGCAATGAGTACGTAGCCGAGTAAGGCAGCAGATAACGTACCAAAAAGGCAGCAGGAAACCGGACACGGTGAATGGTCCGTGTGTCTTCATAAGCATGAAAGCACGAAATACGGAGACACGCTGGCGTCGACATGGAGATACGCTGCAGCAGATGACCATCTTACGCGCGATTGCTGTTGGGAACCCCCTCAATTTCACAATATCAACTTACAAAGCAATGATGCTACGACGCGCGGGACACACCACGCACCTCAGGCAGAGACAAAAAAACGAGGATACGAAGACCGGAAAGCAAGGCTGCCAACATCCCTTCGGCCAGGCCCTTTTCCGTTTTTTTTTTTTTTTTTTTTTTTTTTTGAGTTGGCATGGTTTGCGCCGGCGCGTGTTAGTTGGTGTGGAGCAGGGGGGAGGCAGGGGTGATGTAGGTGGGTGGAGATGACTAGACCGGGACGACAGCTCGTGGCATTGCTCAAGGTTAAGGTTGTAAGACCGAGGAAATCAACGGAAAGTTGTCGAGGCATCGCAGAAAAAAAAGAAAGAAAAAAAAAAGAAAATAAGAAAAGCGGCGACGAGATGACAAGATGACACGACTGGGTCGCTGCGGCCAGCCGATGTCCCTTTTTACTGGGTCCTCTCCTTGATTGACTCGTTATTCTGTCGTATCTTGTCATGACGCTAGATCAGATGGGACCAACGCAAGACGATTGACCATGTTGGGAACCTCCTTTCATGTTCGCCCTCGACGCCCTTCCTGTGACGCGTGGCTTTGACCGTCGTTGCTTTTTGATCTCGAATCATGTATAAGTAAAGAGGCATCCCCTCGCTCCTGGTCAAGATATTTTCCTTTTCGATCATCAAACGCAAACAAACACTCAACAATAGTTGAACTCGCACTTCCACTTCCACTTGCCACCTTTATAAACAACTTTACACACAACTTTACAAACAACTTACAAACAACTTTACAAATCAACGTCTGTCCACGTCCCTAACACTACCACTCCAACCACATCTCCCGCAATCTCATCACCACGTCCACAATGTCTGCCTACAGCGACTCTGTTCATGCCTACGCGCATGCCAAGGCCACCATGGCCGCCAACCGGGCGGCCAACTCGTCCTCGTACACGACCGCAAAGCCCAGCGCCAACACCGCCTCGTCGGCCGCCTCCGTCTACAGCGACACCTCCTCCTACTACCCGGTCAAGGACGACTACGCCGCCACGCCCAAGTCCAAGTCCAGCTCGCTCAAGAACTGGACCAAGAACCTGGTCTCGGACATTGGCAAGTCGCCGCAGTCGAACAAAGCGGCCGGTGCGCCGTACAGCGTCGACAACCGGCCAACAAAGATGTGAGGAGTGACGGCTGAGGCCGAGGAGGGGACCAAGTCCCTCCGAGCAGCACTCTCAATCTCCTTCACAACGCGTCTTCAACGTTCTTGCGTCTTCTTTGTTTTAGCCAGCATGTTGTCCCGGTCCTTTTTTCTCCAATACCATTTGCATTACCAGTGCATTTCTTCGACTGCAGCATCGTTTTGGTTTTATGATGTATGGTCTACGGTTTACGGTTTCTTTTGATTACTAGATGTTGTTTTCTCTTTTGTTTTCTCTTATGTCGACTGTTTTCTGTTGTCTTTTGTCTGTTGCTATTTTCTACTTCAGTTGCCGACAAAATATGCTTCTTTACTTTATTTTCTACTTAATTGTTAATCTGCATTTACTGCGTTTTACCTTTTGCTTCCGTCCTTTCAGTTCCGTTCTTTCTTGCGACCGCAGAAGCCCTTCTATCCTCCTCTCTTTCTTCACATTTCCCATTTGTGTCCGCCACGTCACTTCCCTCGCTTTCCTCCCGAACACTGATTCTTGGGCTTTGAGAGTTTCGTAGGGGGGAGAGACTGCGGGTTTGTTCCTCGCGAACACGCAACTTGTCTTCGATCCTCTGCTACTAAAATCTCAAAGCCCAAGTGTCAGTGTCCCGGAGGAAAAGGGACGACACGACGCGTCACGAACAGGGAAGAAGATGGGAGAGGGGGACAGAAGGACTCCTGAGGTCGCTGTCGAGCGAATACGGAAAAGATAGACAGATCCAATACGAATAATTCAAATGCTTCTTTAGCGGACAAACGACAAACATTGTGAGTGCCCAAGCGGATTGTACTTGGCAGAGGTTCGAAATATTTTTTTACTGGCACGGATCATCTATCCGGCCAATCGAGACGGCACAGCCGCGACTCTATCCGCAAATTTATACCAGAATATATGGCTCAATTTACACGATGCGACCACGGTGGACGCTGCATCCGCTCCCCGCAAACAATATAACGCGTTGGAAAACCCAGTCGCTGCATATGGTTACGTTATAAGCATCAATGTCATGGTCAAGGTCGTCGCACAGCGTCCATGCCGTCTACTGTCCAGGGCACGATAATCTGACACAATGAGACCCGTTTCCCTCCTCGTCGGCCTTGGCACAGCCTCCGTCGCTGCGGCGGCTCTCGCCTACCGCGGCGTCGACTGGTCCTCCGTCGCCGTCGAAGAAGCCGCTGGCGTCAACTACAAGTCCGCGACCACCAACCAGGCGGCGCCGCTGGAGAGCATCCTGGCCGCCAGCGGCGTCAACATGGTCCGCCAGCGTCTCTGGGTCAACCCAAAACCCGACAATGGCGCCTACAACCTGGCCTACAACCTGAAGCTGGCACGCCGCGCGCGGGCGGCGGGGCTCGGCGTCTACCTGGACCTGCACTACTCGGACACCTGGGCGGACCCGGGCCACCAGACTATCCCGGCGGGCTGGCCGAAGACGCTGGAAGGACTGACCACACAAATCTTCAACTACACCCGGGACGTATGCGACGCGTTTGCAGCCGACGCCGACGCCGTCCCCGGGGCGGCGGCCGCCGCCTCCCTGCCGCCCCTCTCCATCATCTCCATTGGCAACGAAATCACAAACGGCCTGCTCTGGCCGGTCGGCAGCACCAAGTCGTACGGCAACATTGCTGCCCTCTTGCACGCCGCGTCCGCCGGCGTCAAAGCCTCCAAGCTCGCCACCGTCCGCGGCGCCCCGCCGCCCAAAATCATGGTCCACCTCGACAACGGCTGGTCCTGGTCCGCCCAGCACTCGTTTTACACCAAGGTGCTGGCATCCGCCTCGCCGTTGGTGGCGTCCGACCTGGACACCATGGGCGTCTCCTACTACCCCTTTTACAACGCCGCTGCCACGCTCGCCAGCTTGAAAACGTCGCTCCAGAACATGGCCGCCGCCTGGGACAAGGAGCTCGTCGTCGCCGAGACTGATTGGCCGACCTCGTGTCCGCGGCCCAAGTACAGTTTCCCCGCGGACGCCAAGAGCATTCCATATACGGCCGCCGGGCAGACCGCCTGGGTGCAGGCCGTCGCAAAAGTTGTCGCGGGCGTGGCCGGCGGCCGGGGTTTGTTTTATTGGGAGCCCGCTTGGGTCCATAATGCCAACCTGGGCTCATCGTGCGCCGACAACCTCATGGTGTCGCAGACAGGACAGGCGCTGTCGAGTTTGGCTGTGTTCTCAACAATTTGAGGTGGAAGATGATGGAGGCTTTAACTCGGCTAGAGCGATATGCAGTAGCAAAGGGAGAAGGAGGATCATATTTGCAGTTTTATCTTATCGGCACGTGCGCGTCATCAATTACAGTCACGTGAATGTAGTCATAAATTTTTACGCTAGATGCTCTCCTGTGTAGCTCTCATTGGCCTGCCTCATTTCCCCAGAGGGCAAGTGAACCCTACAGATGGCGTTTTGCCCGACAGTCAAGGGCCTAAAATTTATCCGCCGTTGCTCGCTAGCGCCAGTTTTGGGGGGAACAGCCCTCGCCGCCAGCCCAAATTTTTGCACTGGTTTTTTTTCAGCGAAATGGGGAGACCCATAGTTTTTGTGTGTGAGACTAACGAGCCCTGCTGAAAGAAATCGAACCTCTCTCTTTTTCCCTCTCCCCTACGAAGTTACGAATCGACATCCTCCACGTTCAACCACTCGACTTCGACAAACCACCTCCCGGAAAGAGAAAAACATCAGTTTTTTCTCTTTGCACATCACAAACGACAGCAATCATGGCGGATTCCGAATACGTACGTTCATCACCACGTTGAGACAGAAAGAGGGGATAGGAAAAGACGAAGAAAAGAGGAGGAACCCATCGAACCATCGACGTCTCGTCTCGATCGCGTCGCTGCGCCGGAAACGGGAACACGGAAGAACTTGGATGGCAACGGCAAACTAAGCGACGACGGCAGGGCACGATGACGGGATCGTTGATGGAAGGGGAAGGGGGGACTGTTGATTTGATCCAACGATCGAACCTGAAAACTAACTCGTCTTCCGCAGAACGCCGAGGAGGCCGCTGAGCTCAAGCGCAAGAGAGCGTTCCGCAAGTTTTCCTACCGTGGCGTCGACCTCGAGCAGCTGCTCGACCTCGGCTCCGATGAGCTGCGCGACGTCGTGCACGCCCGTGCCCGGCGCCGGATCAACCGTGGTCTGAAGCGCAAGCCGATGGGCCTCATCAAGAAGCTCCGCAAGGCCAAGCAGGAGGCCAAGCCCAACGAGAAGCCCGACGTCGTCAAGACCCACCTGCGTGACATGATTGTCGTCCCGGAGATGATTGGCAGCGTCATTGGCATCTACTCCGGCAAGGAGTTCAACCAGGTCGAGATCAAGCCCGAGATGGTCGGCCACTACCTGGCCGAGTTCTCCATCTCCTACCGGCCCGTCAAGCACGGTCGCCCCGGTATCGGTGCCACCCACTCGTCGCGTTTCATTCCCCTCAAGTAAACGACTCGGAGTTTTTATATTTCGATGGCAACCGGACGCGACCAGATGCGACGATTCGACGACAAACCTTTTTCGCAGCGACGACATCCCCTCCGACTCTTCTTCTCTCCCAACATCAACATACACTACCCTGTCCGCGTTGCTGTGTTGCGATTTGTTTTCGGGCCATGGGTTAATCAGGGTTTAACGAAAAAAAATACAAAACTTTTTATCTTGCATTAAAAAGACGTCCGAAATAGGAAAATGGAAAGCAAATTTTCCCGGAGAGAGAGTCTGGCAGAGCAGAGGATGAGACGACGTGTGGAAGGCATTGGAGACGATGGGATAGCAACCATCAGACTATCTACTTTGCTGAGCGTGATTGTACGGCAACAAGTATGGGTTGATGGCGCTGCTGTCTCTTTATATCTGGTGTCCTTCTCACTACGTCTCTCTTGTGGTTCTGCTGGCTTTCGTCATGCATGCCCTGGGTGGGAGGGCAAACAAATGGGTTCTTTTGTTTGTTTTTACTAAAACTCCACTAGAGTGGCTATCACGCAAAGTTTTGATAGTTGGCTTGAATAAAAAAAAATGATCAAAATGACGTCGTGACCAAGAGTGAAGTCATCATGGTATTCATAAGCTCGTGTACGTCGCATGGTGGTGAGACTTTGTCCTCTGTCTCTTGTCCACCTGTTTTCTTCTCCACTGATTCTCCTCCTCCACTGATTTTTATGCCCTTTAGTCTATGCCGACAAACGCCTGCATGCCAAGGGACTAGACTGGGGATAACATGTAAAAGACAACGCTCATGGTCGCTCAAAATAAAAACACAAATCGTCCACTCTCCCTGTTACTTTTTCACACAGCATTCTCCTTTGCACTGGAAGTCTTTGACGTCCTTGCTGTAGTTGATTGTCACCTCTTCGCCCGCCGCAATGTCCCGCAGCGCCAGCACGGCGATCGTGCCCACGTCCGCCGACACGCGGCAGTTTTGGAACCCGCCGCAGCGGTGGTTGATCAGGTCCGTCAGCAGGTAGACGGCGGCCTGGTGGTTGCCGCCGGGCTTGGCAAAGGAGGCGTTGGGCTTGAGCCGGAAGGCGTAGCGGCTGAACCAGTCGAGCGTCTCGGCGCGCGCCCGCTTGTCCGCGGGGGCCGCCACAGCCTCCGCACCGTCGTCGTCCGCGTCGGCCAGGGACGCGAGCGACGCAGAGCGTTTAAAGAGGCCCCGGAGCGCGGCCTTGGCCCGCAGGGCGGCCACCACCGGCGTACTCGGGCCGTCCATCTTCTCCGCCGTGGGCGACGCGGCGTCCGTCGGGCGCACGCCCTCGTCTGGCCGCATTCGCATGTGATCCTCCGCCGTCAGCCGGTTGTCAATGACTGGCTGGCGCCCCTTGGACGTCAGCAGCGAGCCGACCAGCGTGCGGGCCGCCGCCGCTTCCTGGGCGTCGATGCCATTGGCCCAGGCGAGGTAGGGGAAGGAGCCATGCAGGGCACGGCGGCGTTCCGGGCTTTGCTGGCAGTAGCGCTCGTAGACGTTGCGGACCCCGTCTTTGTGGGCGTCATGCGTAGCCTCGAGGGCGGTGCGCTCTTCAAAGAGGCGTTCGCCACGGCGATAGGGCCGGAGGGCGTAGACACAGAAGCCGAGGGCCGGGTCGTCGTTGAGGCGGATCTGGAGATCGGCGGGTGGCGACGATTCTGGTGGAGCAGAAGACTGTGTGTTGACAAGATTTTGTGTCGGAGATGAGCCTGTTTCTCTCTCTTTCTTTGCCTCTGTCTCTGTCTCTGTCTGTGTCTGTTCCGCCTCTCCTCCTGCTTTCTCGGGCGTGCTGTCGCCGGTTGGCCGTGCAGCCACTACGTCGACGACGTCTCTCGACATTGACACGTGCTCCGGCGTTGGTGGGGCAGGGTGCGAGCTTGTGTATTCGTAGCTGTGAAGCACTTGAGGTGTCGTTTATGTCGTCCAAATATGAGTGCAAATAGTCGAGAAGGGCAGTGTCTGTTTTGAGAATGCCGAGCTATAAACTTGGGTCGCGTGTTCGATTTAGGAAGGAAGCTTGTTAGCCTGGAAATTTTAGTATGGCAGGCACGAACGGCTATACGACATTGTGCAACGGCCAATGGTTTAGTGTAAGCCAACGCAAAGACGACTGAGAAAAGGTATTGAAAGAGGGCAATGGGTTTTTTTTTCTTTTTCAAGTCGTCCAAATGTCGGATGATGTGAAATGAAAAATCAAGTTGTCTGCACAAAAAAGTCGTAAATGGGCAAGCCTGCAGAGCATACGATTGGCTGCTTCGGAAAAGGTTAGAGTTGCAACGCTGGCGCTTCCAAGGACGACTTTACGTGGCAGCATTTGACGAATTCAGGATGCCATGCTGCCATGCTGCCATGCTGTGTTTGGGTTCATACGTGCAAACAGTTCCCGCCTGGGTGCAGTTTTTCGAAATGTTCGAGTGTTTCTTGTCGTACATGACGACGGGACAAAGTAAAATAAATGTTGCTAAAAACTCAAATGCTTGCCAAACCGGTCCGACGGAGTTCACAGACTCTACTCTAAACGAGTCCTTTCCACTGCTGCCATAGTCCATGGTCGTTGTCGGCGTCTTTCCTTGACGACCTCCTGTCAGCCGCCCACCCCAGCTGCATGTACTCTTTGTCGTCGAAGATTCATATGGAATCCTACAACATGGCGTCTGACCCGCCGTGGTTGGTATTTTTGGTATTTTTGGTATTATTTTCTTTGTTTCTGTTCCATTCGTCTGCTTGCACCCTCCATTATTCCTTCGTCCGGGCAGCGGCGGCCGCTTGTTGCCGCTCGACCTCCTTGTTGTGCTGTTCGCGGTAGTGGGCGACCACCTTGTCGAGGTTGACGTTGTGGCCAGCGGGGATGTTGTACGGCGAGCTCGATTGGAAGACCCTAAACGATTAGCATGGGCAGTAGGAAGCCGGTAGGACGGATATCGACGCACTCAGGATACCGCAGGTCAATGTTGGAGCTGCGCTCGACGGTGTAGAACAGGTTCTTGTCGTGCGCGGCCTGCTCCACAGCAGCGGTGTGCAGGTGACCGCGGGTCTCCCACTGCTCGCGCAGGTAGGAGAACTTGTTGAGGTAGGCCTCAATGGCCGTGGGCTCGCCGTCCTTGCCGGGCCGGGACAGGGTATACAGAGCATAGGTAAGGGGGATCGCGCCGACGGCAATGTACCAGGCGGTCTGCCAGGTTAGCGGGGTTCACTTGCTGGAGGGAGAAGAAAGAACACAGAGAAAACAGAGATAGAGATATCATACACCCATGGGTTCATCGACAGGGCCGTGGTGCTCATGATGGTCGTGGTGGTCGTGGTGGTCGCCGTGGCTGTCGGTCGAGGCGAAGCGGACAGCCGGCGCGGCCGTGAGGCGGGCGGGCCGGGCACGCGCCTGGCGCGCCATGCACGCCAGCCGTTGTCTTATCGGCTGCATTGTGACTTGTGGCGTGTGTATCTGTCGTCGGGGGAGCCGCAAAGAAAGTCAATTGGCGCGGACGGGGTGGGTGGCCGTTGGGTGGAGGGTCGTCGTTGTTGCCGGAGACGAGGGAAAAACACAGTCCGAACGGCTGGAGAGAGGAGATGCGCTTGTGGGTATAGCGATATTTGTGCTGATTATAAGAATATGCATGTAACGAGCTTAAGAGGGGCCAGGCTTCGGCCACTCAGCGGCGACGAATTAGGAAGACCTGCAGTTGGTGCTGTCTTTTTAGGCGCTAATGGGGCATTGTGCCACTCACCCACGGCCAGGCCACCAGCCCCTAACACCCGCTAAAGTTTGACGTGTTTTTAATTCTTTTTCAGGACACATCACACGTCACTAACACGGGGACCACTACATCGCGCAACTGGCGAGTGGCGAGGCTGCCTTGCGAAAGGGACACTTTGGCACTTGACGTTGAGTCAAAGTCTTTCGAGGTTCCATGGTCTTCTTTCTGTGTCTTGTGTCCGCTATCTGTTTGCATATAGGTCCTTTTGTTTCTTCTTTTCTTTGCCTTTTCGTGAAGACTCGCCTCTTATCGACATTTCATCGGCGAGTTGTGATTGACTTGCAAGTTTTCCTCTCACACACACTTATACACTGGCACCATGGCCCGCTTACGATCGCGGCCAACGACCTCACTGTCCTTTTTAGGTAAAGTGTTGGCCGTTTTTCTTGTTGTCGCCTGTCTTCTTGCCGTGGCCTCGGCCGCTTCTTCGGCTCCGCCGTCACCAAGACAACAAACGAACAAGGACAGCGCTGCGGGCGGCGACGATCTCATCTGCCACACGGACGTAGCCGCCGAGTGCTACCCACGTGTCTTCCAGCCCACCAACGAGTTCCAGCGCGTGCACGAAGACCAGGACCTGCCGCCGGGCCTACACGTGCGCCTCAATATCAACACGGGACTGCGTGAGGCCAAGATCAACAACGAGTCGGAGGAGCTGCCGGCGGGACTCCAGGGACTGCCGGTCGACAGTGGCGTCGTTCTAGTCGACCAGCCAGAAGACGGCATCAACGTGGACACGCCCCGCATTCCCAAAGGCGCGCCGGCCTACGATCCCGCCGGGGTTGTCAAGGACCCGGGCGCCCACGCTGACGGCGAAGGCAGCCGCGCTGCCATTACGTTCCACGAGTCCATTGCCCTCGTCAAGGGTGTGGCCGTCGGGCAGGTGGCCTCGGGAGACAGCAACAGCAGCCGCAACGACGGCCAGATCGACCTGGCGGCTGCTGAGCAGGGCCGCTTCCTTGATGCGCTCGTCGAGATTGACGATGTGGCACACGACATGTACTATGGCCTCAAGCTGGCCGAGGACCGCGACATCACGCGGCAGCTGCTGTGTCTCATGAGCGGCGGCCGCGTCGGCGGTGACCGTGGTGTCGAGGCGGCACAGAAGGCGGCCATGGCCGTTGCGTCCGCTGTGCAGAACAACCCCGTGGCCCTCCGTGAGGTGGCCGCCTACTGGGACGCGTACAAGAGGGGAGAGTGCGCGACGGCCGGCCGCCAGCGTGCGACACTGGGCGACGTCGTCTTTGGGCCGTACGATGATGGCAACGGTGCGCACGATGACGCTGCCACCGCCAATCGGCCGGCATGGATTCGCTCCCGGCTTTTGGCCATCAGCGGCCTCATCAGGGACAAGGATATTATGCAAGACTTTTTGGCGGGCGGCGGCCTGACCGAGGTGCTGCGTCTGCTGGTCGAGCGCGAGGGCGATGCCGCGTACGACGCAGTGCGCCAGCGTGCGGCCAACCTTGTGAACGACAACTTTTTGGACGTGAGCATGGGTGCGGACCTGTCGCTGTGGCCCGTCAAGGCGTTTGCGGCGGCGGCCGCGGAGACCTCGTGCAGTGACGGCACGGTCCACGCGCATTGTTGGGACCACCACATCCAGCAGCTGGCCAGGTCACATAGAAAGGACAAAAGCCACTGGTCGCACGGGCTGTGGAAGGGACTGGAAGACATTACGGAGCGCTCCAGTGGCAAGTCGGAGTTGTAGACGCTAGAAGGCTGTGCATGCGACGGGCAGTATATAATTGCCACTGACAGTTTTTGTTGACATGACCATGTTAATGTTGTATATACCCTGCACAATCAAAGTATAATTTAGTTATGGTGCTCCCTCAATGACAACAAAATTGATGCCTCTACCAATTTGGCAATTTTATTTATTCAAAAATTGACCAAAAATTAAGCCAAAATTCTTCACAAACTCATCAGTAAACCGACAATGTCGGGTCTACATCTGACAATATTTGGATTTGGATTTGCGGTATTCTTTTTTTTTTTTTTTTTTTTTTTTTTTTGGCGGTGGACTGGTGCTAGGTCATGCATTGTGATGTACAGAAGCCCAATATTCCTGTGTTTTTGGGAATATTAGCAAGGAATTTAGTATGGAGATATGACAATGAAAAAGGGCATGAAAACAATGAATTATTGCGAACTGCAACTGGCACAATTTGTGAAAATAAAATTCATTAAAATACTGTAGAGGCGTAAAAAAAGGCAATAATGACTTACATGACTTTATTGACAACGTTGTTGACCGTCGAAGGACGTCTGTCATGACAGTGTTTTTCGTTATTTGTGTGTTAAAATGACGTTCGCAAGGCTGAAACGGTCCGTTTCACTCCAGCGCAAGGCTGCACACAAGTTTCAACTACTTCAGGGCAGGATGGCCTGGAAAGAGCCCTGATTGGCCGAGTTACAGTGCCCTTTACGGGTGAGACCTGATTTAGCGCGAGCAGCTCCTTCCTCCAGAGGGCAGAAGAACCCCAGGGTCCCACTCTTTCCTACTCTTTCTCTCTGGATTCCCTCATATTTCAGTCTGGGCACACCCTCTTCTCTTTTCTTCCCTTTCCTTCTTTTTTTCCGACTTTTCTTCTTCTCCCCCTCCTCATCCTTACCCCTCCACCTCGCACATCCACACCATGGCCACCATCCCCGCAGGTCTCGAGATCCGCGGCGACCGCTCTCCTCCGGGCGTGACACCCGCAAGACGTGGTCGCGGCCTCTTTGCAACGCGCAGCTATGCACCTGGTGAGGAGATTGCCGTCTTTGGCAAGCCACTGATTGTGCTGCCGTCCGGTCCCGATGCCACCAAGACCTGCAACAACTGTCTGGATGCCCGCCGCGCGGGTTCGATCAAGAAGTGCCAGGGGTGTCAGGCCGTTGTCTACTGCGGCAAAGAGTGCCAGCGGGCGCACTGGAAGCGTTTCCACAAGTTCGAGTGCAAGCCGCTCAAGAACGCCTTTGAGAGCGCTGCCCGGCAGGCGGCGGCCACACCCGGCGGCTATGTGCAGCCGCTGCCGGCGCCCGTGCGTGCGTTGATGCTGGTGATCCTGCAGTGGAAGGATTCGGCCGACATCCGCGCGACGGTCGAGGCCCTCGAGGGCAACGTGCCGGCCTTTATCAGCAACCGCGACGTGTGGGACGACTTCAAGCTGCAAGCGGCCGGAGCCTGTCAGTTTACTGGCTGGCTCGGCGAGGACCAGATCCGCACGGCGGTCGAGATCCTGTGTCGCATCCACACCAACACGTTTGACCGCCGTGACCACAACCTGACGCAGTCGGGCCTCTTTCTGGACGCGACCTTGGCCATGGCTAACCACTCGTGCCTGCCCAACGCCGTTGTGGGTTTCTTTGGGCCCAAGACCTGGCTGCGTGCTACGGAGCCGATCAAGGCCGGCGACGAGATTACCGTCTCGTACATTGACTATACCAAGCCGCGTGCGGCTCGCCAGCGCGGGCTTGCCCATTACAACTTTACGTGCACGTGCCGCCGCTGCACCGAGAACCTGGACGTCTACCAGGTGTGCCAGCAGTCGCCCGTGCTGTCGCTAAACAACCGGTTCACGGTCGTGCCGCGTCTGGATCTGCTGCGCAACCCACCTATCCTGCGCGAGGCCGAGGGACACCTCATCACGCCTGAGCAGATCGAGGCCATGTATGCCGAAAGCGGCGTCGAGGCCATTGACGAGTCGGACGATTCCTACACCCAGGCGGACCCCTACTTTGGTAAGCGCCTGCCGCAGATGCGTCGCCTCTACCGGATCTGCAAGCCGCTCATCGATGCCAAGCGCTGGGCCGACGAGCCCGTCGCCCACTTGATGCACCTGGCCTTTATGCACTTTTTGGAGGTGCGCAACTTCTGCCACGCGCTGGCCTTTTTGGTCTTCATCTGCCAGCACATCGACCCGTACCGCTACCCGGCGCCTTTTGACATGCGCCGCGTCCGCAACCTCAACAGCGTCGCCACCATGCTCCCGCAGGTGTTGAAAGTCGTGTTTTCGGACGGGAACGGCCTCGACCGCTGGGGCAGGTCCGACCCCGCGCTCAACGTCTCGCCGATCCTGCGCGACAAGCTCAACGACCTCGTCGACGGCGCCACCACCGAGGCCGTTTTGCGCATCGTCCTCGAACAGGGGCCCAAGGGCCACTCGAACCAGTGGCCGCCCCTGGACGACGCGCGCCACTTCTTGCGCCAGGTCGAGACCATGGGCAACCGCGAGCTCATGGGCGGCATGGTCAAGGCCCAGCAGACAGCCGCTGGCGCTCCGCCCGCCATTAGCATGAACATGCCCTCGAACTTCCGGCCGGACCCTGGCGCAACCACACAGGCGGTCCAGCGCTGGTTTGCCGACCCCATGTCCCCCTATGGTGTGCGCTACTTTGACGAGCGTGTTCTCAAGAGACTGAACGCTGTGTCTGCCGTAGCCATTGAGTTGCTGGAAAGCGTGTTGTCTTCTCGATAGTTGAAGTAAGAAACAAAACGTTATGCGAAATGGAAGGCATAGGAACTGGACCGCTACCACTAAGCCAACTGGCAAAATAGAGAGCCGTCTATCACCATGGCTAGATAACGGGTCTGAAGCACCGCAGTCCTCCAACAGAAGGGGTGATGTCATATAGGGGCAATAACGAAATAGAGAGATTGGAATGAAAGCATAAGTTGACCGAGTTGCGATGATAAAGTGAGGTGTCAGTAAGATGCTGTTCAACGAGTTCACTGAGTCGCTAATAATACTGTGGTCACTCACTGTAGCCTGCTGTAGCTTGCCGTATTAAGTTGTTGCTGACTCGCAGTTGCACCTTGTGGTTTACAGCCGAGTTGCCTAATACGGAAGGCGGTGGTCCCCCACAAGCTTGCAAGGCTCCTTCTTTGTGCGGCAGAATTATCTTTTTTCGGCTCGCATGACGACCTTCGCGCCTGAAGGCAAGTGCATTCCGCTACCTCGTCACGACAACAATTGTACTCTTGGTCGAGCTTGCCGTTTTTCTTTCGCTCACCCGCTACGTCGTTCTTTCCAAATCGACCTGAGCCGTTCCTTCCAAAAAACGAGCAGCCCTTTCCCGACTAACGACCGACTGGCCACACATCATCTCCCGTTTCGCCCTCCACTCCTTTTTTCCTTTTACCATGTCCGCCGCGTCCGTCGCCGCAGACTCGACGACGGCCAGGCCGTCCAGCCCTGGCGACGAGTCGCCCTCGAACAGCGCCAGCGACTCCGCTGTCAGTGTCGCCGGCACCAAGCGGTCGCGCTCCGACATGGAGCTCGGGGATTTGGCTGCGACCGAGGCACTGTCGCTCTCCAACAATGGCGACAGCAAAACTCTGCATAAGAAGGACAAGAAGCGGGACAAGAAGGAAAAGCACGGCAAGCCAAGTGACGGCAACGCGATAGACGGCGCTGCCGATGGCGAGGACGGCGGCGGCGAGTGGCAGACGATCCGTGGCGGGCGTCCCACGAAGAAGTTAAAAAAGGTGCCCAAGAAGGACTCGGGCAACTACCCGGCCCTCACCTTCAACAAGAACGCCCGCCTGCAGAGCAAGATCCAGGTCTCGGACCTGCGCAACCTCGTCACGTACATTTTTGCCGACGGCACGGCGCCACAGTGGATCGGGGTGCACCACCGGCCATCCTTTCGCAAGATCGTCACCATTCTGGTGCCCGGGCTGGAGGAGGCCATGTTCAAGACCGGGGTCGACTTTGCCCAGTGGATGCAGCAGGAGGATGGCAGCATCGAGGCGCTGGAGCGCTGGACGAAGAAGGTCGCGACACCGCACGACGACGCCTACCCGCGCGCCCTCAACAAAGACAGCCTCCCCGCAGCCGTCCAGCCGCTCGCCGATGTGTTCCCGCAGCTGTGGCCCGTGCGGGCACGCGGCAACGAAAAGTACGCCACGCTCTTCTCGCCCGTCGCCACCTTCTTGACGGCGCCGCTGCCCAAGTCGGCCTCCGACGACAGCAAACCCAAAGGTTCTGGGCCACGCTTCCGTTCGGACAACGGCGCAAAGGACGTCCGCACACGCATCACCGAGTTCATCGCCACCCCGCAAGAGTACATTGCCAACGAGTTTGTCCTGCATCCGGCCCTGCTGCCGGCGGACCAGCGCAGCGCCTTTGCGGACGAGCCCGGCTGGGTGCACACCGACGTGGCCGACCTGGCGGACGGCGAGGTGCCCGAAGCGGAGATTGAGCAGGGCAGCATCACGGCCGGCCGCAAGGTGTTTGCCGTCGACTGTGAAATGTGCAAGGCGGCGGACGACAAGTTTGTCCTGACACGCATCAGCGTCGTTGCCTGGGACGGCGAGGTCGTCATGGACGAGCTCGTCAAGCCCGACGAGCCCATTGTCGACTACCTGACGCAGTTCTCGGGCATCACCGAGGCCATGCTCGCGCCTGTCACGACCCGCCTCGCCGACATCCAGCGCCGCCTGCTCGCCATTCTCGACCGCCGCGCCATCCTCGTGGGCCACTCGCTCGACTCGGATGTCCGCGCCATGCAGCTCACCCACCCCTTTATTGTCGACACGTCCATTGTCTTCCCGCACCCCATGGCCCCGGCCAAGAAGCACGCCCTGCGCTGGCTCTCCAGCAAGTATCTGAACCGCGAGATCCAAAAGGGCCACGGCACCGCCCGCGGTCACGACAGCGTCGAAGACGCGCGCACCTGCCTCGACCTGATCAAGCGCAAGTGCGAAAAGGGCAAGGCCTGGGGCGGCAGCGCCAGCGGCCAGAACGCCGAGTGGGCCGGCGGCGAGGGTGCCGGCGAGAACCTGTTCCACCGGCTGGCGCGTGCGGGCACCGCTTACCGGTCGCAGGGCGGACCCCAGGCGACGGGCGGCATTGCCACGGGCAAGTCGACGGCAGCCGTCGACTGGGGCGATGCGCGCCGAACGCTCTGTGGCGAGGCGGGCATCGTGTTGGGCGGGTGCCGCAGCGACGCCGATGTCGAGGCCAACCTGATGCGGGCGGTCCAGGGCGACCCGGACGGCAAAGTGGTCCCTGGCGGCGGCGTCGATTTTGTGTGGGCGCGGATGCGCGAGCTGGAGGCGCTGCAAGGGTGGTGGAACCGCAACAAGCTGCCGGGTGGCGCCGATCCCCAGCCAGCAGCAGCTGCTGCTGCTGCTGCTGCTGCACAAAGCCAAAACCAAAACCAAAACGGCCAAGGGCCGCCCACACTGCAGATGCTGGAGGTGCTGATGGCTGCCGAGGCGGACAGGCATCCGGACGAGGAACAGCCCGATGGCGGTAGTAGGGATGGTGGGAGCGAAGCGTCGCCCTTGGAGCGCGCCGTGCGCATTCTGGCCCGCCGTGTGCGGCGCATCCACGCCCAGCTGCCGCCCTGCACGGCACTGGTGGTCTTGAGCGGCAGTGGCGACCCGCGGGCGATGAGCCGGCTGCAGGCACAGCGGGCACAGCACAAGAAAGAGTACCACACACCAGGGATCAAGTGGGACCAGATCTCGGTGCCGTGGACGGACACGGAGGCACAACAGCTGCAGCAGGCGGTGCGGCGCGCGCGCGACGGCATTGCATTTCTTGCCGTGAAGTAAGAAGTCCCAGTGGAGATGGATCAGAGGCAATGTCATCGGCTTTACGACTCGTGTTTCTTTCACGTCACTGGATTTCCCGGGTACGACGGAGGGATGATTTTGATTGATTGATAGGATTTATTTCGTGAGGGTATACGAACTAGGGGGGAATGCCGGTAGGCTGCTCTCTCTGCAAGAGGCATGAATGAAGCTATGAACATTATAGAACCCAAAAAGGGAGGACTGCGTCCTGGTAAGATCTAAAGCAAATAAGAAAAGATGTGACTGTGTAATAGTGCATAGTGCATAGTGCAAAGTGATAAAAATGCAACCGTCCCATCAATGCAAGTCCATAAAATGTAAATAGTTTGCCGTCCCTTCATCGGTGCTGAACCATGAGCCCGTCCTCCTTTCTCCGCGTCAGGTCGTATTTTTATTTTATTTTGTTTCTTTTCCTTTTTTGTTCGTTTCCCTTTTGTTCCCCGCCCGTCTAGAAATCAAACTCGCCACGGAAAATGTCGGGGTCCATGTCGACGGACACGCGGTCTGCCAAGTCGCGGCGGTCCATGAGGCCAAACACACGCCGCAGCGTGTCGTGCAGCGTCGTGCTGCGGTTCTGCGTCGTCATGCGGTCCAGGTGCTCGTCGGTGACGCCGGCGGCGGCGCCGCCCAGGATCTCGCGGGCCTGTTCGCGGCCGCTCGTCTCGACGTCCTTGTGCATGGCCAGCGCGGCCAGCAGGTGGCTCGCAGCCTCGTCGTAGCAGCCCATGTTAATGCAGCTGACGCCCAGGTTGTAGCGGGCCCGCACAAAGTTGGGGTGCAGCGACAGGGCCTTTTCGTAGGCGGCAATGGCCTCTTCGGAGCGGCCCGAGTTGGCCAGGGTCGCGCCCAGGCGGTTCCACAGCAGGTGCACCTGCGAGCGCTGGTTGCTGGTGCCCTGCTCGCTCGACGCGAGGGCGGCGTGGAAGCAGTCGACGGCCTTGTCAAAGTCCTCGCCGCCGTAAAACAGCACGCCCAGGCCAACCTGGACGTCCGGGTCCATGTGCTCGCCATCGGGCGACAGCTGGGCGGCCTGGATGAACTTGTCGGTGATGCGCTCGTGCAGCTGCTGGCGGTCGGTGAAGCCAATCTCGGCGGCGTTGGACAGCTCGGCGGGCGGCAGGACCTGCGGGTACTTGGCGGACAGCCAGCGCTCGAGGGTGCGGTAGGCGGTGGTGTCGTAGCCCTCGTTGGTGTAGGAGACGGCGAGGGCCATGAGGCCCGGCAGGTTGGTGGGGTCGAGCTTGAGGGCGTGCTCGAGGGCGCGGATGGCGGCGGTCTCCTTCTCGTTCTGGGCCTGGGCCGAGCCCAGGTACACCCAGGCCTCGACGCGCTCGGGCTCGCGCTGGCAGGCGGCCTCGAAGGCGAGGGCGGCCAGCGACAGGTTGCCGTTCTCGTTCATGATGCGCACGCCCTCCTCAAAGGGGTTGCCGTGCTCCTTGAACAGGTTCTCTTCTTCAAACTGGTACGGGTCGATGCGCGGGTCCAGGCCCATGCGGTTGCCCATCGGCTCCCAGTCGTCGCCCCAGGTGTTCTGGAAGTCGTCGGACACGTCCTTCCAGTCGCCGCCGTCAAAGGCCTCGCGCATGGCGGCATTCTCGGCCTGGATGCCGTTCCAGACGGCCTCGAGGTCGCCAAAGTTGGTCTCGGAGTTGAGGACCTGGTCGTCGACCTTGTTGAGCTCGCGCTCAATGGCGTCGTTGGCGGCTTGGTCCTGGTCTTGGTCGTCGCCCTCCTTGGCCTGCTTGTCCTGCATCTCCATGCGCGCAAACTGCTCTTCCCACTCGTGGTCGTTGAGCTCGACAATCTTGCCCTTGCCCTTGCCCTCGACAACGGCGTTGGGCTCCTGGCGCTGCAGCGGCGCGGCGTGGAACGGCTGCTGGGCCCAGCTGTTCTGCATCTGCGGGCGGTACATGGGGAACTGCATGCCCGCGTCGTACTGTGACATGCCGCCGGCGTAGCCCATGCCCATCATGGGCTGCTGCATGTGCTGTGACGGCCCCGCGGCGGCCGAGGCGGACGCGCCGCCCATCTGCTGCTGCGCGGGGTGCTGGTGCTGGTGCTGGTGCTGGTGCTGCGGCTGCTGCTGGAACTTGGCAAACTCTTCCGGGTTGAAGCCGGCGTCCATCGGGGTCTGGGCACGGAAGCTGTCGGACCAGACGGGGGAAGCGGACTGGGCGCGCAGGTGCACGCCGCGCGAGGCGGGATCGATCTGCAGCTGGTTGAGGTGGGCGGGGTCCATGGCCATCTCAGACATGTTGGGGCCGTTTTGGAGGAAGCCATTGACCATCTAAGGGCAGGGGGCAAGGTTAGTGATTTGTGTTTTCTGAGGGGAGCTACAAAACAGGGCAGCATCGCGTGCTCGTGACAACACACGGCCCATACGTACCTCGTCTTGTGCGGGCCCCCGGTTGGCACTGCGGAAGCCGTTGACGCCATTCGGTCCGGCATTGACGAGTCGGTCGCGCTGCAGACTCCGGTCGTCCTGGACGTGCTTGGTGAACTGGCTGAGCGGGTTGCCCGCCGTCGAGCACTCGGCGCCGCCCAGAAACGACATGGCGTCTGTGTATAGGGAGTGTGGTCGGAGTGAGGCGCGGGGGCGGGTGTGAAGTCGGAGGATGCGAGGATATAGGGGTCGGATGGAATGTGAGGTCTGTAATTTGTCACCGGCTCAAAGAAGCAATATCGTCGAAAGGTGTTGTCTAGAACAGGAAGGAGTACGAATTAAAGAAACAACGTTTTGAGAAGGTGCTACCGGAAAACACAAAATGGAGAAACAGGCTTTCGCAAAGCGCTGACGTTGTTGCAGAAACACGGGGAAACAGCGCCTGTCCTCCGCTATCTGCAGGCAACTACAGGGCCTTTGGGGCGGTGACAAACGGCGGATTTACGCTGACCAACCCATTGCTTCGGTCGTCGCCATCCGCCACCCCACTAGCGCTCTCTCCCCCCCAAAATGCTGCCCCAGCGCAAACTATCTTACCGAGGCATTGTTCTCGGGAGCAGGTGACAAGAGTGACTTGCATTTGCAGTGCGCCACACACCAACGTTGAAGTCACTCTTCATCGGCAGCCAAACCCCAGATCGTCTGCCCCAACTCCACTATCACGCGCCAGCACAGGTACCCGCTAGCATGTAGTACAGGCGACATTCTCCCTCTGTCACCGCGATCCCCCCGTCGGCTACCGTACTCATTTTATACAGTGGACGGCGTTTGTATGCTGTAAAGTTGCCGTTGTTGGCATAATCAAGCAGCTGGTAAGCCGGATGCCCTGACAAGTGTGCTTCAACCATAATCAAGTAAACATACGTAGTATTGAGTAATCCAGGCATAATACGTGTAAATTTCCAAGAATTAATATTGCGCGGGCTGGTCAAACTCGCTATGTGAAGAGTATGTGACTGTGACGGAGGATGGCAATACATGTGACAATATGTGACGAGGTCGTATGTAACGGGGAGTACCTACGGCATACAATGCCAGGGGCTATCTGCAATCTTCCCGTCTTCGATTTCCGTCGTGTTCTCCGTCTCTGTCCAACTTGAGAAGCGAAATGCGAAAATGGCAACAAAAAAAGCATTGGATGGAAATAGGAACGAGTAGAAAGTAGTATGACAAAATATAAACGGAATCAACAAGGGGGGCCCGAGTCTGGGGGGTATCAGATGTAGAACGAGATTGGGAGGGTTTGTTGAAGGTGAGATGAGAAGAGAGGTGATGGACGTGATGGCGCTGATGGGAGGTGAAGTAAAAAAAGGCTGAGCAAAGAGCAAGAGGGCTTCATAGCTATGACTGAGAAGGCACCTTGTTGTCGGCAATCGTCCGCAGCAGGCTGAAACGACATTCTGTTAGTACAACGACACTCGAGGCAACACCCGTGCGGGACACAAAACGTACTGAGCATTGCGGTCGCGCAGCTCGTTGTCGAGCTCCTCGAGCCCGCGCGCCGTCACCCGCGCTTTAGCGATCTGTGCAAGAACATGCCATGTTAGTATATACTGCACCGTCACCCCAAGCAGGGCGGTGGCAATCGCACCGAAGCGAGGGCTGCCGATGAATGGTCCGGTTCGCCGGACTCACCTTCCGCCGCGGCAGGGTCCTTGTTCTCCGCATCCGAGGAATCGTCGTTGTCGGTTTGGGCAAACCGGCTGGCCGCCAGGCCCTTTGGTGCTTGTGCCTTGGCCTAGACGGGGGGTCAGCTTTCGGTGATCACGTCAGTCGATCCGTCACCTCGGCGTCACGTACATTTGCCTCCTTCAGCTCGGCCTCCTTGACGTTGAGCTGCGCCAGCAGCTCCTCGACCTTGCGCTCGGCTTCCTTCGCCTTGCGCTCGGCCTCCGCCGTCTTCTGCTGCGCCTCCTCGACCAGCTGCGTCATCGAGTCGTTGAGGTCCGAGTAGTCGACCTCGGACGACTTCTGCTTGGCGTCGGCCGCCAGCCGGTGCGCCTCAAACTCCTTTTGCAGCATCTCGTGGTCTTCCTGCACCGACCGCAGCCGGTCGGTCGCGTCGGCCGTCTTGGTCTTGGCCGCGTACAGGTCGTTCTCATGCGTCGTCTTGAGCGCTTTGAGCTCGGCCCGCAGGCTGTCGAGCTCCGTCGTGTCGGGCTTCTGGTTCTTGGTCGCGTCGAGCGCCGCCTCGGCCTCAAACTTCTCCATCTTGGCCTGCGCCAGCTGGCCGCTGATGGCGTCCGTCTCCTCGTTGGCCTTGGCCAGCTCGGTGCGGGTCTCGGCCAGGGTGGCTTGCACGGCGGCCAGCTGCGTCTCGAGCGCCACCGTGCGCTCGGATGCAGACGCGACCTGAGTGTTGATCTCGCCAATTTCCTTGGCGTGCGCCTCCTTGAGGGCGGACGACTCCGAAGCGCCGTCCTTCTTCGCCCCTTCCAGGGCTTCCGAGTGCAGCGCGATCAGCTTCTCAATCTCAGCACTGTGCTTGGTCTCGAGTTCGGCCTTGAGCGCTTCAATGGCCGCAGCCTGGCCCGCGCCCGACTGTGCCTTGGCCTCCTCGAGGGCAGTCGTGTGTGCGTCAATCGTCTTCTGCAGCTCGTCCGCGTGGCGCGCGGCCAGGTCGGCCTGCACTTTCTCGAGCTCGGCCGCATGCTGGCTCGCCAGCTGGGCCTTGAGCTCCTCAATCTTGGAGGCCGACGCATCAGAGTTGGCCGACTGGGCAGCAGCAATCGCCTCGGCGTAGCTGGCCTGCAGCGACTCCTTCTCAGAAGCATGCTCCTTCGCCAGAGCAGCCAGTGCCGCGGAGTGGGAGGTGCGCAGGTCCTCGAGTTCCTTCTCCAGAGACGACGAGGCGTCGGCCTTGAGGACGTCGATCTGCTCGGCGTGGCTCGCCTTGAGCTTCTCGAGCTCGGCCAGGTGCACCTCCTTCTCGGAGCTGCTCGTGCTCAGCTTGGCGCTCTCGAGCTCCTCGCCGTGACTAGCGCGGAGGGCGTCCAGGTCCTTCTGGTGAGCGGCCGTCTTCTCCTCCAGGGCGGCGGCGTGCGCGGCGTTGGCGTCCGCCAGAGCCTTCTCGTGGCTTGCCTTGGCAGCCGTGTGCGCCTCGGTGAGTTCGGTGTGCTTCACCTCCAGATCCTGGAACTTGCGCTTGAAGAAGGCGTCACCGCGCAGGCTCTCAATTTCCGTCTCGTAGTCCTTGGAAATCTGCTCGAGCTCCTTGCGGTGCTTCTCGAGGGCGGCCTCGTGCTCGCTGGTCAGCTTCGCGATGTTGGCGTCCTTGCTGGAGCTGTCCTCGAGAGCGGTATCTACGGACTTCTGGAGTGCCGCGTGCTGCTCTTCGGCCGCAGCGACTGCCGCCTGGGATGCGGTGAGCTCCTCCTGCAGCTTGGCAACAGCCGCCTCGAGAGAAGCAAGTTTGGCATCCTTGGCCTCGAGTTCGGCCTGGGCGGCCTGCAGCTGGGCCTCGACCGCCGAGACGGCAGAGGTATCGGCCTTGGCATCCTCCGCGGCCTTCTCGGCCGCCGCGAGCTTAGCTTGGAGGTCAGCAACCTCCGCTTCGAGGGCGGCGGCCTTCTCTTTGTTGGCCGACTCCAGCTCAGCCTCGGTGGCCGTCAGGCTGTCGATCTTGGCCTGCAGTTCGGCGACTGCGCTCTCGTGGGTGGTCTTCAGATCGGCAATGGCCTTCTCGTGGGATGCCGACGTAGCGGCTTCGCCGTCCTTGAGCCGCTCGGCGTGCTTGGCCTCGAGGGTGGCGATGGCCGCCTCGTGGTCCTGTCCAAGGCTCTGCTTCAGTGCCTCTAGTGCAGAGGCATGGTCAGCCGTGGCCTTGCGCAGGCCAGCCTCCTTCTCCTCAAGCTGGGCGGCGTGCTCCGCTTGCAGGGCGTCCAGAGAGGCCTTGAGCGAGGCGACCTCGTCATCCGAGGTGCCCTTGGACGCGGCGGCATCGGCGAGGTCCGACTGGTGCTTCTCGAGGCTGGCCTCCGCCGTCTGCAGCTTCTGCTGGACCTCCTCAATCTGGGCGTTGAGTGCAGCGACCGTCTCTTCGTGCTTGGTCGTGAGCTCCACCAGACGATCACTGTGCAGCTGCTCGCCGTCGTCATCCTTCTTCAGCTGGTCGTTGAGCGCGTCAATCTTTTCCTTGGACGACTCGATCTGCTCCTTGAGATCGGCAACCTCCTTCTCGCTTGTCGCGAGTTTCTCCTTGAGCTCCTCTGTGACCTTGGCAGCCTCAGCTGCTGCGGCAGCCGAAGCGCCGGCGGTCGAAGACGAGAGAGACGGGCGGGAAGCATGGCGGGCAGTGGTGGACGGCGCGGCAGAGCTGCCGACAGTGGAGAGGCGCTTCTTGGCCTCAGCGACCAGGCCAGTTGCAGACGGTCTCGGCGCGGTGGTGGAGCGTGTGGCGGTGGTGCTCGTAGACGATGTGCTAGCTGTCGGTTTATGCGCAGCAGCGGGAGAAGAGGTCGAAGACGCGGCGGTCGGCTTCCGTGCGGCGGCCGCCGTGCCGACAGCCGGGGTGGAGGAGGTCGAGGACCGCACCGAGGACTTCGTCGCGGGCGTCGTGGAGGAGGGCGCGGTCGAGGTGCGACGAGCGGCTGTGCTGGTGGTAGCGGTACGCTTCTTCTCGTCCTCAGACGCGGAAGGGTTCGAACGATGCGTGGCGGTGGACGAGGAGGTTGTCGGGCGCTTGGCCAGGGTGGACGTGGCGCCGGCAGCCGGGCGCAGAGGGGGCTTGGTCAGGCCAGTGCGACGCGCAGTCGCGGCAGGCGTGGTGCCGACAGTGGATGTCCGCTTCGCAGCAGTGGTCGCGGTGCCGGCAGCAGGTTTTCCAGCAGCAGCCTTGGGAGCGGAGACGCGCGTAGCAACCTTTGGTGTCGTCTTCGTGCTCTTGGGGCTCGAGGCGGTCGCATCGGATGCCCCTCCGGCCGCGTCAGGAGCAGCCTCGGCGGAGGTCGGTGCGGGCACATCCGCAGACGGCGCAGCAGGAGCGTCGTCGTGCGGGACGGGGTCGGAGCTGGTAGCGTCGGCCATTGTGAAAGCCTTGGTTTGTTTTAAAAGCCGGCCGAAAAGAGTCGGATCGTGGAAGCTGTCGCGGGATAATGAGTTTGCGCGTCCAACTATCTCGAAGCTAAGGAAAAGGGGAACGAAGGGTCCAGCAGTTAGCTCGTGTTGGTTGTCAACAGATAGCAATTTAGGGCCGCCGCGACGACCGCGCGTCAACAAGGTACAAGTTCCAATTCGAGGGACACTTTGTCACACTCCGCCACCAGGAAACCGTCCATTGTCGGGCCAAAGACTCAAGTGAATGCACGTCACCTCGGTCTCATGCCGGGGTCGTTTTGGTATGTTTGACAACATTGAATTAGACGAAGGTTATGACGACCTACCACTTCGAGACAATAGCAGCCTTTGCCTGGTTCCTCACTTATTGGTCGTGAATAGAAAAGGAGCCGTGTTTTAGGCGAGGGATGGAATCAACCGAACGGGCTGAAGCAACCACAATGTCGTGAGAAGAAACAAGACCAAATGTTAAAGAGAACACAGCTTGCCGGGGATCATGACCAGCTTTCGGTAAATGAGAACGAGAAAAAAATGAAAAAATAAAAGGAAAAAAGGCTGGGCGAAACAGGGCAGCAAATTAAACTGGGGGTGTAATTCGGGCCTGAAATAGAAAGGCGCCACAAATCAGCAGACAGGTGGGAACCGAATCTCTGGCGGAGCGAGAGCGACAGAGGTGCACGAGAACGAAAAAGACCAACCAAGAAATGGTCGTGACAGGATCGTGGAGCTGTGTACGGAATCACGGAAAACGCAAAAGAAAAGGAGGACGGGGTGAAGGTAAGGAGGGAGAAGAATGTCGAGAGGGGGAGAGAGACTGGAGACGGCCAAAACGTCAGAAGAATTGGGAACTCTTTTGGGAAAGTGCCAGGGGGTGCGCGAGACCAAGAGGAAATTAAAGCGGGAAAGTGCGCGCGCGTGGGTAGCTTTCCTGGTCCAGAAAGAAGCAGGGGCCAACGAGAGAGGGAAGGAGCGGCGCAGGCAGCAAAGTACAACATCTGATGGAAAGGGAAGGGGGTCGGTCAAAAAGGGAAAGAGCAGTGAAGCACAGGCCCCATGTCGCTTCACTTTGCCCAGGTGCCGCTGTCTGTGCCAATCGAACCAGAAAGGGCGCGCTGCCGACGCGTAGAGAGCACTACGAAGTGGTTTAATTACTTTCGCAAAAGGTACCGACTGTGTGTGTCCCGTCACATTTAAGATTGACAGAGCTGAGCTACTGTGCTCTGTCTGTAGTACGACGCCAAAAGACAGCAAATGTGATACGACGTCTTTTGCAAGAGGGAAAGAGCGAACGGTCTGATCCCGGGCAGGAAGGAGGGATGGGCATTGAGACCGGACGAAAATGGTATGGCTGGCATGCGTTACACGCAATTTGGGCAAGAGCCGTGAAGCTAGGCGTTGATCGAACAGGCAGGTCCCCCTGGGCCGGCTTTCAACGAGTGACGCTATTTGCAAATAGGAGGCATCTTTAATTGCGATGTAGAACGCACGTCGACGCGAGAGAATGGGAGAATGGACAAAGTCGACACACCGACAGGCCTCCCCACTAAGGCTCCCGAGCCATACGTCGCATTGCTTCGTGCAGGGAACGTCGGCAGTGTCGATTCGACAGGGACTTTTGTTTGTGAAACAGCGGGACGACGGCAGTCATATTTCTCGTTTTTGTCTCTTCTCCTCTTCCCTGTCGTTTTTGGGTTGTCAGGTCTCCCGCCGTCTCCGAACGACCGACGTATCAGGTTTTGGCCTTGCATTGAGCAGCAGGCATTAACACAAGAGCTTGCCATTCCTCGTTTCGAAACGGCCTGTGTCGTATCATCAGCAATGCTGTCATCAGAAAGCAGTCTCGTTTAATTGAGCCACACACTCACTTGTCGACCAAAGGCGCTTTTGACGTAATGAGAGCCAAGTCACTCGATGCAATATTGGTGAGGGGGGAGTGACAAGACTACAACGCCACCGGCCTGTCCAATACACCATGATCGGCGGGCCTCTGCTTTATTGGACTACGAAACAAGTCAGGCCGACAAGGCAGTTGTGGTGACGGCACCTTGCATGCTTCGTCTGGGGTGCATGCAGATATGTCAGGGTCTTCAACCAGTGGCTTCTTTAGTTCAAAACAAAAGGATTCCACTCATGATAAAATTATGTCTTTGAGTAATATGTTGTATATTCAAGTTCATACGAACAAAAAAATAGAAGAACACCGTTGGTATCACTAGAGAGTCGAAAAAGCCAAGAAAGAGATACAACTAAAAACCAAGGAAAAGTACTAAAAGCAGGAATATGCACACAGGGTCCCCCTTATCGAATCGTAAAGCCTGCCTGCGCCCAGTGTGGCACCGGCCTATTGTCTTTTAGCAGCTTGGCCCGGACCACGCTCTTGATGCTCTCGGCGCGGTTCGCCACGTCAAACATGTCGCGGTTCAGGTCGGCCGCCAGCCGCGCAAGGTCCAGCTGGTCCGTGCCCTTGAGTGCGCGGAGACGCGCCAGGATCTGTCTGAGCTCGGCGTCGGCGTAGGGGCGAGAGCCGAGACTGGCTGTTGCGGCACCTTCGCGTGCCGGCGTTAGTGTTGGTGTTGGCGTTGGGGCAGGGGTCGGTATATCGGCCGCGGGCGTAGCCGGGACATTAGCCGGGACCTCGACCGGGACCTCAACGGGAACCTCAACCGGAGCCTCAACCGGAGCCTCAACCGGAGCCTCAACCGGAGCCTCAACCGGAGCCTCAACCGGAGCCTCAACCGGAGCCTCGACCGGAGCCTCGACCGGAGCCTCGACCGGAACCTCGGCTTCGGCAGGGCCGGCCACCTGTAGAGTGTTTACCACTAGGCCGTCTTCATCCTCCGCTTCCCCGTTCCGCCCGACCACAATCATGTCCTGCGTGACCTGCTCAACACTCGCGACCGGCGGCGGGCTTGATGGCTGGGCGACGACAGCAGTCGTGATGGCCGTTGTCATAACTGGGCTGTCGTCGTTCTCGCCATTGCCGTCGCCATTGCTGTCGCCATTGTCGTCCTCGTCAACACCGTCGTCATCACCGTCGCGCACGACTTGGACATCCCGCATGCCCTGGTCGAGGTACGCGGCCGACGGCTGTGTCAAGACAATCTCCAACGACTCGGCAGCACGACCATCTGCGAGCTCAAATGCAAATGATTCGTCGTCCATGGCACTGATGTCCTGGGGTTGTGTCCGCGCAGCAGGTGCGCTTGCAGCAACCGCCACGGGCATCCATTCCCCGTTGCTGTCGTTTTGGTTTTGGTTTCCCACCCCACCAGCTTCTCGGTTTGCGTCCTCCCGTACCTCTACCTCTTGTCCCTCGTGGCCTTCCTGTGTCCCTTGACGCCCTCCAGCGTCGCGTGCAGTCTGTGCGCGCTCGAGGGCCAGCCATGCTTGGTTGAGCTCGTCCTCGATCCCGTTGAGAAGCGGCCTGAGCAGGCATCGGTTTCGTCGCACGGCAGCAATCGACTCGGGTCGCGGCAGCGCCGAGTTTTGTAGGCGTTGACCAGCCTCTTCGTCAGCGTCATCGAGATACTGGTACGTGAAGGGGACCCCCGTCATACGGCGGTCGGCGCGGTACCCGAGCTCCCAGGCGACCGCATTCTCGAGGCGTGTGATCCAGCCAACGACACGCCGTGCCAAGTACAGCGTTGCATGGATCATCTGCACCCAATTGCCTGGCACATACAGGCTGGCCTCGCCCAGCTCCCGGCCGGGCAAGCTGCCACCGAGCGCGTAGACTGTTTCGAGGACCTCCACCGCCTTGGGGATCACAAACGCCACAAGGTCTTCAGCAAGCAGCCAGCGGAAGCGGACCGTCTCCGGGGTCGCGTCGCTCGCATAGGTCGTCAGCGGCTGGAGCGCATTGTGGCAGATCCTATGGATGCTGGCGTCGATCATACTAAGAAGCTCGCCATGTTCGCCGTGGTGGTCGTGCAAGTACGTCCTCTGGGCCCACATGTCGAGCGTCTCCGTGGTCATGGAGGGCCGCGCCATGGGCCGCGGTACGTGCACATACGCGTCATTGAGGCCCGCGAGCTGTCGCAGGAGGTTCTTCGCCTGCGCCGTAAATGGCTCGGGGCCAAACCGGCCGGCATCGGTGTGCTGCCAGCTCAATCCCATTTTCCACATCACCTTGCCGGTCCACCCACTCGTGCCCATGAGGTCTATGAGTGCACTCAGTAGCTGGGACGTGATGAGCTCTGTCACAGGCATCGCTGTGGGGTCTTGCGAGGCAGATATTCGTGGCGCAGCTTGCGTGCCAATATCGTTGTTATTGTCGTGAGCGTTGTCGTCGTCGTTTTCGTAGTTGTTGGCGTCGGTGTTGCCATAACCTGGCAGCTCACCCTGGGAATGAGTTTGTGCTTCGCCGCTGTCGCCGGTCTCTTGTGGTGTTTCTTGTATTGTTTCGGCCGTCCTTTGCGTCACGGGTTGGCCGCCGCCCGCATCGAATTCGGCATTGGCGCCCGCTGTCGTCGCTTCTGGTTCCGCGCTGGGCTGAAGGCCTTGCAATCGTCTGGATGAACGTCCTGAGGTCGCTTGTGCCGTTCCGCTCGCCTGATCCATCCGTACTTCCGGTACATCGTCCTCTTCTCGCTCTGCAGGTTCTTGTTGTTGTTGCTGCTGGAGATGCTCTTCTGTATCTCCCTCCTTCTCCTGTCGCCCGGCCACAGGTTGTTGCTCCGTCTCTCGTCGTTGCCTTTTAGAAGGATCTTGCTGCTGCGCGGCCGCCCCCTCCACCGGCCCCTCCTCTTTGCCCAACTGTCGCTTTTTGGGCAACGAACGCCTCTCCGGTTGTGCCCTATCAATAGCCGCCGTCACCTGTTCCAGCACATTCGCCACGCTCATCACACCCCTACCCCGACGGCTGCGGTTCGTAGCCGCTGTCGGTCGGCCATTCGGTGCCACCGCCCTGCGTTGCCGTTTTCGAGGCGTTTGAGGGCTGTTGTGCACGTGGGCGACTTGTGCGCTCTCCATCTTGTTGTTGTTGTTGTTGTTGTTGTTGTTGTTGTTGTTGTTGTTGTTGTTGTTGTTGTTGTTGTTGTTGTTGTTGTTGTTGTTGTTGTTGTTGTTGTTGTTGTTGTTGTTGCTATCATCGTTCTCCTGGTCGTCGTCGTCGCTTTCGCCCCTGCGCTCCCTTTCACTCATCAAGTTCCACAGGTTGTCTGGCGATTGCAGTTCCCCATCCTCTTGCCGTGACTGCTGCTGCTGCTGCTGCTGCTGTTGCTGCTTTTCTCGCAGTTGTCGCTGGCTTTCTGCCTCCTCCTGCACAAGCTGACTCTGGGCCTGGATGTTTTCCCGGCCACGCTCTGCCTCGCCCTCTTCGTAGAGGTCAAGGGGCGGGAAGAGGGAGCCGCTGCTGTGCCCCTCGTTTGCCTCGTCGTCCGAGTCGACAGCATCTTTCGATGGCCGACGCGCGGGCTCCGTCGCAAACGGTGCCGTCGCACGCTTCCGCTCCATGATCAACGTCAGCATAGAGTGCGAATGCAGCCAGCGGTTTTGTGTTTCGTCGTGAAAGCCGCCAACGTTCGTGTCGCCATTCGGCTAAGCCTCGGAGACAAAGGGATCAACGCGTCGCAAAGCACCTAAAAAGACAGGTCTGTGTCACGGGCGCGGTGGATCGTCGATGTTGACCATGAAATGTCGACGTTTTCGAGGTTGCGCTGTCGTCCGAAGTGGTCGCGTCCAATTCACCAGGTTGTGGTATTGGCGAAGAAACGTCCCCACTTCCTCCCCCAACAGCACGGCAGGTGCCGTTGACAATGGTTTTCGGTCAACATGGCAGGCGCGTTTTAGCGCGTCCAGAGGCGGCTTCACTCTCTAATTGGGGCCGCTTTCACAACCTCTAAATGGTTTACGTATCTTATTTTCTTTTCTTGAAACTAGACTTGGACTCGTGACTATGAGGCCCCTAGCATATGTAAACGAATTGCCATCCATTGTATTTCCACCGTCTAACAGGGACCTTGCCGATAATGAACGAAAACAGAAAAAAGAATGCTGGTAACATGAAACGAAAATAAAAAGAATAGTAACCCGAGAATAAACGAAAATTAAAGGAAACAAATACCGCATCCCACAAACGCCGCCGAAAGCCCATCAGATCACTGTACCCGTTGTATTGCTCACCATTCCCGCAAACGTAAATAAAACTCCTGCCACCGTTCCGAGGTGGTTGTGGATGCGGTTGTGACATGAGATCACTGCGCCAGCCAGCTCGCCCAATGTAAACAGGCCAATGTTCCGCAAAATAGACGGCGGCAGGCCATACGATCCCATGATGAGAGAGACGGCAGGGCATACAATGAACGGCCACCAGCCGCCCAGCTCGCCGTACCCGCGAAACGAGTTTTGGATGGTCCAAGTGGCCGCCGCAGTAGCCTCCAATGTGTCCAACATGTCGTTTGTCATATTCTTCGCCTGGACCAGCAGGCGGCTGTGGGCGTCAAAGTCGGAAAAGAACGCTTGCGTCATGCCCTCGAGCTGCAACATGCCCTGCCAGTAAAAATCAATCTCAGCGAACGATGCATAAGACAATATGGAGGGACAGACTAGGCTTACCCTTCCAAGGGCTTCTTGGCGAGATGTGAGATCCGCGGCTTGGAGTTGGGAAAGTTCCTATCCTGTTAGAACAGTAAAAATACAGATGTAAACGAACTTTGCATTTGTACTCACAATTTCTCGTTGTAACGACAATGCGGACGCATAGACTCCCTGCATTGCAGCATTGATCGCATCCATCTCACCTTGTGTCACCTGATTGGCCCTTGCGATCGACCGCTCGTGCTCAAAGGCCAACTCCGAGTTGCTCTCAAGCACTGTCTTTACGAGAATGCGCAGCACCTGCTGTAGTGTCCGGGCTGACTGCGAACCGTCCTCCACCAGCGTGGCAGTCTCGCGCACCGAAGACATGAGATCATTGTGCAAGAGGGACTCGATGACTACCATTTTGTCCAAGAGGGCGTCTGCCACGGGTACGATGTGGCCAAGCCGATCTGCCGCACCCCGAGCTACCGCGTCGCAAACCTCTGTGCGCCTCTGCAGCTCGGCCTCGACGTCGTCGGTCAGCTTGGCCATGACACGCGTAAGCTTCTGGAAGACGAGGATATTTTGCGCTGGGACCGTTAGCTACCCTGTCTTCATTTCGTTTTTTTTTCTTTCCATTTCCTTTCGGCCGGGCACGTACTCTTCTCGTGGTCTGCTCGGGCGGCCTCACAAAACCGAACGGCCTTGTGACTGTAGCTGACCCACGTGTTCCATGCCGACGGCGACTCACCCAGTCCAGCCAGACACGCCCGAATTTGCGCTTCGGGTACATGCAGTTGCGCTGTATCGCTCAGCGGCGTTCGGCTCAGCGTGGGCTCGCGGAACGGCTCACACGCCGGCGGGATGCTGAAGCTGGCCCGCTCCAGGTCACAGATGGCGAGGCTGGCCGCGTACGAGTCCACAAAGTCGCGCGCCCGGCGTCCGCTGTCTGTCAAGACTGTGGCATCGTCTTTTCCCTCGAGAATCTGGCAGTTGTTGACGAGTAGCCGCGCGGCAACGCGGTGGCATAGCGGCTCTGCTTCGAGTTCCTGAAGCTCGGTCAAGGCTGCCTGGTAGAGTGCAGAGCGCGTTGCGCCCGCTTGCAAGAGGTCGGACGGGCTTATTCTTGCTAAAGATGGATGTGCATCGCGATCTACTTTAGATTAGTATGAGCCGTGTTGGAGGAAATTGAGCGCTATTGTTCTTACCCGGCTTTCCTGGCTCAGTGGAAATCCATGGGATAGCTGTGACGGATGGAAGGAGGTTGCATGAGACCAGCAAAGTCGCCAACAGCTTGACGAAGTACATGGTAGGCGCATTGGTCGGCGTGGTTCAAAAGGTTCCAAGGATGTGAGTGTGCGTAAGGCAGTCGCTTGGTTTGGTGGGCAGAGTATATGTTCATCTGAAAGCCCGAGATAGATGGGGAGGAGAAAAAAAGAGGAGAGTAAGAAGTAAAGTGAAACCCAGCAATTACAACAAATGCAGAGAAAGAAGAGACGAAAAGGCGCCGATTTTGCAGTGTATATCGCAGCGTCTAAATGATGCTCCAGCGTCGAATGCCACTCTGGATGGCAGGGCATGAACAGCTGCCTGCGGTCGAGGACTAATATAACGCGGGTTCAACCAGAGCGCAGGCTTTACAACATCGTCGCCAGAGTATGAGAAGAGCAAAAGTTTATATATATTGAACCCCTGAATGTCATGTCTTCTTAACACGAACTTGACTTGACTCCAGGGAAGGAGCAACTCTGAGTTCCGAATGAGGAAGGTTTGAGGGGACAAGCGCGACGAATTACACGGCAGGAGTGCACCGGTGTCTTGGGGCTGGCTTGGGTGGGTCGCGCGATCACGTGGAGCCTACCGCGAATTCGGGGCCCAGAAAAAATCGGCTACAGCACTGTTCCAATTGGCCGCCAATTTTTTTGAGAGCGTCTCTTGACGTCTGTCGAACGACATCGTGAGACCGACCAGGACGACGAATAAGCGACGACGGCGCGCCATTGGCCCTCCCCAACTACGACAGAACACACGTTCTCCTTCCCTGACACAAACCGCAATGTTTGCGCCGAGTCGGGGGCAGGCGCTCGCGAAAGCGGCCGAGACCGCGGTGGCGGCCGCAGGCTTCGCAGCGACAAGAACAACGGCTGCCCGGCGCGTGGCCCTGCCGGCTGCCGCGGCCGCCTCCCAGCAGTGCACCCGTGCCTTTTCGGCGACGGCAGCGCACAACTCCAAGCTCGGCCGGATGCCCATTTCGATCCCGCCGGGCGTGGAGCTGACGATTGGCGAGCCGATTGTGAAGAAGGACCCGACCACATACCTCAAGATCCCGCGGAGGACGATAGCGGTGCGAGGGCCCTTGGGCCAGCTGGAGCTCACGATGCCGCCATTCATCCAAATCGACCACGACGTGGAGGCACGGCGCATCTCACTCAACATTGAGGACCGCCAGGTCACGGAGCAGAAGCAGATGTGGGGTGAGTCAAGAGGGAAAGGAAGGGATCCCTGCGCGTGGTCCATTCGACACACACAGACACTGACCTGACCCTGTAGGAACCATGTGGGCACATATGAACCGGTACATTATCGGTGTGTCGGAAGGCCACACGGCCGTGCTGCGGCTGGTTGGTATTGGTTACCGTGCGACGGTGGAGGAGCGACCCGAGAAGGAGGCGTACCCGGGGCAGAAGTTTGTGGTGCTCAAGCTGGGCTTCAACCACCCGGTCGAGATGGGCGTACCCAAGGGCATTGCGGCCAGCACGCCGCAGCCGACGCGCGTGCTGCTCGAGGGCATCAACCGTGAGGAGCTCATGACATTTGCAGCGAGTATCCGGCGGTGGCGGAAGCCAGAGCCCTACAAGGGCAAGGGCATCTTTATCAACGAAGAGACGATCAAGCTGAAGCAGAAGAAGATCAAATAGACGATGCGCGCGAGGGGGATATTTGGGAACAACCAGGGTACAATTGTTGCGCATTGTATGTACTATATTCATCTATTTTTTCGGCTGTAAATTTACTACACATGGGCCGTCCTTGTTTTTTTCCAACCGTAGTTTTATATTATCATGCACGAGTCTAGTGTACACAGTTCATTTATGTTTTGGGGATAGCAGACCACACGAGAACAGCTTTCGTTTGGAGAACGAGACAGAGGCGCTCGGACAGCCTCCGCGGAATTGCATCAATGCCAGCTGTTTCAACAGCTGCAGCTCGAGTTCTCCAAACTACGGCGAAATCTTGAGGACCGTCTGTACGACACTGAGCACCCTGTCGTGGATCGCCGCCGGCGCTGCCACGACACCCTTATTCTCGGCCAGCGTGCGGCCGTGGCCAAAGTTGAGCCGGCGGCCCAGCGTGTCCGTGACCTGGCCACCAGCCTCGCGCACAATCAGGTCGCCCGCCGCGTGGTCCCAGATCTTTTCCTGGTAGGTCGCGGACACGGGCAGGCGCAGGTAAATGTCGCCGGCGCCGCGCGCAATCGAGCCGTACTTGGCCTGCGAGTCCATGCGCACGCTCGGCTTTGTGATGCCCAGGATGCGCGTGATCTGCGCCGACTCGTCCTGGTTGGAGTGGCCGGCCTCGACGCTCTCGCAAAACGACGCTTGCAGCAGGTCCTGCTTGGTGGACAGCGCGTTCATGTGGATGGCACGGCCCGCCAGCACGTTGCCCGTCGTCAGGGGGCGGCTGTAGGCGCCGTCGCCCTTGACGGCCGAGAAGAGCACGCCGACGTTGCTGCCCTCGTCGGATTGGTTGGCGCCGACGTCGACGGTCAGCTTGGTGGCGTCGTCGGTCGGCAGGTTGGGGCAGCCCAGCACGCCGACCTTGACGTCGCCGTCGACAATCAGGCCGACGCAGACGGCGTACTGGCCACCGCGCAAGAAGCCCTTGGTGCCGTCAATGGGGTCGATGGTCCAGATGCGGCCCACGGAGCCGCCCTTGCTCTTGCCCTGGTCGAGCACGTCGAGCATGGTGTCCACGGAGGGAATGGGGCCGCCCAGCACGTCCTCAGCGGCAGGATCGTCGAGCCGGCTGTTCTGCACAAAGCTCCAGATGGTGTCCCGCAGGTTGGCGTCGGCGCGCAGCTGGTCGGCCTCCTCCTCGGCCACGATCTCGTCGGTGGGGAACTGGTAGCGCAGGGCGGAGATGATGAGGGCCTGGGCGCCAAAGTCGCCAATGGTGACGGGCGACTTGTCGTCCTTGGAAACGGTGCCCTTGGCCTTTTCGTGGAACACGCGCTTGGTGAGGATGGCAGCCCGCTGGACGGCTAACTGGGCCACCTGCAGCTCTCTGACGTACTCCTGGCTCGCCATGGTTGCGGTGCAAGCGGTGAAGAGACGGGACCTGGGAAAAGGCAGATAGTGACGGGCCTGGAGAGCCCACGTTTGACGGACGAGGAGGAGCGCAAAGGCCAGGGCGACAAGTGCGAGGCCGAGGAGTATGCGGAAGGAGAAGAGGTGTCTGTCGCGGGGATAACGATGCTGTCGTCTCGACGTGGTCGCGGGGTCGCTGGTCCGACGAGGCGAGTCTGTATGGATGTTGTCGTCGGTGGGAGAGGGAGAATGCTTGTTGTGTGTCGTGGCGTCGTGCATGAGGGAAAATACCGTCGTCGTTGTCAGTGGGTAGCTCCTGCAGGTTTTCACATCTTCACACAGAGCTGCCTAACAGGCAATGATGTAAATGGCAAGAGCTAGCGACTACCCCGCTGGTCTCGATGCGCTGACGGAGCCAGGCTCCACCCATAGTGCAAAGTTCTCACTGTTGTTGCTGTGAGTTGATATACACGTACATGTGCATGATAGTTGTCAGGTTTTCAATGGGTTTGTGTCCTCGCACTCTGCTTGAATGTGCCTGTCCATAAACATTGCTTTTTGTTTTGCGACTTTTCAAGTGTGTATTTATGTTTGATGTGAATATGTTCCAGCGTCAACCACATGTACCTCTTCCACGTTGTGCCATACAAAGGGTACCTCATCACGCGTTGAGCTGCAGCTGTGCGGAATAGGGAAGGTGCGACCCAGCAACGAGGCAGTTGTTAGCACGCGGCAGGCACAGCAACGCCTTTTTTGGATCCAACAGACCCCTGACCCAAATCGTCTCTCTTTTTGTTGGTGTTCTCAGAGCTATCTTTCCACCACAAACACAACGACATTTCTTTGTTTCGAGCGCTGTTTCTTTCCGCTCTCGCTGCAGCGGCATTGTTGACGACCGGAAGGGACACTTTCCTTCTCCCCCTCACCACGGCGTCCTCGCTTGTTTCTGACTCCCTTTGTCTCGTCGACGTCCCAATTTCTCTTTTGACAGCCTCGCCTCCACGAGTATTCGAGGCTACGACATAGATACGGCAGAGATACGGCAGAGATAGCACGTCCTTGACAGGCTGATAGTCGACAAGAACGCATTGCGAGACGCGACGCGGCATTAAACCCTTTCCTGGGTGCTCCCCGGCTCGACAAACAACAGACACAGGGCAGAAAACAGAGGCAACACAGAAAACATGAATGCGACGAAGCGGAAATTCAACGCCCTGCTTCAGGGGATCGGCACGCGATCCACCGGTTCCGTTTCATCAACTGAAAAGAGCGATCCTACGCGCCCATCGTCATTAGACCTCGGCCGGGGTGCTGGTGAGAGCACATCTCGACTTTCGACTTCGATGCCTCCACGAGAAGGTCTTTCAGGAGCTACACCGACAACAGTGACACCAGGGACCACCCAACCGAGCGACATGTTACTCTCTTCTCCTTCACGAACGGCGACAGCGACGGCGACGACGACTACGACTCCCTCGGCGGCGAGCCTCGAGTTCCTTGCCAAGCGGCGACGCATAGCGAATGGCGGTGCCACGTTGCGCGATACAACGGGCAATGCCGCTGTAACACCATCAAGCAGCATCTTGCGCAAATGGGGTACGAGCACAGCCCGCGGGAGCATCGCTAGGCCAGAACAGACGCAGACAAACACACATACACAGACGGCACCGCCCCAGCCACGCTACTGCCCGGGCGACCGAGAGCAGCTCCTGCGGCGCTTGGCCACGTTCCAGGAGCTGACGGACTGGACGCCCAAGCCGGACCGCATCAATGAGATCGAGTGGGCGAAGCGCGGCTGGGTGTGCCAGGGCAAGGAGCGGCTGCGGTGCACGCTGTGCAGCAAGGAGCTGGTGGTGCAGCTGGGCCGCGCCAAGGGCAGTGAGGCCGACAACAGCGACAGAAGCACACCCGCGTCGATGGAAGCAGCTGAAGCGGCTGAAGCAGCCGAGGCGGCCGTGGTCGACAAGTACGTTGACTTGGTGGTAACGGCGCACGAGGAGGACTGTCTGTGGCGCAAAAAGGGTTGCGACGACAGCTTGCTGCGGCTGCCGCTGGCCAGCCCACACCAGGCACTCGCCGACCTCCGTCAGCGCTACGACGAGCTGTCCGCCCGCAAGGACTTTCTGCCGTACGAGTTCAACCTGCGGCTGCCCGAGGGCCTCGACATTGACGCCGTCCTGGCCACGCTCCCGCCGACCTTTTTCGACACCCCTTCCACGACGACGGCCGCGGCCGCGGCCACGCCCTCCCCCAACCGCACCGCACTCGCTCTGGCCGTCATGGGCTGGCAGGGCCTGACCAACAGCCGCATCGGCGCGGTGCCCAACTCGGCGTCATGCCATGCGTGCCTGCGTCGACTGGGCCTGTGGATGTTCAAGAGCAAGCAGGTCGACCTTGAGACGAACACGGTGCTCGAGCCGGCGCCCATGGACCATCTGGACGCCGTCCGTGAACACCGCTTCTTTTGCCCGTGGAAGAACGGCGCCGTGCAGCGCAACCCGGGCGGCGCGCGGCCCATCCGGAACGGCAAGAGCGGCGCGGGACCGACGGCTCAACCGCCGGGCTGGGATGTTTTGGTGCAGATGCTCAAGAACGATGCCTATCTGCGCAACCGCATGGCGGCCAGGCCGACGTCAAGCCGGCTTCCGCCCACGCCGTCCAAGGACGCGGCAGGTGCACCGGGTGTGGCGCCTGTGACGCCTGGCCGCCGGCCGGCCACTGCTGGCGGCATTGCCAAGGTCGGCAATGCCAGCAATGGCACACCTGGCCCGCTGCTCGGGACGACACCGGCCACGCCGGGTACGGGCAGCGGCATATTTGGCGACCACGAGGCACGCGAAGAGGACGAGGCAGCACGCGACGCCAAAGACAAGGAGCGGTGGGCGCGGCTGCGACGGGTCAAGAGCTTGTTCGACGCCAAGGGCACAATGGCCAAGAAGTTGAAGCGTGCGGGCGTTGGAGGCACGGGCAGCACGAACCGGCCGAACACGGGGCACTCTCAGTCGTCGCTGCGGCCGGAAAGTCAGGGTTAAAGGGATTGGGATATCTTGGACAAGGCGTGTGCATGAATGTTATCAATCATATCTAGCGAACATGCGGAGCATAATCAATTCATATTATTTGTTTCTGTCTAAATCTCCTTCCACTCGTAACGCCAAACGGGTAGCCGTGTCTATGTCTAAATGAATATTTTATGAGATCTCTCGCCGCCAACGTCTTTATGACTCCTTCTCAGCGGCTGCCGCCTTCTCTTCGGCCGCTTTGGCTGCTGCTGCCGCTTTCGCTGCCGCCGCCTCGGCCTCTGCCTCCTTGGCTGCGGCCACTTCCCTGCCACACCGCAGCCACACATCGTAGCTCGTCAGCAGCGTTGTGAAGAGCATGACACCGCCCACCGTCACCGGCCGCAGCGGCGTCCACCCGACAACTGCCCCGGGGAGCAGCACGTCCGCTCCGTCGGCCACGACCTTGCGCAGCAGCACCACCAGGCGGGCCTGCAGCGCCCGCTGCCACTTGCGCCGCTGCGTCATGCGGCCCTGTATGATGCGGCGCAGGCGCAGGCGTTCTTTGTTGAGCATCTCGATCTTGTCTTTTCCTTGCGTCTCGTCGCTGTTGCCGTTGTCGCCGCTGCCGTTGTCGTCGCCACGCAACGGGCTGCCCATGTGCGCGTGCTTCTCGTCGTCGGTCGGCGGCGGCATCGGCACGTCGCGCGCCACATGGGCCATGCGCACGAGCGTGGCGGCGACGCTGCAGCTCAGCGACAGGAACCAGTAGCGCTGGCCCTCGACATGTAAAACGGCGGCGCGCTCGGGCCCCCAGACGGCCAGGCCGGGCACGTCGAGCGCGTCGACAATGGTGGCCGTCTCGAGGAGCAAGTAGATGCCGGCAAACGTGCGCGCAAACACGTCCAGCCAGGGATCGGCTCGGAACCGCTTTTTGGGGTGTGGCCGACCGGCAACCGCGCGTGTCGCGTCGTTCCCGAGGCCGCCGCCGCCACCCATCAGCTGCATAGACAGCTGGTGCGCCCCGTGGAAGCTCTCGATGAAGCGAAACATGCGCGAGAAACGGCGGCCGAGGTTGACGCGGTCCCGGGCACCTGCCAGCATCGCAGCGGCCGTCCCGTGCACGGCAGCCATGCCGGCTGTCGCACGGAACTTTTCCGTATGCAAAAGCGCGGCTGCATAGCCGACCAGGATGGGCACGCTGACAACGATTTGGAGCAGCGAGTGGACAAGGCGCAGGATGCGCTCTAGGCCGACTGGAGTGGGGTGGTTAGTCTTTACAGGGACAAGTTAGGCCATGGTGTACGGAAGGGGCCTACCGGAGTCCGTTGTGAAGGCGATGAGCTGTTCTATAAACATGGTCGAGAGAACGAGGCGTGTGATGTCTTTCAGTTGAGAAGGAGGTGAAGCAGTCGATGTTTGTGTTCGTACGAAACGAGGACGTCCAGGAACGCCGTAATCATGACCAAAGAGGAACACAAACACTTGCAACGCACAGAGCACCGTGACGTGAGGACGCCGCCGATATCGTGTAATGAGACGGCTGACCGCTCCTGTGTTTGTGGTTGCAATGTTGATCCTGGAGCCGTCTGCGCTAATTTGGGGGGCGCTATGGTGGCTCGCTGTCTCCTTCCCGATCGGCCCCTGAATGAATATATGGGTCACTGACAGCTCGACATCTCACACCCGTTTCTTGATGACGTGAAGAATTTAATGTAAATAAATAAAGACGTCACCTAGCAGCTCCTAACACGGATTTAAATACAGGTGGTTTGTGTTATCTCTTTCTAAGAAAAAGGCTGGAGACGAAGCAGGCGAAAACAAACGTCAAATATCAGAACTGAGCGATAAAAGGAAACACAGAAAATGCAACAAAAACTTTGCAAAATATTGAGTCCGTTCCGCTCCCTGTCTCTTTTCTTTTTATGATTTCTTTTTCTAGATTGGTTTTGGCCGGTGTCGACTGCTCCTTGTTTCGTTATACCCTCCACGCACAACGCACATTTACTGACCCGGAGCAATGAGGTGGCCCTGCTTCCGTGCGTCGTGCGTCCAGCCGCCGGCCAGCGCCTCGCCGCCGGTCTCGGCCGCAAACTGCTGCATCCGCGCCTCGAGCTCTGGCCGGAAGTGGCGGATGAGGCCCTGGATGGGCCACGCAAAAGCCTCGCCGAGGGCTATAAAACGGTCAGTATAATGTACCATGAACGGTCTGTGTGAGTTTTAGGGGGGGGGGGGGGGGGGAATGTGTAAACAGGGGAGAAGACCGGGGAGACGTACCACAAATGGTGTGGCCTTCGACCTGCTTCGTCAGCTCCTGCAGCATGTCAATCTCGCGCTCGCGGCCCATGCCCTTCTCAAACCGCGACATGATCTGCTCCGTCCACTTGCTGCCCTCGCGGCACGGCGTGCACTGGCCGCACGACTCGTGGCGGTAAAAGTGGCTGAGGCGGCTGATGGCGCGGACCACGTCGGTGCTCTTGTCCATGACAATGACGGCCGCGGTGCCCAGGCCCGACTGGCTGTCCTTGAGCGCGTCAAAGTCCATGATCTGGTCGTCGCACATGGCCTTGGGCAGGATGGGCGTCGACGAGCCGCCGGGGATCACGGCCAGCAGGTTGTCCCAGCCGCCGCGCACGCCGCCGCAGTGCCGGTCAATCAGCTCGCGCATCGAGATGGACATCTCCTCCTCGACCGTGCACGGGTTGTTGACGTGGCCGCTGATGCAGAACAGCTTGGTGCCCTGGTTGCGCTCGCGGCCGAAGCCGGCGAACCAGCTGCCGCCGCGGCGGCAGATGGTCGGCGCGACGGCGACCGTCTCGACGTTGGTGACAGTCGACGGGCAGCCGAACAGGCCGACGGCCGCGGGGAAGGGCGGCTTGAGGCGCGGCTTGCCGGGCTTGCCCTCGAGCGACTCGATCAGCGACGTTTCTTCGCCGCAGACGTAGGCGCCGGCGCCGCGGTGGATGTAGACGTCAAAGTCGTAGCCGGAGCCGCAGGCGTTCTTGCCAATGAGGCCGTCGGCGTACGCCTCGTTGATGGCCTTTTGCAGGACCTCGGCCTCGTAGATGAACTCGCCGCGAATGTAAATGTACGCGGCCGTGGCGTTCATGGCGCGGCCCGAGATCAGGCAGCCCTCGACCAGCTTGTGCGGGTCCTTGCGCATAATCTCGCGGTCCTTGCACGTGCCCGGCTCGCCCTCGTCGGCGTTGACCACGAGGTACCGCGGCTTGTTGTCCTTGTCCCAGTCCTTGAAGTTCATAAACGACTTTTCGTGTCAGTTGTGAGTGGTTCCAGGTTCTCCAGTGTGCAAAACATGCATGTTGTCAAAACCCAAACGGACGTACCCATTTCAGACCCGACGGGAAACCGGCGCCACCGCGGCCGCGCAGACCCGACGTCTTGACCTCGTTGATGATCCAGTCATGGCCCTTGAGGATAATCTCCTTGGTCTTGTGCCAGTCGCCCATCTTCTTTGCGTGCTTCAGGTCCGGCGGGTACCGGCCGTACAGGTTCTGGAAGATGCGGTCCTGGTCCTTGAGACCGCCGTACACCCGCTTCTTGGGCGCCTCAGGCGCCGCATCCTGTACCGTGGCAAACGAGCGGCGCGACGACGACGAGAACGGCCGCCGGGCCGGTAATGAAGACGGCGACGATGTCGACGAGGAAGAGGTAGTAGAGGCAGACGAGGAGACGGCGGGGGCGACGCGGGCGACAGCCGACGCGGCGGACGCCGCCTTGGGAGCGGCAGATGCGCTGCGGGAGAGCATGATGGGTGTTCGGACGGACGTGTCGTCGAGGGGGGAGGCGGCGGCGGTTTCAGTGGTGTCGGAGGTCACGAAAAGTGGCGGGAAAATCGCTCGGCTGCTCAATTGAGCAGAGTGTAGACAAGCAAGCCAATGGATGGGCCTGCACTCGGAAAGTCGGCGGAGGGGAACAGAATGTGTCCGGAAGAGCGACTGACGTACGGCGAGTGTGAAAAAGGGACGTTTCTGCGCTTGAAGCCGCCCCGTTGTCCGTATCGTGGAGGTTCGGAAGAGGCGAGCAAAAAAGCTGTGATGGGAATGGGGGAAACACCACTTGAGCCGGGAAACTTCTCTCATAAGGGTCACGTGAAGAACACTGTGGGGACCTACTAGGCCAATCAGCGCAGCTTGAAAGCTAATACGTGGATGTCACATATGTACAGCATAGGGAACAGTTGCAGACAAATATACCATGTATTAATTTTCACTAAATTTCAGTCGATTTAACGAATGTTGTCTTGAATGCAATTGATGTCGACGTCGTCGTTATACGGGCCCGGGTCGTCCGGCTGGGCCAACCTGGACGCTTTCTGAGGCGTTGAGGGCAGCCGCGCGCTGATTGGCTATTCCCCCTGAGTACCTGAGGACCCACCCCGACGGAGCTGACCCTGAAGAAGCCCACAGCTCAACGACGTTTGACAACAGCGCAACGATCACGACCGCGTGTGTCTGCTTACAGACTCCGGCCATCCTTGGTGCTTCTTCCTTTTCGGCTTTCGTTTATTTAATAATACACGCCTCTACTGCATGCGCCATGTCAAAACGACAGTCGATGATGCCCGCGGCGCCGCCCACGCCCGTCCACTTTGTGACGGACCGCACCGGCGGCGGCGGCGGCGGGCCCGTTGTCATGGCGGACGCCGTGTACGTTGTCGGCACGTTCCCCGTGACCATTAGCGGCGACTCGGTCATCCATCCACGGGCGCGGCTGGACGCCAAGGGCGGGCCCGTCAACATTGGCCGGCGCTGCATTGTGGAAGAGCGCGCTGTGGTGGGCGGCGGCGCGGCGTTTTCGGCGTCGAACAGCAACGTGGCCGTCCCGGGCAGCTTCCCGTCGCCGGAGGGCAGCGTGACGCTCGGGGACTACGTGTCCGTGGAGACGGGGTCGGCGCTCGAGGCGGGTGTCGTGGTGGGCCAGGGCAGCGTCGTGGGCGCCCGGAGCCAAATCGGCAGCGGAGCCGTGATTGGGAGGGTGCGTTCCCTTTTTCTTCCCTACAACTGTGATGATCCTTGTATTGTCGTCTTTGTCGTCTAACTGACCGCGTAGTACTGCACACTCGCCCCGCGGAGTCGAATTTTACCCGGAGAACGGGTGCCCGACTTCACAGTGGTGTACGGCCAGCAGCGGCGGCGGGACGGACGCGTGGGCGCGGCCGAGGCACGGCACAAGCAGCAGGCACGCAAGATCGAGGTGCTGCGCAAGCTGATTCCTAGCGTGCCAGAGAAATACATGGCGGCATAGGGGCATAGGCGGAGAGAGCGTGGTAGCCAAGTAAAGCCACGTTATTGGCAGCCGGGCAGCGTTCATGATTGATTTACAATTGATACCCATCATAGTTTGCAGTCCGTTCCATTATTTGAAATGTCCGAAAGCAAAGTTCAATTTTGTTATATTTCCCAATTTTCCATTTTTCGAAGCGTTAAAGCATTATGTCCGTGTAAATGCTGCAAGATGAACTCCGTGTCCTATGTTCAAGTCCCATTGTCCGTTCCCGTTACCGTTCCCGTTTTCAATTTCGTGCCAATTCGGGTATAGTAGTGTGTGCGCGTGTGTGTATGAGTGTGTGTCGTAAAGAAGGGGGGGAAATACGCTATAGGTATCTCGCTTTCATCCATTCGCTGGTGCCGAGACCCAGGTTCAAGCCATTGGTCGCCCACCAGCGGCGAACGGCGGCCGGGTCGCCCAGCGCGTCCTCGAGGGCCTCCTCAATGTCCATGGTGCGGTACTCGACCTGCTTGGCGCGCCGGCCGTTCATCCGCGGCAGCGTCCCGTGCGCGTAGCCCTTCCACCAGTCCAGCACGGCCAGGTGCGAGTACATGGTGGCCTCCACCAAGACCTGGTGGTTAAAGACCATCTTGTCGTCGCCCCGCAGCTCGCGCCACAGCTCCAGCACCTCGACCTGGCCCCAGCGCGAGGCCACCTTGCAGATGGCGTCCTGGTGCCCGCCGTTGACGCCGCTCTCCTCCCACCAGCGGATGACGTCGACGCGGCCGTACTGCGCGGCGCAGATGAGGGCGCGGCCCGGCTTGAGGACGACGCCCGGCGGGCTCGCGAGCGACGCCTCGCGCCACCACTCGAGCACGCGCACGTGGCCCTTGGCGCTGGCCTGCTCGAGCGCCGCCTCGGTGTACTTGAGGGGCAGGCCCGAGCGGCGCCACCACTCGAGGACGTGCACGTAGCCGTTCTTGGAGGCGCCGTCGAGGGCCTCGGCGTCGTACTGCTTCTCGAGAAACGAGGGGCTGCGCACCCACCAGTCGAGAATCTCCGTCTTGCCAAAGTACGCCGAGGCCTTGGTGGGCACGGTCTTGCCGTCAAAGTTGCGGAAGACGAGCGGGCAGTGGGCCTCGACGTAGGTCAAGACGTCGGTCAGCGAAAACTTGAAGATGAGCTTGATCGCCAGCGCGGACAGGTCGTGGATCGTCGCGGGCGCCTCCGACAGCTTCTGGCAGATCTTGTCCGTCTGGGCGGTCAGCAGCGTCCACTCGAGCTCGTGCATGAAGACCTGCAGCGGGTCGTCCGGGTGCGACGGCTGGCGGCGCCAGCCATAGTGTGTGGGCATAGGCAGCTTGGTAAACACGTCCAGGGCCGCGGCCAGCTCCCAGTCGCCCGTGTACTCGAGGATCATGGACCAAATCTCGGGCGGCAGGCGTTTCTTGGAGCCCGCGGACGAGAAGCCCGAGTCGGGCGCAAAGGCGCGGCCGCCGTTGAGCGCGGCAATGTCGACGTCGTGGCCGAGCGACAGCAGGTCGGCATGGTTCTTAATGATGCCAATCAGCTCGGCAAAGCCAGACCACTGGACGACGCGCTTGCTCTGCTGCTGCTGCTGCTCCTGCTGCTGCGAATGTGCGCGAATGGCACTCTCGGGCGTCGACGCGGCGCTGTTGCCGGCGGCGTCACCAGAAGGCGGGGGTGCGTTGTAGTGCCACAGAATGGGCGGCAGGACGCGCACCCAGTACCATTTGCGGTGCAGCTTGCTGATCTGTCGTTTTGTTACCGGGTTTTCCCACATGTGGGTGGACATGCCGGGGACGAGCAGGATGCGCTTGGAGGCGTCCCAGCTGCGCAGCACCTCGAGCAAGAGGGTATCGGCGATGCCGGCCATCATGCGGCCGAGGTTATCCGCGTCAATGGGCGCGAGCACGAGAAGATCGGCCCAGTCGACCAATTCAAAGGCGCGGCGCTGGGCGCAGTCGATTTCGCGGTTCGACTGGCAGTTGGGTATGCTGTGGCCGCCGGCGCCTGTAGATTTTGCAGTGGAGCCATCACGCTTGGGAGCGCCATTGAAGTAGTCCGTCTCGATGGATAGGGACGGGGGGTGCAGCGAGCGGTTGGCAAAGCAGGGGAACTCCTGGGCGAGGCGGTGGGTGAGCTCGTCGACAACGACCTTGACGGTGATCTTGGGCTCCTTGGAGAGGCGGACGGCAATGGTCTGGGCGTAGGCGACCTCCTTGGGGCCGTTGGCGGCGACAAGAAGCTTGAGGCGGCGCTCGCGCGGCATCTCGTAAAAGGAGGTGGCTGACGGGGTCTTGGGGAGGAAGTTGATGAATGGAGGTGGAGGGTCGTCGGTGGACGAGGACTCCATTTTGGCAAGAGGTTGAGGGGATCGGATGGGCAACAGACGAGAGCCCGACGGGAGCCAGACGGGAGGGCAAGGGCTGCTGGTTGGTGCAGCGGCAAAGCACACAACAAGGTGGTCACGAAAGGTGTTTTCTGTGATGTAAAAAACGGTGATTGGCCTGACGCACAACGTGCAGTTCGAGAGTCAAGTGACAGCTAAAACGTTGTAGGCAGAAGCGTCCAATGCGCACGGCGAACAAAAGAGCGGCTGGGGCTGGCGAGAGGAAAAGAGACGCAGTCCGAGGCGAGTGGAGTGCAGAAGTTGGAGTATTAACTGCGGCGAACAGCTGTCATGCAAAAAGCAAGTGAAGCAGGTCGAGTGCGTCCGAGACGAAGAAGAAGGGCGCGGCTGGCTGGAATCGGGGTGTTTAAGACGGGCGACGGGCCGTGACCATGGGCGCTCCGCACACAACAGCCGAGGGTTCGAGGGTGATGTCGGCTGACGTGCAGTCCAGTACGAAGTAGGGCAGTATCGAAAGACGGTCGGATAATCGTCGTATCCAGTGATGGCCTGTATCGGTAGAGCGCAGAGCAGAAATGCCAATGCGGTCTGATACGTGCACGCGTGTGATGGGCGGGTCGGCGGTCAACTTGTGGGCCGTGTGCTGGGTGCGGTGGCTGCAAGAGTCGGTGAGCAAAAGGGATGCACACATTTGAGACAATGAGGCAGAAGTCGAATGCTGGATGCCAAAAAATGGATTGAAGTGGCCAGACTGAAGACTGCAGTGCGCTCTGGGGTTTTGGGGGCAGGTGCCATTGGATGGTTCGTGCAGGAACACACGGCGTCTCTCGCTCTTTCCCACATCCCATTTATTGCCCTTGCGCGGCTTCCCGCTAATTAGCGTCGCCCTTTCCTCTCCGACCGGTCGTTGACGTCGAACAGGAAGGAAGATCCGTTTCGAGCCCCCGCTTGCAGGCGAGATGAGGCTAGTTCAGTGGGTCGCGCTTTCCTTTGCCTCCCTCTTTTGGCAAGTCTTGCTTTCGATCTCTGCCGCCCCTTCCCAATTCCGCACCTCCCGTTCGCAGCGTTTAGGGAGGCGTGCGAGAAATTACGTACTCGGGACAGGGAGTACACTGTCTCAGACTGGCGACGAATGGCGGTCACGCTCACCACTCGACTGATTCCAGATACCTAACAAAGACGATTGCCACTTCTGGCGGTGTGGCACAGGCCTGTCCAGGTCCAATTCAGGCCCAACTCACAGTACTAGCACCCCCAAAGCCTTGTCGCTCCAGTTGTCAGATGTGATATTTTACAGACCAAAACGACTTATCACTCCAGCCCGCGGCTAACCGCTGTTGCGCACAGCACCGAGCCTCGCCCAGCTATCGCGGTACGAGCCGATGACAGCGGTCTCTCTTGCCGTTGATAGGGGAGTGATCTGGTGGGATTTTGGTGTTGTATCGCAAGCCAAGCGCGCCAAAGGCTGAGGATTCTCGAGGAGACTCGAGCAGACGAAGTGCCATAGAAGACATACGAGAAGCACACTTTCGGATCCCATAGAGCAGGAAACAAGACCACGGAGCCGTGACATTGCGTGGTATATTATTCATCATTAAGATGTCAAGATGTGTGAGTGCAGGGCACGAGTGTCAACGAAATAAAATAAAATAAAAACTCCCAATAAATACGAGGACGACAAAACACAAAACATCCGACCACTCCCTCAGGTCTGACCAATGGCATCGACAGCGGCCGCCTTTTCGCTGTCTCCGCTGAAGCCGGCAGGGTTGCCCGACGCGACTGCGGCCGCCGCGTTGATGGCCATCTTGTCAAAGACGGTAAAGTCCAGCGGCACGCGCTCGCCCAGCCACATGGCCCGCTGCGAGTGGTTGCGGCGCTCCGTGGCGATCTCGCCGACCGGGTCGGCCGCGCCGCCGCCTTCGGTGGTGTTGGGGTGGACGAGGGCCGACAAGGGGCCACGCCAGATGGCCAGCCAGGGAATGAATGCGCCGAACTGGGCCGGCGTAAAAAGGTTGACTTCGAACATGGCGACGGGATGGGGGCCGATGGGGCGGTCCCAGAAGCGGTAGATGCGAAGCTCAGGGACTAGGCTGGGGCTTTAGCTGGGAACACACACACACACACACACACACACACACACACAAAGAGTGGACAGGGCTCAGGGAGGCTCACACTCTCGCCGGATGCGCTCGTGGAGGGCGCGGGCGTACTCCAGCTGCTGGGGGTTGGCCTGGAAGTAGTAGATGTGGACGTCACTGCAGTTCACGTTAGGATCCACGGCGAGTAACAGTAAGACAATGTCAAAGGCTCGACGCTCGAGGAACGCACAATCCGCCTCGCCGTCCACGATCCAGGGGATCGACAAAGGCGTCGTAAGCTGGGCTGCGGGCGGCCGGTTCGTTCTTGAGGCTCTTGCCGTCGTCGTTCTTCTCATCGCTGAGTGGTGCCTTGCCCTCGTAGCCCGTCAGCGGCGAGGGGTACGCAGAGATCGGGGGGTTGTAAAAGTCAGGAGCAGCCATTGTGAAGTGAGGCAAGGTGAAGTCGCAGTGGAGTTCGAGGTAAGTTTTGAGGTGGATGTCGAGTTGAGTGGAGAGTTGTCGAGATATAAATTGCTTCCGTTGGGTCTCTTGTGTCGTTATATATGCCGTTCTTTGCGGGGTTGTTGCGGGATGGGAGCTGGAGCTCTAGCGGACACAGATGTATGGCAGAGCAAGGACAGAGGTCGGTGGATGGTCATACAACAGACGGAGAGCAGTCGGCGACACAGTTTCATGTTTTGCTCGTCGTAATGAGGCTGTTTTCGACCCTTTGTCGCACAAAGCCCCGCTCCCATCGGCGCAGCCTAGCAGAAGCACGTCACTGCGGGACAACTGTATTGCCAGCTACATGCGCTGTTGGACGTAGTCGTGTGTTAACTACAGCGCCTTATTACGTATGTCTTAGTGGGCGGCCGGCTGGTGGTCATGAGATCTCGGCCGAGCACCGGACAAAACAAATGAGGCAGGCACATATCTCGGTCGTGCCTGGCGAAAGTGTAAGATATTGTTCTTCGTACCTTCCATGTTGAACCACAGTACGTCGTATTTCCAATCTGATTAAACCTGGACTTTATCCCCGCCCTCGTCGCCCCTTTTCTCCTCACTCTTTTTGCTCCCTTTTGTATCCTTTCCCAGAGACACACCACACGCCATACCTCACATACATCACGTCTGGACTGCCTGTCAACGCCGCCCCAATGCCGCTCGCGGTCGGTACCATGGCTGTGCGCCACCGCGTGCCCGTGGCCGCGCCCACTTCGTCCCACAGCTTCTGGAAGGTCGTTGCGTCGTGCAGGTAGCGCGTTCGTGGACTGTGTGGTACAATGCGGTGCTCACCAGGGAAGCGGTGCGCGAGCTGGGCGCCAAAGACAGAGATGCCCGTGGGTTTTTCGTCCGTGCTGCCTGTGGACGTGTCGCTGGACGTGTGGGCATCGCTCAAGAACTGCACAATCCGTACAGCCGCCTTGACCTGGTCGTCCCAGCTGAAGAGGTGGAAAAAGTTGGCGGCGTGGACCATGGTGACGGACTGCGTGAGCGCGTCCAAGGGACTCGGACGGTCGGTCAGAATGTCGCCAGCGACAAACGTGAACCCATTGGCCCCTGCCTCCCCGCTTTCGCCCGCGCCGTCGCCAAACATCTCGTATCCCAGGTCAATAAATTCGCTGTGCAGATCGGCCCCGGACAGCTTGTGAGGATCGACGCCGTCGTGTGCCATCTGGCGCAGCACCTGACCGACGCAGCAACCAAGGTCCAGCAGGCGTTCATGGTTGAGAGCGGCCGACGTCAACGTCAGTCGGGTCACGGCCTCTTGGTAGTACGGCGACTTGGTTATGCCGAGGCTGAGAAACGCAAAGCGGCCAATGCACGGGTACTGGTAGACCGACCAGAGCTTGTCGCGGACTGCGTACAAGTGCGCATCGATGGCGTCGGCCGGCATGTGGCTGTAGTCACGTAGCAGCCGGCGCATGTGCGCAATGTCCTCGGGCAGCGTTTCAAAGTACGAGTGCTTCTTCCAGAGCTCTACTCTTTCGGCCGCTATGAGCGGTGCCTGGGGCCTGGCCGTTGCCTCGTCGGCAGCCGCGTCATGAGGAGCAGCAGCGGGGACAGCCTCGCCGGTAGAGGCAGATACCATGTCAAAAATAGGTTTCGACGTGACCATTGTGAACGATTGTTGAATTCGAGCTCGAATTTACTTAATGATTGTCCTCTGATCGAATCGATTATACCTGAAAGAGTTGCGTCTGCAAAACGTCCACAACACGCTCAAAACCCCTCTTCGTCACAACCATATCCTCGGCCAACCCCAGCTGGCCGTTACCCACGACGGCTGCTCGGCTGCCTAATGGGTTACATTCGCAACTTTGCGTTTTCATTTTGGGTTGTTTTTATTTTTATTTTTATTTCAATTATTTTGCAACGTCACTTGCACATTTCATGACAACTGTGACTAACAAAAGTGAGGTAAGGTGTTTCTGAAATGACACGAGAATAAGAAATCCAAGAAAAACTATAAAAGCAAAAAACAAAAACGCCTCGCTATGCAGTTCCTCAGAATCGATGTCATATCGTTCCAAGACAGTCCGAGCCCCCAAAAAGACTAGACAAGAACAGAAAAATGATGTGGTTCATGTGCATCGCCAATGATACCCTCCTCCTTCACCTCCTGCCAAATAATGTATCTAGAAATGCGTGTGCGCAAATGCTGTCTAAAAGAGGAAGCAGGCAAAAGCCCAGAGGTGCAAAACTTTTGCGGAAAGATGGCAGCGTGCGGTCTTACTCTTTCGGCGTCGGGCGGTCAATGACCAGATTCTTGACGCCCGTAATGGCTTCGGCGTCGACGTCTTCGGCAGCCGAGCTCGAGGCGGACGAGGAGAGTTTGTTGTCGGTCGCAGCCGAGGGATGGCGCTCAGGCTGCGGCTCGTCTCCTTTGTCTTTGTTTTCATCTTCGTCTTCGTCGCCTTCTGTCGTCGGCAGAGGCTGGTCGCGCGAGATGGAGGCAATGGACACGTTTTGCACGGTCGGGTCGCCGCCCATGCGCTCCTCCTCCACGTCGCCCTCGCCCTCCAAGTCGCCGCTGAGCACGCTGCCCTCGCCATAGTCGTCCATGGAGTTGCGCGACATGTAGCTGTCACCCATGTCGCCATTGTCTTCGTCGTCGTACTCCTCGTCGTCGTCGTACTCGTCATCGTCTTCGTCGTCGTCGACGTCGTCGTCGTCGACGTCGTCGTCGTCGTCGTCCTCCTCCACCTCGTCGTACCGACTGGTCCGCCGCTTCGGCAGCGGGCGGCCGCGGTGGTGCCGGTGGTTGTCAACGTCGTCGTCCGACTCGCTGTCGGAAAACTCGTCCATCTCCAGCGGCGCGTCGCGCCAGTACCGGAAGTCGGTAAACTCTTCGCCGCCGCCCTTGACGAGCGTGCTGATGGGCGGGAAGTAGTGGTCGACGACCTCGGTGATGTTGACGTAGGTCAGCTTGAGCATGTTGAGGCTCAGCAAGTCGAGGGACACCTCCGCATTGGCGTTGATGGTAAAGATGCGATTGCGCGGCACGTCGACGGTGCGGTACGAGATCTGGTCCGTCAGGCGGTTGCCGAAGCCGGCGTAGAAGGGGTGCGTGTTGGTGCCGTACAGGTTGCGGATGTCACGCAGCGTGGCCATCTTGAAGACCTCGGGTTTCCGCAGGTAAATCTCGCGGCGCAGGGCGGCCATGGTGCGGTCGGGCGACAAGATGGTGGGGCCGCGCGGCAGGCGGTAGCCGTTCTGCAGGATGCCGGCCAGGTAGGTGCGGGTGGAGTCGGCCTGGCCGACGGAGCGGCTGGTCAGGTACATGATGTTGTAGCCGTTGGCAGCAATGTCGCTGTAGAGCTTGGCGACGCCGGCATGGGTCCAGTCGCGGCCAATCATATTCAGCACGTGGCCCAGGGCGTCCGACTTGGTAATGGTGCCGTCAATGTCGGAAATGACGACGGGCACGCCGTACTTCCACAGGTACATGTAGGCCGAGCAGGTGGCCTTGTTGACGGTGAAGCTCATGGTGTTCTCGCCGGGCTGCAGGTGCAGCGCCTTGAGCTGGTCGCTCGTCAGGCGCAGCGTCTTGGCGTAGTTGCGGTTGGGGTCGCCGACGGCGGCCACAGGGCCCGGGGACGAGGGGGGCGTGGTCTGGCCCATCTGGCCGACGTCGGACTCGGAGCGGCGGTGCGCGGGTTTCAGCTGCGGCGTGGAGTTGGCGCTGTCGTCGCTCTGGTAGCCCGGGTCGGAGGCGGCGTCGAGGGCGACGGCGTGATTGCGGTTCATGCCCGAGGACTCCATGACGCGGCGCATGGCGGCCTCCTTGGCCTCCTCGCTGCTGTAGATCCACAGGTTGCCCTGCTCGTCCATACCAAAGAGGGCGCCGACGTCGTAGTTGCCCTGCAGCTCGTTGGCGAGCACGCGGCGGGCCAGGACCTCGGCGCGCAGGGCCTCCTCTTCGCTGTTCTTGAAGCCGGTCATGTCGAGCATCAGGTCGCCGGAGTCGGTGACCCGGCTGGGAATGTTGACGGACTCGAGCTCCTTGGAGAGCGCAATCGCGCGCTCAATGGCCTCGGCGGGGCCCAGCGGGGGCGGGCTGTGCGAGCGTTCCGACAGCTTCGGGCTGCCGTTGCTCGTTTCGCGCTCGACCGACTCGGCGCGGGTCGACTCGCCGGCCGTGAGGGACGGCTGGCGGGCGGCCTGGCGCAGGATGTCGTCGCTCTGTGACCGCTGCGCAAGCGAGCCCCAGTCGCCAGACCGCGGACGGCCGGCGTAGATCTCGGGAGAGGCAGAGAGCGGGGTGAGAAGGCCGTTCTTCTGCTGTGCGGTAGAGGAGTGCACGATGCCCTTGGGGGCGGTGCGGGACGTCAAGGTGGCGGAGCGCGGCTTGCCCGACTCCATGTCCAGAGCCAGCAGCGAGGGCTCCTGCAACGACGGCAGAGCAGACGCCTCGGTGGCACTGGAGGGCGGTGTCTGGGGGCCGAGAGACGGGCTGCTGACGGGCGAGGAAATGGGCGACGTCTGCATGCTCTGGGGAATGTCGTCGGTGGTCTCGAAGACGAAGAAGGCCTCGCCGCCCTCGCCGAGCTTCATGGAGTAGTCCTGGCGGGCGCCGTTGACCTTGAATTCGACCTTTTTCTCGTAGGGCCGCAGCAGCGAGAACTTGCCGAAGCGCACGTGGAAGGGAGAGCACATCAGAGTGCCGTCCTCCTGCTCAACGACGATGACGTCGATGGCACCGCTGAGGGTGGCCGGGTTGATGGAGTTCCATGCTGTCGACACGGAGTCGCTCAAGTTGCGCACGTACTGCATGGCGTTGTGTTGGGGGGGGGGGAGAACGCAGGGCAGGGTGGAGAGACGAGAGACGAGAGGCACGCGAGGCGCCGGGGCGAATAGAGGAAGCGCGGCCTTGGAGGGACGGTTGTCGACGAGAGGAGTTGTCGGTCCTGTTTCGATGTTTGATGTTTCCAAGTTCAATGTTCTGCAAAGGCACTCGACAAAGGCACGCGAGAGTTAGAAAAGACGCCGTCGTCCTCTCATGCCCGAGATGTCGTCGCTGTCGGTTGAGAGAATGTTGCGGTACCGAGGTCCGCGTTGAGAAGGCGACGGCGAGAAGAGGAGAGAAAACAACAAGGCCGGACAACAGGTAATGAAGATCAATGCCGAGGATGAGGAGAAGCAAGGGACAAATTTGGCCCGCGAATGGATTGCAAGAATGCGAGGGAGAGGTTGAGAATTCGCAGGAAATAAAGTCAGAGACAGGAGAAAGTACTGGGGAAAAGAAAAAAGAAAAAGAAAAAGAAATAAAAAGCAGTAGCTTCAGCCGGGCGGAATACGGAGAGGGGAGAGGAGTGGAAAAGATGTTGAGGACGTCCAGGACAGTAGCGAGGCACAAGGACAGGGCCGGTGGGCGTGGCACGACGTATTGGTTGGGCATGTGGCATTGGACAAGAGGATGACGCTTTGCTTTTTTCTTTCTCCAGAGGTCAGAGGTCTTTTTCTCTGCCAACATCGGATTGGGAAAGTGGAAACTCAGAAGCGGCTGGCCGGCCTTGGCTGGGACAAGCAGGAGGCAAGACGAATCATGCCGGTGGGGCCTTCCTCTTTCTGCGAGTCGCGCGGCGGACTTTGGGGTGCATTTTGGCTCGTGTTTCCTGCCTCGCAGCTTCCCTACAAAAATTTTGATGGGTTTGACGCCAAATGCGGAGAGCCGCTCTTGCCTGCTGCCTTTAGTTTGGCATGCACCTGAGCTGCTTAGGTATCCACTGTGCCTGCCGTAGTCACGTAGTGACATCAGCATTCGGGAATACGACATACGCTGCAACGGTCAGGAAGGGCCAGGCGCGCAAAACCAGGCCTCATGGTCGAGTCAAAATGGAGCAAGAAACAGTCACGGGGATGCATGGGTGGCATGCCTCACCAAGTCGCCCGTCCCCCGGTCACCGCCGTTGCGTTTTGGGGGTCTGAAAGGCATTGGGCGCTGGGGCACTTCGCTGGGGCGCCAGACCCCAACAAAATAGGACCACTCGCGCCTGCCTCAACACGTTCAATCATCGCTGGGGTACGGCAGGTGCGGACAAAGCAGGCCACAGTTTTAGGGAAAGTGCACGTGATGTATTTCATAAAGAGAAAGAGCTTGCACGCGAGGCTATTACAATGAGCTCTGCTCAACAGGAAGAGTCCGGTCGTAGTCGAAGACTTGCGCTGCGCATCTTCTTGACCGGGCCACCATATTTTGGTCATCATGCCTTCACCCCATGACCATTCCCGCCAGCCTCAAGCCGTTCTCCACCCCCAATCACCTGCCCTAAAACGGACGTCGTATTTGGTCTGGTCTTTTTCACCAGCTAGCCTGGCGGCTTTCTCCTTCAAGGCAAAAGAGCCGCCTTGCCGGTTGTTTCCCGAATGCCGAAAGGCGCCCTAGTAGCTTCTTTTCTAACCTGCACCCGTTTCTTGCTTGGCATAAACGATGATGATGCCGCGGGGAAACGTCCCGTCACGACTTCGTCATGACTGGCGTCGGTGACAAGAGATGGGCATGTTGTTGCGATGCGCTAAGCAACAAACAACAATGCTTTTGACGACCTCAGCACAGGCCGTCTGCTGTCGACTTGAGTGGCAATGTCATCGCCGCGAAGACGGCTCGGACAGCTCAACGAGACGAACACGGCGACATGTTTTGGCTCCAAGACAGAATTTCTCGCTTCTGCACCGCAATGTGTGCTGCACGCCAACGTGCCGTTGCGGGAATGGCTCACCTTGGAGACAAACTTGCGACAGAGTGACAGAGACCAAAGACACGCCTTTCCGTCGGCGTAATTTCGTGGCTGCATATTCGGAGATTCTGTAAGGGGCGAATTTGGTCTACTGGTTCCATTGGCCTGTTGCGGCTCTCTCCGGGTACGAGACGCTGCCTGACGAAATACCTGTGGAGAGGACTCTGAACAAGGAAATGTCTCGCAAGACGAAACTGGCTGAGACATGGCTGCAAGGCACAGCTGCAAGCGGAAGGTGAGGTGGTGCTGCAAAAAGTGGCTGTAATGAATACAACAGACGACGATTGTGGATCGCGGACATTGACCACGGTTCACTGTAAACACGGCGAAGCACCGCAGGCAGGAAGCTGTTCAACTATGAGCATACTCGCATTGCCGTTTGTATCCCCATGGCACGCCACGCCGGAAAAGTAGGGTTGAAAGAACCTCGTGCCAGTTTAAGCTTCTTTTTTTCAGAAGGATGTTACGGCAGTTTGACGAGACGGACGAACAGCAGCAGAGCCGGCCGTTCGTGCCGCTTTGCAGTGTGTCTCATTCGTTCACTACGCTGGGTCCGCATCTGCTCCGACTGAAATACAGAGCAGGTGTGACTACCACTGAGCCGCAGGCGTTCCTCAGCCGATCAGGATGGGCAAGTGAGGGGGCGTTGATCGCCGCCCTCCCGACATACCATGAGCCACCAAAAATGGCGAGGACGGAAACAGTTGGGTATTTCCGTAGGCGACATCGGCTTTTGGGACGGGAAGAGGCTTAACGTGCGGCGACTGCGGCGCACAACGGTGTAAGACAACGAGGAAAGTTTGATCACGTGGTATTTGAAGATATTGAAGGTCCTGTAAATTGTTCGTGGCTGTGTAGTATCATTTCTCGGAATATGTTCTGAGCACCACAGCACAGGCGGGAACCGCTATGGCGGCTTGTCGAGGCTGAAGCTTTCAACTATAAAGAAGTGGTTTTAAAGAAATTACTTATTTTGTAAGCACGAAAATACTCGATGCGCGTCACGAAAGACTGACTGTTCAAATGTGGGTCTGTACTAATTGAGTTGACAACCAAAACTTTGTAATAACATGGACTCACCTACAACCACGAAACATAAGGACTAGTTCGAAAGCAAAAACTCCAAGCACATACAACCTCTCATCCATACGAAATTGGTCGTCACAATGTCAGATCTCATAGTGTAATGGACTACAAAAATCCGATTCCATAAGATAAAGTCTGCTTAACTAAAGCTCGTAGGTCTTGACAAAACAGACTCTCGAGAAACCAGACCTGCACAAATTGCCTTTTCTGCCTGTGCTGCTGACCGCCAATTCGAACACAAAAAGAACCCTGGTCGGATTAGTGCAGCAACGACGGGCCGGCAACAGCGCCTGATAGGTCGACGGCATTTGCCATACTCTCACGTTTCACACTTTTACGCTCTAGACGAACAGCGCTGCATTGTCGATCCTGCAACTCTAACCCCCCATTTCTGATTTATTTTCTCCGATTCATTGTCGCCTTCCCCTCCATGCACTGCACTTTGTCGATTGTTTCTTATTTCTGATACGATCGCCTATTTCGTACACTTTCTGTGGTTTAGGGTGGTTGCAAAGGAGGGGGATGCTGCGTTGGCTGCGTTGGCAAGCTGGTACTTGACGGCACACATGGCAACGTGCGTGCGGAAGGACGCCTAGAACGCCGTTTCTCCTCGTCGTTTGCTCTCTCGCCATTACAAACCTACGTTGCTTCCGAGGCAAGTCTGTGGCCTGGTCTACTGGGAGCCGCCAGCAGCGTCTGTTCTATTAAACGGGCATGTGATGTAATCAAACTCTGTATTGCGACGTGAACGTTCGCGGCGCACTCTCGATAATCAACAACAGGCTGCGCATGCTGATGATAGTTAATGCGCCGGTGCTTGTGCCGCAAATAGATTGCACCGTGCTACGCTATGGCGCTTTCGACAAGCTTTTGCTCAATATAAACCAAAAAGGCGAGAGCCGTCTGCACGATCTGGAACCCGCTGTTCTGCCGACAGCGAGTGGCTCGACGTAATTCCTCTCCCCTTTCCAAGCCTATTTCTCCGCGCGAGGCAGACATTCAGCTCTGCATCTCATTTGCCACGCTACGACCTTCTCTTCTCGTGCATGCTGTACCAAAGTTGCACTGCGAGAGTGAATACGACGCTGTGTGATTCAGCCGCTGATGCCGTTGCCCTCTCCTTCCCGTCGACGACCTATCCTAATTCGTATCTTACCTTGCCTGTTAATTACCATTCTTCTTCCTGCAGCCTACAGCGGTCGTCTGTTTGAAACAAAGGCCCACAAAGCATAAAAGCGCAATTACATCACAAAACGGCGAACAAAATGCCCCAACTGCAAAAAAGCACCCGGAGTGGAGAGCCTGTGTCTCGCTGGAACGCTGCATGCCCAGGCCGTGAGCCCTGTATCTTATATTAAATGCCGAGAGTAGGGCAGATCGCTGGCAGTTTAGATTGGATTTGGACAAAGTACCACTGACCACCTATGCACTGAGCACAGATACACTGTATTGCTGTGTGCGGAGATCTATATCAGCGTATCGTCGGCACGGAATATTTGTAGGTGTGCCGTGTATGTGCATGTCGTTTGACACGGCACATGCTACCAACGGCGTGCTGTATATTATGCGCCCAAGTGCCCGGGAAGGAGATGCATGCTGAGCCAGTGTGCCTTTGCAAGACATTGTAGAGCGAAACGAATCGCAGAAACAGGACGGGATCAAGCGAGCCAAGGCCAGCGCATCAACTCATGTGCTTCATGCCAGCCGCACATCGCGATCCTCTCGCGATCCTCAGACGGACACTGCTCGTGTGCTCGATCGCAGATATCTAGCCTTCATGCCTGGATCAGCCGTAACGGCCCCAAAGACGTGATACTCCCCATCTTCCGCGTATTCTCATGCCGGCTCTGCCACCGTCTGCCCGGCACCGGACGGCGCCCAGTCTCTTGTCCTGTCTTATTCCCATCGCTCTCCCATATTTTATGGGTCTTGCGCGTCTCTCTCTCCTCGCATTCTTTCTTTCAGGCCACCTGCCGCCTCAATGGATTTTTAGTAAGACCCACGCCGGTCAGATTCAAGGCGAGACAAGGAAGGAGGCTGGACTAAGGACTGGAAGCCCGGGCTCTAGACACAGGCAACCGCCCCCCCTACTTCTTGCCTTCCCCGGAAGTTAATCGCCTTTCGCCTTGTCGTCCGGTATTTCCTAATCCTACGACTGCCGCCCGGCACCTCCTTCCCTGCCCGTCAGCGCGCACCTTCCCCCCTTACTTAGTCAAGTGAATCTCGCCCAAACGGGCAAGATTGCAAACTCATGGAATAAATCGTTTGGGCACAACGGTCACTCCTTCCCTCGCTGCGTGAAGCCATTGTCTGGTCCTTCTTTTTTGGTGCACGCTCTTTCCGCCTGTTCCGGGCTGCCCTTTCTTCGACTTGTGCCATATTTTGTTTACCATCTGCATCGCATCTTGCAAATTCAACTTCTCCAAATCCATCGTCTTTCAAGTGCTCTCCGACAGACACAAAAAACGGCCCCCAATCCCGTCCTTTGGGCCCATGCCCATTTTTACATAGGCGCCGCAAAACTACAGCCCAAGCCCGCCTCCACCCTGTGCAACATTTTTAGCGTGAATTTTTTGGAGCGCTGGTTCAGGCCTTTTTTTTTGCCTCTCGTCTCCTCCCTGTCAACTTTAGGAGGCTCGTTTTGTCTCTTTTTTCTGCCTATTTTTCGTATGTCTTTAATTTGGATTGGCACAGACGAGTCATCAATCCAGCACGTATTTTTCATTTCGTTTGTCGCTATTGCCACCTGTTTTAACTGCGGACATCGCATCTTCTGTCTCTTTCTAAGCTTCGCCTTTATCGCTCTCCTCTCGACACCATTTCAATTGTCGGCTGCCGCGTTCCCGCCCTCCCCGATCGCAGCTCGATTGATTGCCCACCTTACCTCCTGAAAACCAGAAACGACCCGCCGTCCCGCTGCGACCCTCCAGCACCTTGTGGCACCCTCTGGCGCACCCTCCCGCAGCCCGTTTCTTCGGGCTTTTCTTCGCACTACAGCCCCTTGTCGCTTCAGATTTTCGTCGCCGCCGTTTCCAACCACCGCCCTCGCATTCTCTCATCTTCGCTCTTCACTTTTCTCTTCTCTCTCTCCCCTCCCCCTCCCCCCGCTCCCCTCCTATCCTTCCTCTTCTTCCTCCCCTCTACCCCATGTTCTCCTCCCCGAACGCCCCCTCTTGTGCGTCCCGACATGTTATGGGCTACATGGACGAACACGCCGCTGGTCTCCTCGCTGGTCCTCTGCTCCCTCGTCGTCCTCATCTGGGCTGTTGATCCGCAAATCATCCAGCTCAACGTGCTCTTCGTCTTCGCCTGCCTCGCCCTCCTCTTCTCCCTCGCGCCCGAGCGCACCGCCGCCGTCTTCGAAGCGCTGCCCGGCGTCGCCACCGCCGTCATCAATGACTACCACCTCGGCGGGCTCTTTTTCACGAATGCTAGGATGCTCTTCACCGGCGCGGCTGCTGTCTGGTACGGCTTATCTGTCTTTGCCCTTGCCGTCTTTCGGATTCTTGCTCCTTGCGGCTGCCTGCCGCTTCTTACGTCTGCCTACTGCGGTTGGCGCCGACCTGCGCCACCGCCTTGAGGCAGACGTAAAACGGCCCACCATCGCTGAGCACGTTTGCTAACTCTCTTTGTTCTCCCTCTTTCTAGGCTGCTGCGTCGAGGTCTGCAAACCCTCTGGAAACCGGTCCCCGAGCTCATCGATATTCTAGGCGTCGACGTTCCCGCGCCCCCCGACGTTTCGCTGACGGCCATTGGCGTGGACAAGGCCACCATCACCTGGACGCGCCCACCATCAAATCGCCATGTCGACAAATACGTGATCCAGGTGAACGGCGTCAATGGTATGTGGAAGCTCGGCCCGTCCATGTACATGGACTTTCGTCTTCTCTGGTTCTCTTGCTAATCGTTCTTTTTCGTAGTGGGCGAATCCGCGACAAGTCACGATACCTTCATCACCGTCTCTGGCCTCAAACCGAATCACTTTTACAATGTCCGCATCATTGCCGTCGGCGCCAACAATTTCCAAGCCGGCAGCCGTGTTCTCCGTCTCCGCACCTTTGGCTCCGATGGCCGCCCACGCCTCGGCACCTCGCGCCTCCCGTCCGACTTTACCGAGGACGATGCTGCCTCCGCCTCAAAACAGCACGAGGCCGCGACAGGCACGGACGAGAATGGATCGACCAAGCAGTTCGTCACATCAACATTCGGTGTCGCCCAGCCGCTTCCGTCGGAATCGCCGCAGGCGCTCTCGAGAGAAGGCACATCTCTGGGTTCGCTGGCACCGTCTTCGCGCCGTAACACGGTCAATCGACGACACTCGCCATCGACGGCGAGCTTAGAGCAGCAGCAGCAGTTCAATGGAGTGGCGGCGGCGCCCACCGCCGACGACGAGACGGGGGTCACGGAAGCACAGATGGCAGAGCTCAACCAGCGGTACCTGGCGCTCCGCAAAGAAACCGAGGAGGCCACGGCCGCCTGTGCGAAGGAAGAAGAGGAGATGAAGAAAACAATAGACGAATTGGAGGCAGAAAAACAGGCCAAGCGGAAGGAGCATAAGCGGAAAGAAGAGCAAACGGAGAAGCTGAAACGCGAGCAAGGCGCCACCGAGCGCGCCATGCGCAACGCCATATCGCGCCGGGCGCAGAAGGAAAAGCGGCTCAAGGAGAAAACCGCCGAGCTTGAGCGCATCCGCAACAGCATCGAAAAGTGGACGAAGTCGATCCAGGAAATGCGCGAAAATCAGGAGGACTACAATAAACAGCGAGCCGAGCTCGACGAAGAGTACCAGCGGAAAGTCAACGAATTACGCGAAAGCAACAAAAATGTGCAAGAAGAATGCGCCAAGTTAGAGGCCGAGCTCAAGGAGAAGCGTCGTCTCGTCAAGGAACTCGAGGACGAACGCACCAAACTTGAAAGCCACGGCGAGGACCCGGGCGTGCGAAACGAGATCATGGCCCTCAAGCGCCAGCTGCAGCGGATGGAAAACGAGTACCGTGGCCGTCTGAACCACGAGAACCGCCGGCGGGATGGCCTCGATGCCCATATCCTCGTCTTGTCAGCCCAGATGCAGCAGATCCCGCAGCCCAACTACGGCGCCTACAACCCTGCAGCCAGCCCGCCCATGATGCCGCATATGATGAGCCCGCCCAACATGTCACAGAGCATGATCTACGACTACGACCCGACTGCGGCGAGCCACCCGACCCATCTCAAGCAAGAGCGCCGGGCGAGCAACCCGTTGTCGAGCGGTGCCGTGTCGACGCCGGCGCCTGTCTTTGCCCACACAGACCTCAATGGACTGCCGCCGTCGTCTACGCCGCCCTTTGTCAGCTCGGGTCGGCCACCCACGCAATCGGGTGGCTTTCTCACGGGTCCGTTCATGGGCTCATCAGCAGACCATCCGGGCCCCGAGGATGCCGACGCCGGGTTTAAGGCACTGACCATGGGCGCTCCGCTGAGCCCGTCGGCTACCTCTCTTTTGCCCTCCAACATTTTTGCAGACGACGAACCGCCCAGCCCGTCCTTGAATGTCCGGACCATGAGTCCGTTTATTCCCTTGGACGCGCAGTCTCCCGACATTCTCGGCAGCCTCAACAGCTTCACGAATCACAACGGCAACAACAACAACCACAAGGCAACCGATAGCAGTAGTAGCCACGGAAGCCAAGAAAACAGCAACAGCAACAACAGCAGCAACAGCAGCAACCCACTCAACAACATCACTGGTCTCACCTCCACCGACTCGCCCAAGACGTTCCCCGAATCGATTGCAGCCGATGCAGTTAGCGGGCCCCAGTCACCAGCCTCGTCGCACCGGTCCAAGAGCATCTTCTCGAGCCCACAGGCGTCGTCGCAAAACTTGCCCTTCTCGTCGTACGGTATCGAGGGCATCGACGGGCGCCCGCCGCCGACGAGCGCCCTCCCTTCGCCGATTGCTGACCCAGCTACCGTATCCGGCCAGCCCGCGAGCAGTACGCGATTCAATCTCTTCTCGTTCCAACGCTCCCGCGCAGCGAAGGCGGCCGAAGAAGGACCAGCACTCGGCACCCTTAAGCATGGTCAGAGCCAGTCGTTCCCGCGCCAGGGCGAAGACGCCGAAGGCAGCAAGAATCGCCGAATCAGCCTGTCGGCTTGGAGCATGTTCAATCGCAACTCGGCAGGCCCTGAGATCATGGAGCATCAGTTCGGTCCGGATGGCCAGCCAATCAACAAGGCGGGCGGATTCTCCGCGCGGAACCTGTTTCCCTTTGGCGCGCGCGGCGGCAATGTCTTTGCGGATCGCGATACCAGCAGCCCAAGACCGGCCTCCATGGCGTCGATCGACATGCCTCGGCCGTCTACGGACAGCGGCTCCATTTGGGGTCCGCCCGTTGACAACGGTGCGGCGGGCGCGGGCCTTGGCAAGGCCAGTCGCCTGTGGCCTCCGGACAACGCATGGCCCAGCCGCAACCCATCGCGACGCCCGTCGATTCACGGATCACCCTCGGCTCTCAAGACCAACCTCGCATCGGCGGACGATGAGATTCTCGACGAAGAGGAGCTGCTCAACCCGGAAACGTCGCCCAGCCAGGTCGGCGTCATTGGCAGCCGCCCCCCCGTATCAGTGCCAAAAGTCAACAAGACGCTCAACCCCGCGGCGCCGACGTTCATGGCCAACATCTTCCGGCCCAAAGGCGACAAGGACAAGGACCACAAGGACAAGGCCAAGGACAAACCAAAGGGCAAGGACAAGGGCAAGGACAAGTCCAAGGGCCGTGACAAGGAGAGGGCCGCCTCCAAGGAACACCGTGACTCGACGGAGGTCACGGCCGGCACCAGCGTGCCGAGCTTGGTGGTCGAGGACTCGCCGTCGGTCTCGCGCATGTCCCGTGATGGGCTGTCGGTGCATACCCAGGCGTCGGTGTCGGTGTCCGAGTCCCGCGACTCGCTCGACTACGTCGTGTCCAACACGACGTCCGAACCCAACAGCGTCGGGATGCTGTCGTCGTCCAAGGACAGCAGCGAGAATGCGCTCCTCAAGCTCTTTAAAAAGGACAGCACGGGCAAGCTCAGCTTCCCGCGCCGCATCGGACGCTCCAAGGGCGGCGGCGCGGGCAGCATGGCCGGCTCCGACAAGAATGCGAGCGTCTCGGAGCAGCGGTCGAGCTTTGGCGACTTTGACGACATGGGCGACGAGTCGGTGCTGTCGGCAGCGAGCAGCCGGCGCACGGGCATGAGCGTGCCTCTAGCGGCGGCCAGCAGTGTCAGCACGAGCGGCGGCGGCGCGGATAGTGTCACCAGCAGCCCGTCGCTGGGCCCGTCCAAGTCGTCGCGCGACGGCAACAGCAACGGCAAGAGCGAGGGCGGCAAGCTCAAGGGCACCGGATGGTTCTCGATGAAAAAGAAGAACCGAGAGAAGGAGAGCCTGGACATTGACCGCGAGCGCGAGCGCAGCCTCCACGGCCTGGGCCTCGGCGAGCCCGACTCGACGGTCTCGTCGCTGGCCACGACAACGTCCAACGTCACGGACGAAAGCGATAGGAAGGCGTAGCCTATGATGGGCAGAGCTGAGCAGTGCTGGACGGCCTTTGACGGCTGTATAGATGGGCATAGGTCTGCAGGTTGCAGGATGCATTTGCTGTCCCTGTTTTCGCATTTTGCTGGTGGTGGGCTGGATATGCTTGCTTTACTGGTTTGGCGTCTGCAGGTGTGAGGAAAGGGCGGAAAAGAGAGAAAACGCTGAACAATACAAATATTGAACAACACTATAGAATGAGTCTATATGCAGTTGTGCAACGGTGACGTGAAAATAAGAATGAGAATGAGAATGAGATGAGTATGTGCATGAGATGCTCTGTAAGTGAGCAAGTTTACTGTAGGGCGGTGTACGAATACAGGCGAGACAGGGCAGTTACAGGCACCGTTGTGGGGATGCCGCTCGGCGTTGAATGCCCTGCGCCAATTCTGCGCCGATCTTTTTCTGCCCACAGTAGCCACAGGTAAAGCGGGGCCCTAAATCCCGGCTCTCTTGCTCAGCTTTTACGGCAGACGTCCCCTCCTCTGCACAAATCGTTCGATTCCGACAACGTCCAACGACGACCACAAAACGAAGCCACCACGAGCTCGGCTGCCGGTCCCAACGACAACCCCGACGACTGACGAGCGACGATTGCCAATTGCCGACGGTCAGCAGCGAAACGGCACGTCGCGACCCCTCAGGCCCTCCTCACATCGAGCGAGCGCTTCCTCGTATGGCCGCGGTGGCCATGGATCCGCCGACCGGCCGTTCTTCTTCCCCTTCGCCGTCCTCGTCCCCACATACAATGGCTTCCCTGCCAGCAAAACCGCCGTCCGCCGGCCTGCCCATGCCCTCGCCCAACCCGCTGCCGCTCTCGGCGTCCCAGGAAGCCCAGGTCCGCGACCTCTATTATGAGCGCGTCCGCAAGCAGTGTTCTGAGGAGATTAAGGGTGTGTTGTCTGCTGCTCCCCTGCTGCTCCCCTGCTGCTGCTCCTTTCTTTCTTTCCGGTTTCCTTCTCTCTTCCCCTTTTTGTCCTTGCTAACCCCAATGCCAGCCTTTGCGGACTGTGCGCTGGGCCGCACCTTTTCCGTCGTCTTCAAGTGCCGCGACAAGAACAACGAAATGAACGCCTGCCTCCGGTCCCACGCCACGCCGCGCGCGCTCGACGAGGCCCGGGAAGAGTGGTTTGCCAAGCGGCAAGAGCGCGCCGCCGAGCGCGCCGCCAAGGCCGCGCGCAAGGCCGAGCAGGAAAAGCTGATGCGGGAGTGGTGGGGCCTGGAGGGCGCGGACGGCTCGCAGGCCGGGCGCGAAGACATCCAGGCGAAGCGGCGGCGGTACGAAGAGTCGCGGCGGCACCGGCCGGAGCGGGTTGGCGGGATGCCGGCCAAGGACCGGCCGCGGTTTGACGATGCTGCCGCGGACGAGGCGACGAAGCGGTAGCCGTTTGCGCGGGGCCTTGTCTGTGCAGGTTTTGTGTCTTTTGTCAGTTTGGTCTATTTTTCTTTGGCGCTCGGGATGGTGGAGGGGAGGCATCTGGTTCTTTTTTATAGGTTTTTTCTTCTTTTTGCTTTGCACAATTTCCTCTCATACATTGGCGTTTCTTTATTTTTCTTGTTTCTCTTTTCCATTTTTCTTTCTCAGTTTACTTTGGACGCACATCTTCATGATATGTATATCTCTCGCGGTGTTTGTTCATGGGTTTCTCATGGATCCAAGCGCTTATACCATTGTATATTATGACCACCAAAAGGGGGAAAATGTTGCATGGACAGCCTGGCGGCCGGCAGCAGGATACAGAAAACACTCATATACTCTACAATACCAAACATGTACGCATCTTCTATCGCCGCCGTGTCATCGCATCGTGCAACACCCCTACAGGTTCTTTTTCACCAGTTCGGCCACGGCACCGGCCACGCCCCATGAGATCTCGTAGCCGCGGCCGCCGACGCCGTACGCGTGCACAATGACATGCTTCTTTGCCCTGCCGGACGACGCCGCCGCCACCTCCTCCGCTTCCAACCGCATCCCCCCCCGCCGCGTCGGCCGCCGTCCCACCACGTCCGCCAGCACCTCAAACCGCCCGCGCTTGCTGCCCTCCAGCACCTTGGGGTACGTCGCCGCAAAGTTGGCCAGCAGCTTCTCTCGGTTCGCCAGCGACGGCGACGCATCCCAGTTGCCGGGCTCCTTGGTGCCGCCAATGATAGTGCCGCCGTCAAAGTTGCGCGGCACCGAGAACGTCCAGGAGCCGTCGGCGTTTTGGCGCGTCACGGTTGCATCGCAGGCGTTGCGCACGAGGCACGTCTGGCCGCGCGTGATGAACATGTGCGGGTCGTCGCCGAAGCCGTTGCCGGAGCAGTTGACGACCAGATCAAACCCGCCCGCAGGCGCCCCCAGCGTCTTGTCCGGTAGTGGTGGTGGTGGTGGTAGTGGTGTGCCGGCAGCAGTAGCAGCGGCGGCGGGGGGCGGCGCAAACAGCTCGTGCGGTGTGCGCAGGTCCCGCCGGGCGACTTTCCCGCCGGCCGCGACAAAGCGCCGCAGCAGGAAGCTGCAGTACACCATGGGGTTGACGCACCATGTGCGGTAGGTGCAGCCCCAGGTGACGCCCGCCGGGAACGGCGCGTCGGCCGCGCTGTCCGCCTTGCCACCACTGCTGGCGCCGTCCTTGCTCAACACGCGGAATCCGAGGTCGAGGTCGGCGTCGTGCAGGCCCAGCTGCTTCTGGAGGGCCTCGTCGGCCAGCTGCGTGTACTCGGGTCCGGGCGTCTCCAGGTACTCAATGGCCGGCACGAACGTCACGCCGGCCTCGGGGAACCTGGCCACGATACTCTGCATGTGGCGGAACGTGGCCAGGGCGAACCCATGGTCGCGCTCGGCCGCCGCTGCCGCCTCCGACCCGTCAGCGACCCAGAGCACCCAGCGGTTGTGGGCGCCGGCCCAGGGCGACGTGTAGTTGATGTGGGCCGCCGGGTCGAGGAAGAACGTCTCGGCCGGCGCGGGGAAATCGCGGGCGACAATGGTGACCTCGATGGAGCCGTCGGGGTGCTCTTCGAGGAGGCGGAGGGCGGCACTGAGGCCAATAACACCGGCACTGGAGTCATGTTAGTTTGAGGAATGCAAGGAGGAGCAAGGGTGGAAAGGTGGCGACGTACCCAACCACAGCGACCTTGGCAGGCATGGTGACGTTTGTGTAAAGAAGAGTCATGGAAGACGGACGCTTGGGGAGTGATGGTGCAGCGACGGCGACAGAGGTTGGGTTGCCTGATCAGAGTTTGTAGTAAGTTGGCCTTCGCTGATTTATATATTCGGAGAAGAGACGATCTGCGCCAAGGACGACGACGAGAGATATTACACGAGGTATGAGAATGACTGGAAATCAATAAACTGAAAATGCAAACCGATCAACGGTATAAAGAGAACAAAAAGCGACAAGGTCGTGCACAAGGCTGGCCATCAGGAGCGTCGTAGATGAGACGGGCCGTTCGCGGCCAAGAGGTCGTGTGCGTTGGCCGATTCGCAGAGCGGTCTCGACTTGTGCGGAACGAAACCGAATGTGCCTTGTGTAAACGTGCGTGAACGTGGCTTGAAGAGGTGGCACTGAAAGTCGGAGTAAATAAAAGCGAGACAGCCAAACGATGGCACGCCAAAGAGGAAAGCGACTCATGCGTTGTTCCTTCCTCGGTCTTTGTCTTGCTGCACCGGGCGGGACGTGCCTTTGTGCTAGTCGCCGAGCATCGGGGCGGCCTAAACAAGTAATTACGGAGGCACTAGTACGGCGATAACTGTTTCTGGGGAGCTGAGGAAAGAGCGTCCATGGCGGAAAGAGCACCGAGGGAAGGAGCACCAAACACGAGATAATTAACGAACCAGAAAAAAAAATTATGATGTAAACCAACAGGCAAGGCTGTCAATGCGTGCAAGGCTCCTCGGCCGACACCTTGCATACAAAACAGTGGCCCCACTACAAAAAAAGGAATTACGACGGCGTTTATTGGCTTGTGCCGATGTAACTCAGACTTGACTTGGACGGTTCCATCTTCAATTTTGTTTATTTTCCGTAAATGACTATCGCGACTCAGCGACTATGCACGCCATGCCGTGGTCGGGCGTCCTACCTCGTCAGGCGGTCTCTGCTCGTCCCGTTGTGTCTTCCCCTCTTCCGCTGCACGCTCAGCCACCACCGCTTCAATACCAAACCTGAGGCCAACCGTCATTCTCATCACAGTGGGCGCACTACTTTGTTTCAGCATCCGCCCACGCCGTGCCCGACATCGTCTTTGCATGTGTCGTCGTCTCCGAGCTCGCCTCCGGTAGTGTGGGGATCACATCACATTGCAGCAGGCTGATCATCGTGGAGAAATTGTGTCCTCTCGATCGGTTGCATGCGACTTGTCTGGGCCGAGTTGACCGATAGGTTCACAGCCATTTTCGTCGGCTTTCCTGTGTTGTCGCGACATGGTGTGGCCGCGTGTTCACGTGGTCGTACGGTCTGGGCTGCATGTGGCAGGTATTCTCGTTGCCGCCGTCGGGTTTGGTATCATAACCTCCTCTCTCGTCTCATCGTATCGGAACGACGAGGCAGACTCGAGCTTGGGAGCATGGCCAAGAAAATGGCCCACAGTGGTTCGCTGTTGTGTGTGTTTGTGTGTTTCGTCCTCGTCTCCCACTACCCATTCAGCCGCCCGCTTTTGTCGTTTTGCCTGCTTTCTGGCCCGTCGACTGGTGCGTCTTGGCCTTGACCCTGCCGTTTGATATCGGTGGCAGAGGTGCTGCCGCGGGTTTCGGAATCTTAAAGGGATGCGCCTCCGTGTTGTAGACATAGTCGTCCAGGCTAAAGTAGTCGGGCTCCGTAAACGTCAAGTACAGATACTTGAGCGTCTCGGCAAACCAGAAGCTCTCCATGGAGTCCAGCTTCTGCGGGGGGCCCGTCACCGTCACGTCGGCAATCGCCGAGTTGGCGTGCTTGGTCGCCGTCGACCGCTCAATGTTCAAGTACATGCGCCACGCCGCTTCCTGCAGCGACCGGTCGCCCGTGATGCGGTACAGCAAAAAGACGCTCTCGACGGCCTCGGGCCGCAGCAGGTAGCGCGGGTCGCGGATGGCCGCGAACCCCGGCGGGTAGCGGCCGGCCTTGTCCTTGGGGAACTGGGCGGCGCGCCACGCCGGCTCGTCCCAGGGACAGGCCGTGGTGTTTTCCGCGGCGGGCGCGGCGGACGCGGCCTTGTTCGTCGCGATCAGCGCCATCTTGTCCAGCCAGCCGCTCGGCTTGGGGCACGGCACGAGGTCAAAGGACTCGGGCATGACGCCCGTCGGGAATGCGTCGTAGGCCCAGATGCAGCCCTGCGTCAGCTTGGTGCCGACCTCGACGTCGGCCGGGCGGTCAAACAGCTTGCCGCCCAGCGCAAACATGCCGCCGGCAAAGCAGGCCAGGTGCTGGCCCTCCGGCATCAGACTGACGCCGTTGCGGGGGCCGCCGGCCAGGACGGTGCCCGACACAAGAATGTCGTGGCCCCGCACGTCCGGGTCCGGGATCATGGGACGGAACAGCAGGTGCTGGCGCGCGGCGTCGGCGGCCTTGACGTACATGTCGCGGTACGCGGCGTCCTGGCCGCCCAGCAGCATGTGCATCTTGGGCAGGTACTCGTAGAGCGAGTCGGCCATGCCGCCGAGCGTGTACATCTGGCCGTTGGCCTTGAAGCCGTTCTGCAGGTCCAGGAACGTCGGCCAGAGGCCGGGGATCGTCGTGGTGTCCTGGACCCGCGCGAGCGCGCGCTTGATGCGGTCAATGGCGTCGTAGAAGCGGTGGTCGCCCGTCAGCTGCGCCAGCTTGGTGAACTCGAGCGACAGCGTGCCCACGGCGGCCGAGGCCTCGTGGTCGCCCGGCACCAAGAGGCCCTGCCAGGCGCGGTCAAAGTGGAACCGGTTCGCCGGCATGTGCGAGGCCGTGTCGAAGGCGGCCAGCAGCATGTGGGCCAGCTCCTTGGCCTTGTCCAGCAGAGGCGCGGCGCCGCTCATCTCGTAGGCCGACAGCAGCCCGCCGAGGTAGCGGATGTTGGTCTCAAACAGGCTGCACTCGAAGCCCGTGGCGGCGTCCCAGTCGATGGTGGCCACGGCCCGCACGGCCTCGTCAAACTCGCTGCGCAGGTCCATGATCCACAGCGTGTCGAGCGCGTCCACCAGCGTGGCGCCCCAGCCGCTGAAGCCGTCCTTGCCTTTCAGCTTGATGGGCAGCAGCTCGTCGTAGCCCCAGGCGTGCTGGCGGTAGCTCTCCCAGGCGCGCAAAAAGGCGCTGCGGATGGCGTCGCGGCGCGTGTCGCGCAGCAGCTTGACGTCGGCGGACTTGTAGTCGGGGTCCGCGCGGAAGCTGTACTGGATGGCCGGCATGGGCGCGGGCGTGCCAGTCGGCAGGCGCACGAGGCTGGCGTCGGGGATGGGGTGCAGGCGCTGGCGCAGCGCCCAGTTCACAGAGCTGTTGACGTAGAAGATGGGGTCCGTGGACTCGCGCGCGGGCTGCAGCACCTTGTGCAGGTGCACACGGCCGGCGCGGGGCTGGAAGACGTAGATGATGAGGAGAAAGGCGGCGGCGGCGAACACCAAGAGGCGTGTTTTGCGCCGCAGCGAGATGGCCGACAAGAGGACGGCCATGGTGGGTGAGTGGGGGCGGCTGCGTTACCAGATCTGAAGAGTCATGATACAGTCAGAGGGTACAGAGTATGTCTGGGAATAGAGAAAAGGAAACTGAAGGGCCAGAAAGACAAAGGCAAAACGGTAAGAGGCAAAATATGAAGGCAAGATGAAGCTCACGAGAGGCTCACGATGAGATGCGCAACATATGTGTTTCCAATGGGGTGGGACAGCAGACGACGGGAGACGGAAGGCGGAAAGCGGAAGCCGATGTTGAAAAGGCTAAAGTGCGAATATCAGACAGGGTCTTTGTTTTCTTTTCTCTTCCCTTTCCCATGTGGTCTGTGGCGGTTGTTAAAGAAGAGCGCTTCTTTGGAGGTGGACCGACGTTGGAGCCAAGCCGAAAGGATCCAGGGGCAGGGGCCAGTGAGCCATGGCAGAGGGAAGGTGCAGTGGGCGGGACGGGTCCGAGACGGGAAAGAGCAGAGGGCAGTGAGTTGTGAGATAATGAGATAGCGGGGGGAAGGAGCGACGAGCACAGGCCGCCAAGGATGCCCAAGGATGCCCAAGGATGCCCTAGGATGGGAAGGAGCGTACGAGGGAAGCGGCCACAGCTCAGTCAGCCTTCAGGTTGACTATCATCGTCCGTACGACGTACGTCGGGGTTGAAGTCGACGCTGTTGTTGTACCCGTATGTTGTTAAGCACGACGGCTGAACACTCGCACAGGCACTCTGCAGGGACCGCCTGAACTCGCCAATAAGACGCCACAGAAGCAGCCAGTGTCAAAGTGCGAAACACCGCAGTTTCAGCCAGAAAGCTGCTCGAGAGACGAGAAGACGGTGAGTGGATCTGTAGTGGAAGAGGATGACATAGATAACGCGTTCAATCACTCCCAGCCCGTTTTGCAACTTTCCTTGCTGTACGAATTAGTTGAAGCTGGAACACGCCTCGTAATTGAGCCGAATTATGCTTCTTGCCCTGAAGCACTAACGCACTACAGCACTAAAATACAGCGCCAAGCCATAGCGCCGGGAGCGCTCTTAGCGGGTCTACAGCGAGCCCAAGTCCACCGCCCGCTGATGACAAAGCGGGTCTCCCGATAAGATAACACTTTTTTTTCTGCCACCGAAAACACGATCTACTGCTAACATCCTACGACATTCAACCTCGACATTCTACCTCAACAATCACCCACCACCCACCACACATAATGTCGTCATCAATGCGAAACGCCATCCAGCGGCGCTCTCACCGCGAGCGTGCGCAGCCGCTGGAACGCAAACGGCTCGGCCTGCTCGAAAAGCACAAGGACTACAGCCTGCGTGCCAAGGACTGGAACAAGAAAAAGGCCACCCTCCAGAGCCTGCGCGAGAAGGCGGCCGCGCGCAACGAGGATGAGTTCTCGTACAAGATGATCAGCCGCGGCCGCGGTCCGGGCACGGCCTTGACGCGCGGCAGCGACCAGAAGCGCGACCGCCACTGGACGGGCACCGTCGACGGCGACCGGGGCAACCGGGCGCTGCCGGTGGACGCCGTGCGGCTGCTCAAGACGCAGGACACGGGCTATCTGCGGACGGTGCGGAGCGTGCTGGTCAAGGAGGTGGCGCAGCTGGAGCAGCGGGTGGCGCTCGCCAAGACGTTTCTGGGCGTGACCGACCTGGACGAGGACGACGATGAGATGGACGCAGGCGAGGGCGAGGGCGAGGACGAGGACGACTTGGACTTCAGCGACTTGGACAGCGCGCCCAAGAACACGGCAGCAAAACCAAAGGCCCAGGCGCAGAGGCCGCTCGCCAAACCGACACGCATCGTCTTTGCCGAGAACGCGGCCGAGCGCGACACCAACGTCCAGCACGTCGTGGCACGGGACACCCAGGCCGCTGCGGACGACGACAGCGAGGAGCGCCAAGAAAAGGTGGACAACGCACGGCGGCTGCAGAGACGGCTCGTCAAGGCCCGGACGCGGCTGCAGGTGCTGGACCAGGCAGAGCACGAGCTGGACCTGCAGCGCGCGCGCATGGCCAAAACGGCAACGATGGACATGGTCACGAAGAGCGGCAAGAAGATCAAGGTCCGGGAACGGAAGCGGTGAGCGGGTGTGACGAACGATGTGATATTGGTATTGGTATTGGTGTTAATATTGGTGCTGGTATTGATATTTTGGCACTGTTTTCTAGCATGGCTATGGCGGGTGATTGTGGCCACGGGGCCTTTTATTTCTCAGTTTTCGGCGTTGGACGGTCAAGAGCACTTTTTACCCTTCTTGGATTTGTTGATGAGACGAACGCAGCGTGTATGCATATATTGTGAATGGCTAATCTAGCAGAAGATGGAAAACAGGAATCAGCAACAGAAAGCAGCACACGAAAGAAACAAAACGCCTTATCCGAATGTATACGCCAGCATCAAACATGAATATCTAAAGCAGCACTAATATTACACGCCGGCGCCAAGAAAAGGACGCCATACACCATAGAAAAGATTACAGCAGTCATCAGTCGTCGAGGCATTGGGGGGGGGAACAAAAACACGAAAAAGACGAACTTCCCTACAACAGCTTCTCCGATGTCACGCATTTAAAGAGACCGCCCACAATGGCCAGTATCGCCCGCACAACCATGGCCACACACCAGAAGCAGCACTTGAACAAGGCCGTGATCAGCCGCAGACAGCCCGGCATCTTGTCCTCGTCGTTTTCCTTGCGGCGGCGCTTCTTGCTCGCCTTGGCCGTCATGCCGCCGCCCGTGCCGCCATTGTCCATCATGCCGACGTTGCGGCCACCACCGCCCACAGGGCCCATCTCGAACATCTTGCCGGACAGGTCGATGCTCGTCTGGCTCTCGAGGTCGAGGTCAAAATCGTCCATGCGCGGACGGGCCCTGGACGACTTGCTCTTCTTGCCGCCAAAGAAGCCGAACCCAAGACTGCTGCTCTTCCGGCTGGCAGAGCCTCGCTTTCCGCCGCCTTGGACGCCGGCCCCGTCACGCATGCTCTGCCGGCTCGTGCCGCCGCGGCCCATGGCGCCGCCCAGGACCATGTTGACGAGAGACGCGTGGGCGCTGTCGTGGTGCCCGAGACCGTGCTGGTGCATCGCCAGCCGGCTGTCGGGCGGCGGCGCAAACTGCTCGACGGCCGCAAACTGGCCGTCGTTGTGCGCCACCAGCAGCAGCGCCGTCACCACGACGTCCACGAGGTACACGGCGTCAATCTTGCTGGCAATGCCCGTGTCCACCTCCAGGTAGCCCGCGCCGGTGCCGTCGCGCGTCAGCCGCGCAAGGTGCTGCGGCGACTCGCGGTGCTCGAGCGTGTACGCGGTGCGGCTCCACGTGCTGCTGCGCTCAATGGTCACGGCAAACGGCAGGGCCAGGGTCGGGTGCACCAGAAAGTACGTGCTGGTGTCGTCGTCCCAGACGAGGCGCGCGCACTCGCGCTCGGCGGTGGCGACCATGGCGGCGTCGCGCGGCCGCTCGAGGGCCATGCGTGTCGCCGCCGCCGGGTACAGCAGCGCGACGAGGCCGTCCTGGGGCTGGTGGCGGCGCGCCTCCTCTTCGAGCGTCGTCGTCAAGGCCACCTGCCAGTTCTTGCTGCCGTCGAAGCGGGCATTGCGCGCCGCCGCCGCCACCGCCGCGCTGCTTTCGACACCGCCGCCGCCACCACCACCACCACCACCACCACCAGCAACGCTGCCGCCCGAAACGCCCATGTCCAGCACGCTGTTGCGGCTGCTGCTGCCACCGCCGCCGCCGCCCTCAGCACCGTCGGCATCGGCGTCTGTGCTGTTTGCATTGTTGCTGTTGCTGCTGCTGTTGTTGTTGCCCTTCGACTCCAGCTTAAAGGGCCGCGCCGGGTCATGCCGGGACGCCGTCACATACGCCGACATGGACGTCGGGTCCAGGCGCAGGCGGTAAAACGGCTGGTGGTTCGCCGACGACAGCCGGTACACGGGCGCGTCGCGGTCGCACGACATGCGCAGACAGAACACGCGGCCCTCGGAGGGCCCCGCCTTCCACCCGTTGGCGACCTTCCACAGGCTGCGCAGGTCGTCCGAGGTGGACGGGACGGGCAGCGAGGGCGGGTCGCCGCGGGGGTGGCCCACGGGCACGGGGCCCGAGTGCATGGGTACGTGGACTTGTACGGGCGGCGGCACGGCCGGGTCGTTTGGCGGTGTGATGTGCACCGTGGGCCGCTGCCGTGCGGGACTGGCGACGCTGGCGCTGCGTGCATAACCGGGCGCCGGGCTGGTGGTGCGGGCGGCCACATCCACGCTCTGGTCGGACGGCTGTTGTGGCTGTTGTGGCTGTTGTGGCTGTTGTGGCTGCTGCTGCGTCGTCGATACGGGTGAGTACAGGGGCCGGCTGATGACGCTCCGCGGAATGCGCGTCGGGCTTGTCTGTGTGGGGAAGTAGTTTTGCTCGTCCAGCGACACGTCCGGGTTGTACTGCGGGAAGATGGACCGCAGGGCCGGCGGCCGGTGCCGTTGTGCGTCCTGCGTGCTCTGCTGCTGCAATTGCTGCTCGGCCAGCGTCGCCGCACCCGTCGGCATGGGCGGCGGCGGGTCGTCGTCCATCGGCGGGCCGTCGTCGTACATGGACAGCCGCACCTTGGCAATCGAGCTGCGGGAACGCACGCTGCTGTTGCGGCCTGGCTCGTTGTCGTCGTTGCTTGCGGTTCGCCGCACGGACGTTCGATCAGCGACTGCCGCGGGAGCGGAGATCTGCACTTCGGCCGTCACGGCCTCGCCAATGGTCTGTGGGATAAGGGCTGTTGGCTCAGGTGTGGCGCGCTGTCGTTGTTGTTGCTGTTGGGGCGAGGCGGCGCGGGGCCGGGTCACTTGTGTCCTGGATGGCGGACGGCCGGTGTTTGGGAAGAGGGAGAAACCTCCAGATGGCGTTGTTGCGGACATTTTGTGGCGAGGAAAGAAGCGGTGATGATGAGAGAGAGAGAGAGTTAGGAAGAGAAGAAGGAGAGAGCCTGTCTCTCTTGGCGATGGCACGGTAAACAGACTGCCTTGTCGTACGGTAAGGTCAAACGTCAATCAAAAGAAACGAGATGCGAACCGAGTGTCACCAAAGCATGTTTGGATGTCCAGTGTAGATGGCCTGCATGAGGTTGTGCGAGTTTGCTTTGTATGAGATCGACTGGTGAGATGAGAGGCTCGTGTAAACAGAGAAGAGGAGACACGAACGAGTACGTTGCGGAGAGCGAAGGTGGAAAGAAGACGACAAAAGTCAAGTTACGGTCAGACGACAGATACAAAAAAGTCAAAAAAGGGTTGCCCTTTTTTTTTCTTTTCCAAGATGCACGGGCGGGAAGGAAACAGCAGACAACATGCATATATTGCTCTTGATGGCTGTGGGCAACGGGCAGCGACTGGTGACCAGAGAACGTAGAAAGAGCATGGACCCCTGCCCGACCAGGTTTCGCTGGATTTGTGATGTATGGACAGAAAGCGGTTATTTTTACTTTTACGGCATACCTGACTCCTCGATCCCTCCTCCAGTCCACCTCACCCTGCAAGTGCTTCCGTGCGTCCCACCCACAGCCACAAGAATGGACGGGCGCGGACCCAAGAACGGTCGAGAGCGTAGGATCGAGTGCGGGAGGTTCACCAACCTCCCTTGTCTCTCTGCCGCCATGCATCTCCCCTCTTTTGGCCTTGTTCATCGCCCTTCTTTCCGTATTTTTTCAAGCTTCTGTCTTCCTGGAGTCACATTAATAGTAGTGATGGCTCCCACTGGAACTGTCAGCCATTGACGGCCGTCAGGCCTAAGAGGAAGACGAGGGGAAAGACGAAGAGGTTGGAGGAACATGGGTGACAAGAATAGCAATGTGACAGTCGACGCCTGCAGTCGGTCTCGTCTCTTCCTTGCCTATTGCAATTTTCGACGTTTCTAAACAACATCGAAACGCCTGGATGCGCGCGTCTGCTGAAGAGCGAGTGGTAAAAGAAACGAAAAGAAACTGTTTGCGCCCTCAGTCTTTCAGTATTTCCTCTTTAAGCGCTGGCCCAGGCAGCCAGGGTCTCTCAAAAGTGGGCCAGTGAACGTTGTAAAGAAGTGGTTGGTGGGCATCGAGTCGATGACCTTTACGACACAGTAGAAGGCCCGTCGTGGTGGTTCGTGCGGCACTGGGGACTGCCAAACAAGAAGAGAGAGAAAAGGAAAGGCGGTCGGCACAAAGAACTAGCTACTATGGCAGTCGCGACCGGCCATTGGCTGGGGCCCGGGACGCCCCATAGGCGGGTTGCGGGAAGCGCTGCCAAATATAGAAGGAAACAACAAGCCGCGCGGTGGGGCCTGGGCCAATCACAGCGCACATCACCTTGCAGCATGTCCTTTTAGACGCCGAGCACACCTCTAGTCTTATTTGCAACTCGTCGACTCGTCGACTCCCATTCTCTTCGTTCAGCTTGCCCATTCTATGTTGTCGAGAAGAAAGCCTCCACTTCCACTCACAGAAAGACGTCTCAGCGGCAAAGCAGCCCGAAGGCCTGATAGGGTGGATAAAGAAATGAACAGACACATGCACGTAAGCAGATACATACGGTGCGTGTCAACGTCATGAACTGCCTACAGAGCATGTAAAACGTGGATAGGGAGAATCACGTGGAGCGCTCGGTACATGGTGGATAACCATGACGCTGTTGCCGTTTTGCATCGTGGAAGCTTTGCCAGCCGCCGCACACAATGAGTACGACGCTCCATCGGGCACTGATCCCGGTAACCAGGCGCCGTGGTGGCGGGTATGAAGAACTGCTGCGGTACCAGAAAACAAGATCTATTAATTTGTGTAGAGGACAAAGACTTGTGCCCAAGATCGTATATAGACGATGTGACAGCCCCGTGTTCATCTGCAGTCGCTGGCTGGTGCCGCCGAGCAGAAATCCGCCTCGCTGAGCCATCCATCTATATTGTGTATGAGTTTATGAATTAGATGTTTTCGTTTTGTCGCAAGCGACAAGAGCCCGACAAATAAACGCCATGCCAAATAAAAAAACGGTGCAGTGGACAAGAAGGCGTGCTTTGTAGATGCACAGTATCGCAAGGCAAGACAGCCTGTCCGTAGCGCCCGTCCACACCCAACGTGCTGCTCTCCTCTCACTCGTCCTCGCTGTCCTCGTCCGCCTCCTCCTCCTCGTTCTGCTTGAAAATCACCTTCTCGGCCAGCCGCAGGCACTGCCGCACCGGCAGCCCAATCACATTGTCCAAGTTGCCCTCAATGCGGCTCACCAGGAGCAGCCCGCCCGTGCCCTGCACCGCGTACCCGCCGGCCTTGTCCGCGCCCTCGCGGGTCCGCACGTAGCTGTCAATCACGGCGTCCGACAGGCCCTCGGACTGCTTGACGAAAACAACCTTGGTCTCCTCCGTGTGCGACGCCATCGAGTAGCCCGGGTGCGCGGCGTCCTGCCGCGGCGACAGCACACACACCGCCGTCAGCACGCGGTGGGCGTCGGTGTCGCGCAGGTGGCGCAGCATTTTCACGTGGTCCTGTGCGGAGCGCGGTTTTTCGAGAATCTGGCCGGCGCGGGTCACAATGATCGTGTCGGCGGCAATGACGAGCTCCGGGTCGGCGGCGACGGGGTGGTGCTGCTGGGGCTCGGCCGCGGCAAGCTCGGCCTCCTCCTCCTGCGACTTCAAGACCTCCTGGTAGACGTCGAGGCACTTGCGGTGCGCTGTTTCCGACACGTACTCAAAGGGCCCGTACAGGGTCTTGGACAGGTCCTCGGGCTTGCTGGACGGCCAGATCTCGAGCTTGGTGAGGCCGACCTGCGCGAGCAGCTGTTTCCGGCGCGGCGAAGCCGAGGCCAGGATGACGCGGCGCGAGCGCAGGTGTGCGAGAATGGGGAGGTCCATGGGCGGCGGCAGCTTGCGAGGCGGCGGCACGATTCGTGGTCGGCCAGACGCGGCGGCGGCAGAACCATCAGGGGCAGCAGCAGGCTCGTGCTCGGCCGCCGCGGTGTAGACCGGCGGCGGATCGGACGGAATGGTGCTGTCGGCCGACACGGCGCCCTTGGTGTCAATCATTGTGAGGGTGGTCGGTGTGGATGGGTTGGTTGTCGGGGAGAGTCAGGAAGCCCAGCGCCTCGGTGGCAGCGTCGGTCAAGTCAATTGGCGGGAATGAGCCTCGTATGCGTATTCTACCTATGCGAATAGACACGTTGTCGTGAAGAAACGAGTGACAAGTACGAGAGAGAAAAGCGGCCTCAATGAAACTCGATGCCCGGAAAGAGGCAAGTTGACGTAACTGACGTATTCCCAGCCGTAATTACGTCTCGTTGCCAATAGAGCTCCCATAGCATTCCAGTGACCCTGTTTCACTCAGGGCGCTCCTGCTTATCTTATCGGCCATTAATATGGGGCACTTACTAGCGCCCATCTGTTGTGGATCCTTCTTAGTCATCACGGAGGAATTACCCCCAACTTCATCGGAGGGACTTGCCCCGCTTTAATTTTGTTATTCGCATCGGCCGCCAGCCATCCATCTCAGATCAGTCACATGCCAACTTCTCCACCATGCCGAACGTCGTTCGCATTTGCCGACCGCACCCTTAGAGCCGCAGCCACAGGCCAAAAGTACGACAGCATTCACAGAACGGACTCGAATTCATCGCAAGACACAACCGACGGCTTCTGCTATCCCTTGGACGTCCCCTCACATGCCTTGGCTGCCGGGTCCCGCGACCTATTTTATATGCCTTTCCCCACGGCCTCGTCCACGGCGGCCTCTGTGTCCTTGGTCCGTGTCTTGATTTGCGACGCCGCCTCGTATCGCTCGCCCTTTGCTTTTGATTAAAAACCCCCATCGACCGAACAGCACCCGTCATCCAATATCTCCATCTACATCGACCCATTCTCCTCTGCCTCGCCATGTCGTCACCGCAATCGGCAACAACGCCGCAGGGCGGCGAGACGGCCGGCGCAGCGACTGGCTCGGGGGTGGAGGAGAAACCGCGCCTGACGGAGCGCGAGAAGAAACAGAACCACATTGCGTCGGGTGCGTCCTTGGGCCTCTGTAGTTGGTGCGCGAGAGCTCCATTCGTCTGCTAACACATTTCTCTGCAGAACAAAAACGACGCCAGGCCATCCGCGAAGGCTTCGACCGGTTGACCGAGCTCGTCCCCGGCCTCGAAGGCCAAGGCCGCTCCGAAGGTCTTGTGCTGCAGCGCACGGTCGAGTTTATGAATGCGGAGCTCGAAAAACGGAGACAACTCATCCGCGACATTGAGAGCCGCGGCGGCACGGTCGATGAAAAAGACCGGCTGTAGGCTGCAAGAGCGGCCCGACGGACGGACGGACGGGGTGGACAATTTGGCGTGGCCCCGAACTGCGACGGCTGTCGTTTGTCGAAACAGAACAGCGACAAGCATTGGGAACGGCGACTGGCGTTGGCGTGGTTGTTTGTGAATTCTTATGTTCATGTTCATTCTCATAGTCATTTTCTTTCGTTTTGTTGCCACTGCGTTCTTCTTCTCTAGATGGACATACACGGACTAGGATGGCTGGGTTTCCTCATCATTTACAGCATGTTTCCCTTTATGGAACGGTACCTGTACGATTACCAGGCGATAGGTGCCCAAAAGTGCAAAGAGCTTGTACGTTACTGGGTGGATAGGCAATTATGTTGTACAGTATTTACAGTTCATTATCCGTAACATAGCAGTGGCTGTGGCCGTAACCTTGTCCAACCGCCGTCAATGGCTACTGGTAGGCGGCTACCTTTTCCTGGAGCAGTCGCAGCAGCGCCTCGGGCGTCATCTCGATGCTCCGCTTCTTTTCCTTGGATGGGGCTGCCCCCTCCTCGGCATTCCCATCCTTGACGGGGATGCCCGACAGATCGACGGCAACGGTGCCCTTGGCAACGTCCTTGGGCCCGACGACCACGATCGCGCCATAGCCCTTGGACTTGGCCTCGCGCACTTTCAAAGGCAGCGTGCGCGCACTCGTATCGACATCGACGGCCGCCAGGAGCGTGGGGCTCGATACGATGGCCGGTGGATCGGATGCAGCCACCGACGTGCCGGCCAGGACGGCCTGCACCTCCTTGGCGAAGCCGACGACGGCGTCGCTGTCGTTGACCGTCAGCACGATCGCCTGGCGAGGGTTCAGCCAAAACGGCCACCGGCCATTGTAGTGCTCAATCAGCAGTGCCATCAGCCGCTCCACGGAGCCCAGGACCGCGCGGTGGATCAGCACAGGTGTCACAGGGCCGGCTTCCTCTGCTCCCTCCGCTCTCTCTGCTCCCTCTGCTCCCGTCACTGCAGCATCGCCCGCTCGGCCCGCCATTTCCAGCTCGGGCGACGGCGCCTGGTACGACAGCGCAAAGCGCCGCGGCAGCTGAAAGTCCAGCTGCACCGTCGCCGTCTGGTGCTCTTTGCCGTCCGAGTCCTGCAGAACAATGTCAATCTTGGGCCCGTAAAAGGCGCCGTCGCCCGGGTTCAGCGTCCACGCCTGACCGCTGTGGTCGAGCGCGCGCCGCAGCGCCGCTTCGGCGGCGTCCCAGTCGGCCTCCGACCCAATCAAGTGCCCGTCGGTAGGCCGCGTCGACAGCACCAGGCGGTAGGGGCCGAGGCCCAGGACGTCGTAGGTGAACCGCACAAAGTCGAGCGTGGCGCGGATCTCGTCCTCGACCTGCGAGGGGCGGCAGAATACATGGCCGTCGTCCTGGTGGAAGCGGCGCACGCGGGTCAGGCCGCTCAGGGCCCCCGAGATCTCGTCGCGGTGCAGCGGGCTAAAGTCGGCGTAGCGAATGGGCAGGTCGCGGTAGCTGTGCCGCTGGGCGGCAAAGATGAGGCAGTGGCCGGGACAGTTCATCGGCTTGAGCCCGTACTCGTCCTCGACGCTTTCGCTTTCGGGGGACGCCGCACCTGCGTCGACCCTCTTCTCGCCCGTCTTCAGGGACGCACTCGTCACGGTAAACATGTCGTCCGCGTAGTTGTCGAGATGGCCCGATTTGGCCCACAAGGCCTTCTTGTAGATGGTCGGCGTGATGACCTCTTGGAAGCCGTAGCGCACATACTGCTTCCGCAGAAAATCGACGAGGCGGTTGAAAATGCGTGCGCCATTGGGCAAAAAGATGGGCGAGCCGGGGCTGTAGACGGACGTGGTGAAGAGCTCCTGCTGGACGCCGAGGTCGCGATGGTCGGGCGGGACGCGGTCCTTCTCGGCCTGCGGTGTCTGTGGCGAGCCGTGTGAGGAGCAGTACTGGCGAGAGAGCAAAACTAGCGGCCGTGGAGGGTGTCGGTGCCGGTGCCCTCGTATTGAGCATGTGACGGAAGCAAATCTGGCGGAGGAAGATGAAATCGAGGAGGACGACGGAAACGGCGGCGTCAGAACGGCGAGCCGGACGGCAGGGGCGCGTAACGCCGCAGAGGCGTGCCTGGGAGACAGCATGAGCGCAACCGCTTCGCAATTGGCATGAAAGAGAGCGACAAGAACCGGCTGCGGCCGATATATGAAGCGGCACGTCGACGTGGTCGAGCTGTCAGGTCAGGCTGAAGCTAAAATTCGAGATCTCTAGTGGGACCCGACAGGCCCTTCCCAATACGGACTAACGCAAAATGCTCAGGTGACCACGCGGGTGTCCCTGTGGGTCCCTATCACGCGGCGCCTTCCCGCCCTGTGCTTCGCTGTGTGCAAGGCGCCAGAGGGCGCCTTCCCTTCGTGCCACGGACAGCCTTGCCCCTGCTGACCAGGCTGCCAGGCACCCGCCCACTGGTGATGTATTTATGTGCTCCGTATTTCTCCATGCAACGTTTTGATTCCTCGTCCACGATTCGCGCGCGTCCCATCAACGACATTGCGACAAAAGGCCGCCGTTCCCACGCAAGGCTCCCGCGGTGCCTGTGCACTTCTTCACGACTATTTTCGCCGCCGTCAAGACAAACGATGTGACTCACCAACAATTGGCATCGTCGTGATATTGCTTTTTTATGTTTCCCCCGAAGAAAGCTAGATGATCAAGCAGTCAAAGCGACAATACAGAAAAAATACACAAAAAGCACTTTACGCGTCGCGTTCGTCACGTTTATTTTAAAGATACAGAACCCCTCATCCCTGTTGTCACAACAAGGACGTTGCACACTGCTCTAGCCACGAACGACAATCTCCATAACGCGCACTGTGGGCCGGCTGCCTTGCGTATTACTTCACTCATGGCCACCTAAAGGGTTCCTCCCTTTCGTCTCTTCTACACACCCAGCCATCACCACCTCCTCTCTCTACAGCCTATTGTCGACATGACCGCCCTCCCCGTCGAGAGCTCCTGGCGCATGGTCGAGGGTGAGCACGACAGCTTCGACACGTCGATTGTGCCCAACGCCTTTGGATTGAGCGGCGAGGATGGAGACGACGGCGACGATCCATTTGTGTCCAGCAGCGGTGCGCCGTCCCAGCAGTCGGCTGGTTCGGGGGCAGGGCCGGCTGCGGCGGCGAGATCCGGGCGGGGCCTGGGACGCCGAACGGTGAGCGGTGCCAGCGGCATCAGCAGTGCCAGTCGCGGCGGTGCGTCCTCTTCCCAAGAAGACCGCACCAGCCTCGGCGGCGACTCCTTTGGCAGCGGCTCCATCCCTGGCTCGCAGGACGACGACATTCACTCATTCCTGCGAAAAGCCGAGAACGACGAGCGCGTCCTGCTCCGGTCGCCCTTTCAGCCGTCGCTGCCGTCGTCGGTGCGGCAGAGCCCGCTGAGCGCGAACAGTGCAGGCAAAGCAAAGACGGCAGCGAGCGCCAGCCGGCTCGACCGAAGCAACCGCACGTTTCAGACGCCCGAGCCTGAGTTCCGCATGCCCACAATCGACATGGACGGCAGCCTGCACGCTGGTGATGGCCGTATTCACCCCCAGAACCAGCGCGTCGCGGGCCTTTCCTCTTCATTTCGCGTCAGCAATACCGGGAGCCCTGTCCAGCGCCGGTCGACCGGTGGTGGCCTGCTCAGCCGACTGACTGGGCAGCGCAAGGCAAACACGGCAAAAACACCAAAAGACGATGCACATGACGCCGGATCCTCTGGACATGGTCCGGCCACTACTGCAGCAGCAGCAACTGCTGCCTGGAGACGGGCCGTGCCCTCCAGTCGGGCCTTTCTCTTCGTCGTCCTACCAATCATCGGCCTGATTGCCGTTTGCGGCATGCCGCTCTTTTATTCGACAGCCATCCACACGGCCTGTTCGCTACCGGGCGTACCTCTTCTCGGGCTGCCATTCTGTCCCGACACAGCCAAAGCGAACAGCAAAACCACAATACCGGCACAAAATGACGGGATCAACACCGAAACCGACACCGCCTCCGACGCAGCTCTGCAGGATAGCAACTACTGGGCCATCCGCCACCGCTTCAGCTACGAAAGCCGGCAAGCCGTATCCGAGGGTCCGGCGTCGCCGCCCGCCACGCCCATCGTCAGCCTCGTGCGCAGCGCGGGTCAGCTGATGCGCGTGCAGACGCAGCTCGCCGACGTTGTCAAGGAGCGCGTTCTTGTCAGGCGTTCGAACAACGTGCCCCCCGCCCAGGACGCCTGGCTCGTGCCCCGCGCGCTGACCAAGGACCTCGTGCGAGCTGCGCAGATGAACACGGCCACGCTGCCTTTGCTTGCCATCGAGCTCGACGCCTACCTCGACGCCGCCAAGCGCGTATCCATGGCGCTCACGCGCCTGCAGACGGGCGCCGTCGCCACGGCCGCTGACACGCTCACCTACCGCAGCCAACAGACACTGGCGCACCTTAGGCGGATTGCGGCCACGACCAGCGAAGCACACCGCCGCGGCGGCGGCAGCGGCAGCCGTGAAAGCTGGCTCAGCCGCGTCTTTTCGCCTGCCAGCAACACCCGCCGCACCCAGCTCCTCGACACGTACCGGCGCCACGTAGACGCCGTGCTCAGAAAGACACAGCTGCGCGTGGGCGAGGCCGAGGCCGTGTTTCATGCGCTCGAGGCGGCCGGCGCACACTTGGCGACTGTGCAACAGTACGTCGTCGCCAAGAAACTCGAGCTGCTCGGCGCCAACGTTGGGACGGCGCCAGATGGTGCCAGTACCGGCGGCGGTCCGGGCGGTGACCCTCTGCTCGACACGTCCGGAGGCGTCTTCTCCTGGCTCTGGTCTATTGTCTTTGAACGCCAGCCGGACGATGGCGTGTCGTCGTCGACCAAGACCATGAGCAAAGCGGCACAGGCTTGGTCCGGATATGCGGACCAGGTGCAGCGCCTACACGAGGACCACGAGGCCGCCGTGGGCCGTGCTGCGGAGGCGCTGGACGAGCTCGCCGCCGTGCGAGACGCACTGAGTGTGTTGCAGACGGAGCTGAACCAAGAGGGACGCGACGGCACCAACAACAACGAGGACGGCGATTTGGACATGCGGCTGCACATGGACATTGTCGATGCCGGGATCCAAGATCTAGAGAAGGTGGGACGGTGAGGCCAGGACGATTTGATTTTGACGGGATGCGAAAGGGTTTCATGGGATGTACGTTTTTGTGTTTTCCACTCTTCTTATAACGAGATACCAGGCAGGATTGGGTTAATGGCGGCTGGCGTTCTACAGGACACGGGATCTGGGATATTTTGAATTTTGGCGTTTCTAGCGACAATACGATGTCTTCCTTTGTAGATTCTTTTCTTCCCATATGAAATCCGTAAATGACCAAACCGCGTCTTATACGACCAAATCCAGGTTCCATATCCCCTGTTCCGAAGTGATAGCATCGTGTTCAGTAGCCGCAGCTATCAGCCAACGTGGGGCGTCTTAGCCTGCGATTCGGGAAACGGCAACGGGAGAGTCAGGATGACATCAGACGTGCCGGACGCTGCTGGTGGGTGGCGCCTGCCTTCCATTCGTTCGCGAGCTCGTCCCAAGATGGCAGTGTCACCCAAACTAAAACAGACTCGGCCAGCAATGGCGAACTTGGCCAATGGAGAGACGTTGACATTGGCTCTTTCCTTATCTTTAGTCGTCGCTCCAGTCAGCGCCTTCGCCTGCAAGACACAACGGAATTGCGGGGTAGGTGCGGCGGGCGTCCGCTGCAAAACGACAGACGAACTTCAAAAGCAAGAAGGAGGGGAAGAGAGAAGAAAAAAGAAAGAACCACCGATGGAGCGGCACCAAAATGCGGAATTTGGGCCCCTCTGGATGGCCTGGTCGTTCTTGCTCGTTTTGCGTGGCGCCGTTGCTCTTGTGCAAGAACCGAGCTCGAGCTCTTTTAGCAGGGAAGGAACCACCCGAAAAAGTTTCGCCCGATAGCTGGTATTTTTGGCGGGTGCTCTTATCTCGGGAAAGAGCGAGCGAGCATTACTCTGCGGTATATCCTCAACAGCTTGAGATCTTTTGTTTCTGCTTCATTTTTTGTCCTTCTCATTCACCCTTACCCATTGCATTTTGATCCTTTTTCCAGTCCTTTTACTCCAAGAATTCCCCCTTGTCGTCTTGTTGCTGTACGCACACAGCACTCCCGTTCCCGGCAGAGGGCAATCCTATCACACAGAACCGGCGCCATAACCAATTAACCATGCATCTGGTGCCAAAAGAGGTTTGTCTTACGCCATGAAAACGCTGCTACCAGTGCGACAGGCTTGGCTTTTTGGGGAATTCCAATTGCACATGCCGTGTCCAGCATGCACGGGGCTACAAAACTACAAAAATACTGAAATTGGGGGACATAAGTACCCAACGCTGCGAGGTACAAAAGAATGCAAAGAACAGACACTGACGCGCAACCTTTCTCCAGCTTGACAAGCTCGTCATATCGCAGCTTGGCACCATAGCCCAGCGGCGCCTCGCCCGTGGCGTCAAGCTCAACCACTCCGAGGCCGTCGCTCTCATCTCCCACAACATCCAGGAACTCATCCGCGATGGAAACCACAAGGTCGCCGACCTCATGGCCCTCGGGTCGACGATGCTGGGCCGTCGCCACGTGCTGCCGTCTGTCTGCACCACGCTGCACGAGATCCAGGTCGAGGGCACCTTCCCCAACGGCACGTACCTCGTCACTGTGCACGAGCCCGTCAAGACCGACGACGGCGACCTGGCGCGCGCGCTGTACGGCAGCTTCTTGCCCGTGCCCGACAACAGCCTGTTCCCGCTCGAGGCCGCCGCGGCCTACGAGGCGGCCGCGCAGCCGGGCGCTGTGGTCGTCGTGAAGCAGACCAAAGACAACATGATTCGCCTCAACGAGGGCCGCGAGCGCACACGCCTCAGCGTCACCAACAAGGGCGACCGCCCCGTGCAGGTCGGCAGCCACTACCACTTTATCGAGACCAACCCGCAGCTGCTGTTCGACCGCAAGCGGGCCTACGGCTTCCGCCTCGACATCCCCGCCGGCACGTCCATCCGCTTCGAGCCCGGCGACACCAAGACCGTGCCGCTCGTCGCGATCGGCGGCCACCGCGTCATCCGCGGCGGCAACAACCTGGCGTCGGGCCCCGTGGACCTGTCGCGCGTCGACGACATCCTCGCGCGCCTGCAAAAGGCCGGCTTCGGGCATGCGCCCGAGCCGCTGACCGACGCGCCCTTGGACCGGGCGGCCTTTGAAATGACGCGCCAGGCGTACCAGACCATGTTCGGCCCGACCACGGGCGACGTGGTGCGGCTGGGCGCGACGGACCTGTGGATCGAGGTCGAGAAGGACTACACGGTGCGCGGCGACGAGTGCAAGTTTGGCGGCGGCAAGACGCTGCGCGAGGGCATGGGCCAGGCGTCGGGCCGGGCCGACAAGGACTGCCTGGACCTGGTGATTGTCAATGCGCTGGTGCTCGACTGGACGGGCATCTACAAGGCCGACATTGGCGTCAAGGAGGGCATCATTGTCGGCATCGGCAAGGCCGGCAACCCGGACGTCATGGACGGCGTGCACCCGGCCAACATGATTGTGGGCAGCTGCACCGAGGTCGTGGCCGGCGAGAACAAGATCATCACGGCCGGCGGCATCGACACCCACATTCACTACATCTGCCCGCAGCAGGCGTACGAGGCCCTCGCGTCGGGCGTCACCACCCTGCTGGGCGGCGGCACGGGCCCCACGGCCGGCACGGCCGCCACGACGTGCACGCCGGGTGCGCACTACATGAAGCAGATGCTGCAGGCGGTCGACACGCTGCCCGTCAACCTGGGCATCACGGGCAAGGGCAACGACAGCGATCCCAAGGCGCTGCGCGAGCAGGTGGTGGCCGGTGCGTGCGGCCTGAAGCTGCACGAGGACTGGGGCTCGACGCCCGCGGCCATTGACGCCTGTCTCACCGTGTGCGACGAGCTGGACGTGCAGTGCCTGATCCACACGGACACGCTCAACGAGTCGGGCTTTGTCGAGAGCACCATCGCCGCCTTCAAGGGCCGCACCATCCACACGTACCACACGGAGGGCGCCGGCGGCGGGCACGCGCCCGACATCATCTCGGTGGTGGGCGAGAGCAACGTGCTGCCGTCGAGCACGAACCCGACGCGGCCGTACACGGTCAACACGCTCGACGAGCACCTGGACATGCTCATGGTGTGCCACCACCTGTCCAAGGACATCCCCGAGGATATTGCCTTTGCCGAGTCGCGCATCCGCGCGGAGACCATTGCCGCCGAGGACGTCATGCACGACCTCGGGGCCATCAGCATGCTGAGCTCCGACTCGCAGGCCATGGGCCGCTGCGGCGAGGTCGTGCTGCGCACGTGGAACACCGCACACAAGAACAAGGTGCAGCGCGGCAAGCTGCCCGAGGACAAGGGCACGCCCGCCGACAACTTCCGCGCCAAGCGCTACGTGTCCAAGTACACCATCAACCCGGCGCTCGCGCAGGGCATGGCCCACCTGATTGGCAGCATCGAGGTCGGCAAGCTGGCCGACCTGGTCGTCTGGGACCCCGCGTGGTTCGGCACCAAGCCCACCTCCGTCATCAAGAGCGGCATGATTGCGTGCGCGCAAATGGGCGACCCCAACGCGTCCATCCCGACCGTGCAGCCCATCATCGCGCGGCCCATGTTTGCGCCCCTCGTGCCCGCGACCTCGGTGCTGTTTGTGAGCGAGGCGAGCATTGCCCAGGGCGTCGTGCAGACGTACGGCCTGCGCAAGCGCATCGAGGCCGTGCGCGGCTGCCGCAGCGTCTCCAAGAAGGACATGCGCTTCAACGACGCGACGCCCGCGGTCCAGGTCGACCCAGAGGCGTACACGGTGCTGGCCGATGGGGTGCCGTGCACAGCAGAGCCCAGCGAACTGCTGCCGTTGTCGCAGCAATTCTTTGTGTACTGAGCATTGAGCATCGTGGCCAGGAGGCGGCGGATCTGACCGGTATATATAGCAAGATTGTATGCTTGGATTGGCCGCTTTTCAGTATTCAGTCATGTAACGAACCAGGACATCTTTTGGAAGTAAAGGAATGACGAGTGCAGTCGTAATTTGAGTGCTTGGTAGCAGTGTACTGTAGAGCATGTGTCTGAGGATGATGTGTTTTCAAGGCCAGTCGAGGTTGGTATCTAATAGGGGGCAGATTCCAAAAGGAGGTTGTTGGAGCATAAGGTTGCTGTAACCTACCACGCCACGGGGAATGGGTGGTGAAGAATACAGACAACAACGTTAGGCTGGTGCTGGAAGGAACGATGTGGAGAGAAAGAGTGACGAGGGGAAAGCACGATCCTCCAGAGGGTGTCAAACGGAAGGAAGTATTAGTGCGCGCTGAAAGGTAGTCTGGGAAGGAACACGAAGGGAAAGGGGGAAAGGGTTACCCAGAGCCTATACCAAAGTACATTCACTATTCACTATTCACTCTTCACTATTCGAGGGAACGAGAGAGGCCGTTTGCCAGCTCCTTCCCCGTACTGACCTTGTCAAGGCAAGCCAGTAAAGGCCTAAACCGGCCATGTTAGGACGCTGTCCTGCAACGGCCACCGGCAGTTCAACCCAGCTGCTTGCTAGGCGGCCCCCCGAACCCATAATGGAAAACGGCATTGTTCAACGACACTGAAACTTGCCACCGTTTCGGCCGCCATCCCTGTTCAGCCTTCCCAATCCGTGTAATACCACTGGCTGTTGGCCAGATTGGGGTTCCGCGATGAAGACTGCCTGGCCGTTGTTCCTAACCAGCCATACTTTCAGGGCCACAATGCCACCACGGAAAGATACTTGGATCAAGTCGGCAGGTACCTCCGTCTGCTATACGTGAACCATAACGGCGGCCGAATTACAGAGCCAGTGCAACATACAGAGCACGACATACACAACCCAACAGCAAGTCCTCTCTGCTTCCTCTATTCTAACATCACCATTGGCCGCTCACTGACCTTCAATCATTGTGTCCTTGGGACTGTGCCTTACACCAGAGAGTCTATCTCGCTGCCAATCACAATAACACGTCTCGATAACATGGCAATAATAGCTTTTGCACGACTTCTGAGTGTGCCAATAAGCACCGCAACAAGAAAACACTGTCTCCATGATTTGCAACGCGCAAAAATTATGAACTTTGTCGTATATTGGAAGGGCCATCCAGCTTGAGTGCCTCCTAGCCTAATACCCAGGGTGTGCTGTATTGTCCAGATTTCTTGGGGCCACATTCGGCTACTACCGACGTCCCTTCCAGCGCTTCCCCGTTCCGATTCCGTAACAAGACCAGACCGTATGATCTATGACCCATACGTCAATTTTTCCACCGCCCCCGTCCTTCCCAAAACATGATATAGTAGTCAAAAGTACTTGTAAAAAAACAAGCAATAAAACAATAAAAAACCAGCAACTCAAAGCAACGATAGTCCCCCTCCACAGCAGGGAGTGACTGGGTAAAGAAACCGAAAAGAAACCGCAGACATAAATACACACAAAACCAAACACAGAAAAAGAAGCCAATCATGACGTGACAGTACTCGTGACAGTACAAAAACCAAAGCAACCCATCGTCACAAGCCAGAGTCGAAAGAAGAGGGAAAAGAAGCAGCGCGGGCGAGGTGGGGGAGGGAAAGAGAGAGAACGAACGAGACGAAAAACAGGATTCATACGCAGAAAGACGCAGAAAAGACGCAGAACCGGACAAGTCAGCGTCGCCATACGTACTATGCTCTGCCGTGCCATGCAATACCGAAAGAAAGGAAGGGCAAGCAGGAGTCGCAAATCGTCGTCCGAAGAGTGGTAGCAGTCGTCGTAAAAAAGAGTGCCTCGCGCGCGGGGCGCGGCGGGAAAGAAATCGTCGCAATGGATCATCCAGTGATGGGAATTGATGGGAAACAGATAAATCGACAAGGGTTATTGGAAGAACTCTCATCGACTCACTATTTCACGCTCTGAAGAGCGCAGGGTCAATATTATCAGTAACCAGAGCATTGGAGAACGCCTAACCGCCTCTTAGCCTTCTTGCTTCTGCAACTCTCGGGCTCATGCTCTAGTTACCTTTGATGTCCGCTTGCGCTTCTTGTCGGGGCTGGCAGGGGCGGCTCCCTTGACCGGCTCGGCCTCAGCGCCCGGCGTAGCGGTCTTACGCTTCCGGTTGTCCTTCTTGGCAGACTTGGGGGTCTTGGCCGAGTCGTCGGCGGCGCCCTGCTGCAGCTGCTCGGCAATGGCGTCCTGGTCGTTGCCAGTGTCCGCCTCCTTGCTCGTGGGCATGGGGATGTGGAACTCGTCGGCGTAACGGAGCGCCTCCTCGTCCGACATCAGACGAGCGTTGGCGTTGCCCGACTTGTACGAGTGCACGCGAGCGTTGTACAGGCGCAGGTTGTATTGGTAAGCGCGGTCCCAGCCCTACATAAGTCATGTCAGCCGCACGTTCGCAACCTTTTTCTGGAAAGAAAGGAAAGAAAAAAATGCGTATACTACGTACACCCTTGTCATGGGCGTTCATGGTGCTCCAGCGGCGCTGGCCCTCCTCTTGAACAGCACCCTTGGGCGCCTCGGGGCCCAGATCATTGGCAATGATAGGACGGGCAGTCTGCATGTACAGGAAGTACGGCGTCAGGGGACGCTTGGGAGCATTGGGGTCGTGGGTGCGCTTCTTGCGCTCCTTCTTCTCGTCGGCAGCCGGGGCGACGGCAACCGCAACAGGCGGCAAGACAGTGCCGACAGGGGGCAGCAGGCCCGTATCAAAGCCAATGAGCTCGCCGACGCCGTCCACGCCGGCTCCCTCACCCAGCAGGAGGTTTGTCTGGCGGAGGTACTCGCCAGAGAAGTTCTTCAGGAGTTCCTGGATAGTGGACAGACGAGCGTATACCTAGAGCGTGTTAATTATCGGTCACAATAGTCTATCTGGTGCATCTGGTCCTCCGGTGTCTTTTTTTTTATAAAAAAAAATGAGGCGCGTGCTGTACGAGTTGACTTTCGCGCGTCGCCAAATTGAGCGAATGTAAACAAAAGAGTGGGTCAGTGGCCGCTGGGCCAGACGCAAGTGTCATGCGCGACCTTTCAGTTCTCTTGTCCTAATTTCCTGTCGCTGGACTTGCGGGAAAGGGGGTTGTAATGAATGTCCGTATTGTGCAGTGATCGCAGCTGGAAAACCATGCAGGTTACTTTGTACTTGTTGTAATTCAAGTATCCAGTTGCCGCTTGCATGTGCGCGAAAAAGGTTTGGTTTTGCGCCGCGCAGTGCATTGTTGGTGCGATTGGGCAGGCAGCGTGAATAAGAATGGCAGTGCAGCGTTGACAGCCGTGGCTAGACTTCGTTTAGGCGTTGGGTTGAGAGGCAGAATATGTGCAGTGGCAGGGAGCCGGCTTCACAATGAGGCCCGAAGGTGTGACAGGGAATTGGAAACGGAGACAGCACAATGGTGAGAAGAAAAAGGCGCCAAAGGCAAAACAGATTTGAGGCTGGGAAAGCCGACAGCGCACGTCTATGACCAGGCGAGGAAAGAGTGTGCGCGACAGAAAAGTGCAGGTGAGACGAGAAAAAGAGCGCGATGCGGGCTCAGAAAGGAAACAGAAATGACACCGGAAGGCCAGAACGAGACCAGAAATAAGAGGTTGAGAACATAAGAGAACGCAAAACATACCGAATCGCGGACGCGAATGAAGTTCTCGACATCAATGACCTTTGGCGCGTCGGCCTTCGCGGCCTCAGCGAGCTGCTTCTTGGACGGGCGAGCCATAGCGCTGATTTGTAGCTGTGTAGTGGTGATGATGGATTGATGCTGTTGGAGCGCGAGCGATTTCAGGGACTTCAGTGGCGATGCGCTGAAGAGTTTGAAATGGCGATGTGGATTTTTAGTTTATTTGATGCTGGAAAGGAGACAAAAAGGCTACAGCGATGGGGGGGAGGACAGAAGGGATCAGAAGGGAAGGAACGAGGGGGGAAAGGAAAAAGTCCTTTCAGGCGCGCGAGGGTTGGGGGGGTGCCCGCGAGTTTATAGGCGGCTGGGGGGTTGGGGGACGACGCGCTGATTTGTTTTGATTTGATTTTGGCGCTTTTGCTTTTTTCGGGTCAGTCGCTCTTCCCCCCCTTCTGAATCGGATTGCTGTCCTATTTTTTAGTTGGTGTGGCTCCTTCCTTTTTTTGGCGCACCCTCTGTCCGCTAGGGAAAGGGGGGGTGGGCTGGGGGAAGGTGGTCCCCGACAGTCGTGCGCTGTCCCGATCTGACCTTTGTTGGGTAGCGCACGCTCAGCAAGACGCTCGTAATACAGGCGGCCACGCCCCATATCTTTTTTTCCTACTCGGGCGGCTTCGGCAGGGAGAGCCTGAACTGGTCGAAGGTCGCTGACTTGGCCTGGCATCCGCAGCGAGCCGTGCACCCCTGTCCGTTCTGGCCTCTCCTGCTCTTCTGGGAATGATAGCTTGTTGCGCTGGGACCACTAGATGCCTCTCAGTCGCTGTTGCCGCCTGGAAACACTGCCTTCTGCATCTGCGCGCTGGCCGCCCTCCCATACTACCGCTGTTTCCGCATAACCGTCAATCTCATTGATGATGGTGCTGAGATGGGGGCAGGAGCTGCTATTTCGCGCCATAGTGCCGACAGCTGTCTCAACAGATCCTCAGCTCCCTCGTAACACCGTTGGCCAGTCCAAAGCGGGATTCTGCCAGAAACCGCCAGACGATACTGTCGTGCAGCGCGTCCATCGTCTGTCTTCAGCAGTCTCTCCGATTTCACAAAGGCTCCCAACGGTCAGGTCTGTACGCCCATGCTGCATTCACTACCAGGCACGCTCCTTCTCTCGCTTTTTGATTGCGCCGCTCCTCACGGCCTGCGAACCCACACCTGCCCGCAAACGTGCACGCCTTCCTCCCCTTCTGGCCTGTCCTCTCAAAAAGATACTTCGACACCGCCGCACGTGTGTCTTTGCATTCGACTGCAAACCATGTATCGAACTATCTGGCGCGCTTTAAAGGTTCTCGAATTACTAGATATTTACTTAGGCAAGCGGGTGAAGCGTATGCAAATTTGTATTCTGCAGCGTTTTTTGAACACATTATGCAGTTGTGTTCTGTTCTTTCGGCCCGTGGTGGGCGCGCCGCGTGGTGCGAAATGCTTCGTGCTGTTTTCAATGGACATCCTTTTGGGGATTCAGTGAAGTATTTGGGGCGGCCCCTGAGGACCGTCGTAAAGTATCGCGGCGTGTTCTGGGAAGACTGCCCTATGCCTCAGGCGGACCCCCTCTTGGCCTTCTGGGCAGCGGCTTCTTGTTTTGGAATGTTTTGATTTAATTTTTTTTAGGCAAATTTGTGTCACAGGCGCTACGAGCGCTTTTCGGGGGGATACGGGCGCACGCCCCTGCATGGGCGCTATTGTCCAATGAAAGACTCGTTAACAGCCAGGCCACAACAGGGTAACGGGGTTGGTGGGGGGCACGCGCGGCGCTCAAAACAGAAGGAAACGAGACAGCCGAAACTCACCAGCCATCAGGCGAAACCCCTCCCCCTTGTACTGATCTGCTGTATTTCCAGTACGTAACCTGAAGTGCCGCCAATTCGCTAATTCGCTAATTCACTCGCCTCTTGCCTCAATCTGCTGAAAATGAGATCGCACAAGCCCCTCTTGCTCGCTATCGCTTACTGATCGTTGAAGTTGCCCTCTGTGGCTTCCTTCACTGCGCAGCCCAAGATCTAGCGCCTTTTAGTGGTCGCGCCTGAAAGCCCCAAAGTGCGTCACAATAGCAAATTGGACAGGCCCTGCAGGCGCCCTCTGAAGCCTCTTGTGGCCTGCGCTTCTTATCTGCGCGTATTGCGGAGGTAACGCTGTCTCTGTCCAGAGGCCAAATCGCACCCCCCCTCCCTTGCCGCTAAACACCCCCCCAAGGCCAGGCCCTTCTGCTGGCCCCTCTTTCCTCTGCTGAACTTGGCCGTCCTCTCCGCCGGGTCAGTTTTCCTAATACTTTGGCACTCCCCGCCTTTTTCTGCTTTTTACTGATTCTTTCGCTTTCAGGGACGCTGCTCTGGCGACGTGGCTTCAGATCACGCCAAATCAGCAACAACGATGGTGGACGCGCTTTCGACGTCTGCCCTTGTCCCCTCTTAACGCCAGATCCAAAGCACCAGGTCACCGCCAGAAAGGCCAATCGCCGAACCACAGCGGCCTTCTCTGTTCCCGCACAGCTTTCAACTGACATGCTGCAACGGCTGGTTCCATTCCCCGGCGCCATGCGCACGCAGCTCTGCTTTCTAGCTTCCTGAGTATTCACAGCTTTCTGTCCCCATCCTTGTTTTTCCACGCTGCAGAAGAGCGGACTGTCTTTCCTTCATGCCAACGCCAGCTTGCTCACGTCCGGCGCCATGTATCGCCTCAAAGCGCCTCTCAGCCCCCAAATCCCTCCAGATGTCTTAGCTGTTCCAACTTCCACGCGTCACGTCGTGCAATCTCTCTATCCATGGAATCTAGCCAAGCAGCGTTGTGATAATTCGTAAGACAAGAGGTAAGGGCGAACAATGGCACGCCCAATGACCTCGCCACAGGTCACATGGCAATCTCAGAGCTCTCCTCTCAAGCTCTGCTGGGTTGGTCAACTTTATATGCGCGTGATATATACTCGAAGAGGCTCGACAGATAGCTCAGTCAGTCTCTCCCACAACTGCACGCCGATATCTTAAAATCGTCACCATACCTGGCCCAAAGCTGTATGTGCAGAGGCTCTCCTTGGCTTACATACTCGAGCTTACGCGCCGTGCATAGCTGCAATATTCTAGACAGATCAGAGCTCGACGCGACAAGTCAACGTCCCAGGGCTTACCAGCTCCTGCTCGCTCGAGCTGCCAAGGCCTCACTCACCAGGAACGGGTCTAGCGTAGACGGGAACCTGAGCTTCAAGGAGCTCCCAGAGAGACGACGTGCTCTGTTAGCCCATCAGCAGTGCTCGTTGTCGCGAGCGGTGTCGAGACCCAGAACGCGTCGCCCACAAGGCTGCTATGGTGCCCTCTTGCCTTCTCCGTTCTCCTTTACGACAGCCTTGCATGCCGTCGGAACGCGACGTTCGTTGGTACCGTGGGAGCTCAATATCTGATAACAAATGAAGGACATTGTACTTGGTCTGTGTGCTTCCTCGGGCAGGAATGCTATGGGCTGGGCTCGATCTCTGTTCAGTTCTATTGAGACGGCGCGAGCCCAGTCTCGACCGACGTCATTGCAATCGAAGTTCCTCGTCTAGGCGGCCCTCACTCTTACATCCCACGCTCGTAAGCCTCCCGTGTATCGTAATTACCCATCACTGAAGGCCTGGAACGCGCCCGTAGACTCCAGTCCAAGCTCAGTCAGGCAATCCTTGACCTTTCTATCAGCCTTGTGATTACAGCGCGCCAGCGATGGCAGGTCCTTCACGGAGCATCGTATGCTGTCTGCTGGACGCGTTGATGCTGTGCGGCGCTGACGGCTTTTGCGCCAAGCGGCTGGGCGTGCCCGACTGACGGGCGCTGCAACATCGATGCCCTGCCAGATCTCGGTGAACCCCGCCGGCTACGTATCTTATGTGCGCCGTTGGTGGTCCCGTCGACACAACGAAGGTTGCCTGGCGCGACTTGCCAGGTCCTTTTGTCTCGTTCCAGATGCAGTAGTCCGCTCTCGTAGCTGCTGGTACGGGCCGTGAGGACCAAATGCACCTTTTGAGACACTTAGCCCAGGAACGCGCAGAGGGGTCTGATGAGGGGATGTGTATGGGCCACCCACCACCATGGTTGAGTCTGTTGTACTGAGTAGGGTCCTTTTTCCACGTCTTATTCTCGAAGCTGTTTGTCTGGAGTGTACAGTAGTCTATCTCTCTGCGATGTTTTTTCTGCCCCTATACAGTCTCACTGCATCGCTCTTTCCTTTCTTCTTATCCCCAACTCTTCCGCACTTACGCCCCCATGGCACCTGCCTGTCTCTCCTTCCACGATTCACGAGACATGGCGAAAACGATCGCCCGCACGCCTGGAAACGGCAGTCACGGCCTTCCTGAGCATTGCCAGCAACCAAAGCGCAGCGCTCACCGCAGAGGGTCATGATGACGCGCCACGATGCGCAGTGGGGTTGTCAGCGGGCAGTCAAGGGCGTCTGTCCCCGACTCCGTCACAACGACCTGTCTCTCCTCTCCTCTGACAACGCAGGGTGAACACCAGAGACGTCTCCGTCACACACAAGTCGCTCCTGCCACTTCACATTCGGTGAGGTCGACACAACACGGAAAGAGCAACCCACCCAGACTGCTTCGCACCTGCTTCGCCATGACGGCCACCAGTCGTGCAACAATGCCAAGCCCAACGCGGGTCCTCTTGTGTCGCAGGCAGCCCAATCAAGCCCTGTAACAAACGACGGCCGGATTGCCCCTCGCTCATCTCACAAGAGCTCTTGCCCCTGTCGTCAGGCCCTCCCATCACACCTTCCAAACAACAGCTCGTCACCATAACAGGAAAGAGGGGACCCCGGTCGTTGCCCTCCTCTTGGCAGCTTGGCATTGAGGCATTGAGGCATTGAGGCACTGAAAGATGCAACGGCTTCTCAGTATTGCATCTCTTGCTTATGTGCGTCTCTATGTCCTATGTCGTCCGTCATCTTCCTGGCACGGTGAAGATCCTACTTTAAATCAAGACGGCTCCCTCTTTTCCGGCTTAGATACTTGGGTCTCCAGTTTCTTCACCCGCATCTCGGATCCTGGGCTTTTGGCCACATCGCTTGTCTCTCGCATCCAACATCACCAACTCTTCACTTTTACTCTGTAAGGCATACCACCCACAAGATCTCCAAAGAAGCTTGGCAGACGAGCTCTTGGCCTGCTGCTCGGCTTGTCTTGGGCTTTCGTTTGCTTTTCTGCTGGATTTTTGCTCCGATCCTGCCCCTCCGCAAGCTTCCGTCCCGCTGACGCTGTCCAGGGCCAATACGACCGTATCAGCAACCCACGATGCCGTTGCTAAAACCTCCTCCGCTGCTTGTCGGCGTCCTCGTCCTCGTCTTCTTTGCCCGCCGGGCGCTCGCCTTTGGTGCCGGTAACATTGCCAGCATCTCCAAGGTCGAGGGCCAGAACTGTGCGTGCAAAACTGTGTCGTCGTGATCCACAGCTGTCTCCGGCCGCTCGCTAACCTCTCGTCTCTCTGTCTAGGGCGGCATGGCGACATCGAGGACGCGCTGCTGCAGCTGCTCATGGCCCGTGCCGTGGGCGGCAAGAAGTTCGACAAGCTCGCTGTCATGCGCGTGTACTTTGGCAACTGGCTCCGCGACTACAGCCAGGCCATTGACGTCGGTACCGTCAAGTCCGTCTCGGCCGAGGCCATTCGCCTGCTGCTCTGCGTCCTGGGCTTCCTGACGTTTGGCTATGGCTCCCGCGAATTCGAGGTCACCGCCGAGCGCCTGGGCACCTACCGCCCCGAAGACCACATCGACAACCCCAAGAACTATGCCGACAACCTCGACGCCCGCCGCTACGACCCGCGCCTCCGCGGCCCCGTGGACGAGCGCGTCGAGCTCGCCATCGACCCCGACTCGGGCATGAAGAACTACATTGCCAACGAGCGTGCTGGCATCATGACCAGCGCCTACCACGTCCGTCAGCTCTTTGGCAAGTGCGTCGATCTCGGCCGCTCGTACCGCCACAGCAAGCGCAAGGAGGACCTGTACGAGGCTCTGCGCCTCATGGGCACCGGCCTGCACTGCCTCGAGGATTTCCTGGCGCACAGCAACTACACGGAACTGGCGCTGATCGAGATGGGCGAGACCAACGTCTTCCCGCACGTCGGCCGCAGCACCCGCATCCGCCTCCGGGGCGCCGACCACAGCGTCTACCCCGTCGTGACGGGCACCTTTGGCGGCGTGGATTTCCTGCACTCCGTGACCGGCGAGGTGTCCGACAAGCTGACCCAGAACGAGATTCAGGAGCTTGAGGGCACCCTGCAGAGCAGCCAGAACACGGACACCAGCATGCTCGCCAGCGTGCTCGACATGATCCCGGACGGCATCTTCGGCGGCGGCAACAAGAAGGACAAGATGCACGACATTCAGGCCAACGCCGCGGCCGCGCAGATGCAGGAGATGAGCGTCTCGCCGCGCCGGCCGGAGGAGTACACGGTGTACATTAAGAACATTTTCGCGCAGATCATGCCCGCCATCCGGTTCCACGACGAGATCCTCCAGCAGATCACCGAGGCCATTGAGAAGATCCCCGTGCTCCCGCAGCTGGTGGAGCAGCTCGAGGACCAGCTGTCCATCTTTGTCTTCTCCGTCATTGCGCCGTTTGTCGTGCCCGTCATCCAGCAGATCCAGGCCGAGCTCGCCACGGGCTCGTCGGAGATTATCCAGAGCAGCAAGAACGAGCAGCTGGTTGTGTTCAACGACGACGAGAGCACCGACCCCACGCACTCGATGCTGTCCAAGGACCACTTTAGCAACATCCTCAACGAGATTGCCGGCCGCACGGCCAGCAAGGTGGTCACGTGGGTCGTGCCGCAGCTCATGCAAGCCTGGGACGACGACAGCGTCGACATTGGCCGCACGCTCAACCGCATCATCTACGGCGTGCTGCACCACCCGGCCCAGCGCGGCATGGGCGACGACGGCGCCCGCGACTGCCGCACCCTCATGTTCCGCAGCGTCGAGGAGTGGTGGCAGAGCATGCCCGACGAGCAGCGCGACGAGTACCGCGAGAAGCTGTCGCGCGAGGGCGTCGAGCGCGGCGACAATCACAAGGAGGGTGTGCACGACACCGGCCACGGCTGTGGCAAGCCGCTCACGATGCAGAAGAACATTACTGGCTTCGGACCGTCTGGCGGCGGCGGCGGTGGTGGACTGCCAAGCGAGCTCATGGGCGCAGCGGCCGGTGCCCTGTTCGGCGGTGCGGCGAGCAGCTTTGCCGGTGGTGGTGGTGGTGGCCACAACTACGCCAGCTCGGGCGGCGGCGGCAATCTTTTGGGCGAGATTGGCAACCTCATGGGCGGCGGCGGCGGCGGTGGAGGTGGTGGTGGTGGAGGTGGTGTAGGCGGCCTCGGCAGCGGCGGAGCAGCTGGCCTAGGCGGTCTCCTCGGCGCGGCCGGCTCGCTCCTCGGCTCCGGCTTCCAGGAATCCACGCGGCCCACCGTCACCAGTTCCCAGTACGAGGCCGACGGCGGCTACAGCCAGACGTACACGCAGTACGGCCGCAACCAGGAGGGCGACCGCTACGCCCAGGCCGAGTTCAAGCGCACCGAGTACCCCGACGGCGAGGAGCGCACCGACTACCGCCGCTACGAGCAGGACGAGTTTGGTGGGCGCGGCCAGCGCCCCACGGGTTTTGCCTACGAGGAGCGCACCGACACGCGGCCCACGTACGGCGGCGGCTATGAGCAGCGCATCGAGGAGCGCCGGTGGGAGGGCGGCGGTGACAATGGTGGCGGCCGCTGGCAAGAGGAGCGCCGCGAAGAGTATAGTGAGCGCCGCCAAGAGCGCTTCGAGGAGCGTCGCGAAGAAAGCGGCGGATGGGGCGGTGAGGGCGACCGTCGTCGCCCCGGTGGCTACGGCGAGGAGCGTGAGGAGTATGGCGGCGGTGGCGGCGGCGGTGGCGGCGGCGGCGGTGGATGGGGTGGCGGACGCGAGGAGCGCCGCGGCGAGTACGAAGGCGGCGGCCGCCGCCAGGGCTACGAGGACGAGAGTGGAGGTGGTGGTGGCCTCGGCGGATTCGTGAGCGGCATTGTGCGGGATGCGCAGGAGGCCTTTGAGGACGAGAACGGGGGTCGCCGCAACGAGAGACGCGAGGAGGGTGGCTGGGGCTTCTAAGGTCTACGAGATGCTGTTTACGAGAGATTTGTGATGATGGTGGTGAGTGGTGCAAATTGGGCCTGGTAACGCGGAGTAACGCGAAGCTTGTGATGGAGGTTGAGAGATGTTTCCCAAAAGCAAATGAAAGTTGATGTGTTATCCTGGAAGTGATGAGGATAGTCTACAAGATTTTTTTTTTATATTGATTTTTTATGAAAACACTCCAAAATAAAACGATGTTTTATGTTTTCGAAAATGTAAAATAAATACAATACAATACAATACAATACAATACAATACAATAAAATAAAATAAAATAAAATAAATGTTGGCCTATCACTGATTCACAGAATGGGACATCAGTGCACAAGGCAGGCAAAGGACCACCCCCAGCGAGTCATGCGATCAGGAGTCGCACCCAGCGGTAGACAAACACAACAGACGTTGGATCTGACGTGGACCAGCCTCCTTCAATTCTCCCCGTTTCTCGTTACCAATGGCCATTGTGGGATCGGCAGCATCAGTCCCTGCTCCGGTGTCTGTTCTTTCTGTGTCTGCTCTAGAAAGTTTCCTCTCTTCTGCCCCCTGTTTCTCTCATTCGTCGACTTCTCTTTAAATTGTGTTTTGTTCTATATTTACGTCTACTCATCCCATGTATATTAATATCGGCTCAACCGCTCGCGGCTCGCTGCCCAGGAGCCTGATAGACATATATTACGTACGTATAACAAATACCACATGAGTTTCTATCTTTCGAATCGTCCGCCAATCTGAACCAACCCCGTTTAGCCTTCTGCCACTGCGACTGCACACAAATCATCGCCGACCACTCCGCCTCTCACAGTATTGCCGTCTTGGTATGTGGGGTAGCCCCCCTGTCGTATTGATTGCGCAGCGGTGTTTATATTAATGCGCTCGACGCGCACTCGCCCACCAAATCGCAATATGGATATATATGTTTCGATCCCGAACGCTGGCTAGTCATTGTGGGCATGTCCCACCCACCCATCGACTCGACTCGATCGAAGAGTGCTCTGCATGTGGCTGTCACCGGCAGCCCAGGCCGTTGATCTCTCCACAATCTCACCAGGGGACGTGGGCGCGTTCAGGAAGAGCCATTCAGGAACAGGCAGAGGCTTGCCAAATACGATTGAGGCAGGTACAGCTGCCCATCCTCGAACCGGAGGCCGTGTCCGCAGTTACTCAACTGGGAATGACTCGAGGGGGCGCATCAGACGGCCCCCTCTGTTGATCGACGACACAACGAGCAGCGCCGAGATGCTTTGTGGGGTTCTGGGCCCTATGGGTGAGGTCAATGGCGGAAGGCGTCCCATGTGGTCCATGGGGCCCATCTGCTCGAACCCGGGCCATCCTGTAGCATGGCCCTATGTTGTGGGCGGGCTTCGTCTCGATGCGGCCGACAATGAGGCAGATAGAGGCGGGCTAATAGCGGGACTGGTAAAAATCAGCGCAGAAGATTGAGGGGGAACCGTGAGGTAGGAAAGACGGGTACACGATATAAAGAGAGGAGCTGCCATGGACTGCCGGGGATTTGGCCTTTGTGGCCTCCCCAGCAGCCTTTCTTCTTCGCCATACATGCCGTGATCCTCCCTCGGTCCCCACGAGCATCGCCGTCGTCTTCAGTGAAAGAGCGCTCCTGCATCCACTCGTCCACTCATCACTCATCCACTCATCCACCCCAACCCACTCCTGCCCCCCCCTTCACAATGATTCCTACACAAGCTCTCAGCGCCCTCGTGCCGGCGGCTCTCCTGCTGTTTGCGCAGTCGGCCGGCGCCGACAGCACCGGCACCACCACGCGCTACTGGGACTGCTGCAAGCCGTCGTGCGCCTGGCCCGGCAAGGGCAGCCTCGCCCAAGGCCCCGTGGCCACCTGCGACAAGAACGACAAGCCGCTCAACGACAACGGCGCCACGGCGTCGGGGTGCGACAACGGCGGCGGCGCCTTTATGTGCTCGTCGCAGGCGCCCTGGGCCGTCAACGACACGGTCGCGTACGGCTACGCGGCGGTGCGCATTTCGGGCAGCACCGAGAGCGCGTGGTGCTGCGCGTGCTACGAGCTGACGTTTACGAGCGGGCCCGTGCAGGGCAAGAAGCTGGTGGTGCAGGCGACGAACACGGGCGGCGACCTGGGCGCGAACCACTTTGACCTGGCCATTCCGGGCGGCGGCGTGGGTGCGTTCAATGCCTGCACGCAGCAGTACGGCGCGCCGCCCAACGGCTGGGGCGACCGGTACGGCGGCATCCACTCGGCGTCGGACTGCGCGAGCTTCCCGCAGGCGCTCAAGGCGGGCTGCCAGTGGCGCTTCGACTGGTTCAAGGGCGCCGACAACCCGAGCGTGACGTTCAAGCCGGTGACGTGCCCGGCCGAGCTGACGGCCAAGTCGGGCTGCAAGCGCAACTAGGCGATGCCGATGCCGATGGCCAGAGTGGTTCGACGTGAGGTTAGCTGATGGGACGGGGGAGGCGAGAAAAGGATGGAAAGGACAAAAATAAAGGGGAAAGAAGCCGAGGAGATGAGACTGGAGACACATTGTGAGGCAGGAGAAGGCTCAACATTTGTACAAACGCCCCGAGGATCAAAATCCTGAACAAAAAGCATATTTTCGTTAAAGAAAACACACAAACAAACCGTCGGCTCGGTAGAGCTCCTATTGTTTCCCTTGTCACCATCTGGCCTCGCTTTCGACGGCCTCTGCTGATCTCGCGATGCTCTGGCCCTGCCGACTCTTTTGGCCATGCATGGCTGTGTGGCCCAGGATTCCCATTTTTCCATTGTGTGTACCGTTGCACAACATCGGGACTGGCTTGGTCCCTGTTGGCCACGGATGACTGCCTCTCTGTCCATCTCTGTTTGGTACTCTGTACTCCGCATCGCCTGCTGGTTTCTCTGCCCAGCTCTTCCAGATCGTCGTCGCTGGACCTCGCGTTTGGCTCTGCGTTTCACACCGGCCTGCCAATGTGGTCATTTGTGTTTCGGAGTCGCCCACAGCCATGGTTCAGCCTCAGTCCTGTCGTTTGTCATCTCTCTTTTCTCGTCTCTCGTCTCTCGTCTTTTGCCGCTCGTTTCTCTTGCCCTCCTTTTCCCATCTCTCCTGGACGACTTGCCGAAGGGGACGAGGACGAACAACGAGATCGCGACGATGCCCTGCAGACAACGTCTGCATACCTCGTAGACAACGCGCAGACGGATCAACGCCCAAACGGGAAAACGATGTGATCGACCGAGACCGCCCTTGGAGTGGAACGAAATGCAGACAGAGCTGGCCTGAATTACGCCTTGTGGCGCGCCGTTAGAAGGAACGCCGCCCACTAGTCCAGGTCCAGACCTTTGACCTTTGGGAACGCAGCGGACCTGCCATACTGTTGTACCTGCCCCTAATGGCAGCAGGGAGCGCGCGGCGAAGGGAGCCCAAGTCGGCAGGAGCGTTTGTACGTCGAACATCGTATGACATATGGTTCGTCTTTTTTTATTTTTTTATTTAATTTTTAAACATCGTTGGCAAGGGCGACAGACAGTCTACAGTCGCAAATACGGGAATACAACAGTATCTTACTCCTTACCAAGGGCTGCACCTTCCCGCCGGCCAGCCGACACGAAGACACCTACTCGGTAGAAAGCCCAAAAAGAAAGCAGCGACTTGCGTTCTTGCCTACCTCAGTAAGGCCCCAATTTCCATCGCACCTTAGTGGAGACTCTGATGCGCAGCGCTAGCGGCTGCAGTGGAAAAAGCATGCTGTGGCTTGCCTTTTTTCCTTTTCTGGCTCTACTCCGTACGCCTTTTGGCGCCCCCGTGCCCAGTCGTGCCCAGTCCAGAGTTCGTGCCTGTTCCGTACGCCCCGGTCTGCAAGAAGAAAGTTTGGAGGGCTTGGAAAGCTTGTTCCTTCCCATCCGCAGAGTGCGTCTCGCGTGGCTGTTGCACCTGTCATTGTCGCGTTGTTCGCGCCTTCTCAAAGTATCTCTTGTGGCATGCATCGATCGCGACTGCCATAACGTCGCAGGATGTAGAATCTGCGTGCCAATTTTATTCTACTTGCGCAAGTAACCCAACTGTGAATGGCTGCCGCCAATTGCTCTTCTGTCAACCTTTCCATTGGACTGTCGTCTCGAGACAGACACCGACTGTGTACACTTTCAACCCTCTCCAGTGTGATTCTGGAATGGACGTGTCCGTCGCATCTTCTTACACTTTCCTCTTTTTTTACGATCGCTCCTGCCTAGTGCATCAGCTGTTGTGTCGACCGTGCCTTCTCTCTGTTCCTCACCTCCCTTCTTTCCTCTTTTTTCGCCCTCCCGCTTCAATGAAGTCAGAAAGTGTCGCTCGGCCCTTTCCAACCCAGTAGACGGGGAAGGAGCCCGTCAATGTCTCTTTCCCTTTGAGTGGCATCCCGTCCCTGCCTCAACCCTAACCCGCGCTGAGGCGGGACGCTCCTTCTCGTTTTGCGCTCGTTCTTGCCTTCTCGTGACCTTCAGGTCCTTTGTCGACGCTGCCCACAACTAGCTCTGTAAAAAGTGGCAGTCAGAAACTACCGTTGCGCACGCGTGTGTACAGCCTCCTTCTCGATTCGTATTCGTCCAATTCCAATATCTCCTCACCTTCCCTCATTTCTTCTGTTAGCTACCCCCCCCTTCGCTCTTTCCCCCCATTTCGTTTGCGCTCCCCTATTTCTATTGTGAATTTTGCAACTTTCATTTGGGCCTGAATTTCCACTTCTTATTTTTTGTCGTCTTTTCCCCTTTTCCCTCAACATCACCACATCTTCGTCTTCCGTCACGCTGCCCAATTTTGGTTCCATTTGCAACAGCTACCCGGAAAAGGGCAGTTGTTGATGGGCCAGGGTCTTGGCAGCCCGAAACACTTCCCATACGCAAAGTCCTTTCGATTGACCCGTCTGTCTTAATTCCTCATTCTTTGTCTTTGGCCTCCTCTGCAGGCCCTGCGTATTCCCCTTTACCCACCCTGGGCTCTCCGCGACGCACCCATTCGTCCTAGTTCGTCCCTGTCCACTGCACTGAGTCGGTTCGCCGCAGTTCGTCCACACCCGCGCTGATTCCGCCACCAAACTCTCTCGCGGAGGTGCCATTTTCTCTGTGGAGTATTCTCCACGAAAGCCAGCCCCTCCGGCCCTGGCTGCCACACGTCGAGGCCCCCGATTCTTTCTTGTCCTGTCTTAATAGGAAGAGACCTCGCTCTTTCTTTTTATCCTTCCGCCGTCTGCCCCCCAGCACGCCGAGAGAAAAAGCCAAGAAATCCAGCGTCACAATTTGCAAACAGGGCCCTGACGTGCAGTTGATCCTGGACTTTTCCTCGCATCCTCTCTCTTCCCTTTCCTTCTCAAAGGTTTGGGCTTCTCCAAACCATCTCATCATGATTGACCATGAGCTTGTGTAAGTCTCATTCTTTTCCAATTCCACTGGTTGTCCTGTCGTGGCAGGCTCGGTTTGGCCTCGTGCAGTCATTTGTTCTCCCGATGTCAATCGTCTTGGCGCCGAGCAACGGGGCTTCTCTTGGCTTGTCGCCTTGTCTCGCGCGACGACCCGTCTCTCTTGTCCTTGGGTTTTGTGTCTTTGTGTCTCGCCATTCATCTCAGGATCTGGGATTCCGCTTTATCGATACCTCTCACCTTTTGTCCGGTTTGCGATCGCATCCGGTTTGCGATGCGGTGACGATCAAGTTTGCCGCCCCATCCTGGCTCCTCGCACAGCGCCCGCCAAACGACTCGGCTGCAACGCGTCTCGCACCCATTCGCAACAGCAGAGCAGCAACACAATCACAAACGATGACAGGCACGAGACATACGGCGCACACGACAATGACGACGAACGCAGAGATGGAATGGGCCTGCACTTTCTACCCCCCCCCCCCCCCCCCCCCGCCAGACGTTACTGCCAAGAGGTCGCCAAGACTGCCACAAAGCAGAGACAGGAGCGCGTTTCCGAGAAGCAGAATTGCAGGATTTTACTGACGTTTGACAGCTCTTGATGGAGTCCAAAATGTTGTGTACGTATTGGCCCCTTTTTTCTTTTCACGTCGTTCTGCTTCCGTCCTCCCTGCACCATGGCTGGGGGCCCCGGACCGGCCGTCATTCCAGACTCCGACAGGTTTCCTGTGTCCTATCCCTTACCCGCTCCGTCATTGTCGAGGGGAGGGTGCATCGTCTCGCCGCTCTAACTCGGCCAACCCGGAAAGCGCGCAAGTGTGTCGCGTTGCAAGTGTCCCCCTGCTGGGCTGCGCATCCGGAGGTCCGGCATGGATCCCATTTTCCTTGCTGCTACCGTTCGTGGGTCAGCGCTTCTTTTCCACGCGATTCCGAGGCGGCCAAGCTGATTGCGCGGCCTCTCACGTGCAAGTGCAGCCCACAGGAGCAAGCCCCAATGAGGCACAGGGGAGATGGAGCCGCCCTTTTTATTCGGACAAGAGTTGGGGCGCATATCGAAATTTTGCTGTCTGGCTGATCGAATTGGCTTGGAATCAACTGCAACCTTTTGGTTTTTGTTTTTTGTCCTCTTTTTCAGTAATGCAATTTTTGCGAGCTTTCCGGATCGTGTCGCGGGTTTTGCCACTCCCCTTTTCCTACCACTGCACACTTCAGCACTCCACCACGCGCCAATCCTCACCCGAATTCGCATTCCCCCGCATGACAGGCAGTGCCAAGCCAGCCAAGCTTTCCTTGGCTGAACCACAACGGTGGATCCAACCAACCACGCCGTGGATCGCCCTGGCCTTGAAAGCTTCAATGACGAATAGGGCATTAGTGGTGGTACAAAGACATCGCTTTCAGATCTGTGACAGCTTTGTATTTACCGTTTGATAAATACTTGCTATATTGTTGGTGCACAGCCTCGTCTTGTTTCCCTCCAGCTATCTCTTGTATCTTGTTGCTTGGCGTCTCCCTCATTCTTGTTCCATCACATTATCATGGTCCAGACCACCCACACATGTTGCCATCATGCCGTCATGCTGCTGCAGTGGACACTGCATCTCTCTTCAACAATCGGCTAACATCCTCCAAGGCTCCTTTTCAGTGACCCAATCTACGAGGGGCAGACAACAGTCCCAAGTAGAATCCTTCGAAATCTAACGGCTGTGAGCGGCGACATTGCATATTCAGACCATGTCACCGACAACCTGACCGTCCTTCTCTCCAAGTACACAGAGACGCAGAACGGTATATTACAAGGTCTCCTTTACGTTCCTGACCTTGACCCTGATGACCCCTGCTACGTCTCGGAGAGCGATTATGTCCCCGACTCCGTTGTCCGCCAAAGCAACCTTCCTTCCACCAACTTCAATCTCATCGCCCTCGCACCCTGGTACAGCGTCAACTGTACCCAGTCCTATCTTGCATCTGCACGCTACGACCCCCTGCGTGCCTTTCTCTTTTACCTACCCACCAATGATACGTCAAAACCGCCTGACGAGGACTCGGACGTCTGGGATCTGCAAGACGATGGAGAATGGCGGCTCGAGAACCATTACCCAATCTTTGCAGTCTCTGGCGCCCTTGGCCAGGAGATGATGTACCAACTTAGCCTTTACTCAGGCAATCTCACGGATATTCCCTTTGGTGAAAATATTAGCGAGATCTACAACCCTGACCCCGACGACTATGTCCGCATATGGACCGAGCTCACCGTCAGCACACCGACCGGCCTGCCCAATGTCTGGGTCTTCATCCTGGCTGTCATCGGCGTGCTGCTCGCCGTCATCACCCTCATCTCTCTCTTCATGCACTTTCTGTGGCGGCGAAGACGTGCATCGCTTCAACGGCGCGTGGCAGTGGGCGAAATCAACCTCGAGGCGATGGGCATCAAGCGCCTGACGGTCCCACCGAGCCACATACAGAAATTCCCACTCTTCACATACAACTACGATCCACCGCCACCGCAGAGCCCGCCTGTCTCGCCTACCGCCGAAACCGTAAGCACGGTTTCGCCACGGTCATCCACACCCCCTTCTGCCTCCCTGGCATCACGACGACTTTCCCGACGATCCCAAAGTAGGCCGCACCAGAGCCTCGACGCTGCCTTGGATAGCGAGGCTATCACTAGCTCCAACTCCGCATCGGACGCTCGAAGTCAATCGGCGTCTGACTACAGCGCACCCGCCGTGCCGGCGGCGACGGCCGTACCAGCGTCTCCGGTGGCTGAAACGATTTCTGAAGCCCCAATTGTTGGCGACTTGGAGTACCAGCCGAAGTGCCAGATTTGCCTGGAGCCGCACCAGAATCGCGTGACCATTATTCGCGAACTGTCCTGTGGCCACATCTTCCATCCCGAGTGCATCGACGAGTTTTTGGCCCATGTCAGCTCGCTGTGCCCGCTGTGCAAGGCGAGCATGCTGCCGCGCGGGTACAGCCCACGCATCACCAATGCCATGGTACGCCGTGAGCGGGCCATTCGTCGACTGCGCGAGCGGGTCGTCGTGGATGATGTGAACAGTCCTGGAGATCGCAGCCGCATCCATAGCTGGAGCTCGTCGATCATGAAACACCTGCACATCACGACGGACCGGCTGTCCATGTCGCCCAGTCTTGGCACGATCACGGCCGACCGCGAGTCGGCCATCGAGCTCAAGAACCAGTCGATTCTGCGCGCGCATTCGATCCATCAGTTGCCGGCGATGAATACGTCGGAGGCTACACGGCGGCGGATGGCACGATTGGCTGGGATCCAGCTGCGTGACCTGGAGCCCCAAAAGGACGAGACGTGTAAGTTTTGTGTGCCCCGTTACCAGAGTATGCATATCTTCAATGACAGATACTAACGCGCCAAATAGGGAAAGGAAGAATCAAAGCTGCGTGGACGAAAGTTTTTTAACTTCACCATCAGCTGGTAATTATCACGGCATACGGCGGACGACATAGGAGCGAGCGAACACCACGGGGAATAAGAACGCATAGCACGCATTACGACGAGAGGCGCAAAAAGCAAACAAAACCGGCATCATCCTCTGCCTCCTTATTACATCATCACTTTGTCCAGTATCATACCCATTTGCATTTTTATTTACGGGAAGGAATTGTCATTTTCTCCCAAGCACGGCCTAGATCATCATGAAGGCGTTTTTTACGGCGGGTTACGTCTGTTTACTCTTTTCGGATATTTCGTTTTTCATATCGTTTGAAAGTCTTGGAACGGCATTTCGAGGCGATACCTAGGATGCCATCTGTCCAGAATAATCTATGGCCACCAGTAAGGTGGCTTGGCTTACAAGTAGACCGAAAAACGCAGGAAAGAAGTGCGTATATCCCGCACCCATATATCTTGACATCTTCAGAAAGCCCTCTTGTTTCCTTTTCTTTTTACACTTGTATTTATATCTGCCATACGACTCTTGTATATACTGTGACTGTACATGAATACTCGCTCCGTTTTGGAGCTTGGCAGAGAAAATGAGACGCGAAAAGATGCATTTGAAGAAATGGATAGTAGGATTCATGTCTGCATTCCCATTGTCTGGAGATGAAATGGTAGTCGTTGTACGCCGAAAAACGCCCCTTGCTAGTGATATGAAAGACAAGCACGGTAACCCTCCCCTCCAATGACTTTGTATCGTACCGGTGAAAACCCGAGACCAACCCATAAAGACATACTAGAACAACAAAAACAAAAAGAAAAACTATGGCCAGCCCTTTCACTCTTCGTCGACCTCCTCGTCCCAGGCCGCCTTTTCCCTCTTGAGCAGGCCGGCCATCTCGCTGGGCTGGAAGATGCTGCTGTTGGGATCCTTGGACCGCGGCACGCGCTGCAGCCGCTCGTCGTCAAAAACGGTGCCAATGTTCTCCATCCACCGCTTGCGGCGCTCCATGAGCGTCCGGGTCATATCGCCAATGCCAGGCCGGGCCATGCCGGCCGCACCGGCCCCGGCCGCGCCGGCCGCGCCCGCACCAGCGGCGGCACCGCCACCCGGGCGCTTGCCCTTCTTGGACTTGCCCATGGTGCGCGTGCGCTTCAGGTAGGCGCCCTGGACCTGGCCGTCGAGGTCTTCCAGGATGGTCTGGTACTCTTGGTAGGCCATGCGCTCCTTGACGAGGTCGGCCAAGCGGGCCTTGCGGGCGCCGTTGATGAGCATCTGCTCGCGCAGGCCGGCCTGCAGGCGGCGCAGGCGGGCGGCGATTTCGTCGTCAAAGTGGCCGTTGTAGTCGGCGGCGAGCGCCGGGTCGACGTCGCCACCCGTGGTGGCGGCGGCAGCGGCGGCGGCGCCATTAATGTTGCTGCCGCTGGCCGCACCGGCGGCGCTGCCGTTCGCGCCGTTGCTGGCCGACGTGCCATTGGCGGTTGCGCCGGCCGCGCCCACGGCGCCATTGGCACTGCTCCCGTGTGCGACGCCGTTGGCGGCGGCGGCGGACGCCGACGACGACGACGGGTCGGGAAGGGCAGGAAGCCAATGTGGCGCAGCTCCTGCTTGATGCGCTCGTCGACCTGGCTGTACTCGAGCTTGGGGTGGGTCGTCTTCTTCCAGGACTCGGACGACGATTCGGGCATAAAGGTGGCGGGCGGCCACGAGCGGTCGCCGTCGGCGCCGCCGCCCGGTCCGTCGTTGAGGTCGCCATTCATGCTGACGTCGCCGTTCATGGACGTGTCGCCGCCGCCACCGGCGCCGCCGGCGTCGGGCGCGCGGTGCTCGGGCCGCATGGCCTGCATCAGGCGCGCCAGCAGGGGGCCGACGGACAGCTTGTCGGTCTCGCCAATGTCGTCGTTCATGGTCTCGATGGAGCCGCGCGGCTGGTTGGGCGGCAGCTGCTTGTCGTGTGTGCTGGCGGAGGCGGGCGGCGTCGAGTCGATGGCCATGGCGCCGTCCTCCTCGGCCCAAATCTCGGTGTAGTGGCGCTTGCCGCGCTTGGGCATGGTAAAGGGCGACAGGCGGTTGCCGCGCTCGCGCAGAAAGGCCAGGTCCTCTTCGGTAAAGGGGCGGAAGTAGGGCTCGATGTAGGTGGAGAAGGTGGAAAAGTTGATTTGGTTCGACGGCTTGGCGCTACTAAAGTCCTTGTCGGGGGGGTTGCCCGCAATCAGGTCGGCGAGGTCCGACGGCGGATACGAGGCAACCGAGTAAATCTCCTTGATCTCGTCCACGGACATGCCGGGGGTGACGGGGCGAATCTCGTAGACGGTCGGGTCGGGGAACGTCGAGGGATCCTCGCCAAACGTCTGGTTCTGGGGCACGGGTCGCGGCGGCGGCGCACCCTCGTCGTCGGACGACTCGGACTCGGACGCGGACGCGTTGGCCTTGTCCTTGTCGTCGCCCGGCGCCGACTTGCCGTCTTTGTCTCTGGAGGCCTTGTCCTTGTCGTCGACGTCCATGGTGCCCGGCGTGCCGTGGGATGCAGATGCGGATGCGGATGCGGCGTCTTGCGACTGGCCGTCGCCCGAGGGCGCCTTGCGCTTCTTCTTGTTGGCGCGCCGCTGGTGGTCCTCGTCGGTGGCCTCGCGCTGGATGCGCTCCTCCTCGCGGCTGCGGTCGGCGGCCACCTGGTCCATGCGCGCGCGGCGGCTCTGCGACAGCAGCCGCATGCCCCGGTCGTAGCTGCTGCCGCGATCGTCGGCAATGCCCTGCAGCCGCTTCAGGCGCGAGATGATGCCGTCCAGCGACCTGGAGTCGGGCAGCGTCGAGCCCGTGCCCGAGCCGGCGTCGACGAGGTCATCGTATGTGAGGTTGTCAAAGACTTCGAACTTGAGGTCGAGGTACTGCAGGTCGATTGTGGTGATCTCGGGCAAGCTCGCCGTGGCAGCGACTGGGGGCGGGGCGGCGACGCTGGACGGGGTGGTGTTGCGCGACCGCTGGCGCGACAGGTTGCTGCCACCCTTTTTGCCGGTGCCCTGGCCGGGCGGCATTCTGCGCGTGTGGGGAGGGCGAGGTTGAGGATTGCGGTGAGTGGTAGGTGAGGGTTGTCACGGGTCGATGACGAAATGTCGAAATATCGAAATGACGAAGCCGATGGACGGCGACGAGGCGAGGCGCGCAAGGGCGCGTGTACGCAGGGGCGAGGCGGTTAATTGTTGCGCATGGGAGCAAACGTCGTCGAGAAGAGGGCAGCGTCGCCGATGTTTCGATGGACAATGGGTGGTACGCCGCGTGGTTGATGAGACTCCCCGAAATGGCGAAACGTCGATGCACCGCGCCGCGTAGAGCTGAGCGCAGTATGCGGAGGGTCCCACGGCGGACAGCCGGGGCAGCGCTGGGCGGAAGAATAAAGGGCCGAGGTACGGTTACAGTGGGCTGTTGTGATTATGTAAGAATCGCGATAAAGTGGGTCCCAGACTGCGCAGCCTTGTTGGAGGGGTCTTGAGCCTTGAGCTCTGAGCTTCTATTATGGTGTTTTGCAGCACGTTCCTTTCTACGCACTTGATGACAATGGCCACCAGACATTCGGGTATCGTCAACTGCCGACCAGATCACGCACTGCGCTCTGCTGCAGATGGGCGTGTTTCTCAGCAGACTCGACGCGGCAAAGCACCTGCATGTCTCTGTTCGTTTCTTTTCTCTTCCTGTCTCGCCCACCCCTGTCGGACGTCGTACTTTGGCCGCAGAGACAGGAAGACAGGGAGACAGGGCATTCAGGAGCCAGACGGGGAGCGGCCAATTGATTGCATCTGCACTGGAGATGTCTTGGGCAGCCTTGGCCGAGGCAGGTTGCGCTTCGGGCGTTACCAGCAGGAGGGAATTAAGCTGACGTACAGAATACAGCAAGAAACGAGACAGAGAAGTAATCTTAAGTCTTACGAGCAGAGAAAATAGGGAATCAGCACACTACCGCCGGATAATTTGGCTGTAGACGCAGCGAGGAGGGATTCCAAGACTGCAACAAACCCTCCACCCCAGACAGTGGGTGGACGCAGCTCCGATTCGGAACGACAAGCCGGCGCACGAGACACAAGACGAGAACGGCAGCAGGACAGTCCAAGAGACCAAGAGAATACTCCGTAGAGAGACAAAGAGACAAAGAATACGCACGTCAAGGCGGCCCAGATCGGCAATTGGGTTGGGCACGCGCGGGAGAACAAGGAAGCAGGCCGCGAGGATCTTGGGACGAGCAAGAGGACAAGATGAACGAAACAGACAAGACGTACAAGACCAGGGAGCGAGGAGGATCCCACGTTTTGTCGTCGTGGTCGTGCAGCTCGCAAGACACAAACAGGCTATTCTGCATGTGCGCGAAACAAGGGCCGCGATTGGCACCTCGCTAGAGGGTCCCACTTGTTGCACGGCTTGGGCGATTCCCAACAACAGGCGGCACTAAAGAAGCCAGGAGTTGTAGACCCTGGAAGGTTTGCCCTACGAGAGCAGCACGACAGACCTTGTTCGAGATTCGAGCTTGGGTCGAGGCCACGATGCGCGTGACAGTGACAAGAGATTTCGGGAGTCTGGAAGTCCCAGGCGACGAAAGACTTGGAAACCGACAGTACAGACAGCTAATGCCATGCAGGACAGCATCTTCTTTGATTGAACAGCAACCAGGAACGCTCCAACACGGCTGAGCTTTGCAGGCCTGGACGGCTGACACTGGCAACTGTCCAAAGTATCCAGCTAATTTAGCGGCGACAATCGCGCTCTTTGCTGTCGTCTCTCGTCCCCCGTGTCTCGTCTCCTGTTTTCTCGACTCTCAGACAAGCTCCAAGACACACCTGCACCACCCAACGGCTCGAGTCTCATCGCTAGGCCCGTAACAGTCAACGTGGGGAGTGTCCAGAGCGAACGGCCCAAAGGGGAAAGCGTCGAAAAGTGTGGAGAGTCTCGAGCCTGGCGAGTTTGGCGAGTGCAAAGTGATGCGCGGCACCCTGCCCAGCTCGCCAAATGGATCGAGCACGCGGTGCCTTCATTGGCCAATGCACCACGCCGCAACTGGGCTGCGAGCTAAAGGGCCGCATATCACTCGGCATCTCTGTTCTCTGTGATAGGATGATAGGATGATACGATGCTGCGGAATGGAGAATTGTCTGGCAGGCTCAACTCAAATGAACATACGGCCCAACAAAACGGGCACCACATGCAAACATGTGAGTGCGCCATTCTGCGCGAGGCCAGGTCGGCCAGGTCGTCGCCAGCCAACGTAGCAGCAGAACTACCAGCCAACAGCCAACAGCCAACAGCCAACAGCCTTTCTCCTGCGTGTCGTCAACATCCCTGCGGATGGCCGAGAAAGGACATGCGAACAGGCAAGGCACTCTATATTACCGCCTAGAGAGCTGTAAGCGTTGTATCGGAGGGTCCATCTGGTGCCTGCTGTCTGTTCCCGGCCGAGATCGTCAACCCCTCGCCGTTCCTTGCACCTTGTGTCCCTCCCCCTACTGAGTAGCTGTTCCCCTCGATGCCCCTCTTGTCCTCGGCGTCCTTTGGCATCCCAACATGCCCCTCGACCCTGATTCTTGGATGCCCCTAGCTCGTCCCAGCCGGTCGCGTGGGCTGAGGACGTGCCTCCTGTCGTCTGTCGTCTGTCGTCTGTCGTCTGTCGTCTGTCGTCTGTCCTTGTTCTGTCGAGTAAGTACTCGCGTGGTCTCTTGTGCGTTGGCGCTGTGCCCCTGTGTCCAAGACACAATGCACACACGCCCATATCGCCCATATCCTCCGGCAGGGTCAAGCGACCACCGGCCCAATCGTCCGCGTGCTCTCGAGACAAAGCGGTCCGGGTATATACTGCGGCCAGGTCCCTCCTTCCTTTTTGTACGTTCGTTTTATTTGTCCTTCTCTCCTTCTCTCCTTCCTCCTTTCTCCTTTCTCCTCCCGTCTCTCGCTCTTTCCTGTTCTGCTTTGTTTGTTCCTTCCTCTTGTCCCATTGTCGGGTCTCACCTGCAACTTCCATTTTCGGACATTTGCTCTCCTCCCTCCTTCCTCCTTCCTCTTCCCTCGTCAACGTCAACCCCTGACCTGCATCTTGTCTCACTCGATCGTGCATGACGGTATAAAGAACACGCCGTCGCCCCAACACACACAACCAACCCACTCTCTCCCGCGCGCCAGCAATGAGAGAGTACCATGGCTTCTCTTGGTGGTAACATAACGCCCCCGGATGTGGACAGCAAACTCATCTTTGCCGGGCTGGCAGTCCTCTTATCGGCTGCCATTGGCATCACCAAATACTCATCGTCGTCGTCGTCGTCGTCTGCTCCAGCGGCAGCCTCGGCCAAGACCGACGACAGCCAGCCGAGCCTCGTGCGCTCGGTCCTGCTCTTCTGCTACTCGTGCTTCATCAAGCCGCACCGCAGCTCGGCCAAGGGCTCCCAGCAGGATGCCCTCGAGAGCTTCTACGAGACGCAGGCGGGCGTCTACGACGTGACCCGCAAGACCCTGCTCAAGGGCCGCGAGGACATGCTGGCCCTCGTGGCCGCCCAGCTATCCCACCGCTGGGCCGTCGAGGACGCCGCCGCCAAGAAGATTGGCAGCAGCGGCAGCAGCAGCAACAACAGCGCCGACGCGCGCGCCAAGCGCATCTGGGTGGACGTCGGCGGCGGCACCGGCTGGAACATTGAGGCCATGGCCGCGCACGTCGACGTGCCCAACTTCTTCTCGAGCGTGTACCTGGTCGACTTCTCGCCGTCGCTGTGTGCCGTTGCGCGGAAGCGCTTCGCCCGCCTCGGCTGGACCAACGTGCACGTCATCTGCGAGGACGCCCGCAAGTTCCGCCTCGAAGACTACGAAAGTGGTCTTCCGAGCCGTCGCAGCAGCGTCGTCGCCGCCGCCGCCTCGCCCGCCTTCCCCGGCCACGGCTACTTCTCGTTTGACCGCCCGGACCACGGCGGCGCCGACCTGATCACCATGTCCTACAGCCTGTCCATGATCCCCGACTACTACTCCGTCGTCGACTCGCTGTCCTCGCTGCTGGCGCCCAACGGCATTCTGGGCGCCATTGACTTTTACGTCCAGAGCAAGGACGACTTCAGCTTCCGCAACTACACGGGCGGCCTCGTCAACCGCCACACCAGCTTCCTGGGCCGCACGTTCTGGCGCTCCTGGTTCGAGCTCGACCGCGTCAGCCTCGACGCCAGCCGCCGCGACTACCTCGAGTACCGCTTCGGCACCGTCCTCAGCGTCAACTCGCGCAACTACTCGCTCGGCTCCATCCCCTACTACATCTGGCTCGGCTGCCACAAGAAGCCCTTCCACGTCACCAGCCTGCCCCACGAGGTCGTCGAGCGCATCGACGCCATGGTCACCGAGTCCCCCTACCTGCACGGCAACACCACGGCCCTGGCCAGCAGCAGCGGCCGCAGCGGCGCCTACGGCACCGGCTCGGCCGGCGGTCGCCCCATCCCGCCCCCCAGCCCGGCCACCACGCTGTCGCGCGCGGTCCAGCGCACCGCGCCCGAGATCCGCTCCAAGGCCTTCCAGACCGCCATTGCCAACCTGTCGGCCAACCTGCCTCTGCCTGCCTTCTTCTACCAGAACCACCACTGGCGCATCTACTACGACGACCAGCTCCCCAAGCACACCCAGTTCCGCGACGAGTACATCTATGCGTTTACGTGGGAGGACACCCGCGTCGACGAGCGCCTGCTCAGGCTCAACGAGAAGGACGTCGTGCTCGCCATCACCAGTGCCGGCGACAACATTCTGTCCTACGCGCTGCAGAGCCCCGCCCGCATCCACGCCGTCGACCTCAACCCGGCCCAGAACCACCTGCTCGAGCTCAAGGTCGCCGCCTACACCGCCCAGATCCCCTACGAGGACTTTTGGCTGCTGTTTGGCGCCGGCAAGCACCCCGGCTTCCGCGAGCTGCTCATCACCAAGCTGTCCCCGCACCTGTCCAGCCGCGGCTTCCAGTACTGGCTGCGCAACGAGCGCGTCTTCACCAAGGCCGGCGGCCGCGGCCTCTACGACACGGGCGGCTCCAAGAACGCCATCCGCCTGTTCCGCTACCTCAGCTACGCCTTTGGCCTGCGCCGCGCCGTCGCCGCCATGCTCGCGGCCAAGACGCTCAACGAGCAGCGCGAGATCTGGCGCGCCAAGATCCGCCCGGCCCTGCTGTCGCGCACGCTGTCGCACCTCGTCGTCAGCCAGGAGTCCTTCTTGTGGGCCGCCCTGGGCGTGCCCAAGAACCAGCTGGCCATGATCGAGGCCGACCACGCCAGCGACCAGGCCGCCAGCAACAAGACGAGCAGCCGGTCCAGCGCCGTCTGGGAGTACATGGTCAACACGCTCGACCCCATGGTCGAGACCGTGCACATGGCCGCCGACAATCCCTACTACTACGTCTGCATGGACGGCCAGTACGCGCGCCGCTGCCACCCGGACTACCTGGCCCCGCAGGCCCACGCCCGCCTGTCGCGCCCGGGCGCCTTTGACGGCCTGCGCATCCACACCGACGAGATCGAGGAGGTCATTGCGCGCCTCACGCCCGGGTCCCTGACCGTCGCCGTCGTCATGGACAGCATGGACTGGTTCGACCCGGAGGACAACGCCCTGCAAAAGACCAACTGCCCCAGCAGCGAGACCGGCGGCGCCGCCGCCGCCAGCCAGATTGCCAAGCTCAACCGCGCCCTCGCCCTCGGCGGCCGCGTCCTGCTGCGCTCGAGCGCCCGCACGCCCTGGTACATTGCCGTGTTTGAGCGCCTGGGCTTTTCCGCCAAGCAGCACGGCAACCGCACGCCCGGCGTCTGCATTGACCGCGTCAACATGTACGCGTCGTGCTGGATCTGCACCAAGGTGGCCCACCTGCCGCCCCCGACGCCTGGTCTGGACGGCGACGGTCTGAGCCGGCGCGGCAGCAGCGAAGAGGGGGGCGCGGCCGGCGAGATTGACAAGCTGGTGATTTAGGTCTCGCTTGGCGGAGTTGTGACGGTGCTGGCGGTGTCGGAGGCTGCGGTGTTGGGGCACACGGGAGTCAGCTGTGTGTGTCCTCGTAAAACGAAAACGGCCCGTATGGTGTGCGCCTCTTCCTTTCATCATGCCTTTTGCCCCTTTCACCTTCGTTTTTCTATCTTGTTCTTTGCGGTTTCGCTTTTCGTGTTGTTTCGTTCTTCTATCCAACCAAGTACTCTCAAATTGACACATACACTTTTTCTCGTTATATTGCATATATACGTCTCGTCTTCTAATGAAAGCAGAAACGACGCTTGTATTGTTGCTGAGAATGGCAGACAGGTAAAGATCCCCAAAACATGAAAGCGATGGAATTACCCTAACCTAACGGGCCATATATGGGACCCAATGAAATTATTCACACCCCCTGCCCCACCACCAAAATATGTGACGATGCGCTGGAGCGCAGCGTGGTTATCTAAACAAATCTTCAAGGCATCTAGCCCTGGTTTCCTGGCGTTTCTGATGCCCTCTACCCTTGTCCATAGAGAGAATGCCCATTCTGCCAACCAGCCATTTTGCTAGGGACAGCAACACCTCAGTCAATGATACCATAGACCGGCTGGAACTTGGTCCGCGCAGTCGTGGCCGTCGCCGTCGCCGTGGTTGTGGTCGTTGTCATGGTTGTGGCTGTGCTCGGTGCAGCTTCGGTCGCATGCATTGCACTTCGTGCCGTCTTCCTAAAGGGCCGCGTTCTCGTGCAGTGGCGTTGGCGGTGGTGGTGCGGGCATAGATGGCGGCGCGGCCGGGATCTCGCGGATGCCCACCACGACGTCCGTCTTCACGGCGGGTGCAGTCGCGACAGCGATCGACGTCGAGGTCGCCGACAGTCGGGTGACATCCTCGGCATCGTCCACGTCTTCGGCATCGACACCATCCTCTGCGTCCTCGGCGTCGACGTCGTCCGGGTTCTCCACCTCGATTGTATCCTCTTCGTCCGTGGCGTCCATGACCTCCGCAGTATCATTGTCGTCCGCATTGTCCACCAAGTTGCCCACGACGAGCGCCTCCTCCACCTTGGGCACAAACGGTTCGGTGCCAATCGCGCTCGTCGCGGTCGCGGCCGTCTCCGCCTTGACAAGTCCGGGCGTCACATCGGTAAACACGTGCCGGCTGGTAAAGCCGGGGACAGCCTCGACGGAAATCTTCTGGTTGGCAGGGATCATCTCGTGCTCCAGGCTCCAGCCTGCAACGCGGCACAGCTCCGAGACGACGACGTCGCAGTCGCCGAGTAAGTCAATGTCAAAGTTGATGTGATTCACAGGGGTGCGCGAGATGTAGATGGCGGGTACGTTGGGCGGCATGTAAGGGACGACCTCGGAAACGGGGGCGACTTTCAGGGAGGTGCCAATGACCACAACCAGGTCGGCCTTGTCACGGTCGTGCTCGGTGAGGCGGCGCGAAAACTCGTCGGGGAGAGCCTCCCCGAAGAATGTAATGTCGGGCTTCATGACGCCGCCCCGGCTCGGGTTGAAGTCGCCGTCGGCGTCGTCATCATCGTCGTCGTCGCTGCTGCCGCGCCGGTTCTGGCGCCTTGGACGCCCCCTAGGCCGTCCGACTTTGCCGGGTGGGCGACCACGACGACGGCCACGCCCGCGCACTGCAGACGATCCTGACGGTGTGCTGACGCCCGACGGCGCGTTGTCGAAGCTGTTGCTGCGGCTGAGCGAGCCACGGCCGCTGCTCGACTCGCGCGCGAGTGCCTTCCGCTGTTTCCGTGCGGCGGCAACCGCAGCACCAGCAGCAGACCCGCCACGCCTGCTGTTGCCTGCAGCACATCGTGGGCAACGCGGGATCTGCCCTGCCTTGATGGTTGGGTACAGAGACTCGCCCTCGACGCGGTAGCGGCACGTTACACACGTCGCCGTCGCAAACGATCCGTGGCACTGAATGAGCTTGGAGGGGCTGATGCCAGCCTTGGCTTCGAGGTTGTCAATGTTTTGCGAGTAGTTTGTGAGCAGCTTACCCCGTTGCTGCAGCATGGCAATAAACGCGTGCGTGGGCGTATAGCGGTCTGTCGACGGCAAAATGTCGCGCGCGACAGAGTAGAAGATCCGGGGGTCTTCTTTAAAAACGTGAATGTCAAAGACTTCTTGCGGATCGTTGAGACCGAGGTGCGCGAGGCGCGAGTAGAGGCCGATTTCCTTGGACCGGAAATCAGGGATGCCCAGAGACGTGCTAATGCCGGCGCCCGTCAACACAATGATGTTGCGGCTCTTTTGCAGCAAATGGACGGCGTCCTGAACCGAGTTGTACTCGGTCAGCTTGGCGCGCTTGAGCAGTTCGCGACTCAGGGCCAGGCTGAGCAGGCCAAAGTACGATTCGTCGGGCTCGCCCTCGAGAAAATCGGGCGGCCGCACGCCAAAGGCGGTCAGCAGTCGTTTGGCGGTGATGGTGCCGGCATCCACGGTGCGACGGCAGAGCTCTTCAGGGCCGATGGCGCGCAGCTGTTGGCGGTAGCGAGCGGACTCTTCCGGCGTACACGCCTCGCCGTCGGAGCCACGTTTCGCGGGTTCGTGGTTGTCCTCGGCCAGATCGTCGAGAATGTCTTCAAACAGCGACTCGGTCTCCCAGGAATCGCCGAGGTCGTTGATGTGTTCTTCGAGGTCGACCATATTTTGGTTGCTGCCGCTTGCGGAGCTGCTGCGGCTGCCACCGCCCTGAACAGGTGTGCTGGCAGCGAGCGCGGCATCGAGAGGAACTCGGCGGGGCCTGCCACGCTTTCTCTTTGCGATGCCGCCACGGGCGGGTGGGTTATTCACGTCGGCCATGGCGGATGTGTTGTGAAGCATGTGCGAGGGGGCAAGGCGTTGGGATCATTCCCACCACCTCGAAGACCAAGGGAAAGGACGTGTAAGCCTGCTGAGGGCTTTCACAAAGACAAACCCCCGATTTGTGGCCTTTGTGGCCGACGAACGGTGTGAAAATAATGACGACAGAATGCAATGTGGGTATTAAACTCATGCGCTGGTGGCACGAAAACGAAGATGTGAGTGAAAAATAGGGAGAGTGCTGAACGGAATAGGCAATGAGCAAAGGGTGGTGGTGTTCGTCTCGTGTCGTGTCGCGCAATTAAGGGCAAAACAGCAATTTACGTGTATTGCTGGTGTTGTGATAAAAAAGAGTGAAGAGTTTGTGCTTTGGGACAAAAGCGGCTGATCGGACAAACCAAGACTGAAATGCGTAATAATAGAAAGTGGAGGGCTTGGGGTGAATAAGAAAAGAAATAAGACAACGAAATGAGGCTAGAGAGGAACGGAAAGACAAAAGAACCTGCAAGGAGGGCGCGGGAGTCGGGAGGATGCGAAGTTGGAGTTGAAGACGACAAACAGGAAAGACAAAACGGAAAACGTGACAAGAGTGCTGAAAAGAGTTGAAAAATGGACGAGGCGATTGAAAAGGCTGCAGTAGTGCCAGCCTGGTCCGCAAAGCAAAGGCAAAACACTCCAGTTGCAAAAAAATCGGCCGGATATGCGCTGGTTTTGATAGCTGGTGTGTTGGTGTAGTCGCACGTTTTACGTCTGGGGCGAGTGCTTTTGGACGAAGGACAAAATGAACCGTGCAAAGGCGTCAGGGCCGGTTTGGGGGAAGCTAAAAGAAAGCAACGGGGCATACGGCAGCCAATATGAAAGGGCGGCGGTTTCTGGTTTCCTCTTGTTACCAAAATAAACCAAGCCCCTTGTCCTTGTCCAAGGCTGAGGAAACTGATGAGACAGTAGAACGAAGAAGTTGCCCAAAAATAACCAAAGCTCAGAGGAGAAAATCCGATCTTGCGATTGGTTGTTTGGATATACCGGGAAGAAAGGGGCCAGTTGTAGCAAGACGAGGAGGTTTGACGAAAGGGAGCAAAGAGGTAAAGGAAATGGGGTTTCCGAAAAGAAAAAGGCGATGAGATGATGGCAAAGAAATGGGATTCAGAAGCGAGCGGCCTCAGACTCATGAAGAAGTGAGGGCAGCCTCTTGGCGTATGGAGCCCAAAGCGATAAAGGCTGTGTTGACGCGCACAGGGAAAGGATATGCATGCCTCTGGGGTGTAGTGAGCGCCTTTTGGTTGGCTAAGTCGGCCAAGGCTTTTGGTTCTTCTTGCTACCTGATTCTTTTGTTTTTTCTCGAATTGTTATGTGGGTGTCTTATCGTCTGCCGAGAGCTGAGACTGCGTCGGGATTCACCAGCATCAATAAGGAGCCGGCCAGGACGGTATGTGTCTCGTGTCGGTGTGCTTGGTGGAGGGTTTTCGTGTCTCGTTGTGACGGCGTGGCCAGAAAGGAGACACTCGTCAAATGTAGGTAAAAGGTAGAAAATATTGAAAAGGAGTCAGGACGAGGAATCGACGACAGAAGGAAGTAAACGTTGACGCGAGGAGCTGACGATTGTCACCAAAGTAGGAAAGAGCTACCCTGTAATTGATACGAAGTGGAAGAAAGGGGAAGGAAGGACGATGGGGAGATGGACAAGGAAAGAGCAAATGGCCACTGGTTTGAGAGTAACAAAGGGCAAGAGCAGAATATCGCCGCAACATTTGTACGTTGCGTGGGATAATAAGGCAGAAAAGTACATGAAAAGCCAAACCTAGAAAAAGACTCCAGGTGATTGCCTAGCCACAGTTATGGCACAAGTACGGGACACAGCTCAGACAGATGGGTAATACGTTCCAGCAAAAACACGTGCCTTGGCGGCAAACAAGCAGCTCCTAATCAGCGTTCTAATCGGCGCGCTTCTAGGAGAAAAGAAAGACTCATTTACAGTTTGTTGCCTGGTAAAAAGCCATCAGGGATCTGTGTTAACAAGGCTGGTTACAAGGTGCTGATTTCATTTGCAACTGCACAGAGGGCTGCTCCGTTGACACGGCTGATGCCAGTGCTCACGCACCGCTCCGACGCACCAAATGCCGACCTCTTTGCATATAGTTCCTTACTAGAAGCCTGGCATCGCACGGCTAACATACAAGCGAATGTGTCGACCTGTATTACAGAATAGAAACACACGTTATTATTTCCTCTATTCGTCTTTTCGATCGTGCAGCAGTTGCCTTGATTTGCTCCTCGTATTTTCTCTTCACCCTACCACGTGACCAAGGCGAGATTATGGTATCGTGCCTATACAGCCATCCCCTATACGACGTACATTCACGACCATGCAAACTGCGACATGCGTTTTATCACATCACTTGTGGTTGCGTTTCATTCTGTCTTGTCCATACTCGATATGGACGCAACGCGATACAGTCACAGCTCTGTACGCCAGCCGCTTTGTACAAAGGTGAGTGAGCGCCATGGTCTAGCACTCTAGCTCTTTCTGTCACTCTCACTGAGCCTCCGAGCTAACGTCTCTCCTCGTTGCGTTTTCGGCGCCTTTTTCAGTCATTCTCGTATATCCTTCTTTTCATTCAGCATGTACATGAAACGAGAAAGCAGACCGGTGAAAAATCCACGCGGAAAGTAAGCAAACAATGTAACAAAACGACAATGTGAAGCAGGAAAACAAAAACGCCGTACACCAGACCCAGCCAAAAAAAAAGTGAAAAGTACGACAAGGCTCGCCAAAAACAAGCGCGCGTAAAAATATGCAACCGAATCCGACCATGCTACCATGCCGATAAGCCGCGAGGACCGATGCCGAAAGGAGAGTAAAGAAAAGAAAGCGAAGAGAAGCAGAAAAAAGGAAAAAGGCCGCCCAGAGGTATCACTGGCAACACTGTTCAAAATGAACAACAAAGGATACAACCATCCTCCCGCCGCCACCGCCGCCGCCGCCGCCGCCTTTGCTGGGAATCTGATGCCGAATGGAGAAAAAAAAAGGAGGATGAAGTGAAAATAATGGGATAGACGAATAAAACAAGGCGGAGAGATGAAATGATGAAGTGATGAAATGACAAAAGGCTGAAAGGCTGAAAATGGGACCAATGCAATGCGCAATAGATGCAATGATGAGTCTGGGCGAGCGTGCCCAGGGCTATGCTATGCTGGAAAGTCGCTACTTGGTATCCGTTGAAAAAGAAGCAGCAGACGAAACAATTCTGTTGAGGTCTATTGGGAATGGCCACTGGGTTCGTGCTCTGTACGCCGTCGTTACAATCAGTACTTTGTGCAACGCGTCAGCTGGCCCAAAAGATCGTCGAGCTCGGTCCAGTTCTTCTCGTCTTCGGCAAACTTGCGGTGCTTGTGCGAGACAATGTGCTGTACGATGTTAGTTATACGAGATACAAACGGGAGAGGCGAGGGAGCAAAAGAACGCACATCTTCGAAATCGTCAAACTTGTCCTGGCAGTTCTCGCAGTACCCCGGCTTCGGGTCGCGCTTCCGCCGCTGGACCTGCACCGCCACCGGCGCACTCATCGTGCGCTTGTGCCTCTCATCGTTGGATGGCCTGCTGCCCTCCATGGCCACGTTGAGCTTCGTGCTGAGCTGCGCAGCCACTGTTGACCGACTGAGGCTCGTGGAACGGTTGTAGTTGGGGCGCTGCTGCTGCTGTTGCCGCTGCTGTTGCTGCTGCTGGGCATCCATGCCCATGTCCGTCATACGGCGCGAGCTGAGATCGTGCTGCGACGTCGACGTGGTGGACCGCTGGAGAACCTTGCGCTGGAGGCCGTGGATCTCCTTGCTGGTGCCAGCACGGGCGCCAAGCGTGCCTGTCGCCGATGAGATCATCTGCGAGCGAATTGCCGACGTGATGCCGGCAGCCTGCAAACCGGAGGCCACAGGCTCGCCACCAAAGCAGCGACCCGACTTGGCACGACTGGTAAAGGCGTTCTGGTAGTCCGTGGACGGCCGCGCCAGCTTGGACGGCGGCATAGCAGAAGCGGTGGACGAGACAGAGCCAGCAGAAGCGGCGTTGGTGCTACCAAGCGCCCCTTCGGCCGGACGCAGCTTCGGAGCGCCAGACAAGGCGGATCCATGCGACACAGATGACTGGCGATTGTGCCCGTCTTCCATCTCTGCCAGCGTACGCTTGCCCGTCACCTGCTTCGAGGTTGCCGGCGCAGAGGCAGCAGCGGCATATCGGCTGGCAAGCGTCTTCTGCATCGACGTGCCCGTTGCAGGAGCCGTGTTTCCGGCAGTGGAAACAGAGGCAGACTGGGTCGACTCGTGCGCGGCCGTACCGGCCGTGGTGCGCACCCGGGCCCGCTTCTTCTCCGCGCGTAGCTCCAACTGGTCCGTATCCTCAATGAAGGGACAGCGCGTGCCGGCACTAGGCCGCAACTGCGGCCAGTCGCCCTCTTCCCGGTCGGCCACCTTGAGGTATTCGCGGACCATGATCGGCTTCTGCTTTTCCTCGATGTCGTAGACATAAATATACGGGCCCTTGAAATAAATCAACTCGCGTGTCGCCACGGTCGGGTCACGATCGGACGGTCCGGTGTGCCTCTCCTTGTCCAGCATCTGCAACAAGGCCTGGTCACCAGTAAGTCGAGAGTTGCCCTGCTGGCTGACAGTCGCACTCGTGGTGCTGCCATTCCGCATCCGCTGGCCGAGCTCGGCGCTGCGGTACGGATCCGGCTCCAGCAACATGTCTAGCACCTTTTGAAGCTTCTCCAACGACCAAATCTTCTTGCCCATCTCGCGGGCACGCTGTAGAATGTCTGTGCTCCGTGTCGGCTTCGGCTTGCGAATCGCCTCTTCGGCGGCGCCAAAGGGCGGCATCCGGCGACCCGGGGCGGTGTCGAACAACTTTCTTTTGACGGGGAGAGAGGTTGTCGAGATGCCCAGCTCGTTGACGTGGGTTCGACTCAAAAGAGAGGGGTTGATCGTCTGCATCTGCTCGTGGCTGGCTTCAGGCGCCCTGTCGGCATCGACATCTTTCGCGTCGAGGGCGTCTTGCATGCGGCGCTTGGTGACAATCTTGTCGTCTGTGGGAATAGAACGCGTCGTGACGACATGGGTGATATCAATGGAAAAGAATTTGTCCTCTCTCTGTAGATTGAAACCTGCGTCAGTAAACGAATAAACAAAGCGAGCTTTGTCCACAAATAGTAAGAGTATGCCATCCAACTCACGGCTCCTAGATACGAGACCTGCTTGGACAAACGAGCACTCTGGTCCTCTGGCAGGTTATCAAAATAGAAGACGAGCTTGGGAAAACGCAACCGCTGGCTCTGCTGCCACCGCCGCACTTCCTCGGCCTCCTTCTCCGAGACCTGGACGTGATGGTGATGCTGGTGCTGGTGCTGGGCGTGGTGGGACGGCTGCGCCGGCTGTTGGAGGTGCGACATGCCACGCTCCGTCTGGAAAGAACGGGATGTCGACGCGCGTTGAACCTGCGGCACACGTCGCGATGTCGATGTCGACGCGGAAGCCATGGAAGGATGAACAGTCTCGGCCTTTTCCAGCATTTGCTTCTTGGCCGGGGGTGCTACTCCGTAGTTTTCTTCCCGCTGCACGCTCGCGTGTGACCGCCGGTGCTTCGCAAACGCGGCGGCCGCGGCAGAGGCGTTCAGGCCATTGCCGGACCCGGCCCGCAAGGGCGAGTTAGCCGCATTGGGGTTTGCGGAGAGCGGCACCCTTCTGGACTGCATGGACGACGACATGGCGGCAGAGAAGGGGACGGGGGTGGGTGATAGAGATGCTGCTGCCATAGATAAGATGAGAACAGGTCAACTCAAGCCGAGGAGCCAAGCATGCTAAAAGAGGCAAACGAAAGCGGACGTCGACGCGGTGCGGAGGGCGACTCGACACGCTTCTCTCGGCGGCGAGGAGGAGACGAAGAGAGAGAGGGAGAAAGAAGATATTCGGCGTGGACAAAGACGAGTGACGCGAGGAAGAGCAGAAACAGAAAAGGAAGAAGAAAAATAAGAGCGAGCAAAAGGTAGGGAAAGAGACAAGGCACAACACGTAGGAAAACAAAGCCTAAACACGCTGTGGCATTGGCATGGGAGTGTCGAGGACAAGGAAGAATGACAGGACAGCCTCGGTGGAGAGGATAAACACGCGAAGCTGGTCCAATTGCGCTCGTGTCTGAGGGCGAGCCTAGAGAACACAAGAGGGAGATAATGAGAGAAGAGGATATAAATGTCGTCCGAACAAAAACAGATCCAAAAGTAAAAGTGCACGAGGTCCAAGGGAAGGCACGAACAACCAGGAAGGAGGGGAAGCAAGCAATGTGAGGAAGGAGGTGAGGAGGCGTAAGGTGCGGTTGCAAAGCCGGTCAGGGAAGGAGCAAAACAGACCGAGTCGTGCGTGGTTGTGTGGTGGTGGTGTGGTGTCAGTCGTGCCTGCTGGGCGTGAACGGTAGTGGTGTGGTTCCTGCCAAACAAGCTCACCCAGGACCGCCGCGCCGTGCACATCTGGAAAGCGCGCCTCGGGGCAAGGGCGATTGGCGTTTCCTAGGCGGCGCCCGGATTGGTCCGCCGTCAACAATAATATTGCCCGCTAAGGGAAAGGTTTGGCGTGCACGGGCCAGGAACGCGGGCGGGCCAGTTGCAGCACAGCAACCAGGAAAATCGCTGCTGCAGCAGGGCCCGCCAAGCTTTTAAAATAAAATAGCAGAAAAAATGCGAAAAATAACAGAGCCCCACGCTGTTCCTCAGGCGTGTTCCTCCCCGAAACGGCAACCCTACAGAAGGCTTCTAGAAAGGGAAAGGCGCCTGGTCCAACACACTGCTGCCGGGGAAGAGCGACTTAGCGTTTCTCATGACGACACTCAAAGGAGAGCCACCACAAACGACCGTGGAACGCTGTCAAGGGCAATCCCACCCCTCCTATCGCGGTCAATTGACCAGGACAAGATCGCCCTCGCACAATGAAATCTCGGCAAACACATACGGTCTGCCTTGAGCAGGCCGGCCGGCTTATGACGGCCGCTTTCCGCCCCGCGGTGCAACGGCCTCAGTTACTACGACGAGCGGCACGGCCACTCTCAGTACCGTCGCCAATACAGTCAAGGCCTCGTGCTGGTCGGCGAGGCTATGCTTCGGTCCCGGCTGCTGACCTGCTCTTCGGCCAGCCCGTGCATGAGACGCATCCGCACATCCTCAAGGCAGGAGAACGTATGTCGACATCCGCCTCTTCCTTTGCTGTCCACCGTCCTTGCTGGCCAAGGTGCTAACACCCACAGTCACGCCCGGAATCACAGCCCAAGAGTACTACGACCGGCGCTGTGCGCTCGCCGCCGCCCTCCCTCCCGACTCCGCCGCCGTCCTTCGTGCCTCCGACGTCAAGTACCGCTCCGGCGCCGTTTTCTTCCCTTCCGCCAAGAATCCGACTTCTTCTACCTGACGGGCTTCAACGAGCCGGAGGCCGTGGCCGTCCTCCGCAAGACGGGGCCCGACCCGGGCGACTGCGTCTTCGCGCTCCTCGTGCGGCCCAAAGACCCGCGCGCCGAGCAGTGGAGCGGCCCTTGGAGCGGCGTCGACGCGGCCCGCGACGTGTTCAATGCCGACGAGGCTGGCGACATTGCCTCGATTGGGTCACTGCTGCCGTCGTTGCTACGGGGTGTCCGCACAGTATACACAAATTCCGAGGTGGACGTGCCGCCGCCGCCGCCGCCGCCGTCGTCCGCGCTCGCCGCCGCCCGGTCCATCAAGGCGCTCCTCGACGAGGCGGGCGTCGCGCGCGTGCATCCCCTGGCGCCCGTCGTCGCCCAGCAGCGCTCCATCAAGAGCACGGCCGAGATTGCCAACATGCGCCAGGCCGGCCGGCTGTCGGGTCGCGCCCTGACGAACGCCATGCGGCGACCGTGGACGCGCGAAAAGGACCTGGCCGCGTTCTTGGACTACGCGTTCCACCAGGACGGCGGCGACGGCATCGCCTACGTGCCCGTTGTGGCCGGTGGGCCCCGCGGCCGGCTGGTGCACTACGTTCTCAACAACGCGGCGCTGAACGCGGACGAGATGGTGCTGGTCGATGCCGGTGGCGAGTACGGCACGTACATTACCGACATTACGCGCACATGGCCCATCGGTGGGCGGTTTTCGGCGGCGCAGCGCGACCTGTACGAGGCCGTGCTGCGCGTGCAGCGGTCCTCCGTGTCGCTGTGCCGTGCGGCGGGGGGCTTGTCGCTGGACCAGATCCACCGCATCACGAGCGACGGCTTGCGGAAGGAGCTGACGAAGCTCGGCTTCTCCTTCGGGTACAGTTTTTCCGGCAGCTCGGACGGACTGTCGGAGCTCTTCCCGCACCACGTTGGCCACTACGTCGGTCTCGACGTGCACGACACGCCGAGCGTCCCGCGGCACATCGCCCTTCAGGTGGGCCACTGTGTCACCATCGAGCCGGGCATTTACGTGCCGGATGACGCGCGGTGGCCGGATCATTTCCGTGGTATGGCTATACGTATTGAGGACAGCATCTGCGTCGGTGATGAGAACCCGCACATCCTCACCACAGAGGCCGTCAAGGAAGTCGTGGACATTGAGGCATTACGAGAGGTGTAGAAAACAATGTAAAGTATATTCGAAATTATATGCTTGCTTCGACGCAAAGTTAAATGCGACGTGGTTATGTTGATGAATTTATGTGTACATTTTGTAACGTTTTATTATATACATATTGACCTGGTAAACGAACACAATAACAATTCTTAAACTCCTTAAATAAATTCAATTTAAGCGACATCTCGGCCTTTTTCTTTATTTCTTTAGACTTCTTCTCAGAGAGAGTATAATTTTATCATTAATTGACATGACTTCTAGAGATATGCCTAAAATCACATTGTGGCCTCCTATCACGCTTCATTTTCTCCAAAAACTTATCCATATGGCACTGAAAAATGTCCGTTCCGTTTATATAATTTCCAGAGTATACCAGGCATACAAAACACGGCCCGAGAGGTCAACATATCGCGCCATGAAATATCCTTTAATACCTTTTCATTGAAGATCGTAAAATAATAAAGTCGTGTGTACAATTTCGTACAGCCCCAAAACCACATTTGCGTTCGAGATTAAAATAAAAATAAAAATAAAAATAAAGGCTTATTATGTGATATTCGTAAAAAGGGGGGACGAAACGAAAGAAACTCTTGGCAAGGACAAGGCGCAGTATACGTGAGTGAATGACCAAAAAAAGGTCAGCTGGGAGGGCCAGACGAAGATCAACAGAAAGCTCTGGGGTCGAAGAGTGTCCTGCTGTAGTTGGGCATTGGAAATGTGGGACGGGCGGTGGCGTTGAGGAGTTGCTCGAATGCTCGCAGTCGTCGGGATAGCTCTTGGTGCTGCTGCATGATGGCCTTGTTCTGTTTTTCTAGATAGTGGATGTAGTCGGTAGCCTTTGTCAAGACCGTGCCCTGAAATTTCGTTAGCATGGCCTACGTACAAAAACAAGGCAAAAAGCGAAAAATGGGTCACCGAGACGGACGGCGAAAACTCACTTTTGATACCTTGGGAGCACGTCCCTGCTGGTTGGAGCTCTCGCCCTCGCCATCATCAACGCTATTCTCTGGGATCGCGCGCAGTGTGGGAACGGAATCGCGGAGTTCTGCGATGCGATCTTTTATATTTGTACGGTATTTGCGCTCGATATCATTGTGGGCGGCCCTATCAGCAGATTTGGGCTTCTCTTTGCCCTTGTCGGTCTTGGTTTGTTTTGACGGCTGGGGGGTAGAGGACGCTTGTGGTTTTGTTGCTGGGGAACTCGAGGAAGGCGCCATCATGGCGCTCATCATATCGTTGTTTGCCATTTGGCCCAATGGTGCCGTGCCCAGCCCTGGCCCAAACATGGAGAATGTGTTGTAATTGTCTCCCATGGTATTGTTGCCTAGCCCGCCACCCATTGGAGCCGCCGTGTTCATCGCAATTGCAATCAGGCGGCGTTGTTCCGTCTCGCTTAGTGTCGGAGTCTGGAGGCCCAACATCGGATCGAGCCGCAAACCCATCTGCGGCCGCTCCCAGCTTAGGGGTGTCGAGTACAGCCCTTCTCGTTGCGGAACCTCGGCTGGTGGCATCGTGTCGATTTTCGAGAGCTGGTCGGTGAGATTGATGGATGCGTACGAGAAAGCTTCATCGCCCTCTTCTGAAAGAGTCTTTTCCAACGCCGTGTCGTCAAGTGTCACCCCATCAGGCTTCTGTTGTCCAGGTGAGAGCGTTTGAGTTGTCATCTCTGCTGATCTACACGCGTCATATCGAGTGCAGTGTCAGTAAATGTCGATTCCATGTCGCTCAAAGTAGCCTCGTGAATAAAACGATGATAACTTACAGCTGAGGTGTTGGGGCACTTTCTTGAGAGCCAGAGACTGTCTTGGGGTCTGCTGTTACGGACGTCTCTTGGCCCTGATTCTCTTTCGTTTTCTGCTCTTGTTCCTCCTTCGCCTTTTGCTGCTGCCGACGTAGCTGCTGTACATGTTGCAATTTTAGCTGTTGTAGCTGTTGTTGTTGTAGTTGCTGGAGTTGTTGTTGCTGCAGCAATATCTGTTGCTGCTGCTGCTGCTGCTGCTGTTGTTTTTGCATTTGCTGCTGCTGCTGATCCTGATCAAACTGCATCCAATAGTCCACCGAGTCAAAGGAAGTGGAGTCTGTATTTAAACGCGACCGTTTTTTGTCATGTCCCTCTCTTGACCGTCGAGTTTTTGGGGAGATGATGGAGCGAGGGTTTTGACCAAACATAGGTGAGGAGGACATGATTGTGCTGTAGGGATCCAGGCTGGATGCGCCCGTAGATGGTGCTATGGACTCGAGAGTCAGATCCGGTGTCCCGGATGATGTGTCTTTCGCATGAGTAAAGCCGACAGCGGCCAGATTTTGCTCATCCCACATTGAGGATGAGGGGAGTTGTGAGCTGAGTCCTGGCGATTCGCTGGACTGGTCAACTGGATTGAGTGTCTGTGCTACATGTTAGTGATTGAACGGTACTGCCACTTGATAAGTTTCGGTCGTATTACCTGGTTGTTTGGTACTGCAAAATAGCCAATATTTCTGACCAAGTTCTGATCCATGTCGCCTCGTTTGGCTATGCACCCCGAGAGGCAACAATGGCAATGGTGCTACTCAATGCCTTGTCGCTCATGGGGGTTGTAACGACACGCGTGATTTCGAGAGTCCGCCTCTGATTTGAGATGAAGTCTCGCGTTCGATGGGTTTGGTGGTATAAAGATCGTGAGGGCGTTGTCTGATACAGCGCGTATAGGCCTTTGAGAGAAAGAATCACAACGCCAGCTAGACGCGAGAGCTGGTAGCTTCGATCGTGAGATGTAAGACGATGTTTGTGATTCCTTTGATCGTGGATGTTTTTGTCCCTTGATGTGGAACTAGCGGGCCGTTGCTATCGTGAAGATTGTTTGTTGTTGAATTGAAGCCCGAGCGGTGAGAAGACAAGAGACCTGCGTATACATATATGTATATATATATATATATATATATATATATATTTGAATAAAGGGTAAGAGAGGCTCTGAGAAAATGTTTGAGAGGTATGGTTATGGTGTACCACGCGGAGGCTGGTGATCAGGAAGGATTGCCAAAGTTTCTCAACGGTTTTTTGATCGGTGCTGAGTATCGATCGAGATCAAAGAAGGGACAGGAAGGTTGGGAGATTCTCCAATGTTATAAGGGTTCTATACAGAAATGAGGACAGGGGAGGCAGGACAAGAGCCAGACGTGTGGATGGCTTGCAGAAGTCTCGTGAGGACTCGGCAAATGAGTTGAGTACCGAAAATTAAGCCTCACGACCTGCCAAGATGAGGGAAAAGACGAGAGGGAAGACACAGACGTAGAAACTACCCGCCGCAGAACGGGACGAGATTGAAAGGGAGGTGAGACAAAAGAGAAAGAAGGGATTCAAGAGAGAAAACGAGAAAGAGTTTAATGGGAGGGTGAAAAATAGACGGCCAAAAGGTACACTAAGGTACTTTGAGAAGCCTCAGGTTAGAATGTCTGAAAACAGAAGACACGGAAGCCCACAAAACGCGGCAGGCACTCCGACGGAAGCTCCGTTGCTGGCGATTCGAATTGAAAGAGGAAAAACTGGAAAAAGGCATGGGCGGCCGATTCGACCAGTCGAGGAGACGAGCAGAGATCGATTTGGACAATACGGGAGTGTCCGAGTTAGAGAGCCACGCGGGGAGTGGAACGGGGGGGATAAGGTGGCGGCCGTTGATGATCGTTGATATTAATTCTCGGGGCAGAAATGTTTCGCGGGAGTCGTCAAAGTAACAGGAGCTTAAGACGATACGTCCAGGCGGCCAGACGGGAGGATTGTCACTACTATTGCGAACGTGGCGGAAAGGGAAATCTAGACGGTGGAAACGGCGACAAAAGTGGAAGAGGAGAGGCAGGGTGACATGACGGATGCTGCTATTGGGGGGAGTGGCAGCAGAGGGATGTCGTTGCTGAGGCTGTGAGATACTTCGGCTGGAGTCAGACAGGTCGGTGGAATCGAAAGTGAAGGACGAACGTGAGCGCGTTTGAAGAGCTACAGGGTAAAGCGAAAACGAAACATGGAAGATGAGGAGAATTTGGGCCAAACAAAGAGACGAGAAAGAGCTACAAAGAGACGTGGACGGAGTAATTACACAGTACGACGTATTTGCTGGAAGATAGGAAAGTACGCAAGAAAGGGAGTGTTGGGGGAAGGAGCGATTGCACGCATCCGCTAAAAAGCTACAGCTCGCGTCACGAGAACATGGTAACGGAAAGAGCAACCGTTCCCAAGTTATTGGGACAAGGAAGGAATGGCGAGACCAGAGAAGGGGCAATCTGCTGCGCTGTTCTGTACAGGATGCACGGCAAAGCCCACGACGAAATGGAGGGATAAAAAGGGCAAAAAAAATCAATCGACAGAAAGACAAAAAGATGGCCTGACTCGGTACCCGAGCCCGGGGAAGACAGGCGCAGGTGTGGTTGCGCCGCTGTAGTAGGACGCAAAATCAGGCCACTCGAACAGGAAAATCGTACAATAAGCCACCGCCGGAAGGCGCCAACGGCGATAGTGCGGGTGGCAGTCTTGGGACGGCCAGGGCGAGCGGTACTTCAATGTGTACTACAAGACCGTGGTGAGGCGCGGTACCGCATCTTGCGTGGTCGCAGCGAATTGGGCTTGGGCGGCACGAAACGGAGAGCTGAGAACGAGAAGGAACGATGGACACTTGCGAAGGAAGCTGCAACCCGGCTCTGCCAACTGGCCCTTCCCTTTCCGTTACGGTGTAGCTCTTTGCGTCGTATATTTTATGTCATTTCTTCTTCTTCTCTCTGCACCTTCTTTGTGCCGTTCGTTTAAAGGAGGTTGCATGGCTTCGTTTCGGGGATGCGCCGCAAGAAGTATTGGTTTCGGCAAAGAAACTGCTCAGTTCGGCGTCAGGGCGTGTGTGTCTCCAATAGTCAGCATTTTTGTGGCAAAAAGCAAGGGAGCGCTCCACTGATGATTTTCGGTAAGGCAAGCGCGACTAGACGTCGTGCGGTGTAGCGGCTCCGCCCGGCAAGGGCTATATAAGTACATCGTAGTGAAGGACTGGAGAATGTAATGAATGGATGCCGGCCGGGATTGTGACGAACCCAATGTAAACAAGTACCTGCCGGCCGTTGCAGCCTGCCACCTGCCAAGGCGGTCGCTAATCATTGTTATTTTGTCGTATGGATCGCAAAAGACATGCAGGAACATGAACTCTGTAAACATGGCGTCCAGACCAGCACAGAAGGCGCAGAGCAGCCTCGGTTCTAATACTGGGTCTGGCCAAGGCCTAGACCCGTCGTCTCCTGTCGGCAGCCCGTCCTCGCGGAGAACATGCATACATCGCAGCCCAATCGTCAAGAGTGAAGCGAATTGCATCTAGATGGGGCTTTGCATAAAAAGTGGACACTTCCAGCCTGGACCAATCAAGAGCCGTTTATCCACGGCATCTGTTCGGCAGCACCTTCCCAAAGGACAACCACCGTTGATTCCCAGACGCATGCAGCACGTGCTGGGACAGACAAAGTACGACGTACGATGAACAACGACGTGAACGGTTCAGCCTTTTGTCGAGATCGGCAACACGAGGCTGTCGATTGCTTTCGTACGCCGCTATCCGTGTCACGAAGCTCCTCACCAATGCAAACACGTTTGGGGATGCAGGAATGCTGCGTCCATAACCGCCGAGACGGGCGTGACGTGCCTCGTCCTGGTTCTGGTTTCGCATTGCCCTGCATATCTCACTCGAAAGCCAAGTTGCGGAGTGCGAAAGGCATCGTCCGAGGTGGACAGCCATCCGGAGTCACAACGGCTTCCTGTCCCCGGACTGTGTACAGACAGTGTATACAACTTGCCTCACACTGTATTACATAGTCCGCTTATGGGAGGCACGAAAAAAGCGGGTCTTGTCGCTGTCCGAAACGGGGCTGCCGGGGTGCTGTGTTTTCGAACAGCATAACTCCTTTGACAAGCTGCCGTGGCTACCTCTTCGCAAACACCGCCCGGAGTACAGAGTATACCACGTCGCAGTCATGGAGTTTGTGCGCCGCAACTGGAAGATCCAGTACCCGCCGGAGCCGCCCAAGACCCCGGACGCGCTCCGCTTCGGCGTTCTTGGCGCCGCTAACATCGTGTAAGTTAGGCGGTGAAGCGCTTCCGTGGTATATCGATCCGGCGTTGTGTCGCAATGGGGGCTGCGTCGTGCTTGCGGAGCGTCATCGCACCGAGCGAGCAGCTTGCTGACTCCCTGTTTGGGCACGCAGGCCTATAGCGCTGATCACGCCCGCCAAGTCACACGCCGAAGTGATTGTTCAGGCTGTTGCTGCGCGCGACAAGGCCAAGGCGACGGCCTTTGCGAAAGCAAACGGCATTCCCCAGGTGCTGGACAGCTACGATGGTGAGCTCGGCCGGCTGTTTTTGCTCTGCATTTGCATTTGCATTTGCATTTGTTTTTGTGTTTGTTGCGCTCCATGGTGGCGCCCACAACCCACTGACACGGTCCAGCCATTGTCAACGACCCGACCATTGACGCCGTCTACATCCCTCTGCCCAATGGATTGCACTACGAATGGACTCTCAAGGCACTGGCCAAGGGCAAGCACGTCCTGCTGGAGAAGCCGTCCGTCTCCAACGCCGGCGAGGCCGAGCGGCTCTTCACGTCGCCGCTTCTGACGAAGCCCGTCGCCGCCGAGGTCAACGCCAGCGCCCGCGGCCGACCGCCCGTCTTGCTCGAAGCGTTCCACTACCGCTTCCAGCCGGCCTGGCAGTCCTTTTTGTCGCTGGTCGACCGCCCCAACCTGGCCACGGTGCACTGCGAGGCCATCATTCCTTCGTTCCTCTTTAGCAAGGACGACATCCGCTTCCGCTATGAGCTCGCCGGCGGTGAGATGATGGACCTCGGCACGTACACCTTCTCGACGCTGCGCCAGGTGTTTGCGGCTGAGCCCGAGGCGTGCCTCGACTGCAAGGTCACCAAGTGCGACCCGCCCTTTGAACTCTGTGACTACGCGTCCGAGGCCACCTTCCAGTTCCCCGGCGGACGCACCGGCACGGTGAAGAGCACGCTGCGTGGCGGCTACTTCGTACTGGGGGCCCCCTGGATCCGCGTGGCGCACAAGCCCGTGCCGGCGCCGCTGGCGGCGGGCGAGAAGGCGTCGGCGATCCCAGAGGGCCACGAACGCGTGGTGACGCGGACGCTGACGCTGAACAACTTTCTGCGGAGCAACGTGTGGCACCGGCTGGACGTGGAGGACGAGTTTGTCGTGCGGCGCATCGATGACCCGAGCGTCGTGGCCAAGCGCTGGACGGTCAAGGCGGCCAAGAAGATCTACACCTTCAAGGACGCGGGCATCGACCAGCCGAGCGAGCCGTTTTGGTTGTCGTACCGGCACCAGCTGGAGCAGTTTGTCGACCGCATCCGTGGGCGCGAGGGCTCCGGTGTGTGGGTGGAACACGAGGACAGCATTGCGCAGGCACGCATGATTGACATGGCGTACAAGAAGACGGACCTGCCGCTGCGACCCAGCAGCAAGTACCAGCCGGAGTAGGCTCATGAAGGGACATGACCCTTGTCCACGTTTTGTCCATATCTTTCGCTTTTGTATATCCAGTATCGCTCTTAGCGATATGTTCAGATTGGTTTACGTTTTGTCATTTCCTAGTTTCAAGTCTGAGTTTGGTCTCGTAATGAACAGTGTTTATGTTGCTTGTAGATTTCTTTGTCATTACTAGACGTAGCAGTGTTGCTTGAAGCTACATGAACAACGGGACAAAGCAGTCCACGACACAACAAAGAATGCACGTCTACACGTTGACAATGACTTTTCATTGTCCACCAGTACAACGAAATATAGCTTTATAGCTGAAGCTGGCCAGATGAGTCTTATTGGTTACTCCTAAAGTAATGATATATATATCTGTATATACGCAGCCTCCGTGTTTTCCATCTGTTAGTATCACTCTAACAGCAACTTTCCGCCAACAATCATCTACTCTCTTCCTCCAACACTCTACCTGCTTTTTCTGAACAATACGGTACGTTCCCACTTCCTAAAAACCTTCAAGGCACCAAAATGGCTAACTTTGTCGAAACCCGGCGCCTGGAGAGCCTGGACAAGGATCGTCGGATCTTCCAGTGGCTGAAGGAGATGCCAGACCTGGAGAAGCTCGACCCGTACGTCCTAGAGCCGTGGCAGGAACTCTCCATGGAGAAGCCGCACGATTTTTCCCGCAAGCCGGAGCTGATAGACAACATGACGGGAGCGGGGCGGAAGCGGAAATGGGTTGGCACTCATGCCGAGAAGCGCAAGTAAGCTGCCACAGCACCGCATCATCTGCTCTAAAAACCGAGTCGATTTTTTCGTTGGTAACTCGCATCTACGTAAATTCAATCACCTCTACTAAAAATACTCTCCTAATTCGCATACTGTGACCTCACGTTTAGTCTACTCATTTTTCATTACTATCAAACTCATCCTGTTTGGTGAATTCTATCGTATCGCGAAAACAAGGTACGATGTGATATCTTAACGCCTTAGCAAAGGTCTCGCCCGTAGACTTGGCGGACCGCACAAAAGACAGGAACCAGCCGCGCGGAGATAAAACAGAATTCCAAGTCCCTCACCCTCCTTTTATTTTCTTGTCTCTCGCGCTTCTTTCTTACTCCATCCCCATGTCCTCGTCCTCCATCATGCCGTCGTCGGCAAACACGTCGTCCATCGTGCCGCCCTCCACGCCGTCGCCGCCCACGTCCTCTGCGGCACCGTCCGTCATCGTCACGTCGCCATCGCCCTCCTTGCCCGTTTTGGACGATCCCAGCGCCTCCGGCCGCAGATCCTCGTCGTCGTCGTCGTCATCGTCGCCCGCCGCCGCACCTGGTGCCCACGAGTCCCGCAGACCCCAGCTCACGCCCGACAGCACGAACCGCTCGCTCGGCAGCCGCGCGCCCCACTCGACGGCGCCCACGCGCGGGAGCGCCACCTTGTTGCGCTCGCGCGCCAGCTCGAGCAGCCACTCCTTGCTGGCGCCGCCACCCGCCGACGCGCCACCGGCACCGCCGCGGAACTGGAACGCGAGGCGGCTGGCGATGGCGAGCTGGACGGCATTGGCGCTGACGGAGGCGTCACCGCCGGCGGGGGCCATGGCGGCCGCACCGCTGGCGGCGCTGGGTTTGGATCCCGCGTGGGAGGTGTAGGGATCGGCGCTGAGGTGGATGGCGTCCGACAAGACAGACGAGGTGTGGCGGTAGGCAAAGTCGAGGAGGAGCTGGGGCACGCGGGCCTCGTAGGCGGTGACACCCTGGGCGGTCAAAAGCAGCTCCATGGTGCGAGAATCGCGGGGCTTTGGTGCGGGTTGTGACGTTTGTGGTTGGGATTGTGAAGAGGAAGCGGCAGCATTCGGCGCTGCCGTGGCGGGGCCTTGTGTTGGCTGTTGCGACCCGGTCTGGGTGGATGGCTGTTGTGACGTGGCAGAAGCCGTCTGTGTGTTCTGGTTGTCTTGTGCACCGGCGCCGTTTGTGGAGACCGTTGGCGCGACGCCGTTTGTCTGGACGGACGCCATTGTATTGTGTATGTGAAGGGCGGGGAGCGAGGAAGCGAGAGACTGAGAAATCGTTGAGGTTGCAGCGCTGTGCTAGGAAAGCTTGTCAAGTAGGGCGTCGGTCAGGCCACTGTCGCAGCGGGCAAAACTTGCCAACCCAGTGTAAAGGTACCTGGCAGCTGGCCTTAACGGGAAGTCCGTAGTCCGGCACCGGGTGTTGGATACTGGGGTGCTTTGCAGGTGTGCTCGTGACAGTTGAATTGAAGTTGTGTACGCAGAAGGCTACAGAGTTGTCAGGCGTCGTCGGGGGACCGCAATGAAAAGAAACTGTGCCGTACGTGAAGCGTACCGATTTCCGCAAAGGCGATGGACACTGCGAAATATGTTCTTTCGGTTGCCGGCTGGTGAGGTTGTCGTGGTCGCATCATTGAATTGGAGGCAGGTCGCGCGGCGCGCAGATGTCGTATCGCCCAGAAGCTATTGGGAAAATCACGTGATGGCTTACATAACTTCGTCACTTACATCGAGAACAGCAGGGCATCGACCAGTACGGCATGTCTACAAGCTGTCCTTTGATGGTAAACGCACAAAAATTATTAAATTGAAATCTTGAAAGTCACAGAGGAAGACGATAAAATAAAATTGTGGTGAGAAAATTGATTTGTTTGTAGTCTGTTTTTATTTTGTATGTCTTTCCCAGCGCCCGAAATGCCCATGAAGAAGAAAGTACATGCCCAGTGATGAAAATGATAAAATCCCAGAAGAAATCCCAGCCCAGTGTGCCCAGTGAAAATTCCCATCTCCCCTCTCCATTGTCTGTGGTGTGAAGCCGAAAAGTGGAAGTTGTTTGAGGTATTCTGCTTGTTGCTTTGCTCGCGCTGTATGTCAAATGAGGTGTTGTTTGTTGGGTGTCGAAGCTGCTCGGGTTTTTGTTTGATGTGTTTGTTTGTGTCGTAGTTTTGTGTTTGTTTTTTTGTGGGTTTTTTGGCTTTTTTTGGTGTGGTGTTTTTGTCGAGGCAGCAGGTCGAAAAGTGTTGGACAGATGTGTCTGTGGAAGAAGCAGCAATACGAGTCTGTAGAAAGCTGAACCAGTTAGAGGAAATGTTTTTCAAACTGAAGAGAGAGAAGAGATGCGAACTTACTTTGCAGTTGAAGACGGCTCAAGACAAGACAGGAGAGGAAGAGACAGGTTGGAAATCGAAAACGTTGAAAAGGCAGCGAAAGTCGAGAGTCGGAAGTCGGAAGAAGTGGAAGGATCGAGGCGTAGACTGCTGCGCCTGATGGGATCACTAGATCCTGATCTGCGAAGCTCAAAGACCTTGCTTTGGCTGCTTCGTTCACTCCAAACAACTTGTTTGAAGGACGACGGTGCTTGAAGAATAAGAAGAGGATACATGAAGTAGAAGTGATACAAGAAGGAGTCGGGTTGGTCAAGGATAAGGAGGCAGCGCCAGATGTAGCCCATGAGTAGTAGAGAAGAAGACAGACAGGAGAAGAAGGGAAGGCAGAAGGAGAGAGACAGGAGTATAAAGTTGACAAGACTTGAGACTTGGTACAGGATTTGATAGGCGCTGCCTTTTGGTGGGGGGGGGGGGGGGGGGGTTGTCGAGAGTGTGCGCAGCGCGCAAGTGTGGTGAAGTGGTGACCTGGAAAAAGAAATGTTAGGAATGGAACAAGAGAAGATGTGATTGAATGTTAGTGTAGTGGACTTGCCTTGGTCAAGTGTTCGTGTGTGTTGATGCCTTGTGCATTCTTCTTGGGTATGGGATGGAGCGTGACCATGTTCTTGATTGAGGTCTCTTGGATATAGACTGTTGATGCATTTTGTTGTAGGAGAAGTGGTTGCTGGATATGAGATGAAGAAGAGTCGATTGAAGTTGAGTAGAGGTAGAGATGAAGAGAGAAGAAGTATTGAGTAGAAGTATTGAGTAGAAGTAGAAGAAGAAGTAGAGGAGGAAGAGGCAAAGGCAAATGACTGCGAAGAGGCCAGAGAGAGATAGACTGTTGGCACAAATGTCTGTTGGAGAGAAGACTTGGTATGAAGAAGGAAGAGAGAAGAAGAAATTTCTCAAAGTGGGCGAAAAGGCCGCCTTTTATACCAGAATCTGGGTGGCCCAAAGTGGTCCATGCGAGCCTGCAAAAAAAATTCTGCCCATTTTTGCACACTTTCTGACAGCTTCCACCGCCTTCCTTTTGTTGTGCCGTGCGTGTGAAGGGTAGTTGGGTGTAGAAGGCAGGTGCGATCGTTGTGGCGTGCGGAAGGGAAGGAGCGATGGTGAGGTTGTTGATGTATGTCCCGATTAGGAAGTCACGATGTAGTAGTTCGTGGTGCACGGCGCCAAATTTTGGGTGCAAAAAGTGGCAGGGCAGAATCCCCGGGACGAAAAATTGCCGGTCCCACTTAAAATGACCAGCGGTGGACGTGAAAGACATTTGTCATGGAGCCATTCACGCAGAAGCGGCGGGAGAGCTCTCTGGTAGGTCGAGAACGATGAGTGAATGCTGAGAAATCCGTAACGCGCGACTTGAGGAGTGTGCTGCCTGTCATGGTAGTGCCGTGTTTGAAGTAGAAGCTGTGAATCCTTCAGTTGAGTTACAGAGTTTACTTTTTGCGGTAGACGGATATGTCGATGGCCCTTTGTGTGCGGCAAATTGGATCTAGAGTCTCGTTGACTCTGCTTTCGCGAACCAGGTGGACAAATTGGTGTGATGTTTCGAATTCGAGATATGCGTGCTGCTTAACTTGATGGGCATTGGAATTTACATAGGAGATCGAGACCTGCGAGATGGGATGTGAACTTGCCGTCCTTTCTACTTAGATGAATTGTTTACATGTTTTCTAAATAATTAAAAATCGACGCTTTTCAATGCAATGCCATAAATGGAGTCCTTGCCGTTTCAAGCTGCTCTAATCCAAAATGTGCTTCTGGTCCGCCCACGACGGCTCTACACCCCGACACACGCTCGCATAGTCCCAGATACGCTGATCGTCGACGCCCGCCGTCACAACCGATGGCGCCCCCCAGGGCGTCGTCCAGAACATGGTCCAGTTCACACCGCCCAGCTTCCACGTTCCCCGCGACCGCTCAAAGTACCAGCGGTTCACCGGGTTGTCCTTGCGGCTGCGCCAGCACACGCCCTCGGGGAAGCAGTCGCGCACCATGGCCGTAAAGACAATGTCGGCCACGCCGCCGGCGCCCTGGCTCTTTTTGAGCACTGCAAATTTGTCGAGGTACGGCACGAGGCGGCCGGTGCGGTAGGCCGTCTCTTCGTCGAGCCCGGCGGGGCGCTCCCACGTCAGGATGGCGCCGCCCTCGTACTCGCCGGCAATGATGACACCGGCCAAGGAGTTTTCGACCCTGCTCAGGTAGTCCTGGACGTCGAGCTTGCGGTTGAACGAGTCTTCGATGAGGTGGACGAGGCGGGGCAGGTCGATGCAGGTGTCGGTGAGGTGGAGGCGGGGCGCACCCGGCTGTGGCGGCGTCCAGGGCGCTTTGTACGGGTCTGGGTAGATGGTCAAGGGCATACCCCTCTTGAGGAGGGTTGTCTGCGACATGGGCGGCTCGTCGGTAGCCGAGGTGGTGATGGTGGTCGCGCTCCGCTTCGGCCGTGGCTTGATGCGGCCAATCGGCAGCGACGACGAGTAGACTGGCCGGTCGGTCAAGAGGTTGTGAATGAGCGGATTCTGGCTGCGGCGGGTGCCAACGCTGCCCACGTAGCCAAACACGTCGTCCGCGTCGTCGGCAGCGCTGCGCTCGTGCGAAACAAGGTTGGCCGCTTCGGCCGGCGTGGTCAGCAGCGCAGACGATGACGAGGGCAGCAGGGCCAGCGTGTTGCGCACAATGTCCAGGTTGGCCTTGTGGCCCTCGCTGACCACGTGGAGGGATTGTCCGTCTGCTACCTTGAGCATCGACTTGTCGGCCATGACATCGACCGCCTTCTTAGCCGACCGGTACTCTTCCTCGAGGTTGAGGAAGACGTGTGCACCGTTGGGCCGCAGTGCTGTCGGGGTTCCGCCAATGGGGTCGATCACGATGACGCGGTCGACCGATGCAATGGCGCCCGTTCGTCCACTCTGTTTTGTTGTTGCTTCTGAAGAATCAATGTCGGTCTGTTGCTGCATGCCGGCAAAGTACCGCGTCAAAGCCAGAACAATGTCGTCTGTGTTGACCAGCTTCGCTTCCGACTTGGTCGTCGAGAAGGCGTACGGCGGGATAACGACAATGTCGCCCTTTCGCAGGGGCCGTAAAAGATTCTCTTCGCCATCAATGTAAACCTGCCCGGGCGTGAAAGCCGATCCGCTGAGCCGAGCGTGCTGGTCGCGTTGGGCTGGTTTGCTGTCGCCGAGACCGACGGCCGAGTCGACGAGGGATGTGACGGGTTCGTTGTACTTGTCAATGGCCGCGGCAACACGCAGTGTTGTGTGGGTCACGTAGTCGAACCAGCCGGGTCCATCGCCGCTGGTCGGCTGTGTGCGGCCAACGACAATAACACTGACGAGACCCAGCGCACGCAGCTGAACAAACGTCTTGGCCAGTCCCTCGAGCGTCACGTCGTCGATGGTGTCGGCGTCTTGGAGCTTGACAATAGCGACGTGCGGCTGGTCGTCCATGGGCAGTTTCACTCTCTCGCTGCCGGGGCCCTGGACGAACTGCGGGCTCTGGCTGACGGCCCGGATGTTGTCGGCGGCGTAGTATGCGCCATCGGGTACCGGTGCCTGTGGGTTTGCTTGCGTTGGTACATCTTGCTTGGTTTTCTGGAATTCGCCGGCCGCGCTCTTAGGCGCACCCTTGGACGTGCCGTTGCCAAACGTCTGGAGGTATTTTTTCGTGTCACGTTTTGTCGGAGACGAGGAGAGGACAGAGACGAGGAAGTCCTAAACACCAGGAGACCAGCCCATGTCAGACATGGACCGTTTAGTGAGTCAGAAAGGGAAGAAGGGAAGGTACTTACCCTTTCTTGGGACTTCTTGTGCTTCTCATTGCGGGATATTGAGGTGTAAAGCGACGTCAGGTCGACTTTCTTCTCCGCAGACGAGGAAGAAGACGAGGACACGGACCCTGTGGTCGACTGCCGGCTGTTGTTTCCGGGCTGCTTAGGCGCCGAAGCAGCCGGCCCCGCGGCAGAGCCCTTCCACCGCGTCCATGTCTTTTTGGTACGAATCTGGTCGAGTTAGACACTGTCTGGCCAAGGCGCACAATCCCGGCCAATTGGCATCGGGGCCCAAGAGGACGTCGTACCGGGGCAAAAACGGCCTGTTTCCATACGGCAGCTCGCAAAACCATGGCGCCCTTGGCGAGTCTCATAAACGCATCGTATACGGGAGCACGATGGGAGAGCGAGAGTGTGGGAGTCGTGAGAAATAAGACCGCATATATATCAAGTGACGGGGAGATATTCTGAACGTGGATCGCTTTCAATTCCACGCCTGACGTTAAAAATGGCGGTAACCGGTGACTCAAAGCGCCTACTGGAAAGGGCGCACGATAAGATAAAGCCGCCCCTCACTGACGTCCATCGTGCAATACTCCAGAGGGGAAGGAGCTCTCCAACTCATGCCCGAGGGTATCTCCGTGCCTGCTCCAAATTGTGGGGAACCAGACAGGGCATCAGGACCCCGCCCATTTGCTGCGTCGGTCGTGCTTTCCTCAATTGAATTGAATGGAAGGCACTTGGTGATTGATATCTTTCCTAAAGTGTACACTACCTGTGCAGGTAGGAAAGAGCAATGCACGTCAAGCTCTACGATTATTACCGTAAAGGGGCATAGCCCAAGTCTTGTCAATTTCTAATCTATCTCTACCTCGAACTGGAGATGCCATCGTTATATATTTCGCAGCTTTACTTCGACATGCAGGAGTGCTACCTTGCTTATGACGGTTCTCTATTTTACGTCTTTGTTTCTGTCCCTCCGTCTCTTACCACTTTGGTTTGGTTAGCAACGCGGAAGGATAACATATTCTGCCGATCTTTACGTAAGTGACCAAGGAATTTGCATGAAAGAGAACCGGACATTTACGAAGCATACGAAGTATCGCGTTCGAGCCTGATACGGTGACGGTTCCTAGTTCTCCCGTCCACAAAGAACTTGGGAAGGGCGTGCTTTCTTACGCCTGCAACCGTCGTATAGCTATCTCGCTTCCTCTGCCAATCCTGTCGTTATTGACTGGGGGTATTGCCAGTGTCTCTCACGACCGGGGCCGGGCGGATGCCTCGGATCATGTAGGCGGACGAGTGCTCAAGGCCGGTAGACATCTGTACGATGTAATTCGTCATGTCTTTTCGCCGATCTGAGGATCAACTTCAAACGCACAGCAAATTGGAGCTACTGGTCGGCAAGCTCGAGTTGTGTAGTTCAAGTGCGATGCTACCCCGAATTTGGCGAGATGCCGAGTAGCCGCGAGGAGAGTCGTCACCGACCGGTTTCAACAATATTTAAGACATCGACTGGCGCCAACAACACACTTTAAAGAAAAGACCATACAGCATCAAAACAAACACGCAACGCAATACACTCGTACATCCTGGCTACAATGGCACCCTCGGTCTTTTTCGTCGGTCTTGGAAACATGGGCTCCGTAAGTAGTATTCGGCTCGCCTTTTGCAGATGCGTCGACCATCCGCTGTATCCACTAACACTGCCCAGGCCATGTGCAAGAACGTTGTGCAAAAGGCCAACCTCGATAAGCCCCTCGTCGTCTACAACCGGAGCAAAGACCGGTCGACGGCGCTGGTCGAGGAGCTCGCCGCGCCGGGCAAGGTGACCATTGCCGACAGCGTGGTCGCCGGCGCGAAAGAGGCGGACATTGTGTGGACGATGCTCTCCGCCGATGCCATCGTGGAGAGCGTCTTTGACGAGGTGCTGTCGTCCGACGCCAACCTCGAGGATAAGCTGTTCATCCAGAGCGCCACCATCCACCCGGACACCACCGAGCGCCTCGCCGCCAAGGTCGAGAAGCGCGGTGCTCTGTTCTTGGCCGCGCCCGTCTTTGGCGCCCCCGCCATGGCCGAATCGGGCGCTCTCGTCGGCGTGCTGTCCGGCGCAGCTGCGGCCGTCGACCGCGCCCAGTTTCTGTTCAAGGGCGTCACCTCGCGCCACGACATCCTGCTCAAGGACGCGCCCGTGTCGCACGCGGCACTCCTCAAAGTCATTGGCAACACGTTTATCCTCAACATGGTCGAGCAGCTGGCCGAGGGCCACGTGCTGGCCGAGAAGACGGGGCTGGGCACGGGCGCAATGCACCAGCTGATGCAGGCCATCTTCCCGGGCTCCTACGTGGCCTACTCGGAGCGCATGATGTCGGGGCAGTACTACACGATGGAGCGGCCGCTGTTTGCCGTCGACCTGGCGCGCAAGGACATTGGCTACGCGCTGAGGCTGGGCGAGAAGGTGGGCGTGACGCTGCAGAACGCGCGGACGGCCGACGCGCACCTGGTGGAGGTCAAGGCGCACGACGGCGAGACGGGCGACGTGGCGGGCATCTACGGCGCCGTGCGCCAGGAGTCTGGCCTGCCCTACGAGAACCTGAAGTAGAAGTGAAGGGTGTGTGCCGACAGGATGCGAAGAAGGGCACGAATGGGGCGCTTAGCAGATGTGACGATGAGCACTTGCAGAAAACAACCTGGAAGCGAAATTAAGTTTTATTTTCCCGGGAACTATAAAGTGTAGAAAGAAACAGATATGCACATCAGCAGTGCGGTTCTGTGCGGTCTTCGGCGTACGAAATATTTCCTTGGGGTTTGATCGAGATTCACATGGGAAAAGGAAAAAAGCCGCGATGGTCGTCCCCACTCAGCACAGAGTCTTACCTGTTGCTCTTGCCTGCAGTCGTCGGCGTAGATCGCGTCCCAATGCGGGTGCTGCTCAGGGCCAAACCAGTGCGGGTCGCACCTGCGCCCACTAACACACAAGGATAAGGCCAAGCTTTTGCGCCTGCCTTTGCAGTTTCTTGTTGCACGAGGGAAGGAGCTACACAGATTCTGGCCAGGCCACACCAAGCAGGATTCGCCTCTTTTGCTGTCGTTTTTTATCTCAAACTTTTCCCTCTGATCTACGGCTCCTCGATCTGCTTCGCCAACTATGACGCAGCCTAATTGACTCGTGTATCCGCGCTATTGTTTCTCCCTTGCCTCGGCGCGTCGCGGTTCGGGGTCTGGATATAGATAGCACCACGGCATTGGCAGCGTAAGACTTACGCAGAGCACCCAACAGCTGCAAGCTGAAGGCCTCAACGACCTCGACCACCTCCGCCACCATGTCGTCACGACGACAGGCGCTCCGGCACAGCTGCACGGCCGCTCGGGCGCACGGCGGTGCAAGATCGCCTCGGCCACGGGCAGCGATGGCTGCGCACCGCCTCCCAATTCACGCCCGTCGCTTTGCATCGTCTCTCGGCGGGCCGTCAAAGACAAGCAGCGCAGTCAGAACAACAGCCACCACTGCCGCCTCACTGCTGGCCATTGGTAGTCTCCTCGTCTTCTCTCTCGCACCGCGCGACCAGCACATGCGCCTTGACGCTGCTCCGGCCCTAGAACGTCGGCGAACGACGAAAGAGACACAGCCGTCGTGGGCGCAAAACGGGAAGGATGACGACGACGCGAGTCTTCTTCCGGCCGAGAGCGAGAGCGACATGCAAAAGGACAAGGAGGGCAGCACCATATCTGCCGTTGGCACGTGGTTCCGTGACGTCGCCAATGTCGACTGGAGCGCCATCCCCGACCGCATCACAGGCTTCATCCTGCCCGAGTGGTCCAAGATGGTCCCTGGCTTCGTGCGCAAGCTGCAGCGCGAACTCGACGCCGTGCCTGGATCCCTGTCCGACGAGATTTGGCGCGAGGCCCGTGACCCGACCGTCCACCCCGAAGTCCAGTTCGGCGCCCGCGTGCGCGTGGCGGACGACCTGTGCCGCGACGAAAAGGCCTTTCGCCGGCACCGCAAGCCCGTGACGGCGACCGCCCTCGCCAAGTACCTCGACCTCCCTGCCGACGACGTGCACCCCGACGACGTGCCCGTGATTGCGCTGTGCGGGTCGGGCGGCGGGCTGCGCGCGCTCGTAGCCGGCACGGGCTCGCTGATGGCGGCCGAAAAGGCCGGGCTGTTTGACTGCGTGACTTACATGGCCGGCGTCAGCGGCTCCTGCTGGATGCAGACGCTGTATTTTTCGTCGTTTACGCACCAGGACTTTGGCCGCGTGGCCGACCACCTCAAGGCCCGCCTGGGCGTGCACATTGCGCACCCGCCGGAGCTGTTTGCGCTGCTGACGAGCGCGCCCACGAACAAGTACCTGCTGAGCGGGGCCGTCGAGCGCTACAAGGCCGACCCGACGACCAAGTTTGGGCTGGTCGACGTCTACGGCACGCTGCTGGCTGCGCGCCTGCTGGTGCCGCGTGGCGAGCTGGACGTGAGCGCGCTCGACTACAAGATCTCGAGCCAGCGGCGGCACCTGACGCGGGGCCAGAACCCGATGCCCATCTACACGGCCGTGCGCCACGAGATCCCCGGGCTCGAGGACGACGACGGCATCAAGGACGGCGCGGTGGGCCAGTCGGCGTCGGGCAACGACGCCAAGAAAGAGGCCTGGTTCCAGTGGTTTGAGATCACGCCCTACGAGTTCTTCTGCGAAGAGTTTTCGGCCGGCATCCCCACGTGGGCCATGGGCCGCACCTTTCACCGCGGCAGGGACGTGCCGCTGGCGGCGCCCAACGGCCAGGGCGCCTACCACCTGCCCGAGGTGCGCACGCCGCTGATGTTGGGCATCTTTGGCAGCGCCTTCTGCGCCACGCTCAGTCACTACTACAAAGAAATCCGCCCCATCGTCCAGAGCATCAGCGGCATGTCGGGCCTCGACGAGATGATCTGGGGTCGCAACGACGACTTGAGCAAGGTGCACCCGATCGAGCCGGCCACGCTGCCCAACCCCGTGTATGGCATGCACCCCAACCAGCTGCCCGCGACGGTGCCGCCCGGCCTGTTTGCGCGCAAGCACATCCAGCTCATGGACGCCGGCATGTCCAACAACCTGCCGCTGTACCCGTTCCTGCGGCCCGGCCGCGGTGTCGAGGTGGTGGTCGTCTTTGACGCGTCGGCCGACATCCGCAAGGACAACTGGCTGTGCGTCGCGGACGGCTATGCCCGGCGTCGCGGTATCAAGGGCTGGCCGGTGGGCGTGGGCTGGCCGCCGGCCGACGACCCGCCGGAGAAGACGGCGCAGCAGCTCAAGGATGCGGGCGCGAGCGCCGAAGCGACACCGGACGATAAGATTGAACAGGCCAAAGCCGACCAGGCCGCGCACCAACGGCAAAACGAAGCCGGCTCAACGACGACGACGACGACGAAGAAGGACAAGAGGATGGGTGGTGCCAATGGCAAACAGGGCTCACGTGAAGCCGAGAATGCCAAGGTGGCGGCCAAGGAGCTCGGCTACTGCACGGTGTGGGTGGGCTCGACGGCAGAGAAGGTGTCCACGGCGCAAGAGGCGGCCGAGACCGAGGCGGCGCAGAGCGGCGGCAAGAAAGACAAAAAACGCACGAAACAGGTCGAAATGGCACCGCCCATTGACGAGTCGACGCAGTGGCGGCTGACTGCGCCCGATGCGGGCCTGACGCTCGTGTACTTGCCGTACCTGGCCAACGAGGCCAAGGTACCGGGCGTCGACCCGGCGACGAGCGATTTCATGAGCACGTGGAACTTTGTGTACCAGCCCGAGGAGGTGGACAAGGCGGTGGCGCTGGCCCGGGCCAATTTCAACGAGGGCGCGGACCAGATCCGGGCGACCGTGCGGGCCGTCTACGAGCGCAAGAAGCAGATGCGGCTGGCGGCCGAGGAGCGGCACAAGAAGGAGCGGCTGCGGCGGCTGGTCAAGCAGGAGGGCAACCATTTTAATTAAGCCGGAGGGCGACACAGCATGCCAATACAATACTGCAAAAAATTGTAGTGTAATGTAATTCATAGTAGTCTTTTGGTAATAGTACAGATGAATAGATGGTGTATGCTCCTTTTCCTTTTTGCATCTTTACGTTGTCATGTTTATACAGCACACCGTCTCCATGGCCCCTCCCCCTACAAAATCTCGCCAATGTCAATGTAGGCCGGCTCCCACGGCAGCGCGCCCTCCAGCAGCGTGTCGCTGGGCACGCGCACGTTCTCGCCGGGGCTGTAGAGGTACCAGGCCTTGAGGGCGTTCATCGCGGCCTTTTGGCGCGCCTGGTCGAGGCTGGCGCCGGCGCCCTCGCCCAGCTTGTCGGCGCCGCTGTAGATGCCGACGACAAAGACGGGCGTGCGCGACAGGCGGCCGGTCTCGGACTCGAGCCGCGCGACCGGCGGCTCAAAGTTCTCGCGCGCGCACAGGTACGTCAGCTCGCGCGTGGGCAGCTTGAAGCGGAACAGGCGCTCGAGGTGGAGCTGGCGCGACAGCACGTGGGCGCGCACAAACGAGCGCACCGTCTCGCGGCCGCCGTGGGCGTAGACGGCGCCGACGACGGCGCGCACGGCGTTGGCATGCGCGTCGTCGGCCAAGCGCGTCTTTGTGGCGGCGTCCATGCTGCCGCCGAGGGTGGCCGCCGACGCGTCGTAGTCGGCGGGGACGTCGGCGGGGACGACGTCGCCCGCAGCGGCCGGGCCCCGCTGGACCATGTCGCCAAAGTCGTCGTCCAGCACGACGCGGCTGCTGATGCCGTGGCGCCACTTGTACTTCTTGACGTTCTGGGCCTCCTTGCGCTCGTAGCCCCACCGGCCCACGACGTGGCGGTCCGCCAGCAGCGAGTACTGCAGCAGGCCCGGGTCGACCTCGGCGCCCGGCGCCGCCGCCTGCTCGATGCCCCACTGCCGCGCAATGTCGGCCAGCGCCTGCGGGCCGGCAAAGGCCTTGAGGGCGCCGTACAGGATGACCATGGGCAGGCGCGGGTACTTGACCAGCAGCCACTCGCTGACGTGGTAATGCATCAACGTGGTGCCCAGATAGGCGAGGTTGGAGTTGTTGAAGCGCGGGCTGGGGTCGGCCGAGGCGTCGACGAGGGCGCGGGCGAGCGTCTCGAGCGGCAGGCGCTGCGACAAGCCCAGACGCGCGTGCAGGGCGGCCAGCTTGGCGGACTGGCGCGCGCGCGCCGGGAGCGGCGAGGGATAGGCGGGCGCCGTGGCAGCGTCCGGGGACAGTTCGGGGAAGCGGGGGTTGGCGCTGGGGCCGAGCCCGGGTGTGATCGTCTCGCTGGCGGCATCTGTGGTCATAAAGGTAGCGGCCGAGCCGCCGCCAAAGGCGCCATAGGGTGATGTGAAGCCGCTGGCGTTTTCTACTGATGAGGAGGAGGCGGCGGCAGAGGAGGATGTGGAGTGTTGCCTTGCTGCTGGGCGGCTCGAGGCGGCAGATAGGTTGCGGGGGGAGAGGCGGGAGGTAGACGTGGATAGCGGCGAGGGGGTGGATGTGCTCGTGGGACCGGCAGCGCGTGGTGGCACGGCCGAGGCGGAAGAGTGGAATGCGCACGAGGGCAGAGGCCGGGCAGCCACTGGCGGCAGCAATTGCCCTGCGAGTCTCTGCACCCGCACTCGCTTCATCGTGTGGAAGCCGGCTGTCGGATGTCTCCTTTCAGCGCGGAGGGCGAATTATGGACGGCGTGCGGGCGTGGTTGCGGGGAATGGGCACAGGGCTCGTCGTCACGCGAGAAAAGGAGCGGTTTGGAGTGAAGCTCTGGCGATTTTTTTTTTCATTGCCAAATGCAGCCCCAGCAAATGCTTCCCGAGATTCTAGCCAATGGGAGGGGTTGGTGCTGGTCAATAATTATGGGTCTAGATCCGATTATGTAAGGTGTGGCATCCAGCCAATAGAAGGCTGCTGATTCTTGACAGTGGGTCCAATGCCGGTGGGCCCTGGGCGAGAGGGAAATGCAACTTGCAAAAGCGTCTTGTCGACTGAGTCTCGGCCTCTGTCCACGACAACCTCTCTCCATCATCCCACACACCTCGTCCCTCTACAATCACAATGGTATGTTGCTGGTGTGCTGTTCTCTGGTGCGTTTGCAACCCAATTGGCGATGCTGACTCGTTGTGCGCGCAGGGTGGCGGACCGAAGATTCCGTAAGACTTCCGAATCCCTCGACCTGTGCTGCGTTGCAGGCCGACCGTGTGCCGTCGGACGAGCGAGCAGACGCGGCAGCGGCAGCGGCAACGGCGCAGCACCCGACAGACGCACTCCACTCCGACATATACTAATACGTCAGCAGATACCCCAAGCACGTCTGGTCGCCAGCGGGCGGCTGGTACGGCCAACCCAACAACTGGAAGAAGAACACGGCCATCGCCGGCCTGACCATCTTCGGCATCATTGCCATTGTGTGGAAGATCGACTCGGAGCTGGAGTACCGTCACAAGATGCCCGAGCCAGGGCGCTTCTTCCCGAGCAGATAGTGCGTCGCCACCCTTTCTTACAATACGATAGGTGGCCGTCCGTCAACTAACAATCGCAGTTGGAGCAGGCAGATCATCGAGTACGAAAAGGAGCAAAAGGCCAAGGGAGAGGGTGCAGAGAGCAAGTAGCAAGTAAAGCGACTCTTGTGATGGACGGCAACGAGGGCGGCCTCTGCTATCGCGCTTTGCCGGCAGGGGCCAGGACCGGCAGGACGCCGGTGTGCATATAATATCCACAAAACCAATATAGCAAAATGACCAAAACGATTCGAACCGATGTGCGGCGACTCCGGGACAGCAAAAATTTGTGTTTGTTGCGCCAGATCCTTTATTTCCGGGGTTTCTCAGCAGTCGAGTCATCCTCGTGAAGGCCGCCTGTGATTGTTTTTCTCATGTTTCCGCCGTATCACCATGTTGCCAGCCCTCAATCTGTCAACCTGGCGACTCTCAAATTATGGTTTCTTCATGCTGGTAGTCGGATTTTTCAACTTGCGGGACGATGACCGCTTCTTTCTCGTCGTAAAACTTCATGGAGTTCGCCACATGGAACAGTCCATCGTGACGTTACTTTCAGTACGTGCAAATATAAGGCTGCAGCCGGGCCAGGAACCAATTGGGATGAAATGAAGGATAGGACACGGAACGGGGTCAACGTCAACATCTCAACCAACTGCTGACAAGTATGGATTCCCAGGGCTACGCACGTCGCATGTCGCGCTTTCTCCGTCTTTATGAGCGGCGTCCAACAGCGAGGACGCGGAGACAATTCAGCATTTAGGAACAGCCGGTACGATGTGTTGGGTCGCATTATTGAACTTTTGTTTTGAGAATGTTTTTATAATTGTATGTTTTGCTATTATTTCTTAATATATCTTGAAATACATATGAAACCAACACCAGTATGCCCACAATGCAGACATTCCGGCAGGAAAGACCACAGCCATCAGCCCTACCGGGAGCTCATCGGAACAAATCTACTGGCTACCGGCAAGAGACTGCAACAGGAGGCCACAAGAGAGGCCACAAGCCACCACAAGTCAAGCTCACCAAGAAGCCAAGCCTCGTCCGTGATCCAATACTTTCGGCAGTGGCCGAGGAGGGGGTCATCTTGTGGACGAAGTGCGTGCGACATGTGTCCTAGAAAGGCAAAACGATAGAGGTAATCATGGAGACCTCACCGTTGCGAAATTTAAGTTCAGCCGCACACGCTGTGGCGGACGGTGCTGTCAGCATTTGTAGTCATCAAAGTGTGTCTGTATTTGCACGTCGTGTGTGTGTACGACGTATGTGCGTCAGCCTCTTTTCTCTTTTCCAGCTTGATGTTGCTCAGGACTGCATCTACTGCATCTTCCCCTGTCAGCACGAGCCGCAGTGCTTTTATATTTCGTCCGGAGTTGGCATGCTGCAGCATAGTTTATTGCCGGGATCCAACCAATTCTCTGCCTTTCTCGTCGTCGCCTGTTGTCCTCGCGTGTCAATATGTCTCTCTGCAGTTGTGATTGGCTGAAATGCAGCTGAAACGAGTTGCCCTGCAGAAACAACGCAGAGAATTGCAGAATTTGACACCGATGGTATGAGCTCACAGCAGGACAGATTTCAGAGTACAGCCTCCTTTGCGGTGCAGCTTGCGTCGTTTGGAGGAGAACAATGGTCAAGGGAATTGTGTGGCAGACGAACGGTACGTCTGAAGGAGTCAGACGACTATGTGCGAAGCAATTACGAATTACAACGTAGACTATACTACAATAGGACAGACAGGACACCTGAGGCGCAGACATGACAACTGAGCAGACAACGCAGATATTGAAGAGAGTCAAAATACAAACCACGAGAGAAGGCCATCACAACAAAAGACGAGAAGAAACACGATTGAACAGACGGACGAGGTTGGCGGTCCGCATCATAAAGTTGGAGAGCAGAACAGAACGATAGCAAAGGGTCCACTCCCATGTCTAAAAATAGCCCCCAAAAGTTCGTAAAGCCGTTGTCTGCTTCTCGTTTTCGACATGGCCGGTGGCACTAGGCCAGCACGTCCAACAACGACCGAGCACACGTCGACTGCACGGAGGACGTACGACATACTGGGGGAGTTGCGTTTGTGTGCGCCTCCCGTCCAGCGGTCGAGTACGAAATACACCATACATTGTACCTCTGCTCGTATTGGCACATCGCCCCTGTTTACGAATTACGGCCCTGCAAAAATGTCGTGCCGGTTGCCGTCGTTTGCTGTCCTTTGCCGTCGCAGTCCCCTGTTGGTCCCTCTGGCTACCCATCTTTCCCCTTTTGTCGCCTTCGCGCGCGACAAGTTCCACTGGATCCGCTTCCCCAGCCTTTTGATTTTCGATACGAAGTTGCTTTACTGGGTCGCATCCATCGCGGATCACTCGTACTGAGCACCACGTGCTCTTGTTCTTATAAAACAAACAATGTACTCGTATGAACGTCCCTTCATAGTCCCTGGACATGTTTATGCCATGATGCTCTGCTCGTGTTGTCGAGGCTGAACTCGAGTTGTCTACGAGGAGTTGGAGCACGACAGACGGGTCCGGGTCTGCCATAATCCCAATCCCGGCACGATGTAATCACGACGTGTCAACGGAGTACGCCGTATAGCATACGCACTTGCAATGATGTCTGCTAACCGCATTTCCGTAGCTATGTTATGCTTATTGGCATTCGTTTCTTGTCCGTCCAAATCGTATTTTCTATTGCCACACAGTATTGTTACCTTGCGTCTCACGGCCTCGTCCAGCCGTATCGGCGAGTCCGTTTGCCATGTCGTTTGATATTTCCTTCTACAGTTACGCATCATAACCCGGCGCATCATTTTGCTCTGCTCACCGTTCAATGCTTGTTCAGCGCCCTCGCTTTGTCCTGCCACAGCCTCACTTGACCGCCATGCAAGCAACCAATGGCGGCCGAATCGTGTGGTTTTGCTGGTCTGGAAAAGGGAAAGGGCACATACGAAATGCACAAAATATCGAGAGCAGAAAACAGTACGGAACTCGGCATCTCTCAAAGCTTATCCGCACGTCCAATCCCGCCATTTCGTAGCCTCCCCATTCTCTGGCCAATGCATCCCGATCCGGCAAAGCCTACAGCCGTAGTCGACACTTTGCCTGCTCTGTAATTACTTGTTGTGGGTGCTTGTTGCGGGTGAGCTCGCCAGAGCCATTGGCCGTGTTGCTGATCAAGCCACATTTTGTTCTATTGGCTTTCTCTCATCACCTGGTTCAGCCCTAAGAAGCGCAGCGATACAGACACATAAGTACAGTTCGTTTTGGGACGTACAGATCCCTTATTACGAGCTTTTTTCTCTCCACAGGATATTGCCCACTCTCGTTCTCTACCCTCTCCAGTCGGCCAGCACAGCCTCTCTCACGGAGTCTTTCTTCGTGAAGGTCACCCTGCTCTGGTAACTTTTGGGTAGCTGTTGTTTATTCGTTTTCTGCCTCATTGTCTTTGTTACATTATGCCCGTCACATCTGCTGGTTCCTGGCGGCTGCACGTCAGATCAGCCCTGTGTACCTTTCCGTCTGTCGTTGCTCAAGCCTGCACGGCCCTCATAACGACGATGCCAACATGGCAGATCCCCTCGAGTGTTTCTGTCTTACTTTAACAGGGTTTTCGGCCCTGGTTTAGGTCTATTTTCTTCTAATTTTTCTGTTCTTCTGTTCTTCTGTTTCTTCGTTTATCGACTGGTACGTACCTTTTTTCCACTCTTCTCCACACCTCGGACAGCTCCTCGTGTCGGTCAGGGTGCCTCCCTATGTTCGTGTTAGTGCCCACCCCTGGTCCGCCGGCCTTGTCCTGTGCGGCTCCAGTTGCTAATTGGAGGGTTGGATTGGAGGGAGGGCCGGGAAGAGAATGATATCAAGGAGAGAACGACAGAAATAAACACATAAAGAAGCAACGGCCGCCATCCGCCTTGTAAACAGAACAAAAAACGAATCCACACCGAATGTTGCCAGCCGGCAAGACTCTCTGGCAACGGACTCTGCCGAGATCCTCGTAGCTCGCTCATGAAGACAACAGACGCTTTGTTACGGACCCGATTTACAAGCAGATAGTGTGACTGTGATAGCAGAAGAAGAAACCCCTTTGCAGTCACGTACTTGCACTCTGCATGTCTGCGTCCTAAGTACATGCACAACTGGGACATTACATATCACTTCCGCCGGTAGAGGCGTCTTTACCCGCCAACGGCTTCAACGGCGTCAACGGCGGGCATGTGCGCCTCTTTGCGAATCGCGAACCCTCTTCGCCCTACGTTCCCCTTTTGGTTACTATTTTCTTTCTTTTCTTTTTGTTCACTTTCATTTTTGTTTTATAGTTTTATATCCCTCCCCCGTTTTCCGGCTCGGACCCATCCACCCACAACGCCATCCAGTCTCTTGACAAGCCTCCACTCGCCCTCCCCGATCTGTCGTTGATCCCTCCGTTCCTGCACACGCCCCTCCCTCCCTTCTCTGCTTCGTATTCCTTACCGTCCAGCTGGACCTTGCTTGCATGCATGTACATGTGTCGATGCTGGACACATGAGTAAATGCAAGCATTCAAGCATTCAAGCATTCAAGCATTCAAGCATTCAAGCATAATGAATCACGCTTTGGCTCGCCATGCAGGACTGCCGGCCGATACTGACCGACTGACCGACAGTCTGCCACTTGCCGTCAACCCTTTACCTCGAAGCCCTTCCCGACCATCAACGCCACCGCCCTCCCAACGTCATTGGCCTCTTTGTCAGTCAAGCACTGTCATGGCTCCCGCCTCCCGCCCTCTAACCCTGCCTCGTCTTTTTCAATACCCCCTCCCAATGGCCGGCTGAAAACAGTGAGAGAGTCATCAAGAAGAATAAAAGAAGCAAAAAGAAGACGCGGCCGTACGAGTCTCCTGCTGAACCTCGTTGCATACATGTCCCTTTATGCCCTCCTACATATATCGAATGTCACAAAATATTTTGCGCTGTAAGCTCCAAGCCCTGTCCTCTTTAGTCTTGTCGCCAACAACAACATTATTTCCATCTATTCCTACATACTGCGTACGGCATAGCTCGAAAACATTAAAAAAGGCCCATCACACGTCATATTCCCAGGTCTGTTCCGTTCCAGCGCCGGCTGTCTCGTCCTTGGCGTCTACTTTCAGACATCCTGCGCCGTCCCTCTTGTTGTTGACATTCCCCTTTGAACATTGATTAGTCCTTTTTTTAATATTTTATTTGGAGAGAGCTGGACCTCACTTCACATTCTGCAGCCACACGTTCTCCTCTCCAAACCATCTACAGCCCCATCCTCATGCTTGGCGACGACATTCTTACACAGCCCTGTTCTTCAACGCCGGCCAGCATCGACTGAACAAGACTATATCGCCAATTTGTTGTCGTCCACGTCTCACGGCCCTCGCTCGCGACTGGCAACTATATAACTGCAAACACTGCCGCCCTCGAGATGAACACAGACATCGTCGCTCGGCAGACAGACTTTACCTTGCCATTCGCCTCGTCCTCATCCTCATCACCAACACTATTCCCTCTCTCATCCTATCCATCATCAGACTGCCACCATCTCGACAATATGGCACCTCAAAGTGTAGGTATTGTACCACATCCCACACCACTCCCTGTCCTCCTTGTCAACGACGACCGCTAACGAACGGCTCCCCCTCTCGTCTCTTCCCTTCCAGGACGAAGCCAACCTCGCCCGCATCCGCGACAACCAGCGCCGCTCCCGGGCCCGCCGCAAGGAGTACCAGCAGGAGCTCGAGCAGCGCGTCCGCGCGTTTGAAGAGCAAGGCGTCGAGGCGTCGACCGAGGTGCAGCACGCCGCCCGGCGCGTGGCCGACGAGAACAAGAAGCTGCGGCGGCTGCTGCAGCAGAGCGGCGTGAGCCACGCGGCCGTGGAGGCGTACCTGCACGGCGGCAGCGTCGGCGACGTCGACGACATTGACACTGGGGACACCGGGGACAGCGGGCCACCCGGGGCCAACGTGGCGACGCTCGAGCATCTTATGGTCCCGCGGTTCCCGCTGCAGTACGCATCGCCCCTGCTCAGTGGTGGCAGCCTCTCGGCGGCCGGGTCGGTCGGGCCGAGCAGCCCGTCGGGCGGCGGTGGCGTCGACGAGACGACGATGACGACGTCGTCGGGCGGCGGGTCCAGCGCGCATCGGGGCAGTGGCGGCAGCAGTGTGCACGGGAAGAGCGAGAAGAGCCACAGCCATGGCCACGGCCACAGTCACGGCCACAGTCACAGCCATGGCCACCGGGACAAGGGAAAGCGGGCTTCGTCGACCTCTGCGGCCGGCACAACGACAACCACGGGCCCATCCACCGCCGACTACGCTCGCTACCTGTCCCCCGGCTACGGCTTGTCCACCGCCTTTTACGGCCTCGACGAGACCAGTGCAGAGGACTTGCACTACGGCAGCAGTTCCGGTGGTGGCGGTACAGAAGCAGGAGGAGGAGGCGGCGGTGTTGGTGTCGGCACCGGTGCCGAGCCCATCCTGTTTGACTACAGCGTCTCGCCGCAGTATTTGGGAGAGGGCGGCGGCGGCACTACGTTCGGAACGGGGTCGGTCTCTGGCGTCTCGCAGCCGCCTGCTTCGGCACCGTACTACGGCATGATGGGCAGCGGCAGTGCCGGAGGCGGTGGTGGTGGAAACACGACTGGCTCGTATGTGCGGACGTGCCCGGCGTGTATGTCTGGCATGGGATGCCAGGTGCACGGCGGCTTCTTTGAGGAGTAGGACGAGCGAGCAACGTGAAGCGAGAGGATTTGCCGGTTGTTTGCTGAAAATTCATGGATATTTTAATTTGGGTAGGACTGTTTGGGCTGGCCTGGTATGACTTACTTGGGTTGGCGATTGGGACATTCAGGACAAGGGAAAAGGTAAAAGGGAAAAGGGACAGGGTGGGACGAGGCGTGCTGGCACACCTCCTCCCTCGGACTACGGATCATGGGATACACACTGTACTCCGATACACTCACATTGCAGGCACGTTTAGATACAAGACACGGATAGAAAACACTCTTTAGAGACGTGGATATGCGCTGGGTCCAAGTTCATTGAGCCAATGACATACGACTCCGTGAAACAACCGCAGATGGTAGAATGTACAACGCAGAATACGGCTCGCTTCTCTGGCATATGACGTGAGCTGGTGAAGGGAATAAAGCACGGCACAGATACAAAGAAAATAAGAAACAAAATAGGAACGAAGACGAATACGAAACAAAACGAAAACGCCGGGAATCCCATTCAAACATGACGCGCACCCAAAATGATACCAACGCCGTTTCGGTTGTGCCTGCCGGCAACCGTGACCCCTCTGCTCGCTCACAAAAAGTAGTCAGCCACCGGCTTCTTCGCCGGCATGCCGCGCGAGTCCTGCGGCGCCGCCGCAAACACGCGGTACCGCCGGCCGGGGCCGTTGCCCTGCCACAGCTCGGCCTCTTCGAGGGTGCCCCGCTGCGTGGCCTCGGCGCTGCGCATGGCGTCGCCGTTGCTGCGGCCAAAGGAGCCCAGGCCGGACGCGTCCTCGGACAGCTCGAGGAGCGCGGCAATGTTGCCGCAACGGTAGCAGTAGTTGGGCGCGGACCAGACGGTGACAATCGTGCCGTCAAACATCTCCTTGAACCCTTCCATGACGAGCTGGTGCGCGCGCGCCACGAGCGAGATGTCGTTGCGGTGGTTGAAGGCCTTGACGATGTTGGAGCCGAACAGGAAGCCGGCGCCGCGCGGGCTCAGGCCCCAGCCGTCGATCTCGTCCGGGTCGGACCACAGCAGGTCGCACATGGCGCCCTCGTGCGGCACCTCCTGCTTGCGGTCGAGCACGCGGATCTTGTCGATGGTGTCCACGAGCGGGCTGAGGCCGCCGTGCACGCACAGCACGGCGCCGGCCGGGTTGCCCACGGAGCCCGTGCTCGCGCCGGACGCGCCCGACCCCGGCGGGCCCGTCTTGCCGTAGGCGCTCCTCGCCGTCGCGCCGTTGGTCGACGACGACGCCAACGGCAGCGACGACGGCAGCGGCGCCGGCTGGGGCGCGGTCGCGGTCGTGGCCGGCACGTAGTTGCCCATGGGCAGGCCGTTGGGCCCGTTCAGGGGCACGTTCTGGTTCGCGGCCGCCACGAGCTGCTGGTGCAGCATCTGCTGCTGGTGCTGCTGCAGCTGCGCCGAGGCGCCGCCCGCGCGCTCGCGCCGCTGGAAGCGGCTGACAATGTCGCCGTCCGAGTTGCACACCTCGATCTCGACCTCCTCGTCAATGTACTCCTGCTCCGTCACGGACGCGTTGGCCGGGCCCAGCGTGTTGGACACGCCCATGACAATGGCCGCCAGCGCCAGGTAGTCAAACACGTCGCAGCAGTAGCGCCACACGTTGGCGCTGCCGTACTTGCGCAGGCACTCGTCGTAGAAGCCGTAGACGGTCGTGATCTGGCGCGACTCGTGGTTGCCGCGGATCAGCGTCATGCGGTCCGGGTAGCGGACCTTGAGGCACAGCAGCAGCAGAAACGTCTCGATGGAGTAGAAGCCGCGGTCGACAAAGTCGCCCAGGAACAGGTAGTTGGTGTCCGGCACGTCGCCCCCCACGCGGAACAGCTCCATCAGGTCGTGGAACTGCCCGTGGATGTCGCCGCAGATGGTCACCGGCGCCGTCACCTGCACGACGTTGCCCTCCTCGATCAGCAGCTCGCGCGCCTTGTGGCACAGCTCGCGCACCTGCTCCTCGGGAATCAGCCGGCACGCGCGCAGCTGCGCAATGGCCTGGTCGAGGTCGGACATGGCTGTCGTCGCTGTTGTGGCTGTCGTGACTTTTGTCGGGTGTTGTCCTGGGAGGTTGTCGCCGTGTCGTTCTTTCCGTTTTATGAGCTGCAACGGCCGCTCGCGTGTGGAGTTTGCGGCCACCGCACGGAAGGCGCTAGTAAAAGATAGTGCATGGAAAGAACGATTCTCAGGGACAGAATTGCACGTGACAGGTCACATTTACAAACTAGCCTATTTTTGACTAGCGTCTTTGGAATAGGACCTGAGAGAAAGTGGTGCTGAGCCGAAGCTGGCCCATCAGCCAACCAAATCGCGGCTGTTATTAACAGCACCGGCGAAAATGCTAAAATTCAGAGCTTCGTCTACGTTGCGGACGAACGCAGGCCAACGCACACAACGCCCACGACGGACGACGACAACACGCGCCCCGTAACGAGCATCATCCGTCGTCGGCAGACAATTGCTGACACAGAAATTATTCCTACCAGCCCCCTCCGACCCAATTGGCCGCATAGCCCTCGGATGACCCCTCCAGCCGACGAACCGAAGAACCGAAGAATCGAAGAATCGAAGAATCGAAGAACCAAAGAACCAAAGAACCAAAGAACCAAAGAACCTTTCGAGTGCCACACCCCACGCCCAATTCTTTGACCGGTGCGTTCACCGCCCCCCGACATGCCGCCGCCGCACCTCCACCCGCGGTCGCGCATGACCTCGTCGCTCTTTGCGACCACCGTCTTTGCCAGCTTCTTTGTCGTGGTCCTGCCGCACGTCCTGCCGTGCCCGGCGCCACGCGTCGCGTTGGCCGACGGGCAGATGGCCGAGGTGGCGGCCGACGGTACCGTGGCCCCGCAGCAGCGCAGACGGCGGCGGAGACGGTTGCAAGACGAGGTGATGGAGACCGCGGCATCCGCGCCCGTGCAGGTCGAGCGCGACGCTGATGGCATGGCGCGGTTTGCCATGGAGACGGGCCAGCGGGTGACGAGCGACAGCGAAGCCTCCGCATCCTCCTCCCTCTCGCCGAGTCCACGGCGGACCACCCGCGCGTGTCCGGTTCCGAAACCAGGCGGGATTGTTGGCGAGCTGCTGGGTTTTGCGCGAGGCGATGCCAGTCAACAACAACAACAACAACAACAGCAGCAGCAGCAGCAGCAGCAGCAGCACTTGTTGCAGTCACAACACCAGACACAACGGCAATCACTACCACACCCGCCATCGTTGGAAAAATAGCAGAGGGCCACATATACACACACATACATTGCATAGACTGGCTGAGGGAAGCCTTTGCTGTACGGCGTTTATACATTTGGAATTTACGGTAGACAAAAGGACACGACTGTCCGGGACGATGTGCATGAGCAATTCGATGATTGCTGAAATACAATCAAAAAACATATGATGAACACGTGTGCTATCGAATATCGTCGAGGCTGTTTGTGAGTGAAATGATAAAGTGAACGAGGTGGGAAATGAATGACTCAACACCCATCTGAGCTGTCTTGAAGAGCGCCTCTTTCATGCCGCCACCCCTTCGCTGCAGCCTCCAGCCACGATCGCAGATAAGTTAAAAGGCAAGATGGCGGAGTGTGAACACGGGTCTGCTATGCCCGTCCTTCGGGAGCGAGGGTTCACATCCCGTTCTTGTCGGCTGCTTTTGTCTTTTTGATGGAGGACTTCATTTGCTATTGATTTGTGTTTTCCTCTGGTTCTCATCACGAATTGTGTCTTCATTGGCAGGCATGAACGATGCGCAGCACAGCCATGACCAGGGACACAAAGACATGGACTCCGGCTGTCGATATAATTGACGGGTTTCACGGGTTTCTTTGTTGCCCTTTTTGGTAACAGGAAAGGAGAAAGTACACTGCAAATACATGCTTGCCAAAAAGTGTTAGATAACACGAGGGCGATACAAAACACCGCTTTTTGTTGAATTTCTTCGCGAACAACGCATCGTTTGTTCGTCGCATTTCACACAGAGTCTAGACGCTCTTCCAGATCCCGTCAGCGCTCTCTTTACGATCGCCCAGGGTGGATTGCAAGAAACGGGGTGTGAAGCCATCAGCCAGGATTTGAGTTTACGGCTTTTTCCTCCCCATACATCGTAGGTCGCTCGGCCTGCTCCTCTTCCTGCCCCATAGCTCTGTGCTTGTTTCGCCTTGGCATTGGCAAGCCATCCTTCCCGTGTTCCGGCCCGCAGATCGCTTGTTAGAGAGACCGCCGCCCAGTTCAGCGTGCGTCGAGCTCTGGCTGTATTTGCATTTCGTCCCGTTCTGGCGCCACTCTTTTGGGCTGTTAACATTTTAACACGCCCCGAAACAGCTGCTGCGCACGTCAACAGCAGACAGACCACAGGAGGCTGCGAGCTGACCCCACGGCATCGCTCGTCTTGGCACAGCCATCATTTCATCGTCGCCCAGGGTTTGGGAGAGAATGCATCGGGGCGTTTCTGCGGAGTGCTGATTGTGTCCTAATTGAGTTGCTTTGAGTATTCCTCTGTGGACGTCGTTCAATGTCTAGACGTTGGCAGACTGTCCTCTCCAACACGACTCCTTTGGCTGCCAGCCATCCGAATGTAACACGAGCAGTCTGGAACACCGTAATCCGAAAGTCGTCCCTGTTAGCCATGTTAACCTCAAGACATGAGACCACAGACGACGTCTTATCTTTCTCTTTTTCTCTTTTTCTCTTTTTCTTTTTTTCCCCCTTTCTGTCTTCCATTCGTGGCATCGTATTATTCCCTCTCTTTGCACATCCTAGACGATCAGGACATCATGATACCGTAAAGGACCCCGGGAAAGAATAGACTGCACTTGTAAAAAAAGAGAACGATAACGAGACTTACGGGGCAAGAAAAGAACTGCAACTCCACACGATCTCGGCTCTTGGATGTACGGTTGACTCTTGGTCGTCCCCAGAACGGCAGTCAAACCAAGTATTCTCTACTCTGTGCTTTGGTGTCGTTGATCGCCCTGTTTCTTTACTCTCGACTTTTGCCGTGGAATCGCCATTCCTTGGCACAAGGCGTTTCATCAGCAGTTTTTGGTGCTTCTGTGTGCTTGTTTTTCCATCTGAATACGCTCACACACACTCACGCAAGCCTCGGGACTAGTTACAGCTGTGACCATTGCATGAGTGATTGCCCGTTTCTGTCTTGCTCTCTTGTTCTAGATTTCCCTGCTTTCTGCGCACACCGTCCCCAGAATCCACGGCCGTGGGATGCTGGGATATATCAGGCAGCTCTTCCACTTCTCTCTCTTACGTTTCTAGATCTTCTCCTCTTTTGGATTTCTCTTTTCTCGTCCTCTCTCTCTTCCCCCTTCTAATCGTCTTTTCGTTTCCTGTTTGAGAGACCATTCGCCATTCCCTTTTTGATTTTATAAATAAGAGGTACGTATACGATACTATTCTCGTCGTGAGGGTTCTGCTATCTCGCCTCTCTGTCCAATCTAACACCTTGCAGCTGAGCTCTTTTTCCTTCTTTTAACTTGCTGGTCAATTTTTATTTGTATCTCGTCCTTCTTTTCTATACCATGAAGTCTGTCGCCTCCTACGTTCTTCTCGGTGCCGGCCTGGTGTCGGCCGCCACGCCACCCACGCCGGTCGTCGCCAATGGTGCAGCGGCAGCTGTAAACGTGAGCGGTGCCACGGCCGTTTCGTCGTCAGCCGTTTCCGCCACGTCGTCGGCCTCTGTCAACGGCCAGAACAACAACAATAACAACAACAACAACGGCCAGAACGGCCTCGACCTCGGCAGCCTTCTTAGTGGCTCGTCCAACGGCAATGGCCTCGACCTCAGCAGCCTTCTCAGTGGTTCCTCGCTGTCCTCGTCGCAGCTGCTCGCCGAGTTGTTCGGCGGTCTTGGCAGTTCGTCGTCGTCGTCGTCGTCGTCGTCCGTCCTGAGTCTCAACTCGCTGCTCGGCAGCTCCTCCCCGTCTCTCCTGAACGGCCTCAACCTGGGCGGCATCAATCTGGCCAGCGTCAACCTCAACAACCAGAACGACCTGCTCAACGCCATTCAGCTCATGTCCGGCGCCCTCTGCCTCAACAACCTCATCAGCGTCAACAGCCTCAGCTCGCTCGGCCAGCAGGGACAGGTCGAGATGTTCTTGGAGCTGCTTGAGCTCATGGAGCTCGAGCAGTCGGGCCTGTCCAACCTGGCCGAGATCCAGGCCCTGTTCGGCGGCGGCTCCCAGTTTGGCTTCGGCGGCGTGTCGGCCATCAACCTGGGCGTGTTCAAGCGCGCCCTGGCCGACCACAAGAAGACGACGGTCAGCGTCCGCTCCAAGGCGGTGCGCCGCATGCGCGCCAAGCGCCAGAGTGGCAACCTGAACGCGGCCAACTGCGCTGCCATCAGCGGCCAGGCGGGTGCGTTTGCCTCGCTTTCGGGTGGTGTGGACACGGCGACCGTCAACGTGGCAAACACGGCTGCGTCGGTTGCTACTGCTGTTGCGACAGCGTCTGCAGCGACGGCGGCAGGTGCGACGGCGGCTACGTCCCAGGCGGCGGCTACCGCCGCTATTGCCGCATCCGGTAGTGTTGCCGCGGCACCGGCACCGGCCGCTGCCGCGCCCGCCTCGGCTGATACCGGCCTGGCCCAATTCACCTGAGCAGGCAAATGAAAGGAGATTTTGGGACTGGGGGGTTTGGGGGATTGCACAACAAGGCTTGGATGGTTTTTGGTTTTCTGTTTATTGTTCTTTTTTGTTCCTTTTGTTCACTTTCCCTTTTCCATGTCTGCATGCACGGTTGCAACGGACGAGGAAACAGGACACACCGGTACACCAGATTTAGATAGGATACGCACAAAATATATGCCCAGGATGGCTGAAAATATAAAATAAAAAAACGAACAATGGTGGCACGACGATTGTGGAAGGAATAAAGAGTGAAATTTGTATCACGATGTTTTCTGAACGACAAGAGATTGTTACATGGCATGGCGCTTTGCGACTCATGGCCACAATCGGCTTTCATTGTTTTCCTTTGCTTTTACAAGTTTCCGGGCGTTTCCGATTGCGATCGTGAAAGACGCCAGCGTCTCTTTTGATCACGGCGAGAACGCAGAACGCCGTCGTCTTGCCTGCGTCGTTTTGGCATCACCAAGAGGAAATGGCCTCATTTATACGTCGCCCACCTCCTTGTCCCTGATTCATCTCCAGCGGCCCGGTGCCTGTCTTCGGATCTCGGATGCCTTCTTCGTGCCTTTGCCTTTGCATACTCTCTTCTTTCCCAACATGTACGATCTTGGCGGATGGCTGTCCGCCTCCTAGTCTTGACAATGCTTGTCTCCTGGGCGGTTTTGGCCTACTTTGCCTTTCTTTCCGGCACACTTTGCTCAGCATTGGCATCGCAACACGGAAACCGGAACCGACAGATCGTTGCTCTCTTATTAGGCTTTGTGTCTTTATTTTTAGACTTTGAGACGGCGCCAGACCACTCCAGACCTTGTTGTCTTGAATCTCTGTCGTCTGCTCTCGGCTTCTTCGGTTGACCTGCAAAACACCCAAAACACCCAAAACCTTATTTGATGCGATGACAGTTTTTTCAGGAGCGTCTACGGAGTGCCTCCTGCCAATGTTTCATTGAAAACAGAGGAGACGCGAGGAAAGACGAGGGTCATCGAGGGTGGATATGCCTGGCGATCCGAAATTTAGAATTTTTGATGGACAGCAGTGCATACGGTAGCAGTATTGCCATTTTGCTGGGTTATGAGAACGAGGACAAAGTGTGCTGTGCTGCGAGTCGACGCTGCGATGATAACGGCTGTATTGTCATGTTCAGCACGATTCAGCAGTTGGGACTCCGCGCGTTTGGCTTGGAAAAGAGTGTGAAACCAGGAGCAAAGTAGAGAAACGTCGAAAATCTTGCAAAAGGTAAGCATAACAGACAAACCTTGGTCTATTAGACATGCTCATAAAATCTCCGATGCATCAAGCGATCACAAAGAAAAAGGCCAAAGGAACCATCCGAGACGCCTTAGCACGTTTGTTCTTTTGCTCTTTCAATACGATTCGTACATGTTCTAGCAATCGGGCGTCCAGACTCTAGCGGAGCCATGGCTATCTGTGTCAAACAGGAAACGGGAGAAGGGGATAAAAGATCAGATCGAACAGACGATTGCATGTCGTACACGAAAAAGCAGTCGATCGCCACCACACAGCAGCGACGGCCTGCGCACTGTCCTTGGTCGACCGGCAGCTCCCATCGCCATCGCTCGCCTTGCATTGCACGATGGCCCTCGCTTCTATTTCTGTCGCCTCGTCACATGCCCATCGGCCGCACGACTCCCGTCAATGCATGAGGAGAGTGCCGTTGTTATTTTTGTACGCAGTAATACTGGCCAAGTCTACGGAGTACGCCGTATGACGCTTTGAAAGACTCCGCACGTTGCATCCCAATGCATTCGCCGGATGTGTCTGCAGGGCTGCGTCAAGTCGAACAATCTGAAACCCTTGCCACTGCCATTCTGTGACGCCGCACGGTGCCTTTTTGGACGGAAATCCCCCGTTGCAACCAAACTTCAGATGCTGGGTGGCGCTCTGTGGCGCCAATACACACACCACTGACTGCATTTTTCAAACACGGGCAAACGGGTCAACCAAAGAACGAGTCTCGTCCGAGTCTATGTTGTAGTACAGAGGTACTCCCAAGAACAGAGGCACCCTGCACAGACATTTATTTTGCGTACGGAGTATCTTACGACGACAATGGGACAGGGGCTTTTCTTGGTTCAGACGCTGTTTGCATTTAACCACTCTGCTAGCTGTGGTAGTCGATTCGGCGTGTTCTCGTCCACGGACTACTTCAACTCCGTGCAGCCCAGCCTCAAGGAACAATGGGACACAGAACATGATCTCACGCAAATGAATTCTTGGCGTTTGTGTTTTGGGGGCCGCTTCCTGGTGGGACTTTTGGAGGGCGACTTGAGTCCCTTTTCTTTTTTTAAAGACGATGACTGCAATGACAACGCTCATGGACATTCAACGAAAACGATATTGCTTGTACGAAGCAAGCCAGCTATGTTGATGCTTTCCTGCCCACCAGTGACTTGCAAAATGCCCCAAAGTCACGCCAACAGTATACGCAATATCATGACAATTACTTGAATGCCCTCCCGTGCCCTTTTGTCTCCTTCTCCTCTAATCTTGGCAAAAGACGGCCGAAACTCTGCGAAACAGAGTGCTGGCCAGCTAAACGTCGATCAGGGAGGCAGGCGGTGTGCCTCCATCCGCATCTGCACCTGCACGCTCTTTGCGGTACGCAGCGTCCTCTCGTTCCTGGGTCAATGCTACCTACCGGCGAGGCAAAACACGCACCACAGCCCCGTACTCCATACCCGTACCCCGTGTCCACGTCGACCGTTGCTGTGTTGAACGTCGACGTGCCCGTCTCCTTCTCTTTCCAATCCGGCTTGGCATGCCCTATGCACAGTGTCCAGCGTCGCATTCATGATCGCATTGGGAACAAGAGGGCTCTGGGCTCTGTCGCTTCCAGCCTCGCAGTAAGGTTAATTTTGTGCCTCCGACTGTGCGTCTGTCTTGTCTCGATACAGGAAACCTCACGACCCAGCTTGGCGACGACCCCTTCAGTGTGTGGTCAGTGTGTGGTGACTGCATCCCCCCCCCCCCCCGTCAACTCCATATAGAACATCGGAAGCTCTATGCAATGCTTATTTTGGCATCAAGTAAAGGACTGGCTCCACGCCCTCGGCCAGCTGGTCTTCCGGGGCTCTCGCTGTTGGCCTCGATCCTCGACCGCGTTGGTCCTTGCTCATGCTGTCTTTTTCTTTTTTTGCCTCTGTCGCCTGGTCCATCAAGCTTCGTCCCCCTGTCCGGCATCTGTTTCTTCCACGAGCCCTGATACCCTCTTTTCCTACCAAGCATCTGTGTTTGTTTCTCGTCTTCTCGTCCCTTCCATCGTGCATCACCCCCCCATCCCCGTTTGTCTTGTCGTTCCACCTGCTCATGCTCCCACCATACTCTAATTTTCTGGCAAGGGTTCCAGACCAAGATCTCCCTCCATGTCCTCGCCTCTCCTATGTTTTGCCTTGCCTCTTTTGTGCCCCCGTTTTAGCCATCTTCGTTTCCGTCCGGCAACGCCTGACTACCCCCCCCCCCCTTTCCTCCTCTCCCCTTTGCTCGCCTCTCCACCCTCCCTCATTTCCTTCGGATGTGTTGACAAGACTGGATCCGGACCGTGTCACAGGCCAGGAGACCTTTTCCTTGTGGCTTTTGTCAGTCTTGGCACCGTTGCCTTGGTTCATGCCTTTGCGTTTGTGTGGGTTGTGCCGCATATCGTGGGATGTGCGTCTCTACTCTGCCGCCATCTTGTCTCTTTGCCTCCCATCCTGTATATAAGACTCTCTCCCGTCGTCCCTTCTCCGTCTTCTTTTCGTTTCTCCTTTCTTCATCCACCCAAGCATCTTTCGGTTTCAGTTTGCCCATCTTCAGTCATTCTTTCTTCAGAGGTGAGTTCTTCTCCACTGCTTTTCCCTCCACGTCTTCTCTATAAATACATCCCGACCCCACATCGTGATCATCTCGTCTCCATCTCTCCTCTCTCCTCTCTCCTCTCTCCACGACTCTCACTAACAAGAACAATCGCAGCTGTGCTCGCTTCACTCATTCCATTCTTTCAGAACATTTCGAGGTACGAAAACATTATCTAAACAAACCCCAACACGACCAAACAAGAAAACTAACCACGTCCTCCTCTAGCTGTGCTCTTTTTGTTTTTACACTACTCTTTTAATACTCCATAAACTTCTTTTCGATTTTGAAAAACCCACCCCCCCCTCCCTTTTTTCCCTCAAAATGAAGACCACCAGCATCCTCGTCGGCGCTTTCGCCGCTGTTGCCGCTGCCGCCCCGGCCTCGGACGTCTCGGCCCGCTCCTCGTTCGACCTGTCGCAGCTCAACAACCTCAACTTCCAGAACCAGAACTTCCAGTACCTCAATGTCATCAACAGCCTGGACCTGCAGCTTCTGTCGCAGCTCGGCTCGGTCAACAACTTCAACATTCTGGGCTTCCAGAACCTGTTCCAGCAGAACCAGTTCAACCTGCAGTCGCTCCTGGAGTTCCAGCAGCTGCAGATGGTCCTGCAGCTGGCGCAGCTCGGCCTGTTCAACGGCTTTGACCTGTCGTCGCTCAACTTCAACAACCTCAACTTTGGCCTGATCAACGGCGTCAGCAGCTTCGACATCAACAGCCTGATTGACCAGTCCCTTGTGCCCCAGATCACACAAGTGATCCAGACTGGTGAGTCCCCCCTCTCTTTGCTACTCAGTCGAAGACATGAATTGACCTTGCTGACCACCCGCAGCCGTCATTGCCAAGGAGTAAGGATGACAATCCAGACTTCTCGACGTCGACAGCCCCACGAGAGAGAGGTCCCCGAGGCTTGAGGCCCCGGGGTGCAGGAAGGAGTCGGACGGGGGGGCGGGGGGATGGAAAGCGTGAGAGAGAGAGAGGGGAGCCTGGCAAACTTTTTGTCTGATATTTTCTTCTTGTGTGCTCGCCCTCTTGGTTGGACAAAAACCACTTTTTTATTCAATGCAAGGGAGGAAAAAGGGAAAAATATGGACAAAGCTAGCATCTCGACTCTCTCCTCGCGCTGTCTCTCTTGCCCTGCCTGTCTTGTCTGTTTTCCTGTCGGCCCGTCGCTCCAAATTCTCCCTCGCCTCGGGGACTGAACGCAAATGAGGAAAAACGCGAGACAGCAATCTCTTTTTTCTTGTTTACTTGACTTTCACTTCATTTCCTTAGCTTCTAGGTTCTATCTTCTTTTTTTTTTTCTCTTCAACTATCTCAGTTTTTCCTCGCTCTCGATACAAATGTCCGATTTTTTTACCCTTTTGACTGCTACACATGTGTTTTCTGTTTTCTTTTTTTCCTGCTTTCTTTTCTTTCTTTGATTTTTCCTTCTTGCTACGGTGTTTCGGTAGACTACAGCAAATTGGTGCGTGAGGAGGAATAGACGGAGAGGGGATGAGCCGTGGAAGTGGATGACGGGGAGAGGCGAGTGAGAGAGAGAGAGAGCCAAGTCACTCTACACTGTTCGTTCCATTTTCTCTCTCCAACTTTCTTAATCAAGTCAATCTTACAAAAAAAAAACATTTTTGTAGCCTAGCTATTTTCTGTGACACTCTCAAGTCAGTTACTACACTACACACAAAAAATACAATCCATTGGCGCATCTCCACGAACGCAAACAGAAAAAACGAGTTGGGAACGGAGACAACCATCTGGGGGAACCCTGGGTACCCTAAAAGCTTGAACGCTTAACAATCCTTACGCGATAAAAAAAGAAAGCATAAATGGCACACGTCGGGTGCTAGTCTATCCGATGTAGAAACCGGCGTAAAATGGGTGTGGCTGCCTCTCCAGTATCTGCTCGTCTTTTTGTATTTCGTCGTCTGTTTTGCCATGCATCTGTCATCTGATGCCACGCAAACAGCATGCTGAAAAAGAGAAAAAAAATAAAAATAAGGCAGGCGTACGTCGTAATGTATCCGACAATTGCAGTGTCTGATGTGCGGCGTTGTCTCCTGAGACTGAAACCATCCCGGTCCGTCAGGGGTCGTTGTGAGGTGAGTGAGTTGAGCGTCTTTGTAACTTTCTTCTAAACGGCATGCAACCGCCCGTCTTGGCAGGTTTGATGCTCGTTTTCTATATGTTGTAGTGTGGTTTGTCCCATTACAATCACGTTATTATCCGACCTTATCCCACTCTGATTAAGCTTAAGTGGGCATATTCTTGTCAAAACACATCCATTGTACAACATACCTTTGCACGCAAATTATTGGATGGGTGACAGTAAGAATATATTGTACCTTCGTTTTAACATTACACATACACACATTTTTAATAGGCTCGTACATCATCTAGGATATTCCTGAAGCAGCATATGAACAAAAAAAAAAAAATAGACAAATGCAAAAACAAATACCAAGAATACCGAATGCAGGCAGAAGCGACGCAATTTTCGCTTTATCATTAGTAGCGTGGCAACGTCCCAAACCACGCCGTTCGCCCGGCCCGTCCCCTAGTTGGACGCGGCCTGCTGCAGCTGCACGTCCTGCCGCATGGCCTGCTCAACGTCGTCTCGGTCGGGCATCACGGTGTCATCTGACTTTGCGTCGTCGTCATCGTCGTAATACTCCTGGTCCTCGACGTCGTCGTCGTCCTCGTAATTGTAGATGCCGTCCTCGTTTTCGTCGTACTCAAAGCCAAAATCGACGTCCGTGGACGTGCTGGCCGTGGCCGTGGCCATGGGCGCGTTGGCCGCTGTCACCGCCGGCCGTACGACGACCACATCGTCAAACGAGCTCGTCGTCAGCGCCACCGACGGCGACGACGACAAAGACGCCACCGACGAGCTGCTCGGCGTCGCCAGACTGGCGGAGGCGCTCGTGCCGGGCAGGGTCGAGTAGCCGTCCTGGACGGCGCGGCTGACGTCGCTGGGCAGCGAGGAGCTGTTCACCGATGCCGTGCTCGGTAGGGAGTACGTGGCAGAGGTGGCTGAGGCAGTGGCAGTGGCGGCGGCGGCGGCAGCTTGGGCGGGCGTCAAGTTGAGTCCGTCAAAGTTGCGGACCATGATGAAGCTGCTGGACACGCTCTGGGCATCGTCGTCCTCGTGGTTGCCACCGTCACCAGCTCCACGCGCCGTACCTGCGTCGCTCATCGCCGCGTCTCCATACCGCTCCGTGTTTCCGGCGTCGCTGATGGAAGGTGGGCCGGCCATGCTCAGCGTGTCGTCGATGCTCGGCGTGCTCATGCTCGTTTCGGTCGTGCCGGTGTGGTACTCTGGTCCGGGCGAGATGGGTCCGAGATGAGCCGTGGGGAGCGCTGGCTCAAAGACGGCGCCTGTACCGTCGTTGTCGCCGCCTGCCCACAAGGGAAGAAACCGGAACTCCTCATTGGACAGGCCCAGCAACAGATGCGGCGAGGCGCGAACCACCTCCAGCTCAAACTCGGGGAAAAAACAATCGCGGTCGTAAATCCTCTTGTACAGGCGGGAGGCGTGGTAGTAGAGGGCATAGCGAAAGTCGACAGCCGTAAATGCTTCCAGCTCGCCCATGGACTGGAGGGAGTACAGGGTCACATCTTGTCCGATCATGGGCTTCAGATGATCCAGCAGGTCTAAGCGCAGCTTGTCACGTATGTCCCCGGTGCCGATGGGAACGCCATAGATCAGGGACTTGAAGAGGGCGGCGTTGGCGGAGGCGACGAGATCCATAAAGTGGGTGCGATCAAACTGCTTCGACAGCTTATCCTCCACAGACCGGCCGAGCAGGCGCCAGTACACGGCCGTCATGGCTTTCTTGTCGTCGGGCAGGTCGTTGTAGATGTGGACAAACCAGTTCTTGTGCAGCACATTCTGGCGCACGTAGAAGCTGAGGCTCTTTTGGACGTCCTCGGTATACGTATTGTTCAACAAGTCGGAGTCGGCCAGGCTGCGGGGGAAGCAGACGCGGACAATGTGGGTAAGGTGGTCCAGGAGCCGGCGAACGGCGGCCAGCGCATTCGCGACGGGATAGTCATGGGGCCCTAGGAGATGACGCGTGTCGACCTGGGCAATGGTTTCCTCGATCTTGACAAACTTGGTGAGAACGTCGGCGATCTGTTGCAGCTTGAGAATGGGTCCATTGTATGTCTGGAACATGGTCGTCAGCGATTCGTACTCGTACTTGTGCACAACATCAGGGATCACGATGGAGGCCCCCGTCGCTGTCAGGTCCTCTGAGGCGGAAAACTCTTGGATGCGAGACTTGGTCTCGGCAACCTCTGTGTCCCGGTTTTGCATGATGCGCTGGACAAAGGCCTCGCTGGAGTGGTCGATCATGGTCTCCATGTCCTCGTCGAGCAGGCCCGACAGCTCGCGGCCAAACACAGACTTTTGACGGCTCTGGTACTTGCGCGGCTGGGCGTCGGTGGTGCCGGCCTCTTGCAGGGCGCGCTCAGCGACAAGGATGCGATACGCAACACGGGCAACGACAGGCAGTTTGATGTTCCATGCAATAATAAAGCACTCCTCCGGTAAGATGTCGACGATGTTGACGTTGTTCAACCTGAAGAACCAGTCTGAAACGATTGAGCGAAGGCGGTTTGCAAAGGCGAAACCGGTAAGCGGCCCGGACTGGTTCTGGCTTCCCGCCACCGAGGTAGCGTTGATGTGGTAGACATCGCTGCTCTTGAGGTGGAAAAGCTTCGCGAGGCCGGCAATGGTGAACACACGGGCGGCGGAGTTGAGGTGGAGCGGCTTGCCGGCCATGGCCAGCAACAGCCGGATGACGTTGGCAATGTGACGGACCTCACAGTAGTCGTCGATGCGGAACTCGGGTGCCAGCGGGAGGTCCCAGATGGAGCCAGTCAGCGAGCCGTCCTGCAGGATGGCGGGATCGGCGGGTGCGTGTGTGATCTCCGGCCTTTGTGGTGACGAGGGTGGTGGCACAGGGGACTCGTCCGAACCAACGTCTTCAAGATCGGTGGCCTCTCTCTCTGTGGCTCCGGTGTCCGAAGTGGACTCGACGGATGTTTGTGCGACTCCGTCGGACGGCGAAGTCGCTGGCTCCGGGACAGCATCGCCTTGGACGGTCAGTGGTTTGTGCTGGCCATTGATCCAGTAGCCCGGCTCGTCGATCTTGGCACCCCGGATTTTCATGTCGAAACAGTGGCAGGCATCGTCGTGGCCGCCGGCGGCGGAGATGGGCACACGTCGGGCTGGATCGAGGCGGGTCATCATGCTGTACTGCACAATGCCTTTGGGCAAGGTCAGGGCCTCGAGGTGCTCTGACCGCAGGTCAAAGTCGATCGACGGTCCCAGGTCGAGCACGTAGCGGATCTTCTGCATGACTGTGGCTGCATTGTCCCCGAGTAAGCCGCTGAGCAGCAGCTTGCTCGCTTGTCGTTTTTGGTAGCGCTCGTCGTCGAGCAGCTGGGCGAATTTGGCGAAGCCACTGTCACGGAGAACGGCCGAGTTGTAGCAGAGCAGCCAGCTGGTGGGGTAGGCTGTGCCCATGCAGGTCATCTTGATGGCAGCGGCCGAAGAGGGCGGGATCTGGAGCCAGACGAGGGTGTCGATCTGGGCTTCGGGGAATACATTGGCAAACTCGGCCTCGGCGGCGATGATGTGGGTGACATCTTGGTCGTGCAGCCGGTTGGTCTGCTCCCGCTGGACGTCCAGCGGGCTGTGACGTGATACGTGCAGGTCGCTCTGTATGAGGGAGAGAGGGAAAATGTCAGCGATGCTGCTGTCTCTCATTATTACTCGAAAGATATAGCAAGAAAAGACGAACTCACCATTTTGATGGCCTCTTCTAAACGTTTCTGAAAGAACTCGGATGGAAACCGCGCACGCAAACACAATGAAGGAGACTTGTTAGCGAAGGGCCGAGTCGCTTGTGGTTTGGGTGAGACGTCGTTTGTTGAAAGAGGACGAGACAAAGACGGGCGAAGAGACGGAGGAAGCGAAAAGCCGTGCAACTTGTAAAACGGATCAAAGCATCGAGCGTCAGAAACTGTCTATAAAGCAGACTCTGCGGGTCGCTCAGAGGCAGTTCCAAGACGAGACCGGGCCCAGCGGGGCCAGGGTGGCAGGACGACGGCACTTGCTGGTGCCTTGTCGATATCGCGATGAGGTGGTTTTTGCTTGTCACAAATCGAAGATTGCCATTCGATCGCGATGGGTTGGGTAAGGAGAGAGGGAGAGAGAGAGAGAGAGAGAGAAGAAAAGAGAGAGAAGAAAAAGAAAGAGAAGAAAAAGAGAGAGAGTCAGACGCCAGGCACCAGCGCAAATTCAAGACGGCGACGGGGGAAGGAGCGACAGTCAATTGAATGACGGAGGCAAGAGGCAAGAACCAGAGAACCAAAACGAGAAACAGCAAACCGCAGCACAAATTGCCAGCTGTGACGGAGTGAATGATTGCGGGAAGGAGCGATCTTCACGTGTTCTAGGCATCCACCACCACAGGCCACAGGCTGCAACCCAAGCTGTACGACTGTTGCGCAAGCTTGCTCGTTCTCATAGGCTTCCAATCCTGATGAAGGTCGAGATTCTGCAACTTACAGGATTAAAGCGGGGCATCCAAACGGCATGCGGCTGCAGGATGAGTCGTTCTTTCCATGAGAGGGGCCAGATGTTACCGGTGGGAAGGAGCAGAGCAGCGATGCCGAATGCTAAACGGCAAGAGCTCGGCCGCCTTGAAAGACATCCTTCAACAGCGGCCACATCATGACACAGTCATTGTGGACGTGCATCTGCGGCGATTGGATTGTTTACCGTCGTCTTGAGTCACAGCCGTATCGAGGACGCTAGGGCCTGTCAAATCTTGTGTCAGAATGGCTTGGTTGCCTCATTGCTCCAGTTGTCAACTCTGGGATAGCGCCCTCGCGCCTTCCGTCCCAAGTCTTATCGGCATATGGGGCTCTGTTCTCTTTCTGGGGCAGGTGCACGTTCGACGCCTTAGAGACAGAACAGGAAGGCGGGGCAAACGGGCAGTTGCACCTCACTGGCTTAGATAATTTTCATATTGTAAGACCTGCCAGGCTCAAAAGAAACGAAACGCAACTCGGACGTCGGTCGACATGGGGTTGCATTATTCTGATTGGTGAAAAGATAACCTGGGCCTGATTGCCCTGCGGCCAGCCGCGTGCAGGCCTTTGGTTCGTTGGAAGAAGATAACCTGTAGGCGAGAAGGCCTTCTCTTCTTTCTGATTTAAACAACTCCGTTAGAATTGGGGAAGGCGCGGAGCATTGACGAGGTTAAAACTGGAAGTAGGGCGAGGTGAATTAGGAAGGAACAGTTGACGCCAAGAACGACAGCTTCTTATCTCAGATAAGACACAGCGCTCTATTCATATTCGATGTATCTACAAAACACAATTCAGGACAATGTGGAAAACGCGACCAGGACGAGAACCGGGAACATCCAGGCCAGCGACACCAACCCGGGCGCGGCCCAACGCCCAGGCGTGTCTTGCATGCGTTGGGGAGGGGCGAAACGGAGCACGCGACCTAATGGGGCGAAACGACAGGTGAACCACACAACGCTACCCCAGCGCCCCAAACAAAGCGGGGATGCCTCCACCAGGAAGAGCTCGTTAGTGAGGATGAGAGGGTGAGAGGGCGAGGGCAAGACTGTGCATCTCGATGCCTCTTCTTCTGCGTATCCGACTGCATAAGGCATAAGTTACTTGGCGTGAAGGGAGTTATTGCAGAGCAATTCCGTTAGCGAAGATGTGAACGAAAGACGAGACGCAGACTCAAAGAAACAGACGTATCTCAAAGGTAAAAGGTACCGATGACGAACAGATCTGAAAAGGACCGCGAAAAGGTGCCGATCGCCCCTGTTTTGCGCCTTCCTGTTTTTCTCCTTCGGTCTAGCTTGGTTCCTCCGCAGCTTCTTATTCTGGTGGTCTAAATCCCCCTCTTTCCCGTCTGGACATCGTTCGCAGAGTCTCAACAAGCCAACTCGTGCATCTTCATCGAAACAAAGACATCTCGACAGCCGTTAGATGAAGCATCGCAAAATCAGTACAGACAGACTACCCCCTACAGAATACCGGCATCATCCAAAGCGTCCGCCGCGAGACACACAGCAACCATGGCCGTCGCACCCCCAAAGTATGTCTTTTCTTGGTTCTTGGCCCGCTTGAACACAAGCCTCGGTCTTCGTCCTGTTCTTCCTGGTTTGTCGTTGTCTGATTGCCGGGAGTCCTATTGACTAACACTTAGCCCTTCTAGCCGCTTCCGTACCGCGGCTGCCATTGCCGTCGCCGCCGCCCTCGGTGTCGGCTACACCGTCCGCCGCAACTCCAACCGCCTCCGTGAAAACGAGCTTGTCCAGCAGCGTGCGCGGACCGGCACCGCGACGCCCGTCACGACGACGAACCCGCCGAACCTGTACGTCAGTGTCGACCGGAGCGGCGGCGGGATTTGAGCAAATGCAGGCGCGTGGACGACGACAACTGATGTGGCTGCGAGGCTATCCCACCGACGCCATGTGCGTCCAAACTATGCGATCTCGTAACACGACACGAGAACGTCAATCAGCTGCCGTTGCACCAAAGTCGATGCGTATTGAAGGGATTGGATTCTCTGCCAGGACTACGACAATCGGACACTCATTTTCACGGCGTTGCTTTGTTTGACCAACGATTTGGCAGCTTTTATTTCAAGACATCTCCTCACACTGTTTCTGCTGTACGATTGCCACGCTGCCTTTTTAGACGGTTCACGGAATAACATCTACTTTTCGAGTACAAATTGGCCATTGCCGGTGAAGTAAAAGACACGACACGGTCCAGACTGCAATCGGACGATTTTCGGTGAATAGGCAAACGAGTCCATGGGCATGGTCTGTGAACCTGGGAATGGAAACCTGGAGGATTAGGAGAAGCATTGCCGGCGCAGAGATGGAAGCGGAGGCTCCTAGAAATGGGGCGGCCGGCAAGCTGCGGAGAGGGGAAAGTGTTGTCAACTGTGCTACGACTGGCCGGCCATGACAGGATAAACAACCCAGGTCTATTCAGAGTTTGTTTCCCGGTTTATTGTATATAGGTACTTTCATTGTCTGATTTTCACTTTGATTTTTAGTTTAATTAATTCCGGGATTTTGGAAAGACAATGTCAATGACGCTGGATTTAAATCACAATATGGAGAAGAAATTGTTATAAATGCAAACCCAGAACCAGACTCGGAAGAGATGCTCTTGCGTGCACAGGAACACGACATGACGCGAATAAAACATGAAAACAGGATCCGGTCAGACAGAAACGATAACACATAATGCAAACAACACCATGAATGCCATCCAAACAATGCAGACAAGAAAGAGAAAAATGAACAAAGTAGGACAAAGTAAAGACAAAACAGCCACCCAACATAAATAGAAAAATAGCAAAACCAAAAGAACAAGCAATGCTCGACTCGTCGACAGCAGCGGATCCAGTCTGCCACGCATGACACGGTATTCTGAATTGCAATGACCAGAGCAATAGAATAGGCTTTCTTGCGCAGCCGCCGTGCCTCCTGCACTCCTTCTATAGCCGGTAGACGCTGTCGCTGTCGTCATCGTCCGAGACAACGGCCGCCCGCCGGTCGACTTCTTTGCCCTTGGCCGGCCGCGGCACGTGGCTCTGGTGTTGGCCCTGACCGCCGCCGGGGCTCTCGCTCGCTTCGTTGCGGTCGCCACCTGCACCGCCTCCCCTCCCGCCGCCACCTCCCGTTCCGGCACCACCAACAGGGCGTGGGATCTGCCGAAGGATGCCCGAACTGGCCACACGGGGCAGCTGGCTGCCGGGACCAGGACCGGGCGGCGACGACATGCCGAGGCTGGACAGTGTGGCCGACACAGGGATGCGGCTGCCGGTGGGGCTCTTGGGAGTGTTGCTGCTGCTGCCGCTGCTGCCGCTGCCGGCGGCGGGACCTGTTGCCTGGGGTGTTGGTGTTGGGGGATGCACGGCCATTGATGGCGCCGACGGCACCGACGGCGCTGACGGGCCGAGGACCGTCGGCATGCGCGACAGGGGCGGGCCCGCTCGCAGCGTCTCGTGCCGGGCGTGTGGGGCCTGCGAGGCACCGTGCCGTTCTTGGCCCGTCTCGCCCTCGGAGCTCGACACGACGGCACTGGCGTGCCCGCTCACGGCGGCGCTGGTCCGTCCGCTGGCGTGCCCGCTGGCGTGCCCGCTGGCGTGCCCGCTGGCGCGCCCGCTGGTGCTCGCCAGCGTCTGCTGCTGCTTCTGGAGCGACCGCAGCTCGTGCACGACGTCGGTAAAGCTCTCCTCGAGCGTCTTCATGCGCGCCAGCACCAGGCGGCTCATGCGGTCGCGGTCGCGGTCGGTCTCGCCCACGGCGCGGGCGTTGTTCATGGCGGTGGCGAGGGCCAGCTGGGAGGCGAAGCTTCCCGGCAGGACGACGTCGGGGGCGCCGAGGGGCGGGCCGACGGCGGACTCGGAGAGCAGACCCGAGGCCGACACACCGGCATCAACATCGACGTCGTCCGAGCCCATGCCCAGCGACGACAAGCGGCGCTGCTGCAGACGGCGGACGGGGCTGTCGATGGGGCGGGGCGGGTGCCGGACGTTGCCGGGTGGGTGGCCTGCGGGAATCCCTGGTTGGGTTTGCGCGGCGAGCGCTGGCCGGCAGCGGCGGGGGGCGTACCCGGCGGCGCCACGGCCGATGTGTCGTGGCGGCTCGAGCGTGGCCGTGGCCGAGACGACGACGACGACTGCTGCTGCTGCTGCTGCTGCTGCTGCTGCTGTTTTTGTTGATGGGGGTGTTGATGTGGATGGTGGCCAGGTGTGGGCGACGGTGAAAAGAAGAGTCCCCCGGGTGACTGGCGCACGCCTAGGATGACGTCGCTGGCATCGCTCCCCACGTCGTTGCTGCCGGGGACGGGGGCCGGGTCTGCGTTGGGCGGGTTGTATAGAATGGTGTTGCTCGAGAGGGCGCGGGAGTGCATCGCGCGGCGTGACGAGCCGGGCCGGGGCGGCTTGGGCGGGCTCGTGGCGCTGGACATGTTGCCAATGTGGCCGATGTTGCCGATGCGGCGGGGGCTGGCCGGAGATGGCCCGGTCGCGCCTGGGCCTGGGCCTGCGCCCCCGCCCGCGTCCACCTCGTCGCCGTCGTTTTCGTTGTCGTCCTCGTCCGTCGCCTTGGGCGACTCGGGCGACCGTGCCGCTACGTGGAGGAACCGCGACGCAACGGGCGTCGCAAAAAAGTCGCCACCGTCGTCGTCCTCGTTGCCGTCCCCCGCCTCGTCGTTTGTCGGATTCTCGTCACCATCGTCGGCATCGTCGGCATCGTCGGCATCGTCGTCGTCGTTGCCCACGTCGTCTTCGCCATCGCGTCCACTCTGTCGCGACAGCATCGCCGCCCGCGAGTGCATCGGCGTCAGGCCATGGCCGCCCGTGTTGGTCACCTCGTCTTCGTCGTCGTCGTCGTTGGTGACCAGCTCGTCGTCGCCCTCGGCGTCTGTGTGGTCCTTGAAGGCCGCCTCAAAGGGGCTCCGTTGCGGCGGGTAGGGGTGCATGCCGAGCATGCCGAACGTGCGCACGTCCCGCGTCGCCAGGCCGGGCATGGCCGACACCGACATCAGGTCGGCCGGGTCGCTGGCGGTCGACCGCACCTCGGACATGTGCCGGAACCGCGAGGCGGCGGTTCCAAAGTGGTTGACGCTCATGCGCCGCTGCCACTCGTGGTCGGTGCCGGCCCCGCCGCCAGCAGCACCGCCGCCGCCAACACCAGGAGCACCACCACCGCCGCGCCTGTCCAGGGTCGAGTACGGCGTGCCGTCGTGCTGGTCCATCCAGTTGCGGATGGCCGTCTGGGTCTTGCGGCGCTCGTTGCGGCGCTGCGTGCGCAGGGTGGCAATGTCCGGGGTGCGGCGGAAGACCTCGTCGAGGGCGCGGTCTTTTTGGTAGCCCGCCACCGACTCTTCCCGGAGCCGGATGCTGGGGCTGAAGAGGACGGGGCGGCCGTTGGGGTCCGCAAACGAAATGCCGCGGTGGCGCGCGGGGCCGTGGCCGTGGCCGTGGCCGTGGCCTTGGTGGTCGACGAGGTCCGTCGGCTCGTACATGTAGGGGGCCAAGAAGAATGTCTCGTAGACAAAGATGCTGAACAGCAGCGGGAAGTGGGTGGCCTTGATGACGAGGCGGTTGAGGGCGACAAAGTGGTGCAGGGGCATGCAGTAGCGCAGGGGCATGAGCATCCAGGCAAAGATGTTGGTGGGCGCGACGTACGAGAAGAGGGCGTCGTTCTTGACCATGGAGATGGTGTTGATGGCAAACAAGAACTGGTGCTCTTCGTTGGCATTGGACGCAATGGCCATGAACGAGTTGGTCAGGACGGTGATGAGGATGGTCACGACGACAAAGTGGCAGATGATGAGGAAGAGCACGAGCAGCGTCTTGCCCAGCACATTGTACGTCGGCCAGGCGTCCCAGGCGGCCGGCGTGAAGCCCATGAGCAGCTGGAAGATCATGTAGGCGACGTCGGCCGGCGCGTTCTCGGTGTCGGACAGCGTGAAGAAGACAAAGAAGCCGGAGCACGACACGAGGATCAGCACAAAGACGGCGGCCAGGTCGACGGCCATGAGGCGGAAGGCGATGAGCAGCTGCGAAAAGTACCGGGAGTGGTCGAGGACGCTGAAGATGCGCGGCAGCAGCAGGATGGCGTTGGCCGCCAGGATGTCGTAGGCGCTGTCGTTCCAGCGCTGGGCGTCGGCCAGGAAGACGCCGCAGATGCGCAGCGAGTAGTAAAAGATGAGCAGCAGCAGGATGCCCAGATCGAAAATGTTCCAGAAGCTCATCATGTAGAGCGAGAAGCCCTGCTCGTTGAAGCCGACGAGCTCGTCGAGCATGAAGCCGGCGCTCCAGAACCAAAAGACCAGCTCGAGGGTGGTGATGCGGCTCGAGTGCTGCGCGAGGACGGACAGGAACAGGCCGATCAGGATGGCGAGCGAGCACGTCGACAGGAACTGGCGGTAGCGGGGCACGCGCAGGCGCGACAGCTTGAACAGCGAGGCGTTGCGCGGGTCGTAGAGCGTGACCGTGCGGCGGTGGAGCGCGGGCGGCGCAGGCGGCGCGGGCCGGGCATGCTGTGGCCGTGTTGGCTCCTCTTTGACCGGGTGGCTACGGCCGAGGAGCGGCGTCCGCTGGTCATTGGCGCTGTTGCGGCGGCCAGCGTTGCTGTAGTTGCCGTAGTTGTAGTTGCTGTAGTGGCCGCTGCGCTGTGCGTTGTGCCGATGGGACGCGGCCGCGACCGCGACCGCCACCGCCGGGGCCTTGCCGTTGTGGCTGTTGCTGCGGTGCAGCTGGTCGGCCGACGAGTAGAAGCTGATGGCGCCGTTCCAGATGGCCTCGAGATGCTGCACGACGAGTGGGTGGGCCAAGAAATGCTTGGCCGACGCGCGGATGGCGACCTCGAGCGTCGAGATGCGCGCGGCGGGTGCGGAGCCGGGCCGGGCCGACGACAGGCCGACCGACGACGTGTGGTGCGGGGAGAGCGGGCGCGAGGAGACGCCGGGGCCGGTGGCGGCGGCAGCAGCAACAGCAGTAGCATCGGCGCCCGGGATGCCTTGCAGCGGGTTGAAATCGTAGGACAGGGCGTCGATGAGCTCGCGGGTGGTGTACTCCTTGAGCAGCTTGATGGCGAGCAGCTCGCAGACCTTGGCGCGGGTGTTGCTGGTGCCGGCGTTGCCCGGGAAGAACTGGGCCTCCTTGGCGAACTGCAGGCAGTTGGCCATGAGGGCGTAGAGGGTGGCCCTGGAGAAGTGCTGGGCGCGGATCTGCTGCTGCATGGGCTTGACCAGGAACTGGGAGACTTGCGGGGACCGCAGCTGTTCCCAGGTGAGGGTGGTCTCGGTGCGTGCCTGGACGATGATGCGCATGGCGTGGACGATGCTGTAGACGGGAAGGGCGTCGAGGTGCGAGGCGGAGAAGAGCGGGAGCACGTGCGAGGCGCGGCGGCCGTCTTCGTCGGCTGGCACATCGCCGCGACGACGCCCGCCGTGTATGCCGTCGTCGTCGTCGTCGTCGTCGTCGTCATCGTCGTCGTCGTCATCGGCTTCTGTGAAATCAGCGGTGGCATGCCGGAGGTGAGCATAGGCCGAGCCTGGCGATGGTCCCTGACTGTCTAGGTGCTCGTCGTCCACCTCGACCGACATCCGAGGAAAGGTGCGCGTGTCCGCGTCCAGGTGAGGGTCCAAGTGAGGATCCAAGCCAGGGTGCAAGTCAGGGTCCATGGCCAGGTCTGGGTCGGCGTCCATGTGGGAAAGCAGCTCGTTTCCGGCGGGCCGTTTCTTGCCGTGGACGGCGCGCAACATCATGGAAAACATGTTGCATGCGGGTGGTTGTGCTGCGGGGGGACCGAGGAGGGGACGTTCAGCCAACCGAACATAGGGCATATGTCGTGTGTCGTATGCCGCTGTCGTCTGTGTTGTCGTACGCCGTCAAGTAGCGGCCGCAGAAAAGTCCCTCCCTGGCGTCCTGGCGCATTCCCTCGCCGGCGCCGGTCGTCAACAAAACTCAAAGGCACATCTCCAACGAGGTCCAAGGGGGGAAGAAAGAGAGGGAGAGGGGAAGAAAAGAAGAAGGGGAAAAGGGAGGAGGGGAGGGAGGACAGAAAGGGAGACGGGGGAGAAGACGGGGGAGGAAAGAGAAAAAAGGAGGCGCGGGAGAGGCTGCGTAGCCGCTGTAACGAAACAGAGCAAACGTAAAAAGAAAACTGTACAAACAAGAAACAAGGAAACCAGGAAACAAGGAACAGACGAAAGGATGTGGGACAGTCGAGAAGAACAAAATGGAATAACACGGATGGAATAAAATAGAAACGTGCGTTCGAGTGCCGTGCGAGTGCCGTGCGAGTGCCAGCGAGGCCGAGCCCACACACCTTTCAGCTGCTTCTGTCTGCAAGTGACGCGCGAGAAGCGCGATGCAGTGTCGTCCGTTCGTCGTATTGCCTCTGTAACTTTGGAGCGGCTGGGCGCTATCAAAATTAAGGAGAGCCCGATAAGGTGAAGAAAGTCGAGAAAAACAGGGGCGCGAGTGGGTAGCGCAGGCACGCCGAGACCATCTTGCGGAGCAATGTGGAGGCTGCACGATGGAGAGTGAGTGTGAACTGATGAGTGTAAAAGCGAGACGGCCGGGTGTCGTGGTGTCCTGAACCCTGGTAAGACACGAGTCGTTGAGCAGGCTGTTTCTTGTTTCGGCAGCTGAAGCGGGCAAAGGGCAAAAGGACGATGTGGCGTTTATGTTTTGGCGAGGCGGAACAAAGGCAAGATAAATGGTCGAGACGGGAGGGTAGGGGTGTGGGTGAGCGGAGTGAAGCTGTGCCAAATGGGACTAAGAGACAAGAATGCAAAAGTAACAATGAAATAAACCAAAAAAGAAGAAAAAAAAAAAAAAAACAAAGTGCAAACGAAGCCCAGTGACGGTCGCAGAGCAGGATCGTCAACGACTGGCGACACAGGCACAAGCACAGACTGAGAGCGGACGCCGGCACGTCTGGTCCTGTGGTGTGGCGTTGCACTGCAGCGAGCAGCATCGTTGGAGCAGCTCAGTTTGGACACAGCCTGACGGGTCTCATGCTCCTGCTGATGCTACATGCTAAATGTCCGCCTGAGACACGAGCACGATCCTCGAGCGTCCTGCAGCAACGCTAGAACGGCCCTTAACGGCTCGAGTGACCTTGAGTGACCTTGAGTGACCTTGACCAACCTTGACCAACCTTGAGCGACCTTTGCGGAGAATTTCTCCCTTGCGTGGCAAGCCTCTGTCTCGCAGTGTCCTCCTGGCAAGCAAAGACACACATGGCTTGGATAAGGGACCAGTACGTCGTATACACGATAACGGATGCCGTCAGATGCGTCAGATGCCGTCTGCTCTGAGAGACAGCCCCCAACTAGGCTGCATGTCGGGTATATTAACTGTCTGGTGTCGACAATCCCTCAATGTCTGGGGACAAGACAACGGGACATCACTGGCCACAAGCTGGAGTGACACATGCAGGCTGAACTCGCCGCTTATTGGGTCGATTGGTGCAGTGGCCGCCGCCAAGCTGAGATCGTCTCCAGCCGTGGTCTGGTGGTGCCGTGGACGAACCTGCACAGAGCGCACCAGACGCGCTGATTGGTAGCTTGTCGGGGCTCGTAGGCATAGAGAGTGCAGCCGAGCGTAAGAGCTTGCAGGTGGAGTAGGGGTTCACACGACGCACAGGATGCAGCCGGGCCAGCCTCGACAGCCTTCTCTGGAGTGGGCGACTCCTCGAGCAGACGACTGCCCTCTTGACACTCACTGGCTTGCTTCTGTAGCCGCGCTCTTCCAGGTTGTGCCGTTTTGTGTACGATTAGACATAATTGTCGAGGCTGACAAGAACTCTGTCAAGACAGAACCCGTCGACGATAAGTACTTGCCCTGTGCAGCTCGCAATTGTCGGTGAGGCAAAATGGTGGGCGTGGTGCTCCACATGCAGCAAGTCCTGCAAACGCAACGCCACGCTGAAAGCGGCAAGACAGTGAGACAGTCAGTGGTGGTCTGGGCTTCTGTGTGGGTGGTCGAGTGCCATCGAATCCTTCCTGCGTGGGTTGCGCGTAGAATGAGGAACGACTCGAACAGGGGTGAGACCGCTGGCGGGAGGACGTCTGCGCGATGTGCTTCCTTTCCTTGTTTGTGCCGTCTTGCTGGTGCCGCTTGCTTGTCATGTCTTGCTTTTGTGCTTTTCTCTGGCAACGTCCTACTCGCATCACGTATTGTCCATACATCGTAGAGCGCAGTCAAGTCGGCAGTCGGCACGCATCAACTCTGAGCGGCATCGTGGGATTCTCGACAGTGCTTCAGAACGGCATCAGCCACTCTTTCAACACGCAAGTCCTCTTTCCCGTGTCTCCATTTGCCCACGTCGTCACTGCTGCCGTTGTCGGAGCTGGCACAGTGAGCCTTGCCATCAACTCAACAGCACTGACCGACTGGCCTGTGTTTTGGAACCATTGCAGTCTCGCGATAATGGCTCGACCTTGATACGCGTGTTCCTGTAAACAATGTAAGATACTCCGTGTAAACACCCGTTAGCGTCCAGTAGGGCCAGCTAGAGTCAACGAAGCATCCCGACCATGTTGCTGTCCTGCCTCGCTGCCATGGCTGCTGAACTTCCTGTCCACCGCCTTCCCACAGCGTCAAGGCGGTCAGCAAGTCGAGTCCCTTAGGCCCTGTTTGTTTTCTCGGACCCGCGCAGCGTACCAATTGGCCAACCACAGCGCCCTGTCGCGATGCACCCGCTGGGACGTGGGAGGTGGGTCGTCTGTATTCTGGAATTCGTACGGTGAGGCTGTCAGAGACTCGGCTCCTTCAGAGACACTCACTGGATAGAGGACGCCCCACGCGTTTCGCGGTTTCAGTCATCCACTGTTCGCACGGTGGGACTAGAGTGGCACTATACTGTTAGTTGATTGGTCGGATGCATATACGCAAAAAAAGTTGTAAGAGCAACCAAGGCTGGACAAAAAAAAAAAAAAAAAAAAAAAAAAAAAAGAAGGGCGACTCGGGGACTAGTCAGAGATTTTCTTTGCTAGAAAGCTTTTCTCGCGTCTCTTTTGCTTCCTCTCTTTCTCTCTTTCTCTCTTCCTCCCCTCTTCCTCCCCTCTTCCCCTCCTCCTCTCCTGTTATACCATCTCTTCTTCAAAGGACTCACCTGTGTGCCATCTCAAGACACAGCCGTCTGGCGAAGAAGCATTGGTAGAACTGCGAGACAGAGACGCTCCGCTCGAAACACGCTGCTGCTGCTCTGCCGCTCTGCCGCTCTGCCGCCCTTCTCTCGTCTCTCGCCGGTCCCGACACCCCGACCGAACCCGTTCACTCGATTGTTCTGCCGCCTGTGTCGTTGCAAAAGAGCTGATTGCAGAGATCCGAGTCGGCCGGACGAAGAGTCATCTCTCGTCGCCGTCGTCGTCGTCGTTCTCAATTCGCTTCTTCCCTCTTGTTTTCTTCGTTTTCGTCTTCCCCGCTCCCCCAGCCGACATGGCCCCTCCGTTCTTCCCCCCGGCCTCGGGCCGCGTCTTCGACAGCGAGGCCGCCGAGAAAATGGTCAGCCTCGAGCTCCAGGACGGCTCCGTGTACCAGGGCTACAGCTTCGGCGCCGACAAGAGCATCGCCGGCGAGCTGGTCTTCCAGACCGGCATGGTCGGCTACCCCGAGTCGCTGACCGACCCCTCGTACCGCGGCCAGATCCTGGTCCTGACCTTCCCCCTCATCGGCAACTACGGCGTGCCCTCGCGCGCCGCCCTCGACGCCCTGCTGGCCGACCTGCTGCCCGCCCACTTTGAGTCGTCGCAGATCCACGTCGCCGGCCTCGTCACCGCCTCGTACGCCGGCGAGGACTTTTCCCACTTCCTGGCCGAGTCGTCCCTCGGCGCCTGGCTCAAGGAGCAGGGCGTGCCCGCCATGCACGCCGTCGACACCCGCGAGCTGACCAAGCACATTCGCGAGTCCGGCAGCATGCTGGGCCGCATGCTTCTCGAGAAGGACGGCGGTCTGTCCAGCGGGGCCGGAGCCACCGGAGCCACCGGGGCCACCGGGGCCAATGGGGCGACCTCGGCCCTCTCGTCGGCCATCTCGTCGACCCTCTCGTCGATTGTCTCCTCGCCCGAGGTCGGCACCACCAACGGCACCACCACCACCACCACTTCCACCGCGACGACGCCCGCCGACGACGACGTCGTCATCGACCGCTCCCTCCTCGCGCCGTACACCGCCGCCAACTGGCGCCCCCACTTTGAGGCCGTCGACTGGCTCAACCCCAACGCAAAGAACCTGGTCGCCGACGTCTCCATCCGCGCGCCCAAGCTGTTCCGGCCCCCCGCCGACAAGGCCCTCAAGCACCCCTCCGGCCGCACCCTGCGCATCCTGTGTCTCGACGTCGGCATGAAGTACAACCAGCTGCGCTGCTTCCTCAAGCGCGGCGTCGAGGTCCTCGTCGTCCCGTACGACTACGACGTCGCCCGCGCCGCCGCCGCCCACGAGTACGACGGCCTCTTTTTGTCCAACGGCCCCGGCGATCCCGCCACCCTCGACGCCACCGTCCGCAACATTGCCGGCGTCCTCGCCAAGAACCAGACCCCCGTCTTTGGCATCTGCCTCGGCCACCAGCTGCTCGCCCGCGCCACCGGCGCCACCACCACCAAGATGAAGTTTGGCAACCGCGGCCAGAACATCCCCTGCACCTCCCTCGTCACCGGCCGCTGCCACATCACCTCGCAGAACCACGGCTACGCCGTCGACGCCGCCAGCCTCGCCGACGGCTGGCAGGAGCTGTTTGTCAACGCCAACGACGGCTCCAACGAGGGCATCATGCACACCAGCCGCCCCTACTTCTCCGTCCAGTTCCACCCCGAGAGCACGCCCGGCCCGCGCGACACCGAGTTCTTGTTTGACGTGTTCCTGGCCGCCGTCCAGGCCTGCGCCGTCGACCCCGCCCACCTGGCGCGGCCCGTCCGCTTCCCCGGCGGCACCGCCGCCGAGAACGACCGCCTGCACCCGCGCGTGCACGTCAAGAAGGTCCTCGTGCTCGGCTCCGGCGGCCTGAGCATCGGCCAGGCCGGCGAGTTTGACTACTCCGGCTCGCAGGCCATCAAGGCCCTCAAGGAGGAGGGCATCTACACCGTCCTCATCAACCCCAACATCGCCACCATCCAGACCTCCAAGGGCCTGGCCGACAAGGTCTTCTTTTTGCCCGTCAACGCCGAGTTTGTGCGCAAGGTCATTGTGTACGAGCGCCCCGACGCCATCTACTGCACCTTTGGCGGCCAGACCGCCCTGCAGGTCGGCATCCAGCTCAAGGACGAGCTGGCCGGCCTCGGCGTCCAGGTCCTCGGCACACCCATCGACACCATCATCACCACCGAGGACCGCGAGCTGTTTGCCCGCAGCATGGAGTCCATTGGCGAGAAGTGCGCCAAGTCCGCCTCGGCCAACACCGTCGAGGAGGCCCTGCACGTCGTCAAGGACATTGGCTTCCCCGTCATCGTCCGCGCCGCCTACGCCCTCGGCGGCCTCGGCAGCGGCTTCGCCAACAACGAGGACGAGCTGCTCGCGCTCTGCCACAAGGCCTTTGCCGCCTCGCCCCAGGTGCTCATCGAGCGCTCCATGAAGGGCTGGAAGGAGATTGAGTACGAGGTCGTGCGCGACGCCCAGGACAACTGCATCACCGTCTGCAACATGGAGAACTTTGACCCCCTCGGCATCCACACCGGCGACTCCATCGTCGTCGCCCCCTCGCAGACCCTGAGCGACGAGGACTACAACATGCTGCGCACCACCGCCGTCAACGTCATCCGCCACCTCGGCGTCGTCGGCGAGTGCAACATCCAGTACGCCCTCAACCCCTTCTCGCGCGAGTACTGCATCATCGAGGTCAACGCCCGCCTGTCGCGCTCGTCCGCCCTCGCCTCCAAGGCCACCGGCTACCCGCTCGCCTTTGTCGCCGCCAAGCTGGGCCTGGGCATCCCGCTCAAGGACATCAAGAACTCCGTCACCCAGGTCACCTGCGCCTGCTTCGAGCCCTCGCTCGACTATGTCGTCGTCAAGATGCCCCGCTGGGACCTCAAGAAGTTTACGCGCGTGTCCACGCAGCTCGGCTCGTCCATGAAGTCCATTGGCGAGGTCATGTCCATTGGCCGCACCTTTGAGGAGGCCATCCAGACCGCCATCCGCGCCATCGACTTCCACAACCTCGGCTTCTCCGAGACCAAGGGCGCCCTCATCGCCATCGACGACGAGCTGCAGACGCCCTCGGACCAGCGCCTCTTTGCCCTTGCCAACGCCATGGCCGCCGGCTACTCCGTCGACAAGATCTGGGAGCTCACCAAGATCGACCGCTGGTTCCTCAACAAGCTCAAGGGCCTCTCCGACTTTGCCCGCCGCATGACCGCCCTGACCACCGGCGACATCGTCAAGCGCCCCGACCTGCTGCTCCGCGCCAAGCGCCTCGGCTTCTCCGACCGCCAGCTCGCCCTCTTCTGGAGCTCCAACGAGATTGCCGTCCGCCGCCTCCGCCTCGAGGCCGGCATCCACCCCTGGGTCAAGCAGATCGATACCGTCGCCGCCGAGTTCCCGGCCTTTACCAACTACCTGTACCTGACGTACAGCGCCTCCACGCACGACCTGACCTTTGACGACAAGGGCGTCATGGTCCTGGGCTCCGGTGTCTACCGCATCGGCTCGTCCGTCGAGTTCGATTGGTGCTCGGTGCGCGCCATTCGCACGCTGCGTGCTGCTGGTTTGAAGACCATCATGGTTAATGTGAGTATGGAGGCAGGGCAGCATGCTGCTTTCTTCCCTCCCCTTGTCTCCCTTTCCTTTCGCACATGCATCGTTCTTTCCTCCGTCACGTCACTTGCCGTTCTCTTGCATTGTTTGGGTAGTGCCTGAACGCTCCTTCTCTTTATACAACTACTTTGATAAACACAAGTTGTATACGTCCCAATTCGGCAACATCCCACCTGCCCTCGGCCCTGGCTGCCGTTTACAGCCTCGCGACCCAAGGTAGTCGCGTCCCGTCGTAGGAATATCCCAAAGTCGTGCCTTCCCCTTCCTGCCTCTGGTTCTCTGTCGCTCCTTCTGCACCAAACTCGTTTGTTCTTCCCCTTCTTCTTCTCCCAGCACGAGTGGAATTTAAAATGGACCCAAGGATAGTAGGACCATCAACCCACAACATCTCCAGCGTCACTTTTGCCTTTTTATCTGCTCTCTCTGTTCCTTTTCCACGCTTACACACGTTTACGGCCTCCTTTTGTTCGAATCAAACTGCTGACACGCCCTCAAGACGAACCCGGAAACTCTGTCCACCGATTACGATGAAGCGGACCGACTTTACTTTACAAACATCGACCTCGAGACGGTCATGGACATCTACGAGCTGGAGCAGTCGGCCGGCATTCTGGGTGCCATGAGTGGCCAGACACCCAACATGATCGCCCTGCCCCTGCTCCGCGCCGGCGCCAAGGTGCTGGGCACGTCCCCCGAGATGATCGACACGGCCGAGAACCGGTACAAGTTCTCGCGCATGCTGGACCGCATCGACGTGGACCAGCCGACGTGGAAGGAGCTGACGTCGTTTGAGGACGCCAAGGCGTTCTGCGACAAGGTGTCGTACCCGGTGCTGGTGCGGCCCTCGTACGTGCTGTCGGGCGCGGCGATGAACACGGTGTACTCGGAGGCGGACCTGGCGTCGTACCTCCAGCAGGCGGCCGAAGTGTCGCGCGAGCACCCGGTGGTGATCACCAAGTACATTGAGAACGCCAAGGAGATTGAGATGGACGCCGTGGCCAAGGACGGCGTGCTGGTGGGCCACTTCATCTCGGAGCACGTCGAGAACGCCGGCGTGCACTCGGGCGACGCGACGCTGATCCAGCCGCCGCAGGACCTGGAGCGCACGACCATCAAGCGCATCGAGGAGGCCACGCGCAAGATTGGCGCCGCGCTCAACATCACGGGCCCCTTCAACATCCAGTTCATTGCCAAAGACAACGACATCAAGGTCATTGAGTGCAACGTGCGCGCGTCGCGCTCCTTCCCCTTCGTGTCCAAGGTGACGGGCGTCGACCTGATCGAGATGGCCACGCGCGCCATCATGAACCTGCCCTTTGAGGAGTACCCGCCGCTCGAGCTGGCGCCCGGCACCGTGGGTGTCAAGGTGCCGCAGTTCTCCTTCTCGCGGCTGTCGGGCGCGGACCCGATCCTGGGCGTCGAGATGGCGTCGACGGGCGAGGTGGCGTGCTTTGGCGCGGACAAGTATGAGGCGTACCTCAAGGCGCTGGTGTCGACGGGCTTCAAGATGCCGCGCAACAACGTGCTGCTGTCCATCGGCTCGTACAAGGACAAGAAGGAGATGCTGCCGTCGGTGGCCAAGCTGCAGCAGCTGGGCTACAAGCTGTTTGCGACGGCCGGCACCGCGGACTACCTGCAGGAGCACGGCATCCCGGTGCAGTACCTCGAGGCGTTTGGCAAGGAGGACGACAACAGCGGCGACGAGGCGTCGTCGTCCAAGGCGCAAAAGGGCGAGTTCTCGCTGACGCAGCACCTGGCCAAGAACATGATCGACCTCTACATCAACCTGCCGTCGAACAACAAGTACCGCCGGCCGGCCAACTTTATGAGCAAGGGCTACCGCACGCGGCGCATGGCCGTCGACTACCAGATCCCGCTGGTGACCAACGTCAAGAACGCCAAGATCCTCATCGAGGCCATGGCCCGCCACTACGACCTCGAGGTCAACATCCGCGACTACACCACCAGCCACCGCACCGTCGTGCTGCCCGGCCTCGTCAACGTCGCAGGGTTCGTGCCCGGTCTCGTGGCCGCCGGCGGCAGCACCGACCTGCAGGCGGTGACGAAGGCGTCGATTGCCGCCGGCTTCAGCATGGTGCGCGTGATGCCGCTGGGCGTGGACGGCGCGATCACGGACGTGCGCACGCTCAAGCTGGCGCAGCAGAACGGGCGGCGCGCCAGCGCGTACTGCGACTTCAACCTGTCGGTGACGGCGACGTCGACCAACGCCAGCCAGATCAGCCAGGTGGTGTCGGAGGTGGGCTCGCTCTTCATCCCCTTCAACCACCTGTCGGACAACATCAGCAAGGTGGCGGCGGTGACGGCGCACTTTGAGGCGTGGCCGACGCACAAGCCGATTGTGACGGACGCCAAGACGACGGACCTGGCGTCGCTGCTGCTGCTGGCCAGCCTGCACAACCGCCGGATCCACGTGACCAACGTGACGTCGCGCGACGACGTGCGCCTCATTGCGCTCAGCAAGGAGAAGGGCCTGCAGGTGACGTGCGACGTGTCCGTCTACGCGCTGTACCTGTCGCAGACCGACTACCCGGGCTGCACGCTGCTGCCGACGGCCGACGACCAGGCGGCGCTGTGGGAGCACATTGCCGTGATAGACGTGTTCTCGGTCGGCAGCTTGCCGTACCAGCTGGCGCACTGGCTGCAGAGCCCGTCGGCTGGTGGTGGTGGTAGCGGTGACGACGTCCAGGTCGACGTCGCTGCCGGCATCTCCGACGCCCTGCCGCTGCTGTTCACGTCCGTCGCCGAGGGCCGCCTGACGCTCGACGACCTGCGCGCGCGCCTGCACGACAACCCGGTGCGCATCTTTGAGCTGCACGACCAGGTCGGCACGGCCGTCGAGATCGAGCTCAACCGCCCCTACACGGTCCCCGCCACCAGCGCGTCGCCGTTTGCCGGCCGCACCATGCGCAGCGCCGTGCAGCGCGTGACGTTCCAGGACGTGGCCGTCTGCCTCGACGGCGAGGTGCTGCCGCTGCCGGGCCACGGCAAGGACATGTCGACGCACAACGCCATGCCGGCGGTGCCGCAGACGCCCGTGTCGCCCCTGATCAAGGCGCAGCAGCAACAGCAACAGCAGCAGCAGCAGCAGCAGCAGACCGAGACGACCCCCGACAGCCCGCATGGCAGTGGTCGTCGCCAGTCGGCGCTGCTCTCGAGCGCGCTGCGCACGCGCGTGGGCCTCGACACCTCGGCGGGTGGCGGCACTCTGTCGTCGTCGTCGGCGGCGTCGGGCGGGCTGCTTGGCAGCGCCGCGGTCACGCCCTCGGCGGGCGCCCTGGCCGCCGTGAACGAGGACGCGGCCTACGCGCTGCTTCCCGCACCCGCGACGACGTCGCTGGCCGTGCGCTCGGCGCTGCCGTCGCTGCTGTCGCAGCCGTCGTCGTTCAAGAACAAGCCGGTGCTGTCGGTACTCGACTACGAGCGCGCGGACCTGCACCTGCTCTTCACGGTGGCGCAGGAGATGCGGCTCGGCGTGCAGCGCGAGGGCGTGCTGGACGTGCTGCGGGGCCGGGTGCTGTGCACGCTCTTCTACGAGCCGTCGACGCGCACGTCGGCGTCGTTTGACGCGGCCATGCAGCGGCTCGGCGGCCGCACGGTGGCCGTGGCGACGTCGCACTCGTCGGTGCAAAAGGGCGAGTCGCTGCAGGACACGCTGCGCACGCTGGGCCAGTACGGCGACGCCGTGGTGCTGCGGCACCCCGACGAGCGCAGCGTCGACGTGGCGCGGCGGTTCAGCCCCGTGCCCGTCATCAACGGCGGCAACGGCAGCCGCGAGCACCCGACGCAGGCGTTCCTGGACCTGTTTACGATCCGCGAGGAGCTCGGCACCGTGCAAGGGCTGACGATTACGTTCCTGGGCGACCTGCGCTACGGCCGCCCCGTGCACTCGCTGGTGCACCTGCTGCGGCACTACCACGTGCAGGTGCAGCTGGTCAGCCCGGCCGGCCTGGAGCTGCCGGCGGTGCTGCGCGACGAGCTCAAGGCGCGCGGCCAGCTGCTGCGCGAGGCGCAGGCGCTGACGCCGGAGATTGTGGCGCGCAGCGACGTGCTGTACTGCACGCGCGTGCAAAAGGAGCGGTTCCCGAGCGAGGCGGCCTACGAGCAGGTCAAGAACGCGTACCGCGTGGACAATGCGACGCTCAAGCACGCCAAGAGCAACATGATTGTGCTGCACCCGCTGCCGCGCAACGAGGAGATTGCTGAGGAGGTCGACTTTGACCAGCGGGCGGCCTACTTCCGGCAGGTGAGTGCTTCCCTTTTTGGGGGAGGGGAAGAGACGAAGAAAAAGAGAACTGCCACTAACTGTTTAGATGCGCTATGGTCTGTACTGCCGCATGGCCCTGCTTGCCTTGGTCATGTCGACGTAAGGTGGGAGGACAGACTGCTAGGAGAGGCGAGGATGCTTCGGTGTTGAGCGTGGAGAAGAGTGAGAAGAAAGTTAAAAGTTTTTATTTCTTTGCTTCTTTGCATTTCTCGAGATTGGTCAGCTGTTTCTTTTCTTATTTGCTTTCTGCTTTCTGCTTTCTGCTTTCTGCTTTCTGCTTGCTGCTTTCTGCTTTCTGCTTTCTGCTTTCTGCTTCTGCTTCTGCTTTCTGCTGCATGTTGCGTCACTTCATCTCCTAGCTACATAAATTACGCAAACAGGAGCGTAGACTTACACGGGCTCGGAGCCTCTGCATTGGGTGAACGGTGTTTTCGTCATGGCATGCGTGCCATGGATTTCATGACTGGGGCGTTCTATATCTGTCTGTGTTCTATGGGTACTGCACTACGTACGTTGCGTACGTTGCGTGTGTTTGGCGTTTGGGCGTGTATTGTGTTTTGTGTATTGGGTGGATTCACGACGTGTATTTATAGATATGTGCTCATGTACAATAGTAATGTGTTTTGTGATTTGTTTGTGGTGTGCTCTGTGTTCTATGCTCTGTTCTCTGTGATCCTCTGTCAATCATGCTGCCACGTCTAATGCGTTGTTGAATGTATCCCCCCTGGTCTATGGACTCAGCCGCTTGATCGCCCACGCCTTCGTTCCATCCGCCTCGCTGCCCTCTAGCCGGTCATACACGAACCGGTCGTGCAGCCGGTTCTGCCGGCCCTGCCAGAACTCGACCCGCTCCGGCACAATGCGCAGGCCGCCCCAGAACTCGGGGACTGGGATCGGCGGGTCGTTTTCCTCGTTGTCTTCGTTGTCGGCGTCGCCCTTGCCGAACCGCTGCTCCGCCTCGGCCACCCACTCTTCCAGCTGCGCGCGCCCGTCGTCCTCCGGATCTGCCTCGCCCTTGGGCACCAGCGTCGCCGACTGCCGCGACGCCCACGCGCCAATGCGCGACCCCCGCACGCGCGTGTCAAAGTAGACCTGCGACTCGGCGGCGGACAGCCGGGTCGCGCGGCCCTCGACGCGCACCTGCCGCTCCTGCGCCTCCCACCAAAACGTGAGCGAGGCCCATGGGTTGCTCGCGAGGTCGTCGGCCTTGCGCGACGTGCCAAAGTTGCTGTACAGGACAAAGCCCTGGTGGTCCAGCTCCTTGAGGTAGACCATGCGCGCGCTCACGCGGCCCGACGGCAGGCTCGCCGTCGACAGCGTGCACGTCTCGGGGTGCGCAATGCCGCCGAGCGCCTTGGCCTCGGCAAACCACGCGTGGAACTGCGCAATGGGCGACGCGGCGTCGAGGTCGCGCCGCCGCAGGCCGCCGCGGTGCTCGTGCTGCAAGAACTGGCCCGCGCGGCCGGGCGTCGACGTGCCCGACGAGTCACCGGTGGTGGGGACGCCGGCGGCCACCCTGGCCGTGTGGGCGGCGGCGCGGGCGGCAATGGCTGCCTGGCCGGCCGGGGAGGACAGCGGCGTGTCGGGCGAGGGGGCGACTACAGGAGCTGTTTAGTACATGGACGTGACCAAGTCGGGTGAGGGCCCGCGGCGAGGCTCGCGGGAACGGCACGTACAGATCAGTTTCTCGTTCTTGGACGAGCCGGCCACAGGCGGGGCGGGCGACGGTGGATAGAGAGCCATTGTGTTTCTCGTCGTATGCAGTGACCGCGCAGATGTCTGAGCAGCTCGAAGAACGGCGCTCGTGATACTCTTTTGCAAACCAAGCGAGGGTGGCGAGAGGTGGTGTCGCATGCGAGACAAGCGCCCGGACGTCAACTAGTGGCCGATTGGAGCGATGCCGTGGGGTGCTGTGCGTTGCGTGGGATGTTCGTCGCAAAAGGCAGAGGAGTGGAAATTGTCGCAACGAAAGACGACTGTACAGCCAATATGCCAGCTAATGGTGAGTCAACATGCCCATTGGACCTGCCCTTTGTGTTACAAAAACGTAAAGCCCGCTCTTTCCTTTGGTAGCCGACTGAATCGCCAATTGCCGTTTACAGAAGGTTCGCCTAAAACGGGCGGAGCACGTGACTGCACATATCTCCTAATCTGGACAATCACGCGGACTTTGTCTTTTGGGTTTCATTTTTCGGAATCTTCGTCTTCATCTTGGTCAGTCGACCTGCACAAATCTGCCCACTCTGCTGGGTACCACGGACACTATTGACCTTATATGAAGATGTGTGTCGTGCCTACGAGATCGCGAGAGGTCATGGACAGGTGTCGTGCCGTTTTACATCACATTAAATATCACGACGTTCCTCGCGAGACGCACATAACATCGGTACAAGACTCACAGACATGACAGAGATCGAACAAGGTCATTACGAACGAACCAGTAAACAATACCATTCCTCTCAGCTGAAAAAAGTATACATGCGAACGGGGGTATTATCGTACGGCAATGACGATAAGACAAGATGGCCAGACTAGACGAAACAAATCAAGGAAGCACAAAGCACAAAGCACAAAGCACAAAAACGCCAGAACCGCCCATGGTCGCTTGCAAAAGGTGATATAACAAATGATACGGGTAAAGGGGACATGGAAAACAGGTGAGTGGCTGTGTGAGAAACGCCGAAATGCCGCCAAACAGGAAACAACCCGAAATCAGAAGAACCACTGCAGTATTGGGTGAGAAAAAAGAACAACGCCAGGATGTAATCATTGGGACGTGGAAGACGGTCCAATCGCTTTTTTCAACTCAGTGCTCATAGACAGAGTACCGCCCCAGGCTCTCGGACCGCGACGAGACATGCCGCCGCATGTTGCTCGGGAAGTTGAGCGAGATGACCTTGCTCGTGTCCACGACCGCATCTCGACTCTCGTCTCGGTCGGTCTCGGTCGCGGTCTCGTTCGCGGCGCCTTGCTTCGCGCCCAGCCCTGCTCCTGCCTCTGCGGGGGGTGTTATGAGGGCCATCTCCATCTTTTTGGTGGGCGGGCCCGCCTGGCAGACGATGGCGAGCCCGCGGCCGACGACAGCGGCACGGCCGTCGCCCGCCTGGCCCGCACGGCTTGCGCGCCCGCGCGCCGCATGTCCGCCTTGGCGTCCGCCAGCAGGTCTGCGTCGAGCAGCGGCAGGATCCGGTAGCCGAGGTTCTGCATGATGCAGCGCTCGGTCGCGGCGAGCTGTGCGCCGGTCCACAGGCAGGGGCCAGGCGGGGACGATGCGCTTCCGGGCGGCGGCGACGACGACGACGACATCGACGATGGTCGAGGAGGAGGCGTCGCGCCCCACGCCGTGCAGTAGGCCTGCGCCGGCTGCTGGCTGACAAAGCCGTCGTCGGTAAACTTGGCGGCAATCACGAGCGCGGCCAGGACAATCACTTCGGGGAAGACGGCGTCGATGTGGAGGCCGCCGCGGACACCGTCCGCGGCGGGCGAAGTGGGCGAGGCGGGCGCTGGTGTGGACGTGGGAAAGGTCGGCGTCAGCGGGGAGGGCAGGGTGTGCCGTTTTTCGAGGACGGCCAGCGACGGCGGCGGTGACCGCGTGGAGGACGACAACGCCGTGGGGGCCGCCGGCGGCGGCGTCAGCGGACACGTCAGCCGCCAGGCGCGGGCAAAACGGCTGTCGAGCGAATCCAAAATACACACGGCCAGGGCGACGGTGTCCAGCGGCAGCGCTGCGCGGGCCAGCATGGCCTGGACGAGAGCGACCGAGGGCGTGGCCAGCGACGCGGCGGGCGGGAGCAGGTTGACGAGGTGGACGGCGGGGCCGAGCAGGGGGCTATCTGACGCGTCGGGGGCTGTCGATGGACCGTGGGCGTGCGCCCCCGCATAGGGACTCTGAGCGAGCGACGAGGTGTGGCTCGAAGGCGGCGGCGTGGGCAGGTTGGAGAGCGGGCGATAGGTGGAGCTAAAGTAGTCCTCGTCAAAGTCATCGTCGCCATCGTCATCGTCATCGTCATCGTCATCGTCATCGTCATCGTCATCGTCATCGTCATCGTCATCGGCCTCAACATGGTTGTCGTTTTCGTCATTGTCGTTGTCATGGTCGTCCTCGTCGCCCAGAAAGAGGTCTTCGTCGTCAATGGCTGGTGTGTCGGCAAGCTTGCTTGCTGTTGTCCGTGGTGCTGTTAGATCGACTGCGGCGTTGTCTCCTGTCGTCGCCGGGGCCGGTCCTGGGTAGCCATGGCCCGCCAGGACGGCGGCGTCTGCCAACTCCATGAGGCGTGGGGGGCGTGCGGGGGGGGAGAGTGAAGTCTCAGCGGGCCGGGATTTAGGTGGAAGAGAACTTGACGTGGAGTGTCCTGCTTGGATGGGTGGCACAAAACGGTATCCTCTAGTTGGGCTCGACTTCTCAGTGTCGTGTGATGTTGGGTGTCTACGGCTGAGGACCAAGTGTCGTTATTGCGTTGGTGGTTTTGCTCTGCTTTGGAGTTCCTCTTGGAATATATGTCGTAGTTTTGTGCTTCCTTTTTACCGGACAACAGCCGCTGAAACCAAAGAAATGCAACAAACGGCTGCCCAAGGAGAATCGATCATCGTCATGCGGGGAAGAAGGGTGAGCAAGCAAAAGCAACAAGGAGAGCGTTGGGAGGAGAGTAATAAAAGAGAACACGGGTCAAAGTTGAGGAAGTAAAAAAGAAAAAGTGAAAAAGAAGAGAGAGGAGAGTGAGCTGCAGCAGAAAAGAAAAAGAAAAAAAGAAAAAAAAGAAACAGGCCAAGCAAGGCCGAATCGAAACGAAAACGAAAACGTGCTTTGCAGGGCTGCTTTGCAGGGCTGCACTGCAAAATACGAGCACGCGACCGGAGAGCGGTGAGACGCTGTTTGGTCTGTTCGATCTGTCTGGGTCTGTTTGGACTCTCCCTCTCTGTTGTAGTGAATTTGGGTGTGCTTGGCGTGTTTGGTGTAGACTGGTTTCGGGCTTCGTAGTTACTACGTATTCGTGACTAGGCCGCTCTTTTTCAGCCTACTGCAGGCGTCCCTGTCCTGTCTAGTAGATAAGATAGTCGATCCAGTGCCAAAAATGGAGGACCTCTTGTTTGCCTTGGCCGTTGGATCTTGGAAGGCTGACTGGAATGTTGCAAAGCCGTTTTGGTACTAAAAGCGATCGAGGGCCGACTTGGTGGTGTGATGGACGACGGGAGATGACGAGGTGGAGCAGGAAACAGGCTCGTCAGGGATGGACGCAAAGGAGGTAAACGAATCAAGAGTGTGGGAAACGAGGAGATGCGAGAGGGAGAGGGTACGAGATGAAGCCGGGGGATCCACACCGATGTTATATAGACGTCGCGAGACGAGAAAGAAGGAGTAAAAAGAAAAAGAAAAAAATAAGGTGAAGTGTCGCCAAGATTGTGTATGTACGGAAGACGTGAAGTGAACAACAATTATATTATGGCTTTCAACGATGGCGTCCAAATACGGCGTCCAAATATGGCGTCCCGTCTACGTCGCACGTTGCACCTGGGGCATTATCGATAAAGCGTTGGTCAAAACGCAGAAATCTCAAACTTGTTCATAACGACGACAATAAAACCCAATTTACGACGTCCTCCGCAGGTTCGGCAGGTCAAACCGAGAGAAAATTGGGTTTCATATGAGCAGTGCATGGCGTTTTGGCTTTTTGGCTTTTTGGCTTTTCGGCTTTTGGCTTTTGGCTTTTGGCCGAGCCGGGTATTGCGGTATTGCGACGTACGTAGCACAAAAAAATCTGTGGACAGGTCGGCACGGGAGCGCAAAAGACGTGCGAAGACGTGCGGAGTTGCAAGCAGCAACCAGGCCACAGCAAGCAAGAGGCGAGCGTGAAGAGGGGGCGGAGTGCAGATGAGTGGGGTGCAGTGACAGGGTTGCGTGGGATTTACGACGAACAAGGCTAAAGACACGAAAGGACGCGGATGCGGATGACAGATGACAGATGTACGGTGTAGCAGGAGACGGGAAGAAAAGGAACAAGTAAGAATCAATAGAAGCAAGTAAGAATCAACAGAGGGTAAGACAAGATGAGACGGGATGAGATGAGACGAGAAGAGAATGCCAATGAGAGGGACGCAGAGGAGGGTCTTGGTGAGAGTTGAGGCGCACGAAGAGAAAAGAAGCATGGGCGTTTCTGGCTGACGGACAATGCCGTGTTCTCTGCGGCTGAGATGAAGCACAGGAGACCTACGGGGTACGATGAGGATGAGGATGAGGATGAGGATGAGGATGCATGCAGAATGAGTGCAGCTGCAGCGGGGACAGGCCCACAGGTTCTCTGGACGTCAAGGGTGGACATTTGCGTTTGCTGGATCTGTTGGCTTTCGTTTGATTTTGTCTTGTTTCTGCTGAGAGCAAAAGGTTGGCCGAGGCTGACTGAGACTGCTTGATGCGTAGCCTCAACACGGTCCTTCAGCCTCACCAAGAGACAGTCCGTATAGAATTGACATGGAACTATGGAAGGATTCGCAGTGAGGACCCAAAAGGCAATCCGCGCATGCCTGGACAATGACACCCAGAAAGGAAATTGTGGTTCGTGCGGTTGCGCAGAAAAGGGACGAAACGCCAGGACGAAAAGAGGATGGTGTTGGCACAAACTATTCCCGAAACCCAGCCAAGGCGCAGCGGCAAGCAATGACGCCCAGAGAGCCAAAGACGCCCAAAAACGAAATAATGGTTCAGCGGGCGCATAGTCCAGGTGGTGGTCTGTTGGCGGCTGTTCTCATATTTACGGCGTACACAGTAGCTTGTTCGACGGGCGTTTCACGAACAATACGAGTAATACTCCGAATTGGCGTTGTGACTGACACCACATACTCGCATACTGCACGTCGTACAGCAGCCAATACGGCTACGGCAGTAAGATACTGTATGCCGGCTGCTCCAGGCTTGGCTAATGCTGAGGGAATATAGTCTCAGTCGTATTTCAACATTCTTTCTTTACTCCGATTTGGCATTATACTCGGTATACGTAAGCCTGCTTTTTGCCGACCTTTGCCACCTTTTTACACCCGCAGGTACAGCCGGCAGACAAATGAAAAGGCACGCAAGACACGACAGATAGCACGTCGAGTCGGGTGTACCTGGACTATACTTTGTACGGATCTGGAATACGTACGTACTTTGGCGGTTGAAATAGGCTGTGCGTTTGGCAGAGCCAGTGTGGCGGCCAACGCGCAACACGTAAATTGTAAAAGAACGTATCAAAATGAAAGGTAGGGACGCAAAACGCCCTCAAGAAGCAAACCAGCTGAGCAAATCGGCCCACCATCCGATGGCGTCGATTTCTGTGGAGAGCCCCTGATTTAGTCTCCGTGCTGTCCGGCGTTCTTCGTACGACGGACGTCGCACAACAACAAGAACAACGAGGACTGCTAAGAATAGTTGCTCGAGGTGGACCGTGACGACAGGGATGTAGGTGTAGCCTCGGCGGGCGTCATTGGGAACTTGGGAACGCGTTGGCATTTGTGGCGTTGTCGGTTTCTAGTTTCTCCTGTGTGGATGGAGCAGGTGAGCACGTTCTTCAACACCAGAGAGCGACCGGGCCGACGTGTCGTCTGTACTTTGTATTTGGTCCCTCGCCGAACATGTCACCCGTGTCTGTCGTCTGTCGTCTGTCGTCTGTCGTCCGTCGTCCATTGTCCGAATACAAATTGTACGTCGCATATTCAGAATGTCAATATGCAAGATCGGATCGGCGTCGGCCGGCTTCGTATTCCTGTCTCTGGTTCCTGTTTATTTATGGCTCAGGGGCGTCGATGGAGTACGACGTCTACTTTGTAGACAAAGACGGGCGAGTATTAGTCGTGCTTGAGTATGTTGTGCTTTTGTATTTGTGCTTTTGCACTTTTTTACTTTAGCACTTTTACCCACTTGCCTTTTGCCCTTTCCTGCCCCTGTAACACCCCGTAACACCCCGTAATACCCTGTAATACCCTGTAATATAGATGGTTCGTACCTGGACTTGGCCACATTCGGAGGCAAAACGCGATCGACATGGACCACCCAAACACGTAAACGAAAACGTAAAAAGAGCAAGACGAGCAGATGGGCGAAATTGTCATATGCCACTCGTGTTTCCAGGTTGTCCAGGTTCTTCACGAACATGGCGATGGCCTGGGCGCACGCCGGGTTGTGGGAGTCGCATGTCTCGCCCTGCTTAACCAATCCACAGTAATGCACGTGACATGTCCTTCGTGACGGTGCCAGACATCGCAAAAACGGCATCACAAACATTCGCATCGCCAGTTGGCTTGGCGTTGCCCGTTCGCTGTTCGCAGGTTGCAAATTCCCTTTGTCGTTGATGCGCCCATTTTCATTGCCATGCCAGACATCGAAGAACAGATCACTGGCATCTACTCGCCGGCGTCATCGCCGCAACGCCACCTTCGACACCAAGCATCGCTCGAAAATGTCCTGGATGTTGCCTCTGCCGCACAAGACCCTTTGACGTCCTCAGAGCGCACAGCAGCCAGGCAGGTATTCTACCGCATCGTACAACACTTTGAGGCCATCGATCCGTTCCAGGGCATGGCCCGGGCTGAGCAAGCCAATGCGTACAGCCATCCTTTACTGGTTCGTTACACATACGAATACTCATTCTCCGAAGACTCTCGCGACGTTTTTCTGCGAGCATTCTTTGATTCCGTCGGCCTCGATCTTGCCGGCCTCGTCAATACACGGGCTGAAATCGATTTTGACAAAGTCACACCCCACTTTCATGGCTTTGCCGACCACCTAATTGATAATTTCTTCCTGCCGCGTACGTTATCAAGCAGTCGCCCTGACCTCAAGTGATCATCCATAATTAACCATGAAATTCCGGACAGTGAAGGCTTCCACTGCGAAAACGCCGCAGCCGTCGCCCGCCTACCACTCGGCCGTTCTTCGCGCCCAGGGCGCTGACACGGGTACAGCGCACGGCTTCATTGGGACGCCAGACCGGTTGGCATCGCTGCGCTGGGAATGCCTGCAGCGGGACCGGCACCGCTGTGTCGTGACGCGCAGCTTCAGCAACACCGAGTACCAAGCACGGTTCAAGGCACACCGCGACAATGCGCGAGACGACGGCGGCGCTCTGCTCTCCGAGCAAGCGAACGCCAGACCGTTCGCGGCTCTTGAAGTCGCGCATATCATCCCACACTCCATAATGAAGTCCGCGTCGGGCCAGGCTGCACTCGCCGTTCTCGACATGTTCGACAAGGGCGTCGCGCACTTGGTCGACGGCGTCGAGATTGACCGCGCGCGAAACGCCCTGACCCTCAGCATAGACATACACAGATACTTTGGCGCCTTTGAAATCTACTTTGAGCCTGTGCCCGGCGTACATGGCGCACCTGAAACGGCACAGAAAAACGTCTACCGCATCCAGTCGTTCCTGCCGCCAGCCTTGAACACAATGTACGGCTTGCCCGTCACACGGACGCTGTTTGTCACCGAATCCCGCACCATCGACCCTCCATCGCCACGTCTCCTTGCTGTTCACCGCGCCATTGCCCACATTCTGCACCTCTCCGGTGCTGGGGACTACCTGGACAAGCTGCTCCGCGACATGGACGACAGCTACGTTCGCGCTGACGGCGGTTCGGCCTTGGGTCGTATGGTCGCTCTCGGCTTGCGCGGTTGGACGAGCCATGGCTCTGCTGTACACTATGAGTGAAAAGCAGGCCAACGACACCCTTGACACACGTTGCTCTCGCTACCTGTCCGTTGATAGTCCCTCGGACATAGTTGTCGGAGTGCAGGAACGTCGTCCTTGCTCCTGTTGCTCGCCTCTAATAGGTTTTACCCCCCTCAGCCAGCTCCATTTCCCCAGTCGTCTTCTATTTTTCTCCATTTGTTCATTTCCATCCCGTCTCTGGTCAGATGGAAGAGAATTTCTGGCATGGCCGTGGCAGAGACGCGTGGGGTGGCGAAGCAGACGGCATATTGCGCGGGACAGCCACGGAAAGAGGCTATCCAATATTCCAATATCCAATACATGTCGATAAAGTGCGATGACGACGCGCCCAGCACGGCATCTCGTTTCGCCTATACCTTCTCGTTCTCCTTTCTGCTCACCCTTTGGCCCGAGCGGTCCAGACACGGTCGTCTTGGCTTTGCTCAATACGCACATATGCCCTTATGCCCATATGCTTATTTAATTGCCAATGGCTCTTTCAGTGCTCATATTTCACTTTTGTTTCTCTGTTTCTCTGTGTATGCAGCATTTATAAAGATGACACAGAAGCACAAAAGGTATAGAAGAAAACCAAATACATGCCAACGCCGTACCAAATCGTCCTGCCCGTTCCCAGAATGCCGTACACAAAATAACAATAGGAACTCCGTGTAAAGCGCCGCGTAGATACCCACATCTCCCATGTCTTACTTCTTACTCAAACTTGCCCGCGCCAAACAGGCCGCCCACCGCCCGGGCACGGCCCTCGGCATTCTTGGCCTTCTTGGCCTGTCGCCGCTTGTCGCTCGCCGCAATGGCTGCCCGCCGCTCATTCTCCCGTGCAAAGTAGTGGATGCCCGACATTTTGCTCGCGTTCTTCTTGATCTTGCCGTCGTCCTTGTCGCCCAGCTTGCCGGCACTGTTGTGACTGTTGTTCTTGTCGCTGTTTGTGCTGTTGTTGCTCGAGCTGCTGTTGCTGCTGCTGCTGCTGCTGCTGGCGCTCCCATTCGATACCAACGAGTTGGTCGTGGCCCGGCGCAACAGAGCCGGCACGCGGAAGCCTGTCGGGCCCAGGCCCATCGAAACAGCGCCGCCGCCCATCGTCGTACTCGATGCCGACGAAGACGACGTCGATGCCGCCGAGGACGCCGACGCCGACGACATGTTGCTGTTGTTGCGCTTGAGGCTGATGCGGTCGACAACTTGGACATTGTGGCTACGGCCTGGGCGGCGGCGGACGACGGAGGCGCCTGTCGCCCCAGCTGCCGCCAGGGGCTCATTCTCCTTGTTGCCATCGTCCTCCTGCTCTTCGCCGTCGGACCCAAACTCCGAATCCGCCACAATCGACAGGTTGCTGCCGTCGTTGTGGTAGTCCTCGAGCAGGCTGGACAGCGACTCGCGGATCTCGCCCAGGTTGGCCGGCTTCTTACCGGGGTTGGCCGACAGGCGGCGCCGCCGAGGGTGATTCTGCTGCTGCTTCTGCACAGCGGCTGCGGTCGCCGCAGGTGGACCAGACGGCTGGCTATCCGGGATCGACGTAGTCGTGTCTACGCCAGGAACAGCAGGCGACGCGGTAGATGCGGTCGCCGTCGCAGACGTAGGCGTAGCAGCGGGCTGCTCGGCCGCGCCGTCAAAGATAAAGTCCATCTCGTCGTCGCTGCCACGATCCTCAATGGTGCGCAGGAACGCCTGGTTGCGCGGGTTCTCGGCGACCTTGGACACGCGCTCGTCGGCAAAGAGCGCCTGCTGCATGCGCGCAAACTGCCGCCGCTTCATGCGCCGGCGCGCCTCGCCGCCATCGTCCGAGTCCGACAGGTCGTAGTCGCCCGCGCCGCCCGCGCCGCGCTTACGCCGCAGCATACCCGTGGTGACGTCGCGGAACAGCTTCTCGACCTGCTTCTCGTCGTTTTCGCGCTCGCGGTCACTGAATATTTGTTAGCAGGTTATCCCGTTATTGCAAACCGTCAAATCCCCACCGTAAAACGTACGCATAGAATGCCGCCAACTTGGCGTTGTCGGTGGACGAGACCTTCTGGTCGTCGTCGATAATGTCCTTGACAGACGCCATGGACTCGTTGTCGCTGTCCTCGCCGTCCGCGCCACCGAGACCGGCGTACTCATCCTCCGACTCTTCGGCCTGCTCTTCGACCATCTCTTTGGCCTTGCTCCTCTTGCGGTCAAACTGCTTTTGGAGGGCTGCCTGGCGCATCTTGGCAAAGGCCGTTGCAGCCTCCATGGACTGGTTGTCGGTGGGCATGGCCTCTTCTTCTTCATCCTCCTCCTCCTCCTCCTCTTCGACAATCTTGACAACGTTCGTCTTGCGGAACAGTCTGCCGCGCGGTCGACGCTGCACAACAGGCGACGGCGACGGTACAACGGGCTGGGACTCGGCCTGCGACTGCGTGAGTGGCTGTGTCTGCTGCGTCGCCTCGCCCAGGACAACCGTCTCCATGGTCGACGGCTGGTGCTCGATGAAGCGGACCTTGAGGGGCGTGTATTCCTGCGGCCCGTTGTCCTGGCTGGGGCCGAGCAGGGACATTTGGCTCACGTCCGGCTCGCGCAGCAGGCTGTCGAGACCGTGCACCTGGGACTGCGAGAAGTTGAACTGCACCATCTGGCTAGGGCCGGTGGCGCCGTTGACGCTGTTGCTCTCGTTGCTGTTGCTGTTGCTGTCGTTGTTGTTGTTGGCGTTGTTGGCGTTTCTGTCGGCAGCATTGTTGCTGCTTCCACCTTGCATGCGCTTGATCCATTCCTGTGTCTGCTGGCTGTCGAGCACGGCAGCCGCGCTCGTCTTCTCATCGCTGGCAGCCACTTGCGAAAAGTCGGCGTCGACCAAATTGCCCAGGGTTGGCATGAATTGCGACGGCGACCCGACACCACCGGGCGAGCCGGGCATCTGGCTGTTGTCGGACATGGTGCCGGCAAAGATCTGGGTCAGGCCCAGGCCCGCAGGACCACCCACGGCGACGGGCAGACCGGGAATGAATGTTTTCGTGGCAGAGCGCAGGACAGACGTGGGCACCTGCGGCGAGTCGTTGTTGGATGCAAGACCAGACGGCGACTTGACGAATGCGGTCTTGGGGCCGGGCGTCTTTGCCTCAAACGGAAGTAACACAGACTTGGCAGCGGCAGGAGTATTGTTGTGATCGTCAGCTGTGTCCTCGTCGTCTGAGACAATAAGCGCAGCACGCCGCTTGGTGGAGCGAGGACGGGGCCGTGTCGGTGTAGGAAGCACGCCGGCAGCATTGGCCGCGTCCACCTCGTCGTCCTCTTTCTCCTCCGCATCGTTCTTGCCGTCCTCGGAGTCGTTGTCCGTGGACTCGGCTTCACCGTCGATAAGTGTGCCAGCCAGGACCTCCTCGTCGCCCTCCTTCTCCTCGTCGTCCTCGTCCTCGGAACCAGACAGCTCAATCTCCCGCTCCTCCACTTCCTCTTCCTCCTCTTCCGCATCAGGATCGTAGTCGTCCTCATCCTCGCTCTCGTCCCAGTCCAGAACATCAGGCACGGCATCCGCACCGTCGCCCCTCTTCTCCTTTTTGGCCTCGTCGCGCTCGCGCTGCATCAGCTCCTCGGCTTCCTGGCGCGCGCGCGCAACAATGTCGTCGACTTCCTCCAGCTCGCGCTCGCGTTCCTCATCGGTCTGGATACGCACACCCTTGGCGCGCAGCATATCCAGGCGCTCTTCGCGTTCCAGCTTGGCCTGCAGGCGGGCACGGTCCTGTAGGGACTGCTGCAGCTCACTCAGGGTCAGGTCACCAGCGCCGGAGGCATTCTTCGCACTGCGGGCGGAGGGCCGGGCGCGCGGTTTCTTGCCGGGGGAGCCGATCTGGGCAAGGCGGCGCAGCGCGTACATTGAGCGCGGCTCCTGGTTCCGCTTGAGAGGCACGTTGTCGAAGAGGATGTCGAGCTTGCTCTTAGCAGTCTGCACAATCTCCAGTTCGCCATCGTCATCCGAGTCGATCATGACTAGGTTGGTCTGCACGGCGGGCATGCGCACGCGGATGGTGCGCTTCAGCTCGGGCTTGGGCTGCTCATCACCAATAAACGCTTCAACGGCCTTGCCCTTGCCTTTGTCAAGCTTGGGGACGGCGAGGGCGGCATCGGCCGACTCAGCCGACCCGATCGTCGTCGCCGTCGTCACTGCCGCCTCCTTGGCCTTGTCGAAAGCCACATCAGGCACCACCGGCACTGGTGGCGAGCTGGGCGGCGTGTCTGCACCGGCACGCATCTCCGAGTCCGTATTGTTATGGGGTGAGGCGGGCGATGTCGGCCGGCTGGAGCTGGTTGGCTCCTTGGCAGCGGGCGCAGCCGATGCAGCAGCAGCGCCGGTCGGGTGGTAGTTGAAGCGCTCAAACAGAGACGCCTTCGTGACCTTCTTGCGGGTCTTGGCTTCGTGGGCCAGCTGCAGGTTGCGGGCCATGCGCTGCGTCTCGCGGTGCATCTCCTCGATGGCCTTCTTGCTGGCCTTACGCTCGGGGCGCGCACCAGCCATCTTTTGTGTCAGACGCCGGCCGCCCTCGTCGTCCGTAATGTCCGACGGGTTGTCATCGGCGCCCTCGGCATCGCGCATCAGAATATCGTCGTCCTCGTCCAGACCACCCATGGCCTCGTCGTCATCGTCATTGTCGCTGTCGTCGGCCATGGCAGCCATGCGTGCTGCCCGCTTGCGGTCCTCGGCCTCCTCGAGGGCGCGTGCTTCTTTGCGTTTGCGGGCCACAAGCGCCTGGAAACGTGCATTACGGCCAGGGGCAGCAGAATCGGCAGCGCCGCTGACGTCGTCGCCACCCTTCTCGGGCGTCACGAACATGTCAGGAGAGTCTTCCCGATCCGCCTGCTTGCTCGGCGTCACGAACATGGGGGGTGAGTCCTCGCGGTTTGACCGAGAGGGCGAGACGGATTGGCGAGACGAGGCGGACGCGCTGCGCCGGGCCGTGCGCAGGTTGGTCAGTCGCTTGCGGGGCCGCGCTGCTACCGGGAGGTCTTCCTCATCCTCGGCATCGTTGGTCGTATCCTCATGGCTCTTGGCCACGGTCTCGTCCTCTCCCTGTTGCTTGCCGGCGTCAACAGCCTGCTGCAGCATCCGCTTGACGCGTTCGCGGGCATTGTCGGCGGGTGGCTCGGTCGTTGCCGTTGTGCTGTCAGTTGCCACCGCAGCTTGCATGCGGGCCGCAAATCGGCCGCGTGGCCGGACTTCCATGTCGCTGTCCTCATCGCTGCTGGCAGCCAGTACTCCAGCACGAACAAGAGGCGACGTGGCCCGTGGTGATCGGCTGGACTGTCTCGTTTTCTGGGGAGATGTGGTAGGTGTAGATGCCGCTTGGACGCGGGCGAATGTGGACGCGTCTGCGAACCGTGGCGACTTTCTGGCTGACAGCTGCGCGCTGGTCTTCCTGGCCTTGCGGCTTGGGGTCTTGTTCTCCTCATTGCTCTCACGCTCGTGGTCAGAGCCGCTGCTGCCAGCGTTGCCGCCATCAATGGTAGCGAACAGCTCGCGGAGCTTGGTCCGGGGCGTCATTGGCGTGGCAACGACCGAGTCGGAGTCCGAGCCCGAGCCAGCAGCTGGGGAAGGTGTCCGGGAGAGGGCATCCATTGTGTGCATGTGTGTGCGTTATGACAGAGGCGAAGCTGATTGTTTGTTGCCCTCGAACGGTCGTGTATTTTTTGTGTATATTGTGTTATGCGTAGAGTCCAAAGTGGTGAGCAACGCGTGTCAATGCAATATTAAGACGAAAGCATGTTGGTATGGAGAACGGCAAAAGCTGCAGAAACAATACAAGCAAAAAAGGAGAGATAATTGGTACGCCTGGCTTCAATGCAAAGTGGTGCAAAGTGTGAAGCTAGGAATTGTTGTCGATATGCAAAATGGTCGCGAGAAATAGAGCAGAAACACAAATGCGGCAAGACGCAGGGCGAGGGGAGCTCTTTCCTCATTAACATGTTTAACGTGTTGGACGTGGAGAGACGCGCTTTCCGACGCGTTGGCCCTCTATTTTTTAGTGGAGAGCGACCGGCCGCACCTGCCCTACGACATCAAAAACGCGGCGCGCCTGTGCAGGAAGGCGCCCTGGCCATTTTAGGCAGTTTTGGAGCGCTTATGTAATTCGGGTATGTCTAAATCTCACACACCAGCCCGCTTGTCACGTAAAGACCAACATAATTCGCAAAATGCAGGTTTGAATGGTATCTCTTTGCATTAACAATTGCTGTCTAGGGAAAATATGTTTGGGGGTTAGGGAAAAGCGCGTTCCCGAGACGTAGCCAGATTGCGTAAGTAGTGTACAAGAAGTGTCCAAGTGCATGACAAGGAAAATCGAGAAACGAGAAATGAGATAAGTGACGAGGTAACAAAGCAAGGAAACACTTTTTTGTGCTCAAGAATACAATACCAAGCAGGCCAAAGACAAAACAGAAAGCAAAACAACAGAAGCCGTCCAGGCAACAGGAAGGCAGCTTGGAAATGAGAAACGCCGAGAAAGATGCCCAAGCCACCATATGAAGACAAAGGAGAGTCGGGAGAAGAGGATGAAGGGGAAGGAGAGGCCACCGATCATCCCGAAAACGGCGAGCACGCATAGGAGGTTGCAGAGTGCCGTCATCGGACGAAAAGAAAAAGAAAAACAAGAAACGCCGCGCACCGCCGCCCAGTTGTCCGCCCACACCAGTCGTCGCGTAGTAAAACCGTACATGGCCATCCAAAGCCCCTGCTGGGATATCGTGATAAACGCCCTCGCCGCCCGATGCGAGTCCCGAGATTTTTTATTTTTTTTGCAGGATAGCCGTGAATAAGGCATGGAGTATGAAAAAAGAGATAACAGTCGAAAAAGGTGGAGAGTGGGATATAGCATGGTGGGAGAAGAAGAAAATGATAGAAAGAGAGGGCAAAGGCAGATTAGCCCACAGCAAGGACGGAATCGAGGACGCCCCCAAGCAAGTCACTCTCGCCCAGGTCTGCACCCTCCCAGGGAATGTCGTCGTTGTCGTCGAGGTCCATGAGCTCCGCGTAGTCGACGCCGTTCGGCTGGCCCGTCTTGAGGTGTATGCCGTCGACGGCCGCGGCTGCGCCAGCGGACGAGCCCGTCTTGACCATGGCGGCACCGCCGCCTGCGCCGCCTGTGCCGCCTGTTGCCGCACCGCCTGCTGCCTCGCCGGCACCGGCCGCGGCAGACACCGTGCCGTTCACGTTGGCCGCGGGCAGCAGCGACGGCAAAGACGACTCGAGGCCGCTGACGTAGGGCGTCGGGTCCATGCCGTCGATCCACGTAAAGTCGTCCCAGTTCTCCAGTTCGCCCTCGCGGTAGCTGGCCATGAGGGAGTGGCCGACGATGGGGAACTGCGTCAGGCCACAGTCGCCCATCTCGAGCGCCAGGCGGAACTCGGCCACGCCCAGCGGCCCGCGCTCGCTCGCCTTCTTGGCCTCGATCGGCAGCAGGCCCATCTTGTCGCGTTGGATCTCGCCGAGCAGGGAGCGCTCTTCTTCGCGGGCGAGCTGGCGACGGTACTTGCGCGTCTGCACCCAGTTGCTGCCGCCAAACCCGGCGCTGCCATACTCGCCGGGCCCGTCGCTGCGTGTGCGGCTGAAGACGGACGACAGCACCTCCTTGACAAAGGTCTCGGTGGCAATGGACATGAACTGCGCGGCGTCCGAGGCGTGGCCCGAGACCAGGCCGGCCTCGTAGCAAAAGGGCAGCATGCGCGACTCGATGTTGCTGGTGTCGGGAAACTCGCCAGACTCGACGGCCAGCGGCTGCGCAAACCGCTTGCGGATTTCCAGGTCGAGGTTCATGCGGTTGATGCCGCCGCTGGCGCTCGCTGGGGCTGCGTCCATGGGCCGGGGAAACTTCATGCGCTGCTGGTCGGTGAAGACGCTCGCCAATGCGTCGTACGGGTCGAATTTCTGAAACGTATGGTTAGCAACGTTGGGCGGCGCCGTAGTCGGACACAATATGGCACGGCTGCTCCAACGACATACCTCGTTGTTGACAACGTCTTTAATGCGCCTCCGGTCTTTGCTCGGCAGCAGCATGACCTCGCCCTTGATCCGGCGCTCGTTGGCGTCGTTGCCGCTCGCTTTGCTCCCGAGCCCGGACGAGGGCTTGTCGTTAGCACTGACCCACGGTGCCAGGCCCGGGTCGGGCAGGTCGCGCGTGACATTGCCGTAGATGGCCGAGATCAACTGGTTGTGGAGATGTTCGCGCTCGCCGTTTTGTGAGTAGAGGATGGGGTCGACGATGTTGGAGTACTCCGCTTGGTTGAGGCGGCCTGCAATTGGAACAACGGTTAGACACAAAATCATCCAATAGCGGAGCGTAGACCATACGGACGACGGAAGCATCGACGTACCGATAAGGAACTGGGTCGTTGCTGTCTTATAGATTTTCCATTGTTCGTTACCAACGGCCATCCGCAGCGACGTGTAGGCCTGCTCGAGCTCGATGCGCGGCGGGATCGACTGTCCTGCCTTGGAAGGCTTGAGCGATGATGACACCGTGATGGATTTGTTGGAGAGAATGGGTGTTGACAGGCTCACGGCCGGCCGGCTGAGATCCGCGGGGTTGATGTCCGGCATGATGGGCGGCTGTGTGCGGGCAGGGCCGCAGTCGCTGCCGTAAACAAAGCGGGCGCAGGCTCAAGGAGCCCAGGGGAACGACTGGGGGCTGTCGGCGATGGCGATTGGGCGCTTCCGGGGCGATGCCGGGGGCACGGCGGATGGCCGCCGGAGGATCGGAGGCCGGAGGAAGAGAATTCGGAGGGACGTTGTCGCGTGCGACGAAAAAGCACTGCGCCGGCTGGAATCGGCAGTTATGCGCGCACTGGCGCAAAGAGTGAACGTGCGCGCAGTAGAAATCGATGCTAGATGGATGAATTTGGCATCGTGTGGCGGTGAAATCGATGGCTTGCGAGGCGTGCGGCTGGAGGCTGGTGGTGAGTTTTGAAGATGAAGTGTAAGATTGGATTTTGGCTGTATTCCCGGTTTGCGATGGTCGTGGTGCGCCTAAGCCGCCAGTAGCGGGAAGAATGAGCACAAAGGGGCTTGTCTCCGCCCTCGATACTTGTCGCGACACGCTATTTAGCACCTGGGTTAAGTACCACATACAGATGTGACCCCTCCGCAGACAGCGGTCAAGCTCCCTGTGATGTACTGTGCCTGGGCCTAGCGGTCCACTAACGGCACTGTAAAACCAGACGATCGATAGCGGCCCCTCACTATTGTCAGGACGGCACGCGTCGGTCGCTCTTGCTGTTGTCGCGTAAAGTAAATAACTGCACGACGCACGTATGCAGACCCCATCAGGAAGGAACGTCCGCGCCCAGCACCACGCCAAACCTGCCGAATTGAGCAGGACGGCATCTGGTGATCTTCCCAGTCCCCAATAGTCTTCCAGCAATCCTCAAACAACATCGTCGAAACCCATCCCTGCCACCTCGACGCGCCGGCCATGGACCGCAAGCCGCGGAAGCCCGCTCCAGCAGCCGCCCCTCCGGCGCGCAAAGCGGCCCCGGTGATGTCGGACCGTATCAACACGGCCATCAACGGCCTCATCCACCATTTTGTGCCTGAAGATCCAAACGAAGACGAAGATGCAGCCCAGAGACGCCAGCAGTACTGCTTCAACATGGTGCGCACCGTCCTCGAGTCGTGAGTTGGCCCTTCCCTTCACCTTTCTGCTTTTCTGCCATATGACCTTGTCCGCTGCTAACCTCCCACTTTCCCGGCAGACCAACGTCGCCGGACATGGCCACGGACGTCAACCACACAATGGATCTGATCCGCAAGAAGCTGACGGTTGACCGGCCCAACGACGCCTGGCGCTTCTCCCAGCTGTACTCACGCCTCTTGGCCCTGCCGGTGCTCAACCAGAAGTGGGCTATATTGTACCTGCTCTACCAGCTGTCCGACTCGCCCGACCCAAATGACCCACACGCTTCGATACCTGTGTTGCCCGAAGTCCCTGAAGAGGAGTCAGAAGAGAGCCAGGACGGCGTCGAGGGCGGGGCGGAAGGAGACGACGACGAGCTAGCCGAGCCGCCCGGCCGTGCACAAACAGAGCGGCCGGGCACCGCAGGCAGAAGCTCCAAATCCTCCGCCGCCGGTGCGGGTTCTAATGCACGAGAACCACAGCCGGCCCAGAAGCGGGCATCGACCACTACACGGCAGGAACAAGAAGCCTTTGACGAGGCCTTTGCCCGGGACGGCCTCAGGAAATTTCCGCCTGAGAAGGCACGGCGGGGACCAGAAGAAGCCGCAGCCGCAGCCAGTCAGGATCCGGCAGCAACAGCAGCGGCCCCATCGCGAGATGTGGCGCTCAAATCAACACATCTCGCCGACAGCTATGTCGAGACAAATCCGAGCGAGACAACCTTGCTCCGCGACATTCCCTACACCCTCCAGGGTCTCAACTCAGAGACCATGGTCTTCACAAGAGACACAGTGCTCGTTCTCCCCGCGACATTACCAGCTCCCATTGTCTCACTCCTGCACACTCTTGCCGAGCCGGCACTGCTCTACCGCCGGCTCGACAACTTTGTACGTTCGCCCGCCAAGGGACTGCTCGGCCAGAGTCTGCGTGCCGCCATCAGCAGCGAGCTGCGGGCCTATCTCAGTCTGGTAGCCACGCTCGAGAGCCAGATTCGACGTGCCTTGGCGGCGCTGGATGGCACAGCGCCACGGAGCGGCATTGGGCGCGCGGGCGTGACCCTGAAGCGGTGCGTCGTGTGGACGCGGGAGGCCACCATGGGCCTGCGGCTGATGGCCTTGATCGCCGAGGAGTCTGCGAACAAGCGTGGCGGGCAGCTGATCTCGCTGATCCACAGCTTCTCCATCTCCCACGGCGACCCTGTGGTCGGCGCGTTTGCCGAGCGGCTGCTGGCTCCGGTTGCGCGGCCGTTTTACGACATTCTTCGGCGCTGGATTTACGACGGCGAGCTCGCCGATCCGTACCGCGAGTTCTTTGTGCGCGGGCAAGGAACAGGTGCAGACGATGCCAAACGGCAAGAAGCTGCCAGGGCTAAGGGCCACAGCTCCGTGTGGAACGACAAGTACGACATCGACCCGGCCATGATCCCGTCCATCATGCGCACCGACTTTGCCGAAAAGGTGTTCCTCATTGGCAAGTCGCTCAACTTTATCCGCCACAGCTGCGGCGACTCCGAGTGGGTCGAGAACTACAGCAAGGGCGCGTCCAAGGAGCTCCGGTACGGCGACACCGAGACGCTCGAGGCCTGGATCGACGAGGCGTACAAGACGACCATGCGCCGTCTCATGCACCTCATGACGGACAAGTTCCACCTCTTTGACCACCTGGCCGCCCTCAAAAAGTACGTCCTGCTGGGCCAGGGCGACTTCGTCGCGCTGCTCATGGAGTCGCTCGCGCCCGACCTCGACCGCCCGGCCACTGCACAGTACCGCCACACATTGACGTCGCAGCTCGACCACGCTATCCGCGCCTCCAACGCGCAGTTTGAGCCGCCCGAAATCTTGCGCCGCCTCGATGCCCGCATGCTGCAGCAGTCGCACGGCGACACCGGCTGGGACTGTTTCACGCTCGAGTACAAGATTGGCGCGCCTGTCGACTGTGTTGTCACCGAGTGGGCCAACAAGCAGTACCTCAAGGTCTTCAACTTCCTGTGGTACGTCAAGCGCGTCGAGTTCGCCCTGTCGTCCACCTGGCACAAGTGCATGACCGGCTCGCGCGGCGTCCTGCAGACCGACGACCCGGCCGTGCTGCAGGCCTGGAAGACGACGCGCGGCACGCTGGCGGAAATGGTCCACTTTGTCGGCCAGCTGCAGTACTACATTCTGTTTGAAGTCATCGAGGCCAGCTGGGCCACGCTGCAAAAGGAGATCCACCGCGACGACTGCACCCTCGACGATCTCATCTCCGCGCACAGACAGTATCTCACGTCCATCACGAGTAAGGGCCTGCTTGGCGTGAGTCGCCGTACGTACGCCGAGATGAAGCAGGCCGCTGCGCAGGCCCAGGCCCAGGCCCAGGCGCTGGCGGCCGCCGCCGCGGGCAAGGGCCCCGCGGGACCTGGTGGCGCTGACCCGAGCAGCCACAGCCACCTGTCCGAGGTGCCTGCCGAGGACAGTAACGGCTTCCCTGTGCAGCTCAAGGACCTGTTGCGCACCATGCTCAACTTCCGCGACTGCGTCGACGGCCTGTACAGCTGGGCCGTCTCCGACTTTACGCGCCGCCAGGAGGCGGACGTGCTGCGGGATCCGCGCATGGCCGCGGCGGCAGCAGCCAAAGCGACGGCCGCCGCCGACGACGAGGCGGACGGTACCGCGTGTGCGGGTGCGGGTGCGGGTGCGGGCGCCGCGGCCATCGAGTCTGAATGGCCAGCCCTCCAGGCGCGGCTGCAAACGCTGGGCAAGAGCTTCAACCGGCGGGTGGTGTACCTGTTGGCAGACCTGGCCTACCAAAAGGACACCGACCTGCGGTTCCTGGGCGTGTCGATGAACTTCAACGATGTGTATGCGATGCCGCAGGGCCGGCTGCGGCAAGCTCGAAGCGACCGGGTTAAAGGGGCTTAAGGTTTGGAATTTTGAATTTTAGGCGGACTGGCCGTTTGTCTGTTGTCGTTGTCCTTCTTCATATCCTAAAAAGGACGTAGCTAGAGAAGCTACCCGTATGTCAGGTCTGCTTGCTATTTTTTTTTTTTTTTTCTCCCCGTCTTACCTTCTACCTTACGAGAAATAACACGTCACGATTTTTTACGTCGTACTTCTGTCACATATCACGTAGGATGATTTTTTAAACAACCCCTGCTCATATTGACACTTAAAGTACTATCTAGAGGTCGTACTTAACATGGGACCAGTCATAAACCATCATGAATTTCCTCCGTATGAAACACGAAACCTCCGTAAATAGAGAGCATGGACCACAAAAGCAGCCATCCGAAGAAGTTACTCTCCCTGCCAGCTCCCTTCTGGCCAGCCCAGAAAGCGAATGTCCATTCACGTCCTCCTCCCTTCTCAAGTCCTACCAATACCCTGTCAGAGCGAAATCTGAATTGAACTTTGCTTCTCCACACTCCAAGAACAAATACACACCTCCTCCCATATAACATGGACAATATGCTCTGCTGGCCCCTTCGCTCTCCAATCACGACAAGGTTGGATAAAAAGAAAGAAACAAAACGGTAAAAATTAACAAGAACGCCAGTTTCCATAATCCTTCCTGGCACTTCCTCAAAAGTGCGCATAAAATGCTCAAAAAATAATTTCGTTACTCCAGATGCGTGCCAAAATGTTTTGTGTACCCTCTGCCCGCTTCGTGCCCGAGACGAAGAAGAAAAAAAAGAAGACAGTTCCCTAAACAAACATATAAAAGCAAAACAAAAACAAGTCCTCAGGTGCAAATGCTGTCGACAATGCTGACCAAAACCCTAAAATTAGAAAGCAAAATAAGAAAATAAGAAGAACAAGACATGGACTCATTTTAAAAGACAAACAGGAGAACAAAGAGACGAAAAAGAATCAAACGTCTGTCATCTCCGTGTCACACTCCACAAAGGAGGCTTGCGTGGCGTCCTCGTCGTCCTCGGGGCCCCAGTTGCCCT